ACCCTACCCTAACCCTAACCCTACCCTAACCCTAACCCTACCCTAACCCTACCCTACCTACTAATAGACGCGGGTATAGGTATTACTTTATAATAATCTTTACAGCCGATAATCTTAATATTAAGTAGCTTAAGGGCGAAGTAGCGCTCTTCGGAAATAACGCGGACGTTAATATAGGCGTTTAACCGTCTATATTTACTATAGAAGAATCGGCTATAAATTCTACTACGGTAGTAGTAGTATATATAGGCTATCTACCTAGGCGGATAGTAAGTTTTATTAAATTATATAGTCTCGTAACCCCCTTCTTACTCGGGAACGTAGTAGGCGTAGTTTTCGGGGCGCCTATCCGCTAGTAGGAAGTTACGAACGGGCTTACTATCGAAATCGAGGTCGAGAGATAGGGGGTAACTACTATAGCCGTTAGAGGAAAGAAGGGACTCTACGGGTATAAACGCCCGCCGAGGGTAACGGTCTATTTAAATACGTATATCGTTTCGGCTAACGTATAGGTTATATTAATCTAGATCGGGCCCTTCGTGCGTTTAAAGCGGTAACGACGAGAGTTTATTAGTAGTATTAAATACGTTAGAATTTACGCCGCTTAGGTCGACGTCTATATCGTTAGCGAATAGACTAGTTTCTATAGGCGATAGTAGGCTCTACGTTAATATTTCTAGTACTAGCGACGGCGATTGGCGTTAAGAGTATAGATATATACTAGGCGAAAACCTATACGAAAAGCGAATAAGTCGAACCTCTAGCTCGTAACGATAGTAATAGGCGCGGATAGTACTATTTAAAAGTAGAAAAGAAGAAAGGTTAGGAGGAGCGAGTTTTATTAATCGATAGATATTAGAGGGGGGGTAAGAGAACGGGTAGGTTTAAGAAAGGTAGTAAGAAAGAGAGCCGACGCGACGAAAGGATACTAGAACGTAGATTTTATTAGGAAAGTAGAAAGGGATAGTAGTATAAGAAGGTAGGTTTTATTTATTAATAAGATAACGGCTTTAGAGAGCCTTTATTCTATTATCTTTCTAGTAATACGCCGGCGGCTAGTAGTAGAAAAGGCGCGGCTTAGCCTAGTAGTCGCATAACGTAAGCGTAGTATAGTAAGATATAGATAATAATATACCGATAACTTTAAAGTCTATTTCTTAGGCGAATAGGGCGGGCTGCGGTCGATCGAAGTAGAGTAGGGTATAAGATTAATAGTTTTAAATAGCGATAGAAACCGACTAGGTATAATACCGTATTTAGATAACGGAAGAACTATTATTCCGGTTATACGTAGGTCGGCGCCGGCCGGCCTAAATCGCCGACGTATTAATTAATAAAACTTATACCGGAAAGCTATATATATAATAGAATAGAGAAGAGGGTGGGATGGTAATAGACGCGTTCTCTACGCTAGAGCTAGAGGTAAGAAGAGTTCTCTCGTATCTAGATTTTATCGTCTTCTAATAAAAGAATTTTTTAGTATTATTCTTTTCGGATCTTATTATTTCTTCGGGAGGGCGGGTTAGGGCCGGCGGCGGAGCCGAGGGTAGGAGTAGAATCTATTAATTAATAATATCTATACGTATTAACCCGTAATCTTAAGCCCGTTTCGGTAAGCGTATACGCGTCTACGGTAATATATAACCGAGAGAAATTTAGTGCGCCCTTAATAGTAAGTAGTATTTAGAAATAGGAAAACTACGGGTACCTAAAAAACCGTTAACCCGTACGGTCGACCCTAAGTTTAGCGGGGATTAGAGATCTAAATACCTATTCTATAGTATTAGAATTATAATCTCCGTCTTTCTACGTTAGTAGAGGCTAGTTCTAGTTAGAGGTCTTATATTCTAGATCGATTTAGTAGACGAAATCGTTTAAGGCTAGTTAACTAGTAAACTATACTATAAAGATAAGCTTGATACGATCTTAATAAAGATTACTTTATTTAAGAGTATTTATACTAAAGCGGACGACTAGATCGGCCGCTTTTAGCTAGTCTAGACTAAGAATTAGATTATAACCGTTAAAGAACGCGCTCTAGAATAAACGTAGTTTAATAGTCCGCTTAACGCCTATTCCGTTCTTAGCCTAAAGAATAAGTTTATAGAAGTTTTATATTATTATAGAATAGCTATCTAAGAACTATACGCGGAGTATACGCTTAATATACGAGAAGAGTACGTAATAAATACTTATTAGATCTTATCTAATAAGATTTATATTACTTTCTAAATCTAAGAGAGTTTTTAAGACTACTAGCCCTTCTAGCGACTCTAAGAGAACGTTTATAACGATTCGTCTAGTTAAGTCTTAGTCGACTAGTTCTAGAGATAGACGACTTAAAGCCGCTACTAGAACTATATTTTTTCTAAAATCTTATTATCCTTCGAGCCGTCGGCTCTAGAAGAGATTTAACTACTAGCTAAGTTCTTATTAAATCGATAGAAGACCGAGTTACGCTTCGCGTACGAAGCGCCTACGTCTTATCTACGAGTCGACTTCTAGAAGTTCTTATAGCGAGGCGGCTTATATCGGCTCGAGTTCCTCGAGCGACCCCGCCTACTATTAATAGAGTAGGCCGGACGCGGGCGCTTATTATCCGCGTTCTAGCGCTATTATTCTTTCGTCTACGCTATTTTAACTAGGCCGAGCGTTTACTTAAGGCTAATAATTAAGTTATAGAGTTTCTTAACCCCCTAGATAGTCTTTATTATAGAATATTTAAGAAGTTTTTTACGATAGATCTCCGGAAGATTCGTAAAGAAGAGATTAATAAGAAGATTCTTATCGGCTATCGCGTATAAAAGCTATTTATATAGGCTTTTTATACGGGCGCGATACTTTTAATACGATATACTAGACTTTATTAAAAAGCGGTAGAATATAATAGTATTCTTATACCGCCGTAAGATAGAGTTTCTTACTTAATCTTAAACGATTACTTTAAACTTCTTAAAGAGAAGCTTCTTTTAGGTTACGAATTTATCTAGGCGTTAATAGATATATTAGACGATTACTTTATACTTCGCGAGGCTTTAGAGAGTCTAATAGATTCGCTTCTTAGTATTCTAGTCTTATAGATTAAGTATATTAAACTTATTATTTAACTCGTTAATCTACTTATTAAAGTAGTACTAGATCGCGGTTTATAGTTCGAAAATATTTTTTTCTCGCTAGATCGCCTTCCGCGCTTCGAAGTCGAGATATATACGAGAAGTATACGTTTTAAATACGCTTAGCTAAGAGAGTATATTAATACGTTTTTATAGACCCTTAATTAAAGCGTTTAATTCGATAATTTAAGCCGAGAAGGTCGAAATTACTATAAAGAGCCTATAGATTTTAGTCTTTAGATTTATAATAACGTCTTTAGACGTAATTATTATAAAAAAGAGTTCTTCTATAGCGGTAAATATTAGGGATATTTTATTAGCGTTATTATCTAATTCGCTAGAAGTTAGATAGTTTAATCTAGTTAAAAAGTCTTATACGACTATAGCGTTTTTAGTACGCGACGTATACGCGTCGCGTATAGAAAAAAGAGTCCGCTTAGAAGGTATTTTAAACCGGCTATTTAAAGCGAAGAATTCGAATATAAGATATAAGATATAAATAGAAAGCTTAAGATAGATATAAAAAGAGGGCTTATAATTAATAAACGAATTCTTAAGAGATTCGGCCTTCGCTCGTAGGCCGAAGAACTTTTATATATAGCTAAGCGAGAGTTACGTAACTAGTATATAACTTTTATAAATCTCGTATACGAAGCGTATATAAGACGCGGCTATAAATTCTTATACTTTCTATATTTTAATACTAGAATTATTTTTTTATATTTTAATTCTAGTATCTAGTTTTAGATATCTAGTTTCTAGAATTAGTTTTCTAGTATAAAGTTCTCTTTAGATAGCTATACTAGAGTAGATACGAGTTCTTAATCCTCGCGAATCGAGACTTAATTATTATTATTTATATTTTTTCTTACTCGAGACCCCGTCTATCGTAATTTTACTATAGATAGTATTACCCTTAATAGTAAGTAGTATTTAGAAATAGAAAAAATACGGGTATCTAAAAAATAGTTAACCCGTATAGTCGACTCTAAGTTTAGCGGGGATTAGGAATTTAAATATCTATTCTATAGTGTTTGAAAATATAGATGGTGGCTCTAAAGGTAAAGCAAAGCGGCCCGAGGTAAAAGGCGGTGGACTGGCCGATTAGTTCTATATTTCCCGATAGTAGGACGGTCTAAACCTTAGCGTGGCGGCCATCGAGTACAAGCCACCGCACAAGCTAAGCCAGGAGAACATTGTGGTGGGACTGTGCGGCGAGGTCATGCCAGCCCGGGACGTCCAAGCCGCCTCCGACTACGCCATCCGGTTCCACGCCCTGAGCAAGTAGCAGTCCCTCCAAGGTTACGCCGTGCTGCGCTATCCGGTACGTACCTACTTATCTTCCTCTCCGTCCATCTACCACTGTTTCCCCAGAGAGCTGACACCCGCTTCCTCAGCACCGCCGCACGGGGCAGCGCCTCGGCACGCCCATAGCGCGGCCAGACCAATCCCTCTCCCTCATGCACTACGGCGCAACCCCGCTCCCCGGCGCCGTCGTCCTCTCCGAGTGCGCGTTGCACCCCTACCCACCCATCTCACCTCCCGCAAAGGCAGACATCACGCTCAATGGGGCGCCGTGGCAGCTGTGGCGGGTGCTCCGCGAGCCGCTCGTGCCGGGCCCTTCGACCGAGTTTAAGGGACCCAACCCGGTCGTCAAGAACCTGCCGGTGGGCAGCGTGGTCGACATCGTGGTGCAGAACGAGCTGGACGTGGGCTTAGTGATGTACAAGCACAACGACGCGACGTTCCATCTGGGACACGGCGAGGGTCCATCTCACTAGGGAGATGTGGAAGAAGCGAAGAGGGATGGAGTGGTAAACATGGTGGATCCGCCGATGGGCTTCTTCCACGAGCTGCCGCCCAAGGGCTCGCTGGCGATACGCTGGCGCATCGAGCAGCCGGCGATGACCATGTTCCATGTCTTCAACGCGAAGCAGTTTGTGATGGGCATGCAGGTGCCCATGTTCGAGGGGGACGATCGCTGGCCCGAGGTGCCGGAGAGCGTGCGGGCGAGGCCGCACGTCGAGTTTAAGATGCCGGAGAGGATGGGAATCTTTGACTAGCCTTGTTCTTAGAAGTACTTCTTGTTCGAGACATATATATAGAATTTTTAATTCGATACTCTCGTCCGGACGATAGCTTTAACTACCTATGACATAAGCAAAACCGGATCCACGCTAGCCATCGGCTACGCGAAGGAGCTGTACGCCTCCACGCCTGTCCAATCTCCGCTCATGAAAAGAAAACCCCACATAGGCAACCCTCCACGCCTGTCTGATCTCCGCTCAGGAAAAGGAAAACCCACACAGGCAACCCTCCACCTACTTCATCTCCTTCGGCTCCACGACCTTCTTGCCCGTAACTTCCTCCACGTCCCGCAAGATGATGTCAACTGGCGTGATGTAGGCATACTCCTCATACAAGGGGCCCCCAAACAGCACACCAATCCAGGCCCCAGTCTCCGTATCGAAGACCCACGACCCCGAGTCCCCTCCTTCGGAGAATGTCGTCTGGCCCATCTCCGTCTTGACTTCCGCGTCATTGTGAACCATTAACGCGCTCACCACGCTGCCATAGCTACTCTTCCAAGGCTCTTTCTCCCCAAGCTGGATCCAGGACTTGGTCGTCGAGAGCTTCCCCGTCGTCCATCCTGTCGAGCGACCGCACTTCATTACGTTGCAGTCTGATCCTATCTTCGCGACGGACCAGCCGGGCACATCTTTCAGTTGCCAATGGGAGCCATCGAAGAGCCCAGGGGTGCCGGCATAGGCTGAAGGAAACTCGTTCTCTAGGAGGCGCGGTGCCGCGAGGGTCATAAGAGCCCAGTCGAGAGGGGCGTTGTTGGGACCTGCGATGCGGCAGCAGCCCGAGTGCGCGAAGACGTGGCCGAAGAGGCGGGGCGCAGCGGCAACACGGGCGCGGTCGGCGAGTATGGCGTCGAGCTGGATCTTAGTTTCCTCGAAGTAGGCAATGGTCTTGCCTAATTCGACCTTCAGGGCGCGGCTGGGGTTCCCGCCGTAAAGCCATTCGTTCAAGGCTTCGATTCTAGCGTCGTAAAGTTCAAGCTTGGCGGAGGTGTCGCGGTCGCTGGGAGAGTGGACGGGAAAGGCAGTGGTGGTTTGGTCGAGACAGAGGGGCGGTGGTGCTGAGGCTGCGGCGAGGGCGTTCGTCTCGACGACGTGGTAGCACGTCATGATAGCCGTGGTCTCATCCCCATCGTTGTCCTGTAGGGTTAGTTTTCCTCCCACCGAACCGGTGCCTCGAACCTCGGGCGGAACGGTTACAGGTCCCATGGACTGTCCGATCCTGACTGGCGGAGCCCAGAAGAGACTGCCCATATTTTCTACGGCTCGGCTGCCTCTGCGTCTTCCAGCTCCACACCATGGTTGGGCCTGGCGAACGATGATGGCGAGATTGAAGGACTGGGTGACCTGGGAAATATTGGCCTTGAGAACCGTCCAGTAGGGGGAAGAGGCATCCCAAGCCGTGATCAAAACCGTTTGACGACATTGCGCCATGTCGGGCACCAAGGCCCTTCCCTGCAGGCCCAGGGTTTGCCATTCCATATCCGACATACACTCCATGATAGTTTGTCCCATCCAGTGCTCCCACGCCTTGATGAGCTCATCGTCGCTTGCCGGGATGGGGTAAGTGAATGGATTAACCGCTCTATAGTCGATAATCTCGACGACGATGGTGGGACCGGGGTTGCGTAGTTGAGCCACCTTCTTGGCTACCTGTACTACGGCTTCTTCCCACTCGAACCTGTCGAAGTCCGTTGATTTGATGACGAGCGTGACCTCAGTACCGTCAGTGGGGACCACTCCTGGCGGGACCCGATGGGCAAACTCATATCCCCAAATCTGAATGCCGTGAGCGCGGATGATGTCGTGGAGCTGCTGCATGACCACGTCATAGTCATTCAAGAGGTGACGGAGGTCGATATCAGATGTGCCCGTCTGGAGGGGGAGAGGCCGGAGGATAGGGTGAGCGATTCGGTGCTCAGCCTCATCGATGACGATCTCGTCGCGAATCTCCTCCTCGCTCCTGGTTTCCGGTCCACGATGCCGGTAGTGATGTGCGGGGCCTGGAGAAGCCATGGTGAGGTTGTTCCCGAAGGACGGTGAGGATGCTGGCTGAAGGGCAAGAAGTTGAAGGTGAGGTGCAACAACGGTTGCCGGTGAGGTGCAACAACGCGAAGAGGGTGGATGGCAGTGGCAGCCCACGAAGACAAAAGGCGAGGGTCGAAGACGAGGGTCGTGTAGAAGAAGAGCTGTACCCACGGGGAGGGTGTGGACGGCAGGGCAAGAAGTTGAAGGTGAGGTGCAACAACGGTTGCCGGTGAGGTGCAACAACGCGAAGAGGGTGGATGGCAGTGGCAGCCCACGAAGCCAAAAGGCAAGGGTCGAAGACGAGGGTGGTGTAGAAGAAGAGCTGTACCCACGGAGAGGGTGTGGACGGCAGGGCAAGAAGCCGAAGGGTGATGGTTGGAGGCGAAGAGTGTGTCGAAGAGGTTTATGAAAGAAGTCAGAAATGAAAGACTACGGCTGCTGGCTACGCCAAGCCAAAGATGGCGCTAGCGCGGGCTTTTCTCAACGGGAAAGCTTCGCTGCGGTGGGATATGACGTCAGAATCGCAGAATAGGTCGCAGACATGGAAAGCGCCCGAACGCGCGAAGCAGCTCCCTTCATTGCTCTTCCACGGTCCAGCACGGCCAGCGCCCACGGTCGGCTCCACGAATTCCTTACGAATCCGCACATGACGCCAGCTTGCAATAAGTCAAGAAAGTCCTTCAGCATTGTTTGCGACAAAGGCCCGCTGTCTACCGCCCATGTCGGATATCCCCCGGCTCAGCAACAACATTCTCTGCAACCGCCTCAGCAAGCAGCGTGACCGAATGCCGCAGATTCTCGGCCGGCGGATTCATCGCAGCACGAGGGCTTGGAACAGCCAGCGCGAAGCCAGCACGCGGAGAGCAGAAACACGTGGCAAGCCGCCTCGGAACCAAAGCCCACCCCCCGCCTTGATCCGTGTATATAGATGGCGGAGACCGGGGAAAGATCTGTCGCGCGGCATAACAGGGGCCTGCAACATTCTGCACCGGGTACAGCCATCTTTATCGGCATCATTTTCGATGTGTTGGACGCTCAACACTATTCCCGCCTCGCCCATGGCCAAGACCAAAGCCACAGCCGATGGAAGACGAGCTACGGCGGGCGCAGCGGCCACTTGCGTTGAACCTCCGACGGCCGGAAGAACCAGAACCTTGACATCATCTATCACGGCTCGGGAGGCAAAGGCTTAATTTGACATAAAGGTCGGGCTAGTTAAAAGCTCCGCCCTTACGTTCTCTTGCTCGTTTGGGAATGCATCCCACGGGATGATGCGTTGAGGGTAAAGGCGACCGGCGGGCTTGGTGACGTCGCCTCAAGTGGTCAGGGCGAGGTCCTTCGTGGTTTTCATCGAAAGGGAAATGCTGTGGCAAGCTTCCAGGTATTCGACGAGCGTCCTTGGGGCTACGAGAGCCTCTCATGATCCTGCGACCTGGCGGGCAAAAGACGGGTGTCGTAGATGAGTGGTTCGGTGTAGTCAACTTGAGCCTGCTTGAGCCTGCTTCAGGCGACGCCGTCTTCTGCTCTCGTTCGGCCGCACCCAACCCCTCCACTCTCTCAACACACATGCCCATCAACCACGATTCCCAACCACGACGACGCGACACGATTCCCGACCACGACGCGACACGATTCCCCAGAGACGGGAAGGAAACGCGGCCGCTTCCTCGCCCTCGTTACATCGTCACCATATCTCCTGCGTGCCAGGCCGGTCACAGCACCAAGAAACCGTTCGGTCCCGCTTCCGCGGTCGCAGAGCAGGCCGACTGTCCAGCTTCTACCCAGCGAACGGCTTCATGTGCGCGGTGCCCCCTTCGCTGGAAGAACTGGGGTCTGCAGAGCTCATATCCTACATTCTTGAAGAAGTAGCTGTGTGTTTCGTTCTGCGCTGCCATTGCCCCGTCGCGTTGAGCCTTGGTCACCTGGCCGTGTGGAATCTGATGGACTGGATCGGGAGCGTGTGCAGCGGGGGAGGAATCATATAGATTTCTTTTGTCCCGCAATTCCATCATAACGGCGAGCTAATGCGTCTTTGCGATGGAAGGGATCGCGGGTAGATATCTGATTCATATCTTGCGTTGCAAATGGCGTCGTCATCCACGGAAAAATTGGCTGTGCCTTCAAACACGCCCGTCACCATCAGAAGCGACTCGGTCATGAGCTCTAGCGTTTGTCGAAGATGTTGTTGGAGTCCATGAGTTGTGCGCCTGACGAAGGGTGGAAGAGTTTGCTCTTGAGTTGAGTTAGGCTGCTGGATTAGGAAACGCATACAAAGGGTGGAGAGTGAAGATGGGGGCGGAGCGGGGTGGGAGAGAGATCCTTGTGCCGATCTTTTGAGGCGCACCTAAGCGCATGCGGCCCGACGCCACGCCTACCACCTGGTACACCGGCGCGCCCATCTGCCCGCCTCCATCGCCCGCTGCCACATCGCCACCCTGAATCCAGCCAGATAGCTGGAGGGAGACCGTCGTTTGCTTGTCGCTCTGCGCACGGCCCTTTCAACCTTATTGGGAGATTCCGCCCGCCTATCCAACCACGCCCGTCGGAGCCCTTTGGCTTCTGCACTGCTATCTCCTCCATCGACACCCCCGCACGATTCTTGCACACCGCAGCAAACTGCTGCCGACCAGAAAGATCACCGCCATCCTTCACCCTGCAGTGTTCCGACAACCAACAGGTAAGCTGAGCTTGTCCTACCCCGTCATCAAGACTGGCAAGCTGACAGGGGCAGAACAATGGGAAAGCACAGCCGACCCGCCGAAAGGCGCCCCCTCAGTGCGGCTTCGATGCGTTGAGCGCCGCGCTGCCCAGGCGCGTACCGCCCGACATGCTACTGCTAAAACGGCACAGCGGCTCCCGCCCGACACTTAGCCGCTTGCACCCTCTTAGTAAACTTTCAAGACAGATTCGCAATCCCCCAACCCGAGCCAAATTAGCTCTCAGATCACTCGAGACCCGTTCGGGGCAGAAAGCCGTCCTTCCTTAGAGACGTAGGTCCAAGAGGACACGATGCCCACGCAACCGATAGAGAACGACGACTTCTACACGACTACACTCAGCAGTCACTAGCAGTAAGAAGCGTCTCTGTTGTCGGCCATTCGACATAGATCCTCGAAGACACGACTGTCACGCAAACGAGCGGCGACGAGGACTTCTACACTCCACGGACACAGCGTACAAGGAGTGTCTCCGTATTAGGAAATAATTATTTCCTAATCGGGTAAAATATCTCTACCGATAGAAAAATACAGATCTCGGACGCGGGAACAACTTGCACACCAACCTCCTCCGCCAAACTCTCAGCCGACGTCACTGCAATAGATCAAACACGAGGTTGTGCTGGCCTTCGTGAAGGCGAGAAAGGCGCTTAGTCTCTGCGAAGGCGAGCCCGTGCGGTTGGGCGTCCCCCACGACCGAGCAAGGCGGCTGCGCCGTGTGTGACCGTGAAAGGATCAGTGCACGCATGGAGGCATGTTACCAGCTAAGTATAATCAGTAATCCTGACCCATGCCAATCATCATGTCGAGGTTTTCTTTGACGGCAGAAAAGTGGTACATTACTTGCTACGAATTGCACTTGCGATACATACCGTAGGTTCAACTGGAGTATCCGTCGCACCAGCACGTGTGGCCACAACCATGTCGCGTGCGCATGTGAGAAAGTTGAGCAATTACCGCCATTATATACAGAGACAGCATTTGCTGAAGACGAAAGGCAACCGCCGGAAGAATGATCTGTGGTACAGATCGACACCAGCAAACCCGCATTGAGGTATCAAAAGGTACATGGTCGCCATGATCAGCTAAGGAGAAAACAAGAACTTCGACATTCACGAGCCGACGTGAATGGAGTTATGCCCATACAACACTCCCGCTTCGTAAATCTCCTGCTTGCACTCAAGATCTTGCCTGCTTGCCGCTTTCAGCGTTTAGCTGCATGCACTGAAGGCGTGCGGTTGCTTCTGCGCATGAATGAGCACAGTCACCCCACTTATACCTAGTAAGGTACGATTTCTTTTCCTTCTCGTTCCACTCGCGTGCGATCTGATATCCCATCATGGCTTGACACAAATAGCAGGGCTGGTTACCATGCCAGTTTGGCGTTCGGAACGCGAGACCCATCTCAGATGTACCTCCGAGGAAGTTTTCCTCATCTCTCATCGCAGGGATGGCGCGGCGACGAGCCTCCCATAGAAGCACTGATGGTTTAATGCTGTCGTTGTTCAGGAGAAGCTCACGTTCAATCTCGAGCTCAATCTCCTTGAGCTTCTGGAATGCAGCATCCGCGAGTGGAATATACGCAGACAGTTGAGTGTCACGAGAGGCGCGGGCAACAGACATGATCTCTGGAAAGCCGGACCATTTGGGTTCATTCGCCCCAAATACCAGCCCGCGTTGGCCCGGGTGGGTGCACGCGAACACCATGAACGGTCTTCCGTCAGCCACGTCTTTGACAGCCTCGTACTGGTATGGAACGTTCGGGGGCGCGGGTAGGTTGAATAGTGTCTGCCTTTGCAGATGTACTACGATTGGTTAGCCGGAAGTCAGCGTTTAAAAGTTTGGTCTGGCATTACGCAAAGTCTCCTTGGCGCCTTCTTTGTGTAGACTCAGCTGGATGTTTTCTTGACGGCATAGCAGCCGGTAGAGCAACTCGTAAGGACAGGCAGTAGGGACGGACGAGGTGGGGATCTCTGCCCAATGCTTGGTCTTCGCCCGCAGCGTCTTGATGTATCGTCTCAAAAAAAGAATTGATTCATTAGTTGCCTCGATGATGTATCCGATGTTCCGAGTGTCGTGATGTGCCTGTTTGTCAATCCATACAGCTATGTGGGCGGGTTCCTGCCGATGGCTTCCGAGGACTGCTGTGATTTGAACGAACGATTCCCAGATCAGCGTCATCCAGTGATATGCAGCACGCCTGAAAGCTACAGCTTCCGGGCATTCAACCTTTGGTAGTCCCGTTTCCATGAAGATGCTGACATCATCGATAAGCGATCGGCTAGCCTGCAGGAGAATGGCCAGGGGTGTTGCCCATTTCCGTGACAACTCAGCCGGAGATGCAGTCGTGTCGATATCAATGACAGGCCGTAGTGGGGCCATCTCTTCTACAAGTTGCAGAAGAGAACCCGTCTCCATTGTGACTTAACGCGCGCCGAGAGAAGGGAGCGACACGATCTGTAGGTTGAGTGTGGGAAGGCTCAAATTGAGCCGCCGAGGGGGCCGTGGTGCGCGATGAATGCGAAGTTAAAGGAGTCAGTGGGAACCGCCGAGGGTACCGAGCGAGGAGTACGATGGGGAAGGACTGGAGTTTGAGCCGCGACGGGACGAGAAAAAGAGTCGAAGCGTGAGTCGAGGTCTGGGCGACGCGGCGAGTTCGGTTTGGAGCCGCGGGTGAGCGGGCTGTTGCGAAGGAGGATCAACGGTTGCGGCGGAGTGACGGGCGAACACAGCCGGGGCGGAAGTGAAAGGCGCTGGCACGGATGTATCACGCGGGCGCAGATGGAAGCCGTCTTCGATGGGGCCACTGCGGCCTTGACGTCATGCCAGCACCTACTAAGAATGACAAGCTGGCTGAATGGGAAGGCGGAGCTCCCGCGCCGCGGTTGAGACTTGAGTCTCGCGAGATGAGCGATGCAACCACAAAGTCAGACGACACGCTCATGAATAGGTCGTCATCGCGGAGGACTGGAGGAGAGTCAACCTCAGCAGTTTCAGCAGTTTCAGCGGTCGCAGTTGCAAATCCAAATTCAGGATCAGTAGCCGGCTGCCTGCCGTTTCTGTCGCGGTGGCTCGTGCGCGCGGCCACACACTTTTGCCGCTCCTCTACTCTGCCTCCCACCGTCTTCAGCCCCATCACGCACCGGGAACTGTGTTGCCGTCAACTCCGCCATCGAAACCGACGTCCGCAAAGTGAGTGTGCCGATGTCACTTTCTTGCTCCTGGAAGCCGACTAACCTCAGTAGGCTCGACCTGCTACGTCTGACCATATAGAAATGGCGACGTCAACCGCCAGTGGTATGACCGTCCATTTCTGCATGATGAAAATACCAGAGCTGACCGCCGGCAGGCCAACCCAGGGTTGCTGAAGCAGAACGATGGTTTGAGAACGCCGAGCTCTCCCAGGACAGGCCTCCTGGTATCAAGAACCTCCCAGATTCCGGGCTCCACTTCTACCGAACTTCACATCAATGGCAACATGTTGGCGCCGGATCCAACAAACAACAACATGTGTGTCCCCGCCATTGGCTACAAGTCTGCAGCATCCTCCGCAGACGCGAACGCAAAACGCCCTGCAGTCCAAAACCAGCTTCCGACCGGAGACTTCGTGCTCATCCATGTGGACCTGGTTGACGATAAGGCCCCGGCGATATTCGGAAAGCTGGCAAGTGAGTACAGCTCATATGCCCTTCGCTCAATCATCTCCACTGTCGTCGAAGCCAAGGCCATCGACGTCGTCATGCGCGTTGACAAGAGCATGATGACGAGTTTGGACTGGTGGCAAGGTCTGTTTGCTTTGAGACATAGTCCTAGCATCGCATGGCATAAGACCGACCTCGACAAAGGCCAAGGCTCGGCCTTTTGGTGGTACGCAAAATGGCGACAGTATCGGTATCAGGAGATAGTATCTCCGAGATACAAGTACCGGACGATGAGAAGACGCTGTGGCGCACGGCGGATAGCGTTGCTCATGGCCTTCTAACCGCCGACGTCAAGCTTCCTCTTCCACCCTGGCTTGTCGGGTCAGAAGAGCACGAGAGTTTCTCAAAGACCCAGGTTCAACCATTCGGCGAGCAGGTTATGCCGCGTTTCGTGGACCGTGTCGGGTTCGAAACTGTAAGGTTATTGGATCAAGATAGACAATATGAATCGTATCAGAGTCAGAACAGAGACGAATCGTTATCGATTCATCCTTACGTTCCTCTGGCATTCTTATAGCTAGCTAGTTCTATGTCATGTGCGTGATTGACTAGCCTTGTTTTCCTATGCTTGGCATTGAGCTTCAATGGGTCCCAAGGTCTGTCAGTGAGGCTAGCAGTCCGTCTCTTGACAGAAACGGTCACGATGGTCAGTCTCCTACGTGAGCGAGATGTGCAGAGAACGATGCTTCTCAAGACCATCCCCCCCGTCTCCACCCACACGGCAACCTTCCATCGCATTGGGTCCACTCAAGTCTTCATAATCCAGCTACGACTCAGCAGACTTTCAAATGAGACAACCAAACCGGCAGAAGTATGCCGCCTCCAACTCAAGCGTCCAAACTCGGAGACGAAATACGAAGCTTTCGTTGTGGCAGACATCCCCCAGGCTTGGGGCCTTGCCCTGATGTCAATCACGCCGGACACTCTGGCAGTATCTTCAATTGAACCTGAGAAGGTTCAAGTCACCCTCGAGGATCCGGAATGGCTGGTCGACAATCTCGCTTCGGGTGTGGCCGCAGCCACGCTGCTCATGGATGCTGGATCAAAGCAGACCTCTCGTATTTGACACCTAACGGGCTACTTCATCAACGCTAACGCGCTTCAGCCGGCCGTCGCCCATGCGCACCACGCGTACAAGCTCAACCGGATGCCGGACCCTTTCGGTCCACAAAAGCTCCTTGCCGAAGCGCATTTCGCCCAGGCGATTTCCGATGCGTGCGCAGGTGAATTGCTCGTCCGAAGGCTCCATGTAGCCCCATTCATCCCCGGTAATCTGAGAGCGTATGCCCGTGTACTCGTCTTCCACGGGGAACATGTCAAACAAGACGTAGAGGCCGTCAATGCAGCCAGTCGGTGCAATGCGTGCAACAACGTAGTAGCCAGTAGGCTCCCACAAGCCTTCGGCGGCATCTTCAATTGTGTCTGGAAGGGCCGCGACGTAGTACTGCAGCTCCCCTAGCTGTTGGAACTCGAATCCTGGTGGATTGTCGTCGGACTCGGCGGTGCGGGTGGACTCCTCGGAGAGGTTGGCCTCGCGGCGGTTGGCGGGGCGTGACGGCTCGCGTGGCTGAACGGTAAGATTGACGCCAAGGAAGCAGGGCGGGAGAAGCTCGTAGGGAGTAGACTCTGCGTTGAAGAGTTGATCGTGGGGCAGCAGGCCGTAGGCTTTGGGGAGGAGGCGATAGCCGGTGCCGTCGCTGGTGCGGCCGAGCGGCAGCCAGGGTCGCACGTCGCGGATTTGCCAGTCGATGAGCAAGTCGGCATCCTGCATATTGTGGAAATTCATGCCATCGACGTGGGCAACGAATTCTTGGGGAGAAGCGGGGGTTTCGCATTGCTTCTTCGTCCGCTCGTGGCGGCCGTACATCCACCTGTAGAAATCGTCTTTACCTTGGGTATCGGGAAACCACGCGTGCAGCTGTTCGTCGAAAGTTTCACCCATGTCTAGCTTTATAGAATGGGAGACGAGAGCCTGGCATTTTTCCGCAAGTTCCACGGGCATAGGTGATGTGCGAGCTCTTGCCTCTTGGGGTAGGGGAGGCTCATAGCTCGAAGCTGAGGTAGCAGAAATTTTCTGCGCAGGTGAGGTGGCAGAAACTTTCTGCGGTGAGGACATGTTTGCGACGCGGATATTGTCTGAACGCGAGCTTGAGGTGGGCTGACTGTGAGAAGGTTGGAGGCGGGCTGATGATGGAGAAGGTTGAGGGTGCGGGCGCGGGACATAGAAGTACTTGCAAGTGCCGCTCTCTGCGTCATCATGCGCCGGGTTGGGCAGGCGCCCCCAGCGGCTGCGGCTTTGCACTGTGAACCGTGGCTACGCGCCCGCGACAATTCGGAGCTTATCCGCGGGCGCATCCCCAATCTTCCAGTTTCATCCAAGTACTGTCGCTACCTTGGTCCGCACTTCTGCCTGCCGGGGAGAAAACTCCGACCCACCCTCTCTGTTCTATGAGGAGGATGCACATGCTGTTCGTCGAATCGGAGCCTGGGCGCAGCGTCGCCGGAAGGCTTCCTTTGCCGTGGGTGCTCTGCGGGTGAGCGCGCCGCTACTGGGTGCTTGCGGCGGGTCCATGGTCGTGATTGTTGGGTCGAGCTGTAGGTCTCAGGGTCTCATCTATTCCGGTCGGCTGAATGCGCTACCAGACCCCAGCCTCCAAACCGTCGCATAAGAACGTGACTACGACATTGACTCATTCACGCTCGCTGCTCGCGCCCGTCACCTCCAACAGCGCGGATGCTCAAGGACGCGCTTGATTTCGTCGCCTCGAAAGACCAGGCCGCCCTGCTGCAGCCCACGGCTTCGCCGCCACGGTCCTACAAAGTTACCTGGAATTTCGCGACATGACCCGACCCTTGGATTGGGTGCTGCAACTTTCCGTGGTTGCGGGCCACGAATGTTTGCGAATAGGCGTTAGGTCGATGACGTCTAAGTGCCACTAATGTGGCAGCCGCGCTGGAACAAAGACTGCTACCAAGCTACCAGTCAGAACTCCAACTCAGCCCTGCAAAAACAAACACGTCGCCGCAATTACTCGCAGCTTGCATCACAGTTTCTCTTCCCTTCCGATCAACCGGATCATCAAAACTATGACTTCCCGCCGCCGGGACTTCCTATCCGAAGCCAGTACCGTCGGCGCTACCGCGTCCTCACTCCGAGCTGATATAGCCGACAATCTGCTCCTTGTTGACCTACTGAACAACGAAAATGCCCGCGAATCGGACTTCGAAAACGCCTTCACACTTGAACAACAGCTCGGTCGGCTCCTTTCCGCGCGTTGCATGATCTCCACGTCCTCAAGCTTCGCCGAGCAGCAGCATGCTGCCATGGATGGCCAGGCAACATACCGTCTCATCGGCTGGGGAGCATGTGGGGCCGTCTATGCCCAGCATGGCTCCTCCTGGGTGCTCAAGTTGGCCAAGACAGACGACCACCAGCTGTGGACAGATTACCTGATGAATACTCGGGCTTGGGAGGCCCTCGCGAGGATACCCGAGGTTTCCGAAGAGATCCACATACCGCAACCAAGCTTCTACGTACCGAAAAGCGAACGGGGTTGGTGGGAAAGAAACCAAGACATGTTCCCGACCGCAGATTCTCCAGTCCACCTTCCAACCGCTGTCCTTTGTACCGAAAGGATTCTTCCCCTCCCTTCCGAGATTCGGAATAAACTCATCGAAAAGTTCTGCGCTCCGCGCAACCGAAGCAAAGCGCTTCAGTCTCCCGGAAACAAGGACTGTCTGGTCCGCACATATCTGGGAAGCCGCCAAGGCAAGACTGGCGGACTGTTCTTCTCTCTGCGCAACTTCAAGTTGCACCTCAATCAGATGTTGGAGCTCGAAATGCCGACATTTCAGCTGGCAGAGTACATGGCTGGAGCGTTGGCTACAATGCATTGGGAGGCGCGAATTGACGCCAGGGATGTCGAATTCGTCCTTGGCAGCGCGCCAACCTACCCCCTCATCAAACCTCTTACAACAGCAGAGCTTCAAGAAACGGAACCCGATACGTACACGGAGATGAAGGTTTGTCGTAAGACAGACTTCAGGCAGCGCACTGTGCACCTTTGGATGCTCGATTTCAACCAGTGCAGAACAATCTCCATGGATGAGTCTGGAGTCTACCAGGCGGTCGAAGCATACATCATCAACGACCCATACTATCCTCGACCACCCAAGAACGATGAGAACGATCAAGATCTCGCGCTCTGGAATGTCTTCGCCACCAGATACCTTCGTATCTCCGATCGCATTCTCCGCGAAACCCCGGGGCTCCGTGCTCTGCCGCGCAAATTCCTTCACGGAGTTATCAAAGTGCACGAAGAGAAACTCAAGATGCAGGAGGAAGCGGCGGCGGCCTCGGCTCAAGCTCCTTGAGAGGTTTTTTTTTCGGTTTCTTGTTTTACCCCTACTGTACTATGGCGTTTGGTTGAGTTTGTGACGCTGGTAGTCCTTTCCAGTATCGCTTGTTGCACGTAGTACGTAGGCTCTACTATGGCGTTTGGTTGAGTTTGTGACGCTGGTAGAACCTTTGCCTCCGATATAGAACATTGACTTCGGCTTGTGTCCATGGTGCCGTCTTGCAGCAGTCATGAAGGAGGATGCTCGTGCTGATTGTTGGCTGCAGATCCTTGTGCTCCTCCTCTGGGGCTTGGCCGCGAGTAGAAGCCGACATGTTGACGCCGGCCGAGTCTGCGGGACCGGGCAAGGGTGGCGATGGAATTATCTGTTCCGATATAGTGCTGTTTGCCACATCTAAGAACAGGTCGTGAGGCAGCCCGACTTTAATGAGGTTGGTTTTAGCAATACGCCCGCGCCTCTGCTAGCCGAGACAGCCTATCCTTGACAGGAAAGTTTTTTCGTGCCGGCGCTCGATTACTAATCGTGCCGGAGTGAGTTCCGGGCCTACCTACTATGACACATGAAGTTGATCGATAAGGCTTGCATTATTCATCGCCAACGCAAACGGGCTCAATCTCCTTACGACCCTTATTGACTTTGAGGTACTCGCGGCGCCAAGTACACTAAGAGATGTTTATTTTCAGGCTTCTTATTCTTTCCTACGATCTATAATTATGTCCATCATTTAGCTCAAAACACCATTCCTCTGTGCCAGTTGAAGTCGAAAGTGCTTCAGGGGTGTTCAGAAAATCCACAGTGGCCACTGATCTTTCTGGACGGGACAGGTCAATAGCGAGAGACCTGACGTTGGCTTGCACCAAAAGTGCATCTTGGATCCGAGTACGGGTTTTCTCGACTGACCAACTGGAGGGTATGCCGCAAACTCTGTACGTCGTGTAATTGGCCATCAGGCCATCCAGACCGGCGCATCTGCAGCTCGGCTTGTTTTGGCTGCTTGAGAGAGAGCGGCGAGTGGGTTGGTGACTGATGTGGATTATAGCAGGTGAGGAAAAACGAAAGCGCTGCGAGGCTGGAAGGCTCGGTGGGGCAAGGCAGTATGTAAGAGAAACTCACCACGTTGCGTGAGGCTGTGAACGCATCCAGGCGGGGATGCGCTTCCAGCAGCCTTGGACGTCCACTGATGGCCAATGCAACTGCTACTGCTGGTAATGCTCGACACCACTTGGCTCTCTTAGCAAGTAGCTGAGAGCCTTTACTGCTGCCTTACGAATCAAGTTGCTAAAGTGCATCGTGGCTGAGGTTGTTTGGTTGGATAAGGCTGTAAATTAAGCTGCGCCACCATCAACCTAAGTAAAAAGTGAGGCTCACTTTGCCATAGGGGGCCGCCTCCGGGATGGTGCTGGCGTAGCTGTCTGGTTGGCTATTAGGGTGCTGGGGCCAAGGTGGCCAATCAGCTGCTGATTGTAGGGCGCGTAATTGGGTTGCTGATGTTTTTTTTTTTCAATACTAGCAATGGAAGTCATTCAGGAGCCGGAGAGACCGATATATGCAGGCTAGGTATTGTTCCGGATGTTTTGGGGCAATTGTTGGGCGACATAGGTCATGGGTCACGCATACAGCGTACGAAGCAAGGCAGCATAGTAGTGGCGAAGCAGCTGTCGCAATGATGATGGGAATGCGACAGAGATACGAAAAGGCTCAGCTTTTAACGTAAGTGCAGCACGCCATCAATAGAGTAGATGCAGGTGGCTGACAGAGAGGCTGAAGGGTAGAAGCGGAAACGATGTTAGCCGCTTCCAGGTGGCAAGGTTGATTTTTGTGACCAATTATAAGAACAGCTTCGCCTCACTGTCTCAGCCCCGCACTGGTCATCGACACCTTCAAGGCAGCCAATAGCTGTAGTTGATGGCTTTGATAATTCCCATGTACAGGGTGTCGACATGACTGTGGCTTCAGCATATGGGGCGGTCAGAAATGGTTCATGTCAGCCAGCCTTCTCGTATTTCGCTCAGGATCCCACCCCCTCAAGCCTCGCTCGGGCTTTCAGCCGCTCAAAACGTCGCCTTATTTCCACTCCGTCTTTCTACCGCTCAAGCTTGTCGTCACCTCTGCTTCAAAATTACTTTTCCGATGCAACGATCATGGCAAAGTTCAAGCCCGATTGCACGTTACCACCGCCGAACACGAGATTTGTCTCTTCACCCACAGTCCGTGGCACTTTGGACATTCTCTGGTCTTGCCTCAGCATCTTCGTTCTTTGTACCTGGTCGATATACCACCCAAACTTGCCCGTTCAGGCTTGTCCCAAGAATTGGAAGCAAAGGCTCCGGAAGCAATCACATCTTTTCTATCGCAAAATACGTTTCTTCGTAGTGATGCTTTTCATGCCAGAGGCAATCATTGCGTTCGCGGCTATCGAGCTTCACTCGGCAGTGATCACGCTCAAAAAAGCAAGGACAGAGAACAAAGACTGGACTCTGGCCGACAGTTTCCTTCTCGATATGGGTGGATTTGCAATCTGTTTTCCAGAAGACGACGAAGCCGCAGTGAGAGGGTCCAGTGATGAACCGGAACCTTCTAATCTACCTACATCCCATCTCCATAGCCCCCGCGATCCTGGCGGCTCCATTGGTTCTGCTGGCTCCGTCCTCTCCGAATCAGGTTCAAGTCACAACTCAATGACTGGGACTGAGTTCTCGGAACACGTACAAACCTCGTCCGACTCATTTCGGGAACTTGGATCCCCTCTCCCCTCCGGGGATGCACAAGCGAAGCGTGCTCAGTGGTTTTCGCAATATGTTCCACTTGACCGGCTTGAAAGGAATACTCAAATAGAAAGCCTCAGAATGGGTCAAACAGGCTGGTACCGGAGCGATCGAAATCTGCATACACTTATGGAGGTAGAGTACGACTGGCCAGAAAAGCTTCACTCGAGACACCAAGACGAAGCTCGCAATCTGGCCTCCCTACAGGCAGACACTTGGATCTTGAATGCGGCCCAGATCCAGTATGCAAAAGACCGGGACATTATAGCTCAGCATCCACAGCTCACGACATCCGATCTCGAAGACAGGAACAAAGGGAGCTATCTGGTCAAAGGCTTAGCCGTCCTCCAAGTCAGCTGGTTGATTGCTCAAGTATCCGCAAGAGTCGATTACGGACTTCCATCAACCCAACTGGAAATCGCTACGCTTGCCTACGCCGCATGTGCCTTGGTAATATACGTCCTCTTCTGGGAGAAACCACAGGACATCAAGAACATGTCGAAGGTTAAAGCACAACGCTTTGCCACTGCTAAAGAAATGATGGAAATTGCGAAAATCGGACCAAGGACTGTGGGATATAGGCAAGTATCACCATGGACACCCTGGAATGCTTTGCATCCCGTAACCAGCCGATCCGAGATGCTACATGACTTTACTGTGTGGAGTATATATGCTTCCGTTGGGGCAGCCGCCTTTGGTGCAATACATCTTCTCGCATGGAATTTTGTGTTTCCAACCCCCATCGAGAAACTACTATGGAGAGTAAGCTCTCTACTTACCTGTACTCTTCCTCTATCGCTTTTCCTGATTGGAATTTTCATCAATCGTATACTGGGTGGGACTGCGTGGCATTTCATCTCACGTTCCTCTACTACGTTGTATATATTGGCCCGGTTTTTCATCATGGTAGAGGTTTTTAGATCTTTATTCTTCCTTCCCACAGAGGCATTTCGGTCGACCTGGGATGGAATAGTACTACATATCAGTTAGAACCGGATATACAAGAGGCCTCCTACAAGGCATAAATTGTTTACATATCCTTTAACCCCGCTCTAGCCTCATCGCCCACGCGGCACCGCCTACACTCTTACCTATAAGTTTTTCATATTCCCACAAGTCTCCTGCGTCGAGGATCCTCTCTTATCCTCGAGTCCGTAGCCGGCTGTGTCGGCGAAGACGGATCCGAAGGTACGGAGAAACGATCATCAACAACCTGCGCATACTGAACCTGCGTGCCGCAGCAGCTGCCCTCCTCCACCTGCGTGGAGGCGGCTGATCGGACATTTCCGCTAGTCTGCACGTCCGGCCTTGACGGAGAAGAGTCCCGTTCGGGGCTTCTCGGCCGACGAGCAGTGCTGGGCCCGAATGCCGAAGCCGCAGCGTGCAGTTCTCGGCGATAAGCTTCTACCAGACCGCTGTTGTCGCTGGACTCCTGAGTCGGACTGCAGTCGGGTTCCATTTGCTCGCCCGTGTCACCGTCGCCCTGGCTCGCAGTAACGGACACGCGCTCTACCCTAACGGCACTCTGCAAGCTAATAAAGAAGAGGAAACCAGCCTTACCGCATGACGGCCTGCCACGTCACTTACCCTTCCCGTAAAGGGGGCCTTATGAAGCTACAAGGATGGCAATCCCGTGGCAAAGGCGGTACACACGATAAGGTGGCAGCCAACACCTCGAGTAGAAACTAGCCTTTCCGCATGAGAGCCTGCGACGTAACTTGCCCCTCCGGTCAAGGAGGCCTTGTGAAGCCACAAGGATGGCAGCCCGGGGCATGTAGCACACGTGATGAGACGGTAGTTAACACCCCCGCAAGCTGGTAGAGTAGCAGAATCCCAGCCATGTCGTATACGAGCCGGCATCCTAGCTTACCGCTCCCGAAGAAGGCCTTATGAAACCACAAGAATGGCAAGCCGGAGCTAGGTGGCATACACGATAAGGCTGGTTTTCACTACTCCATCAAGATTTCAAAACCATGTCCACCAGCTGATAAAAGAGCCTGCCTCTTATTAAAGCTTTGTAAAGCGGCAAGAAGAGTAGGCACGGAGCTAGGTGTGTATGGAGCGGTGGAAATCGTTGGTCGTCGGAAGTCAGAGGACGTCGGATCGAACGCGTTCAAGAGGAAACAGAAGGCCTAGAGGCAAAAGTAATACCCCTCCAAAAGCGGTATTCCCACCCACCCGGGCTTTTTTCAATAACGCGGGCAGCCCTGACTCGCAAGTCAGCCTCTCGCTCAACACCATGGCTGGACGGTGGGCATCCCGAGCCGATGAATAGATACACCCTTGTCACCCAAGATCCGGCCGATAGCCGGCACCTCCTACGGATCCCCGATGGCGGTACCTGTGCCATGGAATTCGGCGAATCCCGTGGCGGGAAACTGGGGAATATTGGCAACTCAATGTGCCCTACTGATCAGGACCTCGTGGATCTCGGAGCTTGAGTATGCTGTCGCGGTCGTCCTTCCGTCCACTTGGCCACAGGGGCCTGGATAAAGACATGAATTAGATCGCCATCTTTGCGGGCATACTTAGTCTTTCAACAAGGATCGCGTTCACGGCCTCTCCGCGCACGTAACCGTTAGTTTTGGTGTCAAAGGACTTGCATGATCCAGTGGATGACAGGTCGTCCTGCTCGGCCAAAGCAACGGTCATAGTAGGCGTGAGGATGAGGTTGGTGCCTGAAACCACGGCCGAGTCGCAATCTCCCGAGTAAATGACCTGGCAGGCTTCTTGCAACCAGCCAGCGATGAGGAGCACTCCGGTACGGACCATCATGCTGCGAACAGTCAGCAAGGGACGCGCGGCGGGATCCATCTCGCAACAGATCTCGGTTCTTCCAGTCGAACTCGTACGACACGTGGTTCGCAATGGCGAAGTCGCCGTTGCCGGTGACGCGGTACATTCACAGGAGTTGCGGGTCTTTGGGTGAAGGATCCAGCCAGTGCTCGCCGAATACGCCGACGTAGCAGCCGACGTTTCCACCATGCCAGTTCCGTTGCCCCCCGCTCTCCATGCATTCCCAAACCACTTCCAGCAGCAATCTCTGCTGATGATCCAGCCTTTCCACCTCTGCCTTGCTCATCTAAAGGAAGGATACGTCGAACTGGCCGAGCTTGCCGTCTAAAGAGTAGCCACGCTGCTCCTTTACGGTTCCCGATCTTTCCCAGGCGCTATATGAAGCATCCGTGTTGAATCCCCCTCGGGCACCCGGCACTGGGCTGGTTTCTCGCTAAGTTTCCAGAAGTCGCCGAGGGAGCTAATTTTGCCGGGTATTCTCGGACCAACCAACAATGGCGATAGGCTCGCGAGACCCCGAGCCCGCTACACAGCTGTGGCCATTGAATTCGTATTCAAAACTTGCTTCACAATTCACATGGCTTAGTCGGCTAGCTCTATTCGATTCGCTCGACCTCAGCCCATCTTGAAATTTGCTTTGGCTCTTTAGCGCCTCCCGAATTGCCATTGGAGCCATTTTGATGATCGAAGAACAAGTGGAGGCTAAAGGTGTGTTGTCGGGGGTAACAATAAGATGACCAAATGGTACCAGGTGGCAACACTGTCTGGAGTGGATCCTTAACCAGGCTGCGGTCGCCCAAATTGGCCATAAACGACTCCAGATGCTTCGTCGAGGTCATAAATATCACGTCAGTCATAGAATTGATAGGCTCCTTCCACTCAAACTGGCTGCCGACAATGATAAAAGGTATTTTGGGCGCGGCTTTGCTCCCCCTGACGTCTAGAGTCATCGCGCTGCGTTCCTTGGTCCTTTCCGATGATATGCACGATTCTTCTTTGCCACCACGACCGTATTGAGTGACAGCCTACTAGACCGCTCTGATCATCCTTGCAAGTAAGAGTGGGGCTGTTGGCTGAAAAAAGTCAACAGTGCCACCAGCTGAACCAGCATAGGGCATGCCCAAAGAGCCAATCGTCACCATTCGTTTGGATCAGCAGTCGCTGTTGGTCCTGTTCTCTGTCACAGGCCGTCAAACTCTATACCCTGCAATTCTTTCGTTGTAACACACACAATGGCATAATTCGATACAGTCACAGAAGTGAGCTCTCGTAACGTGTCTTGAAAACTAGATTCTGGGACGAGGAAAGGTGGTTGATAGCAAAAGGCCCAACAGGTTGATGTCGCTCCGCCCCGATACTTGCAGACCCGTGACACCACTTGGTGGCAGCACAGAAGTGGCCAGTGGAGGTAGGGATTGATTGGTCAAATGGGCAGCCGCAGCTGTCGATCAAGCCGCCAAGGTTCGTGTTGAAAAAGATCGTCGCTTGTGCACGTTGTCTCCAGCTTGGCGGGACACCCACTTCCCTGGACACCACTTTTGAGTAGATCCTGGTCCTTCCTTGGATGCACAGGCGGGATCATGATCCGTCGTTGGGGCCTTTTCGAACTAACCTCTCCTAGGCGATTCCAGCTCGAGGGACCCAACATCGGAAACCTGGAGAGTCCCACCGATCGGTGTACCTCTAATCAGTCAACAAACCATCTTGGTGGCCAAGTGTCGAAATGTCGGTATGGTCAACAGTAGAACAAATCCCACGTCCGGATCACTTTGAAGACCCCAATGCCCGGCATGATTACATCATCCTCGACATGGTGGCTGGGAGCTTAAGAGTCACACAGGATGTGTTGAAGGCTGCTGAAAAGTGTTTGAAGCGGGTAACCGGCACATCGCGAACAAAAAGATTTTCATGCAGGAGACAAATCACGTGGTGGTGGCCGCAGTCTTTCTTAAGAAGGCTGCATGATGGTGATTTCTGCAGTTATCCTAGCAATCTTCAGCAGGGATCGGCACTTATTCCCTGGATTAAGAGAATATAAGACATGGATGCGTGCCATGATCGCCCGAGCCGCTCACACATGTTCTCTTCCAATAAACCGCAACGGGAACTGCATGAACCGCAAAAAGAACTGCATCCACAAAATGAAGTTGTGTGCAAGGGATTGGGAGGGGTAGTCTCTCGCAAGCTCAACTTCTGCTGAACCAGGGCTGCTGTTCGCTTATGACTCGCAACGGATCTTCGTGGGGCTGAGAACTATGTGAACCAATAGCAGACGCTCCGCCTCTTCTGCCAAGCAACCCAGTACGGAGGCGGAGTCAAGCTTCGCACAAGACGTCAAGAGTCTTCTGGGTCGACAGTCACACCTGCGATACGGTTGCATATCCTTACTGTATCTGAACTGCTTATCGATCATTCGCCTTGGGCAACCGAGCAACCACAGCTTGAGATTCCTTGATAGAACCTGGTCCTTGCAAGTGCCGTCTTGAATGATGAGCTTCGCAGTATGAGCCCGTTGGAGTGACGGCTTGATAATCAATTGCTTGAACCATAAGCGGCAAAGCTCTTCGTGGGTCTTCTCCAAATCTCATCGCCAGCATCATCCACGTTATTTGAACACCAAGCTGTGGAGCCACAGGGTCACTCATAGCTGTCTTGGTCTTCGTATTGCCCCAACAGTCAGCTACAATCATCCGCAATGGATCAAGAGAGAACTATCGTAACAGCGGGTACTGAGTCCAGACCCATCCGATACTGGGGATCGGCACGCAGTGGGGGCCGAATTCCATTTGAAGTCAGTCTATGGGACTACAGAGGCAGGTGTTCGTGACTGGCTTTTTGGAGTCAGGGCTGGGGCCCGTTGCGAAACACCCCCGCGGCTAACCATGTGTACGGAGCGTCAGGGCTGCTCCATCGTATCTATGGGATGATATTGGAACTAGAGACAGAGTGGTCTGCCTCTTTTTCTTGGGAATGAGACGCAGAGCCCGGCTGGAAGGCACCGACACATAGGACACTACGGGAGTCACTTGCCACGAAGCCTTTGATTGGCACTCTCTGACACAATTAAGCAGTCACCCCCGGTCAAGTCCTTGCGTAGAGCTTAGCCCCGTTCAAGTACGGATGGGCCATACGTGAAGAGACTCATCTTGGCGGAACCGTGTGGCTTCTTCACCTTTATCAAAGGCTGCAAGAGTGAAGCGCGGCGTAGAAAACAATACTACCACGAGTTGTTGTCTCAGATTTGCACCGTGAGCACATAGTAAGTGGCAAAGTGACTGATCAACTTCACCGTCCAAGTTTCTGAATGGTAGATCTTGGTAGTCACCCTCACCTCCTGCCAGTAGACCTAAGGTGATGAGCAACCTTGTCTATACCGAAGCGATGATGCAGTCAGCTTATATCAATAGTGTAACATGCATGTGTGTGGGCGAAAACTCCCTCCTCACACCATCAAACCGGATCCAGAGTCGGCTTCCGACTGCGGACTCTGCACGAGACCAACCGATGAAGGGGAAGGCCGGCCTTCAGCTCATCTATAAAAGGCGGACAGATGCCCACCAAGCTGTTCAGCATCCAGCAGCCGTTCACTCCAGCTTAGGACGCCAAAGCAATCCACGAATCCACCTTTGCAGCCCCTCACTCCAGCAAACATGCACTTGACTGGTATTATTGCCTCCGTCCTCGCCGTCACGGCTGCAGCTGCGCCGAACGGCCTCGTCAAGAAGTCGGCCAATACCACTAGTACGTCGTAGCCACTTACTTGCCCACGTCCCCAAGAATCCTCATACTGACTCGCCAAGTGGTCAATGCCACCCATGAACAGCTTGCCTTCGCCATCCAACAGGCTGAGTGCGACGTATGGGGCTGCCTTGGTGTGGTTGGAGCCGCTGCTTGCATCGCTCCTAAGATCGTCGATGTCGACGTTCAGGGGGTCCTTGACTGCGTCTCTGGAAACAAGGAAAAGGTAAATAGGTTCTCTACCCCAGCTTATACGATGTCATACTAAATTGTAACAGCTTTGCGGCTGCGCTAGTTGCATCGCGCCTCTCGGAGACTTCCTTGTTAAGTACCACATTTGCGACGCTTGAGGGGCAGACATGCAGACCATTCCAGTACCTCTCGTTTTGTTGATCTTGTCGGTACCACTATCGTCACTCGTTTAACTTGATTACGGATGAGGTTCGGAAGGAAAGAACTGGGTTTGGATTCGTTCTACATTGGTCACAAAGCTGGTCTCGCAATCCTATCGTAGCAACGAATGCAGATTCTACAACCCCATGACTCTTTTCAAGTTACGTGAGCACAAACAGAACAGGGGAAAGTCGCTTCTTTCTCGAGACAACCCACTACACCAATAGACAGCCGTGGCGTGCTGGAGGAAATGGACTAGACGAGAGCGTTGACAGTCAAGCTCAAAACACTTCCGAGGACTTTGGACTCGCAGAGCACAGTGCATGCCGGATACACGCTCCATAGAGTCGGAAGCAGCGGGATGAAGTCAACGGTCCAGGGTTGGAAGAGGTGTTCATAGAGAAGCAGGTGTTGCAGAGTTGAAATACGGGGTGGTATTTGAAGGCCGCAGTCTCCAGTCACTATTATACTCATAATCATATCGAAGTCGGCCTGGGTCTTCGTCGCGATCCTGGCCATTAGACCGGCGCGGCGTGGGTGCTCCTGGACCCGTCGCGCCCGAAGAGCAGGCACCGCGCAGTTGTAGCCCCAGTCGGTGCCTGCGCCACCTTGGCGTCGCCGGCCACGCAGACCACGCGGCAAGGCTGCTCCCCAGTGTGGGCGGCTGGTGCAGGAAAGCTTCCGGGCATAGTTGGCGGCCCTGCCCGGCGACGGCGCGGCTCTGGAGGTGTGGGGGACGCGACGATCTGTCCTTGGGACGGGCCTTTTTGCTACTCGCGGCTTCATGTTGACTGCCATGGACCGGCACGCACCAGCCAGGAACATCTCATCCAGGCACTACTGCTGCGCTGAGCAGTGTCAACACCGTCACCAAGCCCGCGGAGCTATGGAATGGGCCTACGGCTGCCATTAGCTATCAAGTGCATTTCTGCCGTGGTGCTGTGCGGCGCGGTGGGACAGGCCTGCATCCTCAATTCGTGCAGCATGTCGCTCCCCTTGCCCGGCTGCTCCGTTCTGAACCGATGGTAGGACCCGCTCGTGCAGGGGCGATGCAGTGTATCCCCCAGGGCATATTCTCAACCGTCGGCATCGGTGGGCACAGGCACACGGCCACACGCTGATCGGCGGCTTCGGGCCCGCCACACGACGATCCAGACTGACGCTAGACGACGTCCTGGGCGAAGTGGAAGTCGTGCTCGCCAACGCCACCGTGACGCGCGCCTTGCCCTCACTCCACTCGGACCTCTTCTGGGCGATGCGCGGCGACGGGTATAGTATGTATCCAGGCTACCCGGATAGTCGTCTTAAGAAGCCGCAGCGGAGGTGCTGGGGGCTAATCCGCCGGGTTTGGAGAGGTTGAAGACGATGTTACTGCACATGGGGTCAAGACGGTGCGGGGGTCGAGCTCTGTTCGACGGGTATGTATGTACATGTTTTCTTGGTGGTTCAGGGATGTCCGAGTTCCTGAGTCGCGTGGTTCGTGACCATGCGTAAAAACGCGAATATGTCAGTAGGTAGTCCTTTGGTTAGTGACGTCAGAGACAGAAAAAACAATTGGTGAAGAAACACAGAGGAGCCATGATTTCGAGGGTGGTACGTTATCACTTCCCTATCTAATCCGCTACAGCACGCGTAGCTGCAGATCTTTGCCTTTGTTGCTTTCAGCTGTGAAAGCTAAGACTTACCTCTACTTGGAAAGGAACGAAGGGAGAGCTGACGTAGCCGCAATTTAGTCCAGCGCGTATATAAACATCCCGTCTGAACCACTTCTCTACGCCATCATCCGCATTCCCTTCAGAAATCTCCAACTTCTCCTTCTCCCGCTTCAACTCGTCTCTACCACAGCTGTCGCCAAGCCTGCCGAAGAGTGGGTTTCGTTTGAAATCATCAACAGCACCCCTGATACCACTATTACCGTGAAGAATGCCATAGTCACGACGTAGGTCTCTGTACTTGTCAGTCTCTGAGACGGATGCTGATACATTAGCTACTAGGGGACAATTCTACAGCAGCGGCAACCAGAGTGAAGAAGTCTCTGCCGACGACATTAGCTCAATGACCATCTCGGCTAATTCCACGGGCCATGTAAATGCTTGTGGTCTGGATGGTCAGATGGATGGCACCGAAGGCCAGTTCGACCTGTACGCAGGCAACACCAAACTCCGTACTGTTTCTTGGAATAACGGTCCTGGGGGCAAGCATAACAACGTCGAGGCCAGCCACGAGACGCAACAAGAGTTTTTCTGTGATGTCATGGAACCTGACGGGCAATGGAGTGCTCTCGGAAACGTCCAGATCGAAATTGAGAAGCGCGGGAGAAAGTAGCTCGAGAAGCGAACCGTTGTACACAGAAAGTCCCTGTTTCATGTATAATAATACAAATGCACCTTTTGCTGTTATTGTTCTTCCTTTTCGATTTTCGAGCCCTGCAATTATGGCTGACATGCAGTTCCGTGTAGCTCGGTATACCGGACCCCCGGATATTTGCGGTCAGTCGAAGGACGCATAGGCTGGCTAAAATCCCATACCTTTCAGCTAGCTCATGCAAATTACCACATCAATACGTCACGACTAATGATAGTGGGCTAGCGTCCGCCATAAGGGGATTCGCTTACCTACGTCACTATGGCTCCACGTGGCGCATCTTGCGCTGCGGTTCGATCCGTCGATCTCAAAGTAAGCGCCACGGAGAGATTTTATAGGGACTTTATGTTTACTACTATTATTCTGTACTTACCATTCACCCAATCATCAAGCTGTCTTCCGATGAAATGCTGAGCGCCATCCGCCAGCTTACGCCCGAGGGTCATCTGTCAGCAGGCGAATTCGTGGCCGGCGAGGCGGCGGCGAAATTGGCGCCGACAACGCCTTCTGGGTGGACCGCGACAGCACGCACGGCTTCGTTAGCAGCGCAGACTTCACTCCTCGGATCTAGACTGTCCAGCCTCTCGATGTCTCGGGCGGCTGGCGCCTCGAGGCCGTCATCGACCACTCCATCATCGAGTCTTCCTCGACGGCGTCACTGCCTCGGCTACCACCGTCGTTTCTCTGACGAGCCCGTTCACGAAGCTAGAGACCTTCACGACGCATTTGCCCGAGGGCGCGGCCGTGTTAATGAAGGTGTGGGGACTGGACAGCGTGCGGGAGAGATAGCGTGAAGGAAATGCAAGCCAGAAAGAGGGGAGTCACGACTGCATTTAAATGTGTGATTGGCCATACCTATAGGAACCGACCGTCCTAGGCAGTCGAAAGGGCGCTGAATACTGGTATATATGCAAAGACGTGCCACCTTCGGCACCGTCGGCTAGCAAGACGGCTCCGATGGCTCGTGCGACAGCTTTGTCGACACCCGCGCCGACCTGCCCGTGCCCGACTTCTGGGACTCGGAGATGGCCGTCGATGCGCTGCTGCCGGCACACGGCCTGGTAAGCTTGCCATGGGAGGATTAGAGCAGGGCGGCGTGGTCCGACGCCGAGGACGGGGGCGAAAGGAATCCCTTGTGGCCGGTGCTACACTTCTTGGGTGGCCGACCTTAACGAGCATCACATACAGGAACCTTAGTACCACTACAACCGACGTGTATCGAACTCAAGATATGGCGGATAGGATTCACTAACGGCATGGGGATGAGCAGCTGACAAGTAGTAGTCATAGCCCGGGCTAGGTAGATCAAAGTCCGAACAGACTAAAAAAAACTAGATAGGAGGCACAATAGATCTACCAAACGCAAGGGACGGGTTGTCACTTACGTACCAGCTTCCGCTCAAGTGCTGTACTACGTTCCGCTTGTTCCTTGGACCAAAACATGGTACCTGTTTCAAGAGACAGCGCAACCTTCACACAGGCATTATTGCCACCTTCGAAAGGTAGCACGGATGGAATGCGAGCTGAAACTGGACCAAATTGTTTCATCTCGCAGCTGAGCTTCAACTTCATCTGAGACACGCGCAACTGTTGGTTCAATGAACTGCAACCTACTTACAAATTTGTGTCAGCGAGCAGTGTGAGATGTATTGCTACCTGTATTGCATACTATGGAGGTTGCTTTTTAGTCTGCATATCCAGCGATCTTAACCTTCTCAGCTGTCAATGGCGCCAGCATGGCGCAATCTTTCAATATACACAAAGATCTTGCACGGCCGTCCTCGCCGTTGTGTTCCCTAATAGACGGTAGGCCGTCGGCAGATGGCGTTAAAGGATGAGACAGCCACACACACAGTCGACGCCACTGCTTCAAGCCTATAGCCTATCGATCAGGGCCTCAGTACGCTCTCTCCAAAGTTCATGAACGAATATAAAAAACAGCCATCCCGCCCTGTTCTTCCCAACAACACCCCATGCCAATCTCTCCACCTTTCACCATGCGCTTTCCAACCCTGCTCGTCGCCTTCCCCTTCCTCGGCCTCGCGGTCGCAGACACGCTCCAAGTCCGTGTCTGGCCCGACGGCCAAAAGACGTGCTCCGGCGCGTCTAGGCAGACCATCACCGTCGGTACCGTCGGCCACTGCTACGACACAGCCGAACAGTTCAACTCGCTGAAGACGCAAAACGTCGCGTCTAGCTTCTTCAACCGCGGCCTGCACGTCTATGTCTACCAGAACAAAGGGTGCTCCGGCAACGTCGGCGGGCCTATCGACCTTACGAATGACGATGTTTGTCGAAGGTGGGAGGGGAGGAGCTTCAAGGTTGATACGAAAGCTTAGGGAGGCGGGTTGGGCTGGGGTAGGAAGTTGGTGTGAGGGATGCGGCTATCTGTGTGGGATGGATAAAGATGGGGTGCGTGGCAAGCTGAGCGCTGCGCCGTTCTGTCGTTTCCTATGACTGTGTGCTGGCCCGGGCCTACTTTTACGCAACCCTTCACACGTGCAGAAAGCAGAACTCAAACTCTTAAAATAATCTTATTCCTATTTAATACGTGCTAAGACATATCTATCGGTAGGCATCTTTTACTAAGCTTTAAAAGTCGTTACTACGTATCCCTTACATCGAGTATAAGCCTTTATGGGGACTATTATAGCGGCAGCAGGCTGACAGTAAAGCACATGCAAAGAATGTTAATTCTTCGAGGTAATAAATTCCAAACTAATAACAGTTTTCCTAAGCCTTGTGCACGCTTGATCATTCAGCTGGCTCATCCCTTACCTGACGTATGAAGTCATTTATAGTACAAACCCCCACTTTGCCTCGCTCTTACATCGCGTGCGACATTTTCTTGCAAGGCAGCAGTGTTACTTTATAATGTTCTTACAAGGCAACAGTCGTCCTTCATTCTATCCTGGCAAGGCAACAGTGTTGCTCCATAGCGGCCCCCATAGCTGACCACTTGGAATGCAAGGTCTAACGTAGTTTGCCATCTCTGGATCAAAGAAGCGCGGTCGAAACGCCTATATAAGATAGTTTCTTTAGGATGGAAAAGGCATCATCCACTCCTCGTCAGGTACCAACATCGCTGAAATTCTCTACAAACTCACGCGTCTTCGCATCCAGGGGCGAGCACAACCCAAAAACTTTGATCATGAAGCTTTTCTCGCAATTTCTTACCCTCGCTGCAGCATTGCTAGTTACTGGTTCGTGTAGCGCTCCACATCCAGCATACAATGTTGACTTTTCGAAACAGGTGACCAATCGCAGAGCACTAGGACGAGTAGCGCAGAGTACCCAATTGCACCGAGCCCTTACCCAGCTGTATGGGATTTGTCCTCGTCGGTTCCCAGGAAAAGCCCATTGCACACCTCGTCTCTAGTGACCCCATCAAGCTTCGGTCACAGGAATCACTTGGCGACTAAGACTCCTACCCTCAAAAAAGTGGCAAGTATAGACCCCGTAGACTCGACTGTCACTATTTCACTGGACGCTCCTTCGATTCCGTGGTTTCCAACCGACGTCTCCACGGAATTATTTCTTTCACTGAGCAGATGCGACCTAGTACGAGACGGTTACAATACGTACACGACTTCTTCAGTTTCCTGGACATCATGGCTGACAAGCACGACTCGAGCTACCAATGACACGCCGGTGATCACGCTCTGCGATGGAATCCCTCGCGGCGGCCTTTTGACCGAACATGGCTGGGAAAGCTCAGAGACCACGTTTGTTGTCACCAAATCATCTTACAATTGCAATGCCACTGTGGCTCCATCATGCTCGCTCAACTCCAAAGACTGTACCAAGCTCTGGTCTCTATGGAGTCGGAAATCGAGCTGGTCTAGGACGCAGACGGCGACAGATGATGTCAACTTCCACGCAGATCCCGACTACTGGCAACCCAGCTGTGCGAGACCCGACACTTGCGCTGAGGCGTGCTTCATCTGGGGGACTGATTATGTGGACCTGTACTATTGGCCTGAGTCGTGGTCAACGGACGTAATCTGCAGCGGCTCCAACGGTACTCGCTCCGATCCCACTGAACGGCGGTCAACGGCAGTCCAAGTAACTACAACGGTCGGCACCTTCACCATGACGTCACCGACTGCGTACCTCTACTTCTCCACCATGTACGCACGCGACTCGAACGCTTCGGATGCGCAGACATGTGGACACGACATGTCCTCGGTCTGGGTACCTGTCCCCCCAGGCGAGCTTTCTAGCCTTCCACACGACCGCTTATCCGGCCAAGCCCAGTCCTTCAACTTTGCACATCTAGCCAAATCAACCGTCTCTGGTTACGAGATCCCGTTGGTTCCTAGCAGCGCGTACTGGTGGCCTAATTCGTGCTCTGGGGATAGTAATGGCTCCTGCGCGCCCGCGACGATCCGCGACGATTACAAGCCAAATCTACTATACCAGACCTCGCTGCAGAATTTGCAACCAAACTGGGGCTCTTGCAAACCAGTATGGCAGATGCGCGGATTCTGTGGCATGCGGGATCCGCCTGTCGTGCTGAAGACTGCCGACCATCTTGTCCGCCGCTCACTTACAACCACAACGAAGGCCGTTAGCTACCCAAGCACATTTCCTAACACAAGCACGATTGCTCAACCACTACAAATCGCGTCGAATCTCTTACCTACAAACAAAGGAAAGAACTGTTGCAATGCGTGATGGAGGCGGAGAGTGTTGTCTGCATTCAATAAGTGGCTTAAGGACTGAGAGGGTGGCTCACCGGCGGCGCATTTATAAGCAGGAGGGTAAGCCACAAATGACGGGCCGCAGGTGTAGCATTACTCTAGACAATCTCTACTTCTTTCTCATCTTTGGAACCCAGAAACATGAAACTGGAAAGCGGATCCCGGTAAGATCGCTCCTCGGTATAGATGCCCACTCTGCGATATTGAGTTCTCTTCGCACCAGTGGGCTGCACAACGAGGCCAACATCCCGAACAGTAACAGGTTGATCGTATGGCTTGTAGCGGATGCGTTGAATCAAGACGCACATGAGGTCGTCTGTCGGCTTGGTAACGGGAAGATCTGGCTGGAAAACACAGTTGAACCTTCCTCGTTGGACGACGTTGTTGAAGTGCTTTGCGAAGCTGTGCGTCTGTAAATTTTCACGCTTGTATGGCGCGTAATGTTTGGGACGCTCGGCTTCGGAGATTGGTCTGTCGGGCTGGAGGTCGAAGCCGCAGAGACCAAATCTGGCCTGGTATGGGGTCGCGCGGCACTTTGAAAGATGACCTCGAATTCGTACTGCCGGCGGCGTGGAATGCTGCGACACAAGCGTGTCAAGCCCAATGAACATTGTTGGCGGGGGAGACGCCGTAACCGTCGCCACATATAGCTTCTCAACATCACCAATCGGTCTTCCAGTTTTGGGCCCTGGCTCATGGATGAACGAGATGTTGGCGTTTGTGCTTGCCCATGACCAGCTGGGGATTCCAGTCAAAGAGACAGCGACCCAGTTGCGGTTCTCAGTCGGCTCTTCTTTCCAGTCCTTCTGCTCTGGTTGCTGTGGTTCGACCTCCCAAAGCAGGTCATCCAGAATAAATGGGAGCCAGAGCCCGAATGACGCTTCAATGGCCAGTTTCTGCTGAGCTATGGACGCGAGTCCGGCGATTGCTGCGAGCTTGTCTTGAGCAAAGCTGAGATTGGTCCGGGAGTAGGCTTCGATCACGCTGACCCACAAGCGTTGAAACTGCTTTATCGCATCCGCCGAGTGCGGTTTCGTCTCCAGTGAGCGAATCCTGATATAGTTATGCTTGACCGGGGTGTAGTTGAGCCAAGGCGGGAAGTGTGGCTTCTGAAAATCGGGTTCATAAGCGCAAATGACGCCTTTTCTGCACTCCCAGTGGATCTCATCCTTGCCAAAAAACAAGGTGCGAGGAGACAGCATGCGCTCCTGATAGACCCAGCCACGGGAATCCAGCGGGCAATAGCCCGGGATGTTGTCAAAAGCCGTGCAGGACACCCGCGCCTTGAGCAATACAGTGTACTTGAGCAATACAGTGTACTTGCTGTCCTGTGAAACGAGGCAGTCGCTCCGCTGTAATGGCGAAACACTGCGGAAACAGCCTCCTTCACTGTTGTTGGAGAACGCGGCTGCCACGGTAAATGCCGAATCAGCGTAGACAGCCTCCATCCGCGGTGCTTCGGTGCTGAAATCACCATCAGCGCCCTGAATGATGCAAAGCGCGTCGATCCAGAGGTACCGCACGGCGAGATTCCGGCATACAGTCACGGCATCCTTCATCGTTTGAGGAAGCGTGCTCCATGGAATGCGAACACGGAAATCGTTGATGTTCGTTGTTCGCAGCGTGACGGGGTTGACTCCACCCCAGCAGTAGCTCAGCGTGACGTACTGGCTGGTACCAGTATCGGTTCCATTGACCAATTTGATGTCCGCTGACTTCCTGAACGCGTCGAGATCTAAGAGGCGAGTTGGTCTTCCGCTCTTGTTACTCTGGGCCATTTTGCAATCGTCATGGCCTGATTGGCACGTCTGCAACCATTTCTTGATTGTTGCGTATGCCGGGCGGGCTCCAGTCATCAGTGCCATTGCAAGCTCGTTCTCCTCCTGGTAGACATCTTTCTTCTCGATGATGCTTGCGCATCTCAGCTTGCTTGATGTCGCAGTCCTCTGGTGGCGGTGCAACGAAATGGGGTATGTGTCCCAAGCGGACTTGCCCAACGTTAAATCGAGTTGCATGCACTCGGGACTCCGCTCTTCCTGACCCTGCCTCACAACTGCGCGCAACGGCTGAGGGTCGTTTTTCCAATCTTCTCGCGTTCGGTCCGATATGTTGTCGACGAACATGGAGCAAAGGTGGCAGCCTTTGCGCGCCGACTCGGAAAGAGCATTGATGTCTGGCCAATGCTTGCACTCGAACCGGGACGAGTCGTCGAAAATCGTCTGAGCTTTTTGAAGAAGCTCATTGCAGCGCTGACAGAACTGATTTGGCTTTGCCGATCGGCCTCCGCGAGTAGCCATTCTGTAATGAAACGGGGCGTGCTTGGGCAAGAAAATAATGTGATGTGTTGAATTGGGACAAAGACTCAAGATATTCAAGATATTGCAGACAGCTTCTCAACGAGGAGAGCTTCTGTCAGAGCTTTGCATTATATCTTCGAAGCCCTAAGCGCCGGCTGGGAAAATGTTTGCCGGTGGCTGCGGCACAGCAGAACACAGCCCCTCGCTCGGCCCACTCAACTCTCAAGCGGCTACGATTCGGACCGTGACGGCCATTCCGAGCCTATTGATTTTCGAGGCTGGCGGTAAGGTAAGCGCCCGGCTATCACAATCAACGAGGAGAGTATCTGATTGATCGCCAATATGCCTGGTCATCAGCAGGAATGCATCCTGAGACCTCCACGGAACCATCTTCAGCCATCTGCATCGATGCCCTGCAAATGACCAAGCTCATTGCGGCAGTTCACTAACATATGGGAGTACGGACCAACAGCCGACTAAAGTTGCTACGACGTGTGCTTGCGTCTTGTTCAAGAGAGGGAAAAGCAGGGTTCTGACGAACCAACATTGCGGCACAGCTGCAAGCCTAAGATCTGCACAAAGCTCCGAATCTGACTTCGATCGGCTCCATCGAGGAAGCCATACTGTGAGACTTTTCGAAGCTCATGACTCGTGAGACTACGGACCACTGGTCAACCAACATGAAAGGCAAATCTCAACATTATCCCATCTTCGCACCTCGTCAAGCGCCTCTAGTCTGATTGTCGACCCAGAAATATTTCACGCGGCATCCGAGCCTCTGCCCCGTAATACTGCTCAAGTGCCGTAGCCGCGGGCATCACCTGTGTGGAGTCTGTGCCAATCCTGGCATCGACCTCATGCTGGACCCTTCCCTGCGTATGATCGAAGACACATCCGACATAACTGCTTTCGATCCATACATCCATGACTGCTCCATATTTCTCGATTGTCCCAACATCTGCTACAAGAACCAAAATGGCAGGGACAGTGAAGGTGTTCTTCAGGTACCGGTGCAGCAATAGGCAGTGGTCCCACCACTGAAATGCATCGCGGATCCGCAGCTCGACCGACGGGTGATGGCTGTGTAGCCGCAGCCACTCCGTGTCCTCCACGGTGAGCGTGCGATACCACCAGGATCCGCAGACCTGGCCACTTGGGGTCAAGCTCAGGAGCTCCTCGTCACGGTCCGCTATCAAGGCCAACTCGCTGTGAAGAAAGTTTGACGGGCACCACGAAAATCCACCGGCTTCGGCCAGCGTCACATGGCCGTGAAGTAGAAAAGACCGGGGAATTTCGACATAGCTCTTGACAACCTTAAGCGTCGTCTCCTTCTGTGAATCACTGTAGTCCATATCCTCAGCGCGGGCGAGTAGTCCGGCTATAGCGAGGCGGTCTCGTGGCCAGGATGTAGCGCGCGTGTTGAGAATTTTGAGTAGATCAGCTAGCGTTGGTTTCTGTCCGCGTAGCCGCCAGAGGAGTGCCGACGCGACGTAGTGCCCGCGGCTGGAGAAGCCGGTTGTGTGGGCGAGCACGTCATGATCGAGGTCTTTGATCACCTGCTTGTTATGATCGTGTGGGTCGCGGAAGAGGACCTTGACCGATGTTGATATGGAGAGCTCGAGCGCAGTCCAGCCGCGGGTAAACCAGGGCGAAAGAACGATTGCCAAGGCGGGGCTGCCATCATCGGACCAGTCCATCTGAAGCAGATACTCGTCGTGGATGACTGTGTGTTGTGCGTTGGCGTAATATGAATTCATTCTGCCAATAGCTCTTCTCCGGGCCTCACGATCGGATGGAATGCAGATAGTGTCCCACCAGATGCCATTGCAGTCCAATTCTTCGGCAAGGTGAATGAAGTAGGAAAGCAAACACCTGTTGACTTTACCGACCTGTTGCACGCCAACTCCAGTGCCATCGGACCACACGTGGGAGATGGCGATGTATTTCTCGGGGGATGGCGAAAGCGAGATCTGTTTCACTTCCTGTTCCGCTGCGGTTGAAGCTGCCTTTGCTGACTTTCCGGTGCGAGATGCCTCGATCCTCCATGCCGTTGACATGTCATTCATGGCTGCATTGTTGAGCTCATGAAGAGGGAACGGCACTAGCTGGCAACGTTCGCTTTCTGTACACTTGTGTAGCTGCTTCTTGAGTGTAGTGTTCTCGTCGGCAAGCTGGCAATAGTCGCTCGTGCACTGACTGTGGCCTTCCTGGGAGAATTGCGCCGGGACTGGGCTCCTCTCAACCACCTCAATGAGGGCTGGGAACTCTTCTTCTCCTCTTTCAGCGCTGGGTGCGAGGCTCCACAGGCGCTTTTGACACACGCTCAGCTGTCTCGCCTTTTGCACCGCTGCCTTTACGGCCGGCACGGTAACTCTCTTTGGGATCCGAGAGTCCACCCAGCCGCCGTAGCCGGAGTTGACGTACGGATCTTCCTTGGAACGGAAATATCTTCTGCCTTCAATGTGAACGCCCCAGAAGTAGATGACTTCGCATGTCTGAAATAGAATGTCCGAGTCGCCCGTAAAACTTCTCCGACACTTTTCCTCAACAAGATGCTGGAAGGACGAAGCTGAAAAGTTGGCGAGCCATTGGAAACCAGCTTTCTCCGCACCAAACGGGCAAGATGCTGCAACGAGAACCCAGTCACGGAAGCTGGGCCACCGGTCGCACTTGGGAATGACGCGGTCGAGGCGTTTCCACTCTTCCGTGCAAAACCTCCACTTGCAAGGTCTGAGACGGGCCAGCTTGCACTTGTGTTGCACAAGCTCCGGAAGGTCTGTGGTTCCGTCACGGAGATGGAAGGATTCGGCAGCGATCCATGCGGCATTTCCGGGATGCTCGGTGATCACGTTCTCCTGACTGTCGGTCGTGTCAGTCTTTTCTGTGGATAGCATGTCGGCTTCTGTAGATTTGAAGAATCCAGATCATACAGTCTCATCACATACAATCTTGGTGTTCTCTTTTGATAAGGCTCGAGGCCAAAGGCGTACATGTGAATGTTTGAGCACAGCTGCGGTCGATCTTCTGAATGTGTGGGCTCAGCTTCGAACAATAACGAATCGTCCGCACGAAATTCTGGGACATCGCCAGGCTGAGCCGGTGGGCTTGGTTTCTGCAGCCGGGCCCGTGCGACGATCCCTGCATTGTAAGTTTCCAGAGCACCCTTTTCCTCCGTCGTGAGGACTTCAGTATTGTTCAAGAGATCTGCATTGATCTCAGGTGCAGCCGTGCAAGGCTTTGAACGCTCCAGCAATCGGTTGTCCATCTCTGTTGCTTCTCCCGGCGAAGAGTTGAGGGTAGGGCTGATGAAAGGAAAGCCCCGCAGCTCGATTCAAGTAATCGAAGGCTGACTCATTCATTTAAGCGAGACCTGTCATGTCGTGGCCGCAGAGCCGGAGAGTATGGTGGGAACACTCGCCCGCTTATATTTGATTATTCCTCGTGCAAGAAAAGCAGAAACCTCCATCGTAGCCTTTAGCTCTCCACTCTGATTCTATTGTGGCTCTGGTGGACGCCAATACTGTTCGTCCAATCCAGGGATTCCAGTTGATCATGGAAGAACATAGCCGCCGTCGATCAAGACATCACTCCCCGTCATATACGAGGAAGCATCACTGGCCAAGTACAGATACAATCCCTTGATCTCCTTGGTGTGTCCCTGTCTTCCAAGCGGCGTCATGCGGTACGCCTCATTGACGACACTCGGAGCTGCACCCATTTTCGTGTCGAAGAATCCCGGGGAAACGATATTGACCCTGGCGAAGTCCTTCCATTCATGGGCCAAGGACTTTCCAAACTGGGTGACGAATGCCTTTGTGCCGTTGTACACGGGTTGGTCTACTGGCACATTGACGATGCGGGCGCTCATGCTGGAGGTGATGATGAGGTTCCCTTTTCCCTGGCGCTTGAAGACCTCGCCAACATATTTGGCGCAATACACCACGCCGTTGACTGGAAGAACATGTCAGTGGATATTGACGGAAGAGGACTGCAATGTACATACCGTTGACGGACATCTGTTTGTCGTACTCATCGAGAGTCTGCTCTAGAATGGGTTTCGAGATGGCCATTCCTAAAATCATTTCGAGTCGGCATGTCGGGTTCTGGTGAAGGGAGAGCTACTGTATTGCTGAGATCGTGACTGACCGGCGTTGGCGACAAAGACATCTATTTGTCCAAAGTCCTTGACAACTTGGGCGATGGCCTGTTGCACTTTCTCCGGGTCGGAAACTGGACACAAGGCGTCAGAAAGGTGAGGCTTGAGAGCAATTGCTCGAACGGCATACCCTCCACCTTGTAAGCTCGTGTCTTCACACCGTGGGTTTGAGCCAGCGCCTCCGCATTTGCAATTGCTGCGTTGTTGCTTGAATACGCCAAAGGATTAGTGAAGACCAAAAACCACCATTACGGCCAAACACGTACGAATTGTACCACAGCGCAACGTTTCCGTGAGCCTCGGCCATGGCCGTTGCTACAGCAAGACCGATGCCATCCGCAGCCCCGTTGACGACAATGACCTTGCCACGCAGCTGAAGCTGCTCCAAGACATTGCTGGGCGTATCTGGGAAAGGGCGAGGGAACCCCTCTCGTACCCTTCCGGCCTCTTCCAAGGACATGGACATTTTGGAGTTTGCCTGTATCAAGCGTTGGGGCGAAGGGGGAGAGATGGACAACAAAAGATACGGAGTGTAGTCTAGCAAAACGAAGGCTAGCTCTCGCGTCGAGTGCAAATTGGATTATTATATGAGTGGCGCAAACAAATGCGGAGTGGGACAGACAGAAGACGATGACAACATCAGTCGGTCCACAAAAGCCCGGTCTCCACTCAAGCCGTCCGAGGCAGGACGCTCATTGGTTGATCGGCCCACAGATGTCCGGCGATAAGAAAAGCGAGCCGCCACTCGGGCTGTTGCAGTCCGACGCCCAGCTTACATAGGTATATACCTTGATGTCTTTGCTCTGTCCAGGAATGAGCTGCGGCTACCCTGTTTTCATAAGTGCAGCCTGCACCACCTGCTGCATCCGATGCTGATCAGGGGCCGCCGTCCTTTACGCGCCTCATCGGGCCGGAACCGAGGCCGGGCATCGTCACCATTGACCCAACTGCATTTGGCCTGATCGCGTAAGGCAAAAATCAATTTTACTGCCATGAGTTCTACGAGGAAAATGGGTGAGTCCCCTGTGAACGGATAAGACGTATATCACACCTCTAAATATTCCATGGACGCAAACTCATCGGAGAAATGACGTCCACTTGGTAGCCTCTCACACCCTGCCCCACACCTCCTTCAAGAAGCCACGCAGGATCTGCTGAACCCTCTCGTCCGCATCCGGCATGACCTGCGTAGCAAACAGAGCCGCGACCCCGTCGCCGCCCTTCGCCTCTCTGTTCAAAAACCACAGCAAATTTCCCGAGCCCGCCCAAGAAATCGTGTTCCTGACCCTCCCCAGCTCGGCATGGTCACTGCACAGTAGCATCCCCGCAAGCCCCATGTTGATCTCCACCCTCTCATCGACAAGCCCGCCGACCATGAGTCCAAAGGACGGCGCCTTCTCTTCGACGGCTCGGAACGCCGCACTCCCCGGCCGGAGCTGGGGAGCGAACAGCATGTCGACGGTATCTTTCCTGAGCACCTTCGGCCGAGGCTGGAGGAGATCGTGCAGGACCGCCGTGTAGTCTCTGACGGTGGAGTACACGCCGCGGCCGCCCATGCAGTCGACGGGGGGGTCGGCGTGCCAGGGCTCGGCGGGGACGAAGTTCTCGCGGGGGAAGTCGGGGCTGCGTTGGGCGGTTTGTACGAGGCGGGCGCGCAGGTCCGGGCGGCGCGCGAGGAGGAAGGTGGAGGATTTCATCTCCAAGGGGGCGAAGATGTTGGCGACGAAGTAGTCTTCGAGGACGCCGTGGGTTGGCGAAGCTTCCTTCTGCTGCTGCTGCTTGAGGGTCAATCGCTCGACCAGCTTGCCGGTCCAGTCGGTGCCTCCGCCGTATGCCCAGCCTTCGCCCGGTTCGAACAGAAGTGGTAGTGAGAAGCTCTTGACGACGTCGGCTGTGTAGTAGAGCGGTTCCTCACCGCGGCTCTTGCGCCACCGGGCGTGGATCGGGAATGCTCTGTCGCTCCCCACGCCCGCTGTGTGGGTGAGCAGCTGGCGTAGGGTTATGGCTACCTTTCTCTCGCGGTAGGAGAACTGGCCCTCCTCTGGTCCTTCGGATATGATGGGCTGAGAGCAGAGCTCCGGCAGATGCTGGTCCAGCGGCTCGTCGAGGGTGATGAGGCCACGCTCGACGCACTGCAAGGCCGCAATCGAGGTGAGTAGCTTTGTGCAGGACGCGATGAGGAAGACGCTGTCGAGAGTGACTGGGTCTGAAGCACCCTCGAACGAGGCCACGCCGGATGCTTTGGCGAAGATGGTGTTCCCTGAGCGAAGCGTGAGTCTCCAGCACCGACGACATGAAGTGGAATGTTGTGCTGACCTTTGCCATCAATGGCCTGCATTGCAGCCCCATGCAAGGCACGTGTATCTTTTCCGCCATTGCCCAGGCTAGTGGCATCTTCAAGAACACGTTCAAAATCTCCCATCTTGTCCGGTAAGTGATGCGAAGCGTTTCGTCAGAAATGTCAGGCCAAAGTTCACGATACTGTCAAGCAATGGATTATGTACACCTGAAAACATTCGATTTATAACCACCACCGTCCGTCCGGACTTATATCTCAATGAAGTAACTGCGGTCACTGAGTCACCGCATGACGTGAGATTTGATTTGCAAGCAGCCAACGGATAAAAGTGGGATAAGCATCCACTCGTCGGTGAAACCTGGGGCCGGTTGGGGGCTCGCCGGGTAGAATATGGGTGGGGCGGTGATGCGTGGTGAAGTCACTTGTCGTCCACGGTCCAACACTTTCAGCTCGCGATAGTCATGCCCAAACAGCTCGTTGATGACTTGGTAAAACAGGCGCCAAAGCTTCAGCTAAGTATGCCAACTTTTTCCGTCCCCAAGAAAAGGCCCTCGTGGCTCCGAAACTCTTCTCAAACTGTAACTTTTAGTCCCAGCTCCAATGATTCAATCTTTTGTTAGCCCTGGTAGTTTTGACCCAATCTCATGTATCATCGGTGTCCCCAGTCTCGGGCACAAGAAACATCAATCCGGTGGCTACAATATTCGCACCGATAGAGAGGACTGCCTTTAGATTAGCAACACATTCCAGACCCATAAAGTCAGAACAACTCACGCGGAATGGACTTGAAGGCGGAGAGGTATTCTCGTCGCACCACAGCTCTCGTGCTCTCTGGAAGCCACTGGTAGAACCTTGAATCCTTAATGATGTCCTCAATCATCTATGCATCGGCGCGATATCGTCTGTCAGCATTCTTTGCCCATCGCGAACCTTCCCCCTCCAGTTCATAGAGTACGTGGACTTACCGCATCCCTATCTAAGTTTTCCTCCTGCGGCAACGCCGCGCGGAGACCGCGTCGAAACAAGTTCCTCAGCAGCTTCGTTGACAAGTTGGTGCCGAGGATACTGCCGAGTTGCTGGGAAAGATAGTACGCCGTGATGCCCTCGGCTGCGTAGCGTTTTGGTGTGAACATGGACATGCCGACAAACTGGGCCGATAGGGTCCAGCCGAAGCAAACGCCGACGATGAAGATGTATGAAAGCTCCAGGGGACTCTGCAGACCGTCACTCCAGCGGATGGCAATGACGGAGTAGCTGGCAATGGCCACGAGAGTGCAGATTAAGCTGGGGAGTCTGTAGCGATAGAACCTGCAGGGGGGCAGTTGGAGCAAAAGTCCAAAGAATTAGAGTGCTGGAGTCTCCAATGGGGCCTTGCTGAGGGTAACGCTACCTTGTGAAAACGATACCAGAGGCCAAACCTCCACTGGCAGCTCCGACACTGGAAGGCACCATGTACAATGCTGCCATTGTGTTGCTGGCGCCTAGTGTGTAGATGTAGAATGGAGTCAGGTTTGTTATAGTCTGTCTCGGCGTCAGTCGGAGTTGGGGAGCGTGTGAACGGTCATCTTTTTACCGCAAGCCTTCCCAGGAATACAAAAATTTGGATGGTGCAGAAGCCACCACCGCTCGTTGGCATCAGCAGCGACAGGGGAGTGAGGGGGTTCGTTGCCCAGAACTTTTCGACGAGTACGAAGGTGATGGAAAAGGAGACGAATATCGCAGCTAAGCCGATCATAGCTGGATGCGTCCAGGCCAACCGATCACCGCCCAGGTCTATGAAGATAACGAAGGCCGACACAGCAACGATGAAGGTGAGGACTCCTGCAAAATCTATCTGGCGAATGGCTTCGAAACCCGATTTACGCTCTTGGCCAGGCCTCTCGGATTGGGCCAAGTCGGACGGTAAGCTGAATGCAATGAGAAGAGCGCAGACAATGCTGACTGGACACTGCGAGAGGAAAGACCTGCGCAAACCGGTCAGCTTCAAGAGATGGAGACGATTGGGCTGCCTACCATCGCCAACCGATGAGGTCGGACAACCAGGCTCCCAGTGCAGGTCCACCACTTCGGCCGACCGTCGTAATGACGGTCACGAAGCTCCGGAAAAGGGCTATCTGGCGTCGATGAGCAACATCTGGCCAGCAAAAGTCAGCTCCAAAGTGACGCCGGGGTGGCTGTCAAACTTGCCGGTAATGATGACGGAGACCAGTCCGATGAGTCCAGCGCCCCCAAGGCCGGTAACAAGTCTACCAGCGATGGCATACCAGAGCGATCCGGCAAGCCCACTTCACTGTGTCGTCAGCAGACTGATCAGTTGGTGATGTGATGAGACGTACACCCATAAGTTGCCAATAATGAAGAGGGCGTAGCAGAATAGTAGCGGACGCTTACGGCCATAAATTTGAGCCAACTTTCCGCACTAGTGTCGTGTGTTAGTCCAGTGACACAGAGAGCTGATTGAGCTTACGATTGGAAGGGCAATCGAGTAGCCCAGATTGTAGCTGATTAGCAGCCATGGTGCCTCCTGTAGCTGACGCAAGTCAGAGCCAACGATGGTATACATGGTGATCATGAGCGACTCGTCGGCAGAAGCGATGAGGGCTCCTGTGATGTTCTGTCAGCGCAGCTTGTCTCGCTGGATTGCGAGTGACACCTTACCCAGAAGTGTTGCAATGACACATAGAATGCCTCTGCTGTTTGAGAATATCGACTGCCTTGTCTCATTGCTCCCCGAATGTAACAAGCTTTCCGTTTCCCTATTAGACATATTCGGATCGCTGCAAGGCAGATGGCCAATGAGTTGCAGTCGTAGTTGTTGTTTCTTCGGGCGAGTCTGCTTCCTTGGATTTGCGTGTAGGTTTTGAATCCGTTGCAAATGGCTCGCAATTAATACCACGACATTACGACATAGAAACGTCTCATTGATTGTTTACAAAATACTAGCGGTCTGTTTTGCAGCCACTACGCTCAAACACCGTCGCATCAGGAAGACACGGCTCGACCGTGATGCTACCAGTGTCACGTATACAGCAGCATGCTAAGCCCGAACAAGCAGTAGCGGATGGGGTGTCACACGATGGCGCCATGGCCGCATTTGCCAGATTTGCTCAGCGCCTGCATCTGACATGGCACACGGGCAACAAGAAAAGACTCTGTGAGAGCCTGGACCCACAGAATGACATGCGAATTCCCACCCGTGTCCAGAGGCCAATGCTTTCATGCAATTCTCAATCGACGAGGTCCGAAGCCATGCTGTTTGGAGTCGAGCTATCCCAGATGACGGCATGGCCTAGAGAATGGAAAGCGAGGGTGGCTGATATTGAACGCCTGAGCTGCCCCGCAGTTACGGAGGCCGCGCAAGGGCCTCCCCGGTAAGCGTTTTCCAAGAAATGTGGCGGCTGCAGCCGCATGCACAGGATCATGCATTGTGATCTGTCGATGGAGGCGGGGTAGCTGCCGGGTGAGGTGCGTCGAAGCGCTTGACGGCTGATCGGGACACGGGCGGCTGGGCCCCACGCGGTACGGTCATTAAAGCCGGGCGTCTACTGGACACCCCTTTGAGATCCATTGCCCTTTTGTGCGTTCACTCGCTGCCATCAACCACCGCCAGCTGTCATCCGTCCAGAAACCCGTCATGTCTTCCATTCTCAAGGCCAAGCAGAACGGAGCCGCCACCATCCACGAGCTTGAGGTCGTGGATTATGGTCGCCTCCGGAGTCGCGACGCTGCAGAGATGGAGAAGCTTCTATCCAACGCCCGCGCCCCGGGTGCCTTCTACCTCGATCTACAAGACCAGGGGCGCGGCTCGTCAATTCTCCAGGAGAAAGACTCGGTGTACCAGCTTGCCGAGCGATACTTTGACCAGCTCCCCGCGTGGAAGGTCCAAGACGCGCGGGAGGACCAAAAGCCTTCGCAGGATCGAGGGTAAGAACGGCTCGAACGTGGGGGCAAGACAAGTCTGACACCACGGCAGGTACAAGCAGTGCGATGGTGATGAGTCCTACGAGGTGATTCGGCGCCACGTTTGTGCAGAGAGTCATGGATGCTGACCCTAACCCTTCTGCAGATATCTCGCGACGAACGGCTCAGCGGCCAGGTGGTCCTGCCCGCCGCGTTCCGTGAAAAAGAAGCCATGCTCGACACCTTCTCGGAAGGCTGCCACGAAGCATGCCTGACGATGCTGTCGTGCCTCTCAGAGTCTCTCGGCAACGGCCAAGGCTTCCAGGAGCATCATCGATCGGGCCAGGCCAGCGACTCGGGCCTGAAGCTCATCTACGAGCCATGGCGGCACCGTGCAGCCGATGTCGTCGACAACACGCATACGGACAGCGGCACGCTGACGTTCTTATTCTACGAGGAGCTGGGGGTGGAGGCGGAGATGAAGGGAGGGGGATCCGACGACGCCTGGGCCTTCATCCCGGCCAAGGAAGGCTGCGCCATCATCAACGTGGCTGATTCTCTGGAGCGCATGTCGGGCGGGGCTCTGCACTCGCTGCTGCACCGAGTGACGCAGCCGGCTGATGGGTTCAAGAAACGGTACTACATCTCGTACTTCCTACGCCCAGAGCAGGCCTAGAAGGACGCCCAGGCCGCTTGAGACGGCTCTCCAATTGCTCACACATGCACCGTGTAAGACGTGGGATGAAGCGGTGAGAGATGGCTATTCATCAGAATACACGATACGTACGGCGCAGACGCTCAAATGAGAAGTGGAGAACCGAAAGGGTGAATGCGTGCGTGATCATGAGTTAGGAGGCCCCGCTCTTCGAGGGCTCGGCGGCAGAGGCAGCCTCGGTGGCAAACTCCATCGCATTGAGATTCTCGTTCTTGACAAAGTCGGCGATGTGGGCCGGGGTCTCCTTGACTCTGTTGTACGGGCTGGGGACGGGCTCGCCAAACGTCTCCCACACGGGGATGATGCCGGTCCAGACGTCGTCGACGACGTCGTCGCGCCTCAGGTCCTTCTTCTCGTCGCTCGGGACGTGGCCCTTGACCTTTGCGCTAGCCCGCTCGATACGAACCTTCATGATGCGAGTCGACTGCATCTCGCCGGCGTCGGGTGGCACCCTCGTGTGGGCCCACCGGTCGGGGACGACGGCGTTGGTGATGAGCTGCATGGCCCAGATCTTCTCGTCGGGGTCCTCGACGACGGCGGCGTCGCCCTGGATCATGGCGGAGCGGTAGTTGTAGCTGTGGTTGAAGGGGGTCAGGGCCATGGTGAAGCCGTCGACCTTGGTGGCCTCGATGCACACGGGCAGCCCGTCGCCGCCCAGCCTCATCAGCCGGCTCGAGACGTAGCCGTGCAGGTAGCAGGCGGGGGCCACGTCGTCGCCGGCGTCGGGGGGATAGACGGCAATCTGGGCGATCATGGGCAGCACGACGGGATACGGATCGTCGGGCGACGGCTGGAAGCCGACATGGCAGACGCTCGATGTGTTGACAATGTTGTGGATCGTCTCGGCGTCGTACGTGCCTGGTGTGCGGGGTTAGGGGTAGACGCGCGCTGCGGTGCGAGGGCGGGTTGGCTGCTCGCTCACCTCGGTGCTTCCGGCGGTTGAAGGTGGTGGCTGGCGTTTGTCGGTAGGAGGCCTCGTGCTGCATCGTGGCTGCACGTCGCTCGGGGAGGGAAAAAGTGGAGGCGCGTCTCGGCGGGCACCACTGCGCGTTTAAATGCAAGCCCGTCATACTCTGTGCAACCCCACGCTTTGCGCCGGCTGAGCCGCCCGCAGTGATGGATTCTCGCAGTGCATATGCACCCTCGGCGCGGGCCGGACTCCCGGTTTTGTCCCGCCGTGCATGCACTTGCATCTCCCCGTATCCATTACGTACATGAGATCTGCACCTGCATGCACTGCACGGCAGCAACCTCGCCAAGAAGATTGCTCTGTGTAGCATTCTCCCAGATGGACCGAGGGACCCCCAGCGCCATCGGGAGGTCCGATGTGGAAAGCCAGATATATACTTAAGATGACTGCTTGACACAGCTAGTTGCCACTGAATGTCAATTGACGAGCCCCGTGCCGTACTCTTGCACCATGCTGCCAACCGAGGAAAAGCTGCGGCTGGTGATGCGCCGGCAGACGTTGTCAGAAGGCGAGACGCCGGCAGACTTTGAGAAGTTGCTCTCAGAAAAGGAAAAACCAAACATCACATGGCGTACGTCAGACCGACACGGCCTCACACCTGCTTCGTCTTGATGCTGACAAGCGCACGCAGTCACCACGCCAACCGGAAAACGTTTGTCGTCCCGCCGGCAATGTGGTGGGCCGGCCAGTGCTAACAACAGCTGCAGCTCATGTGTGCTACATCGTCCCTCTTGCCAAGCTGGTCGATTTCCTCAGGGCGGGACTTGACGTGCGTGCACCTCTCACAATGAAGCTCTGCAGCTGTTGCTGACGGCGCCAGGTAAAAATCCTCATCCTCGACGTGTACGGCTTCCTGGTGAACTACAAGCACCCCATGGAGCTGGTCGCGCATCGGGCGGAGTACTACCGCCGGCTCGTGACCGCCGTCCTCCAGAGTCTTGGAGTGCCGCCGGGCCAAGTCGAGTTCATCGACGAGTCCAGCTACGTGTACAGCAAGAAGTTCATGGTGGACATGCAGAAGCTTGCGGCGTTAATGACGCAGCAGGATGCGCGCGATACGTGCGAGGAGATCTCCGAGACGACGATGCTCAGTCCCATGCTCTGCTGCATCCACCAGTCGCTTTCGGAAGAGTACGTGGGCATGGACATCCAGTTCGGGGGCTTGGATCAAGTACGCAGCCCCCGCTCCTCATGGCTGTTTTGCACGCTAAACGTCTCACTCCAGACCGGCCTTTTCGAGCACGCCAGGAAGTTCATACCGCAGCTCGACTACAGGCAGAGGCTGCACGCCATGAATCCCATCGTGGCGGGCCTCGATGGCCTCAAGATGTCTTCCTCCAAGCCTGCAGACACGAAGATCATGTTCCTCGATGATCCAGACACTGTACGCCGCAAGGTGCAGAATGCCGCCTGCCAGCCTCGTGAGGTGGCCGGAAATGGCGTTATGGAGCTGCTCAAGCACGTTCTCATGCCGATTGGCGAGATGCAGCTCGAGCGGGAACGCGGACAGACGGGCTTCAACGACGTGGAGAGGACACAGGGCAGCGGGCGCCAGTTCGTCTCGGACGGTGCTCCGGACGATGCCGTCTTTTCCGTCGTCGGCCCGGAGGAGAAAGTGATGCACTTTACATCTTATGAGGAAGTCGAAAAGGCCTACGTCGGCGGCACTGTCGATCCTCAGCCACTGAAGCGTGCAGTGGCTGAGGCTTTCAATAGCGTGCTGGCACCGATCCTCAAGATTTATCAGGAGAGCAAGGAGTGGCAAGAGGTCGATCGTCTGGCTTACCCGGATGAGTGGCAGGAGGTCAAGGGTGCGGCTTTATGAGCGACAGCGCTTCCTTCCACTTCCAGAGTTTTGGATCAATGTCAGTGCATAGTTGTATTCCATCAGAACAGCATCTCGTTCCGTGTAGTGCCATGTCTGCCCGTGCATACACGAATCAGAAGAAACTTCTCGCGTGCCGTGCAGGAAGCGACATCTCTACAACCTTTGCATTGGAGATCTTGCAATAATTTGAACCCACACTAATGCAGTGATATGGCAGCGCTACCGTTAGCGTGGGTACAGAAGTGGAAGCATTACATCACATCCCACGCCAAGGACTCAGCTGCATAGTGCACAACAGTCATGGAGGGGTACACGATCACATCGCCGGCAAAATGAATGAGGGGGGTTGTCTCCCGCAGAGACGGCAACGAAGAAGCTTTGACATCTATGTGCATCTACTGCTGGGGATAGAAAAGACGTGTGTCGTAACAGCACAACTGAAAGTGAAACGCAACATGTCGAAGGGAAATAACATTTACCGAGATTAGAAGGAGGGCAAAAAAGACCGCATGCATGTAGCCGCGCTGCTTGGTGTAACGAGAGATGTAACTCAAGAGCTCGCTTCTCACAGCAACTCCCCGTTCTCGATGCAACTGTCAATAAAGAATGTACCGAGACGAAAACCCTCGCAGACGTCTGCGTTGGCGCTGCCCATGGCTCCTGACAGTGCGATGCACTCAGCGAGACTGCTGGCCTCGCGAGACGCGATATCCCTCAACATTGCCTGCCCCCCGGCATCCAACAAAGCCGAGTTTGCCACTGCCTGATGGAGGCCGACAAAAGCCCACGACAGGCCAAGCAAGACGGGAAAGTGACGCTTGGGGCTGCTGGCTAGCTTCAGCAGGACGGCGTAGTCTGCGTCTGCTTCAACCACGTCCGCCAAGCAGCCGGGAGCGGCGCCTCGCACAGCTGTGGCCATCCGCAAGCCCAGCTCCACCAGGCCTGCAGCCTCCAAGCGCTTGACCTCATCCATTCCCGCAACCCCGCTCCCCTCTTTGCCCAGCCCGTTCTGGGCGCGAATCAGCTTCAGCAGACACGCCATGTGGAGGTTGGCCGCCCTCGACGGAACCGCAATCGCCGTCTCCAAAAGGCAGGGATGCATGAACCAGATCCCAAAGAACCGGGAGACGCGCAGGTCCTGCACCGCGCGGATCGCCGGTCGTCTGATGGGCGGCAGCGCCGCGGGCAGGTCCGACGGGACACAAAGTGTGGGGAAGGCGGCGTCTGAGGCGGCTGAGACGCACGAGTGCAGTGCGAGCTGATCAGGCTCACGGTTGACGAAGGCCCAGTACGCCGTCGAGTCCGGCCGGGGGCCACCCAGTCCGTCGATCCAGCGCCTGACCACCTCGACCTCCTGCTCGGTGAAGGAGCCAAACATCTTGCCGCCCCACATCAGCTCCTTCATCAACCGGCTCTGTGCGCTATTGCCTCTCCTGACCCACACGCGCGATCTCCCCAGCGCGCCCAGGAAGGACATGTGCCACTCGCGATTGCTGAACTCTTTCGGATCCAGCCACTCTTCCAGGGTGCGGCCCTCGATCTTGGCTCTGCAGGAGCAATGCATGTTCTGTGAGACGTTGACCTTCTGCAGGAAGACGCTCGCCACTTCGGCCTCGGATGGCGAAGGCGACGCGTCCTCGCCCAGGTATTCCGAGAGCACGTATCCGGCTTGCACTCTGCGCCATGCGGCCTGGACTGCCGCCTCCCCGGCCGAGGCGCCAAGGTGCTGCATGTAGCTATCCACCGCCGCGACGGCCATGGCTGTGTGTCCGGAAGCCGCGTTGTCGATGGTGATGTGGAGTCGGAAATAAGACGGGTCCATCTTCAACTCCTCGAGCTCCTTGGCCAGCACCATTGTCTCCAGCGTAAGCCCTTCGAAATGGAGGTTGAAGCCGAGGATCTCGGGCAAGAAGTCGTCGGGAAACAAGGAGATGAGAAGCTGGGACACGCCCGACTTCCAGGATCGCACATCTGTCATGCCATGGTGGGGCTCGAGAAAGGCGCTGCTATGCGACTCGGGCATGTCGATCCCGCTGCTGCCGAGCAATCGGCGATACAGGTAGACGTGGTTCTTAGCGTTGTCGCCGTCGCCCAGCTCTTCGGAGAAGATTTGCCACGCAATCTTGGTTGTCGGACGCAACGCGTACGGCGTGGTGACCCTGTGAACGTAGCCCAACCAGGCCCCGTCCACCAACTTGGATGGGGCATTCTGCCTCAGCCATCTCGTGGCATCCGAAACAGTGCGCACCAGCTCTCGTGGCCCTGTCTCCCTCCTCGTGACGTATTCTTGCCAGCGCCCCAAGGTTTCGATGTTGCGCCTTTGGGTAAATGCGGACGCTGCCTCTCGTGTGTATTTGTCGACCGACCGTATGTCCAGGCCCGTCGATTGCTGCGTCCGCTCGAGGCTCTCGGACAAGAGCAGGATCAGCGTTTCCTTGGCCTGTGGAAAGACTGCGGGGAAATCCTCAAGGTTGTGAAGTTTGTGGTAGAGCTCCCGAAACCGCTGAAGTTCGGCGTCATCCTCACGATCTCTGCATCGATCCATTATATTTGACTTTGGCGTCGGAAACGTCTCCCCTGATGTGGCCCCCTGATTCCAAAAACGAAAGAGCCTCAGCATCCCGAGAAGACCCAGGAGAACAAAAGACAAAACAATTGAAAGAGTCATGGTCGTATTCGCAGGTTGATGAGAGAGATGCTGTAACTCCCTCTCCGTGCTCTCTCTTTATAAGCCATCGTACATCTCAATAAAGAAAATGATGCTCTCCTGCCCTCTCGGCACGGCCGGGTACATGATAGTGCCTACTGTACTGCTAAGAAAAACAACGGAACTATGACCTGCAAGATTGCACCAGTAAAACGCCAGCGGGACAGGCAACGAGGCAATCTTATCTCCAATCGATGCTTGTAAATCCCGAGCTGGATCAACATGCATCTGAGGTGATGCAAACATGGGACCACCCGGTCACTTTACCCTGGTGTCTGCTTGACCCTAGCATATACGAGTAGTAGGAGCGCTGACTAGTCCAATACTAGAATGTAATCGTGTCGGATATACGACGGTACGTTACGGAAAGAAATATTTCAGAAGTGGCGGGGTAAAGGATTAGATCCGCTTCTACCAGCCTCATCATGTGTCACAGGAGCCTCCGCAGAGGTTTACTGGACGACACATCCCATGGGGATTAATCGAGTCCGTATCGACTGGGTCCTCCCTCTCAATCTGAGCTTGTTTCTTCGGCATCTGCTTAGAGGATATCTCTTCTTTCGAAACAGTTTCACACAGTTTTGGGAATTGACCTTTCAACATCTCCAATGCTCGAAATTATCCCCAAGAAATATCTTTCTTGTCAATACAAAGTACGTAACAGCACTACACATGATCGGCAGTAACGTAATGCGATAGTATACTGTCCCACTTGGCTCTAAAAATGTTTCTGGTCGACCGCAGGTCTGGGCTGCGAAAATTCATCCAATGAAATACTGATTTGAGATGCCGGCTTGAAGCTATATATAGGCTCGATGGTATCTGCCAACTCGAGTATTACTTTATGATCTCCCAACACTATATGTCCTTTTGCGGTCTGGTTTCGGAACCGACTGTGCGTGGGGAAGGAGAGGAGAGCGAAGATATACTTGAGCAGCCCCTCTGCACTTTTATCAAGCGCCGCAGCAGCAACAAACTCCCCGCCGGCCGATACCTCCTACACTTGCACCACTTACGGCCCATCCTCCAGTGCTCCAGAGCCTTCGTCTCAGAATTTAGGAGCTCGAGGAAGAGCAAAATCATGCCAAGCAGCAACTCGACCGGAACATGTATGTCTTTGATCGGTGTTTCCTGTTCCAATCCAAGCCTTGGGGCATTCCATGGGGCCCGGAAGTTTGATGCCGCCGTCAAGTTCGTCGTGTAATCGCTCGTGATGTAACACGGGACGCCTTCAGCCTTCTTCCTCGCACAAATCAATCAGTGGCTTCTGGCCGTCCATCCTTGCCCGAGTTTCGGCGAATCACCAGCATGTGATGACATCTGCACCTGTGACGAGACCACGCAGTGCATTTGTGTCACATGGACCCTTCTGGCCCACTAGTATGCGGGGATTCTTTCCGCGAGACAAGGGAAGCTCATTAACATCACGGCCTTAGCGCGAATATTGACGTCAGTCCCTCGTAAAAGGGTGGAAATGCTTTCATCAGCAAGTTTTCAGCTTACGCCGGCGATGGCAACGGTGATTTTCGTAGACATTAGTCAATGGATTGTGAGGGGATTGGTTTCTGACCAGATAGTTGAGTGACACATGCTGTCTTGGTCATGTATTGTTACTGGGTCTCAGACCTTCGAAACTGAGTCATACCAACATGAAGTACTGGCATAGGTTCTGCAAGCACTTCAAGCCACATGCGGATAATTTGCTGTTTGAGGGACATGTCGGACCAAAATCACCTTGACTCGAGACAACTTATGACGCTTACTGTCTCACAATCTCTCTGATTGAGCGATTTACTAAAACCTCCCATACTGGCTAACTGCATCGGAAGTTTGCAGCAGAGTAGAATGAGCGGAATCTAGGTTCCGCTCGGCTGGCGGCACTATCTCTGGATGCGGTGGTTCATCCGCATGTTCCACACGCTGCGTCCATGTGATCCCATTTAGACAACACTCTTCACTTTCATGATGAGTGGAGGTTTATCCCACACAATGAAACATTTCTGCTGCATCCAGTTGCTGTTTCCCTCGGTGGCGAAGAAATCGAACTGGCGTAGGATGCTGGCCAGTGCCAAACGCATCTCATATAGTGCGAGACTGAGTGGGTCAACAAAAGCCGGTCCGCTGTAGCGCGCATGAAGACTTACTTCTTGCCGATGCAGCTTCTCGAACCGCTAGAGAATGGCTGAACGATCCGCTTATTATCGTGGGCAAACTCACCCTCGGTAGCTCCAGGTAGCCACCGTTCGGGAATGAACTCGTCTGGCCGTGCAAAATTGCGAGCCGAATGGTACGCCGGCCACTGATGGATTCCCACAACAGCCTGTGGGCAGATTAGGCTACGTCAGCTCATGCCTTGCAGCGGATCGCAAAGGCCTTGACTCACCCCGGCCGGCACGTGTTTACCGCCAACCACCGTACCTCCCTCTGGTACAAGCCTGTACAGCATGTCCGGAATCGGAGGATACAGCCTCATGCTCTCGTCGATGACGGCGTTTAGATAAGGCAGCGCTGCCAGCGTCTCCATGTTGAGCTCGTCTGGCGCCAGGTCCCGCACTTCTCTGGTGACTCTATCCATCTTGTCCCTATTCTCCGTGAGATACCACATGGCTCCGCAAAGCGCCGTTGCGGTTGTTTCGGTTCCGGCCGCCATGAAGACGGCGGCGTTGACATGCATTTCCGGACGGCTCAGGATATCTTGTTTCTTCTCCACGAGGGACCAGATGTCCGGTCGTTCCGTGTGGGCTTCTTGGTCCAGGCGCTCGTCGACCAGCCCAGCTGCATAGTCGATATACGCGTTGCGTCTCTCCACCGTGGCCTTCGTCGACAGCAGCCACACCATGAGCTGCGTCAGCTGCGGCAGGTAGAACAGGATGACGACGCGCACGGACAGCAGGCGAAAGACGGCGAAAACGCCGCGCACCCAAGGCGAATACTCGCCGGTATCCAGCAGGCCCAGCGGTCTTCCGAATGCGAGGTCGGCCATGACGTCAAAGGCCATGAAGTTGAAGAGGTCAGCCACGTTGGCTTCTGCTTCCCCGTCGCTGCGGCTGGCGCAGGCACGCTGTAAGTTGGCAATGAGCTTCTGCACGTGGCCCAGGATCAGGGATTCCTGTTTCTTGAGCGACGTGTTGGAGAAGGCTGGAGCGAAGATGCGCCGCTGACGCGCGTGTTGCGGGCCGTCGATCGCTTGTATGAGGCCACGGGGAAGATCGGGGGGCGCGGAGTTGAAGATGGGCTCTTTTGGGAGGGCGGCGTGTCCGCCTTGCCGGGCGTATATGTCTGCTTGATGATCAGAATCTTGTGGAGCCGAGGTTGGAGAGAAGGCGAGGTTTACCGTCCCAAGCATCACCAGAGATGTAGCTGAGCTCCGCGGGGCTGAGGCGTACGACCGGCCCGTAAGTCTCGTGGGCGCGATGAGCGTGCGAGATGTTCGTTCCGACGATACGGTGCCAGATGCGCGGAAGGGAAGAAGCACGACAAAGCCATGGCCCCGGATAAGAACGCAGCGGGTGCAGGTAGAGGTTGTATAAGCATTTTCCCGTGAACCACAGGCACTTGCATCTGCATCAGCACTGCAAGTGTAAGTAGACTTCGAATCATCCAACTTACCACGGCTGATATCAGAATCTCAAGGAGGAACATTTCGAGTGGGAGAACTTGGTCAAGCACTTCACCTGCGACGACGTTGATGATAGTTAGTGTGGCCTTGTTGCGGGTGAAAGATGGGCCGGCGTCAGGCGTTTTTAAGTGAAGGGTGGGATCCTGCAGGCTTGCCCAGGATAAGCTGACAAGGCGGGGCTCTGGGCGGTAGCGTATATACCCTGTCGTGGCGCGGGTTTCTGTTCGGCCATTCACGGAACAGCTGTAAAGGATTTCCAACCTTGGCGTACCCTTGACGGATGGTGGTCAGAAACAAAACCCTGGGTATACCCTCGGAAAGTTATGTTTATGAATGCGACATCAGGTACAACACAAGTTATCGATTACAAGGCGGCAGAGGCAACGACTCTATAGACCCTGGGAATACCGCCGGGTATGCGGAACGCCAACGACTACATGAAGAGCGTCAGGACGCCGATTGTAAACTCAAATTGCCGGTAGGTCCCTCATAGACGCCTTCACAGCAATCCAGAAGATGCACTGAGTTTCCATGTCGATATTTAATGTTTAAAGTCAACATGTGTCTGTTTGAAAATCAAGTACATCGATTCTCTGTTCTCTTGAGCCGTACTCGCTGCAAACGGCGGCGGTAGACGCTGCTCGCCGGGTTCTTTCGGCGTGCGGAGGTTGTGATTGGTCGAAGTCGACACCCAATGCCATACGCATGTATGGAGCGCACTTTCCGACTCTAGAACACTAGATTTAAGACTGGGAGAAGTCTGCAGGAGCTGGGGACCAGCGCATCGTTTGGGTAATTAGCGTAGAGCACAAAACTGGTTTATCCAACCTCGTATCTCGCCACGTCACCTCGCATTCATGGTCCACCACATTTGAGGGACAACGATATTCGCGTACTTTTCACCATCACGTACGACCCCATTTTGGCTTTTGCGGGCGAAGCCTGTCCACCTTTTTGAATCCTTTCCGCCGACCTAGCCGATGGCCGAATGAACTCGGTGATCACACACCCTACGCAGCTTTGACAACGGTATCACGCCACTACAAATTCTGGTTGAGTATAGAAATCGAAGGCAGCGGCGGCCGCAGAGGCACTATACATGGCTTGCCGCGCTTGAGTCTAATTCTATGTGGCTGAGGGTCCCGCACGATCCTTGCGCCATGCACTCTACTATGCGTAATTACTTGAGGCCAATGCTTGTATACCTCTGTAGGGGTTGCAAGCCCAGGGATAGGCCTTCATGTAAGCATATCGTGCCGACCATGTGCTCATGCCGCTTCATTCCCGTTTTTCGCGGCCGCTGGTTTGTAGTGCACCATGATGGGTGGCACTGCGGTCCTTCACCCCAGAAATTTGGTGTGAAGCAGCGCCACGTCGACCCCCTTTGCGGGTCCCAGAGCTCCGACTCTGTGATAGAAAATTTCTGTTTCGCAGATGGGCGTGGAGGGAACAACAGCGATGGTCCCGCTGCCGGACGAACGACGAAGCGTTTGGCGGACGGAAAGTCGCTGGGTCGGAACCAAGTGGATGAATTTGAGTCGAGATGAACTCGGCGCGCAGAAGCGCTGCTCAGTGCTCTTCGGGGCCGCCGGGGTGGTAAGCGCGATAGACCTGCATGGCGCCCTCGACGGACTGGACGATGCCGAAGAACACAGTCAGAGCGAGGACGGCGACGGCGACCCAAAAGGTGTACCACTGCGGGCCTTTTCTCCTGTCGTGCCACCACTGCGACAAGGTGCTCGGCTCTGCTTCGTCAAAGACTTGCTTGAGGATGACCAGGCGCTCCCTCCAGAAATGGAAGTTTTCGATCTGGCGGTCGTCGGTGCGAAGCTGTGGTAACTTGGTCGCTCTGCCGTCGAGGTTTTCCAGCGAGCGTTGCCTCTTGTACCATTTGGCCGTGGCCTTATCGGACGATGGGAGGAGCAGAGAAAGTGTGCGTAACGTCTCCTTGCAGAAGCCCGGGGGGAACATGTCACTGTGCGATACGATGAGCTTTTGGGTCGAATGGTTGGGTAGGTGATGGGTGTGGTACGTGCGGCCATGCTCGAGAAAGGTTGCATGGTGGAAGATGAGAACCTCCTTGTCATCATCCCTCAGCCTGAGATGGTCGGAGAGGTTATTGGTCCAAGCCACTTTGATGCCGGCGAGGAGTTCGAGATTGCGGGCGTTGAATATTTTGGGCAGTCGCACAATGCCCGCGCTCTGCCTTGGGGGCTCGAAGTGACTGGATACGAAGCCACGCAGCGAACCCTTGTCCCAAAGGAGCGGGCGCTGGGCGGAATAAGCGCAGTGTGGCTGGCCAATGTCCATCATGGTCAGCAGCCTCGCCGCCCAGTCGATTGCGTTGTTGATGACGCGGTTGTTGGGGGCCGAATCCTGACGGCCAGTCGATCCTTTCTCGTCCACCCGAGGTGGTCGTAATGCTGGGAGGTTTTGCACCACATCCGGCCTGTCTCGTGACTCTGCTGCAAGGCTTTGTATTACGCATAAGATGTCTCTATGGGCAACGATTTCAAACTCGGGCGATCCATCGGCTGGTAAGCAGTCGCTTTGCTCCAGGCCGAAGATATGACATTGCTGCGCGTAGTATTCCAGGTAAGGGTCGATGTCGAGAGAATTCGCTTTTGGAGACTTCAGGTCCCAGATGATGTTCAACAGGATCGACTTCTCATCCGCCGTGGGGTGGCAGGTGGTGATGGGTAGTTTCAAGCAGTCGGCGTCCAGCATCTTGTGGTTATGGTTGAAGAGAAGAACCACGGCATTGGTTTTTTGGAGGACCCTTGGATTCTTCACTGGCGCTGTCTTGGCCACCTTGTGCTGCGCCCATGGTGTTGCGCGTCGCGGGACGCGCGGACAAGTAAGCGGCGGCGGCGCGAGGCAGACATGCAGCTCTATGCAGCTCAGCCTCGGCGGACTACGTCGACCGTCCTTTCCGCACCACACCAATTGCTTTTACCCTTCTTCTCTTCCTTGTTACTCCAATCTGGTCCCATCTCCGGCTTGTTGGGCACAAACTGTACCTCTTGCTTCCGCAGCTGCTTCGTGACCGTCTATAGGCTTCCGCAAGTCACCTTGTCCGAATAACGCCATTGGTTGTACTGGATGCAGCCACGGTGGTCAAAGAAACGATGACGACGACGCCTACGAACGTTTTTACGCGTTTCCTGCATCGACTGGAGGAGCCAAAAGACAGCAAATCGTCGGTGGAAATCCCAAACTTTGAGGATTCGATTGGAGTCGAGTACCGCAAGATTGGGAAGTTGCATTGCTGGGAGGCCAAAGGCTCGGTTCGAAGGCGATTCCTCGTCTTGAAAGACCACATCAAGCAGTATCTGGAAGACCATGGAGCCGCGGTTTCGGCACCCGTCATCTGGCAGGTCTACCTGATCGGAAAATCCAGAAAGAAGGCACGTCCGGCGGTCTTCTTCTGTAGCAGGGAGGCTCATGCACGGAAGATGATTCGGAAACAGATCGAGGACAGCAACATCCTGGCCAACTTTGCAGACTTCAAGACTGGAGATTGCGCCCAGCCACTTGAGTTTGATCAACTCAAGCCGCTGGGAGCCGATGACGCAAACGTATCTCGTCCTTCGGCCAACAGAAACACCAATTGCGAAAATCCCACCGGTCGGCTGATTTCAACTCAGCAATGGAGGCCACCAGGCTTGATTCAGCGGAAATGCGCCACCGTTGGAGCTGTATTCAGCTGGGATGGCCTTTTGCTTTTCACGACGGCTGCACATGCCTTTTTCGAGCACAGCTGCATGGTTGATTTCGAAACCAATGGCCATCTTGGTCTGGAGTTGAGCTTTGACGAAGAAGGAGGCATGGATTCCGACAGCAGCGAAGACGAAGACGATACCATCGACTTTCAAAGGCCACCGCATGACGCAGCCATCTTCCGTGAATCGAAACCATGCAGAAGAAACACAGAAGATTCAGCTTCTGACGTGCCTGGAGCGTCGCATACTTTTGACGCGAATGATGTTGTGCTCTCGTCAAAAGATGGGCCGCATCCTGGGCTGGACTATTGCTTGGTCATGTTGAGAGGGCAAAAGTCCGGGTATCATGAGAAATTACCGCTCACACACTCTTTCTGCAACTACCATGTCATTCAGCCGCGCATGCGTGCTAGCGACAGCCCTCGAGACGTTTCAGTTGTAGCCTACACCGGGTCTGGAAATGCAAGAGACGGTATGCTGTCGGGGACGCCTTCTTTCATGACACTGCCCGGAGGCCAGAAGACACAGGAGCTGTGGTTAGTGAGGCTAGACGGAAGCGTCGAGGAGGGAGACTGTGGCTCTATCGTGGTCAACAAGAAGACGGGCGACCTCGAGGGCCACATTGTTGCTGGGTCGCCGGGTTCGGGAAATGCGTACATCATCCCCGCCCATGGAATGCTCCAGGACATTCGAAGACGACTGTCCTCGCGGCTCCAAATTTGGAATCAATTCTCCAACTGTGCGCCCAAAGTTCCGACCCCGGCCATCAACTCCGAAGAGGCTGTGGATCTGGCGGGACGATATCGCGAGATCTTGAGCGAGGCGCGAAAGGCGAGACTATCTGCAGCACCTCGACTTCCCATCCACAACATACCTATCAGTCCACAAAGACCTCTGGATAGAAAGTCCCTTCGGTTCAGGAAGTTCATGAGATCTCTCTCAGAAAATCCGTTGCGGTGGAACAACCCAGATCTGCTCGACAAAGCTCTCGCATACGTACCGTTAGACGTGCTGCACAGACAGGCAGAGAGCGAATGTGAAGCCCTCCGCATAGACGCCAAATCCTACTCTCCAGCCAGGCGGCCGATTCTGGGGTTCCAAGATTGCGTCATCCGAGCACTCCTGAGATGGTTCAAGCGATCATTCTTCGCATGGGTAGACAACCCGACCTGCTCATGCTGCGGCAGCAAGACGACCCCGCTCGGCATGGCAGCACCACGCTTGGACGAAATGACGGGCGGTGCGAGACAAGTCGAGGCCTACCGGTGCGAGAACGATTGCTGCGGCAATCACGAACGATTCCCGCGCTACACCGACCCTTTCATCCTCCTGCGCACCAGAAAGGGCCGGTCGGGGGAGTGGGCTCAGTGTTTCTCCATGCTCTGTCACGCCATCGGGGCGAGGGTGAGGTGGGTGTGGAACGCCGAAGACCACGCTTGGACAGAGGTCTACTCGCAACACCTGAAGAGATGGATCCACGTGGATGCTCATGCCGAGTCGTGGGATGAGCCGTTGACCTACTGCGAAGGTAAGTCGAGTCCCCAGATAACTTCGTGCCAGTGCTAACGCCGCGACAGGATGGGGCAAGAAGCTGTCTTACTGCATCGCCTTCTCCAAAGACGGCGCCACAGATGTCACCAGACGCTACGTGCGTAGCCAGCGGTCCGCGCACGAGCGCAGACTAGCCACTGAGCCCGAGCTCTTGCACATTCTGGACGAAATATGCACCGAACGGAGGAAAGACATGCCTGATGAGCAGAAGAAGCGCTTGAGGCGGGAAGACGAGTGCGAGCAAGACGAGCTGCAAAAGTTCGTGTCCAGACAGATTACGCAGGAACTCTGCAAGCTTGACGTGACCAAGGTCAGCTCAGCCTGCGTTAATGAGCCAGACGCGGATGGGGGAAGAAGGGCGTCTACGAAAAGGTGGATGCTGACGGACAACGTGGTGATGGGATGATGGGTTGATATGGGACTCGAGCAGAGGCAGGTCCTGGATGCTATCGTGAGGTCCTTGAAATCCTGTAGAAAAATAAAGAGTGAACCCTGATGACTTTCCTTATGGCTTCAGTAATGCGTGCACCTACAATTCGAGAGCAGGTTTTGATTAAAAGCCATGGGTGTTTGGCAGGCCTACAGTTTCTGCTGATGGTAAATACAACAGCAAAGCCAGAACCACTCCAGCGGAGCCACGTTCACGAAGCACCACCGACTTTCGCAGGGCTTTTGATCCCCTCCGGAATGGCAACCTCATCCCCCTGCAGCACCCCCATCGTCTCCACCGTCCACCCCCGCATCGCCTCACCAATCTCGACATACGGCTTCCGCGGAGCAAACGTCATCCTATCCTCCAACCCCAGCCCCCTCCCAACAAACCACCAAGCGCCATACTTGGTCGCCGCCAAGCTCTTCTTGCACGCCCACTCGGCATTCGCGACGACCTGCTGCAGCCGGCGCGCCTCGTCCTTCCTCCCCTCCATCCACAGGTCGAAGACGCGCGCGGTGGCGCGGGGAAAGACGTTGGCGAGGCCGGTGACGCAGCCGACGCCGCCGGCCTCGAGGGTGGGCACGAGGTAGTCGGAGGAGCCGCCGAAGACGGCGAACTGGCCGGGGGCGAAGGCGCTGGCGAGCCGGACGACCTTGCCGACGTTGCCGCACGTGAGCTTGACCGCGACGATGTTGGGGTGCGCCGCGAGCGCCGCGAGCTGGTCCGAGTCGAGGTCGATGGCGGACGTCACGCCGGGGAACTGTTTTGGTTTTTGATCGGTTTTGCCTCCCGGTCAGTCCGGCTAGCTCCTCTTGCCACACATACACAAGCGTGCACACGCAACTTTGGGTGAAGGAAAGAAGGAGGGAGCAGGGGCTGGGGGCTGGGGAGAGTGGTGGGACAAACGTTATACACCACCACCGGCAGCGGACTGCGATCCGCCACGTCGCGATAGTATCCCAACAGCGCATCGTTCGTCATGGATTTCGCCCAGTAGCTCGGGGGCAGCAGCAGCGCCCAGCCGGCGCCGGCTTCGTGCGCGTCTTGCGCCAGCTGGATCGTTTCTTTCGTCCCTTGGGCGGAGATGCCCGCGACCAGCGGGTAGTCGGGGACGCCGAGGTCGGTGACGGCTCGGACGGCGGTGGCGAGGATCTGCTTGCGCTCGGCGCGGTCGAGAAGGGCGAGTTCGCCGTTGGTGCCGAGGTACACGAGGCCGTGTTGGCCGCCGCGGACGAGGTGTTGGCAGTGTTTGTACTGTTTTGTAGAGGAAAGGGTCAGCCGGGTTTGCAGGTCAATGAAATAGTGCACGCCACCATTGCGTCCAGGTCTATTTCCTGCAGGGGCGTGTTCTTGTAGAGTGTCACTACGGGGCAGTAGACGCCAGCGGGCAGCGGGCGCGCCTTGGCGGGGATGCTTGAGGGCGGCATTTCTGGAGGATTCCGAATGCTTGGTGTTGACTGTCAGGACCCGAAACGTGAGTGGAGCTGGAACTGGCTTGGCCGAACACCAGGTCTAAGTAGACACTTTCAAAGCAGGTCGCTCGGCAATTGAACTGGCTTGCCGCCGATACGGCAAAGCTATACCGATGGCGAGCAAGGTCTTGTTGCATGAATTCACGCTGTAATGGTCAGTAGCACACCATTCTTCCGGACCCCGCATCGAATTGTCCTATGAATGACGCAATTCAAACCCCTGCGCTTTGGCATCGGATTAAAATCCGACATGGTACGTGGGGGGTATCCTGGCTAGAAAATGCCCTTCATAGCTACCTGGCGCACATCCCCGCCATCCCCGCCATGCTTCACCTGTATCAGTGCCACAGCAGCGAACATAACGTACCCAACGTGTCTTCATTACTTCTGAAAAATCGAAAGAATTTCTATATTTGCGAGCTCTGGGCCTACTGTGACGCTGCCTCAAAAGCACGAGTGTTGACCGGCGTCAGAGGCTTTCCAGCAAACTCCCCATCCGGACCTACCACAGTGACAATATTTTTCATAGCCAGCAGCTCGAAGTTGATTCGAGTGTCTAGCGCTCCTCCGCCAATGTGCGTTGTCAACGTGACGTTTTCCATCTCAATGAACTCTTGCGGAATGTTCGGCTCGTTGTAGAAAACATCCAATCCAGCCGCCGAAAGATGGCCCTTCTTCAACGCATCGATCAATGCCTTCTCCTCCACGATGGGCCCTCTGGCAGTGTTGATCAGTCTCCCACCCTTCTTGATGTGGAAGATGTTGCTGGCATTTATCAGGTCCTGGGTATGGGGGTTCAGCGGTGTGTGCAGCGAGACGCAGTCGGAGATGCTCAGAAGCTCGTCCAACGACGAGTGGTAAGTAGCCCCAAGCCTCTCTTCCTCTTCAGGGCTGGCGCGGACGATGTCGTAATAGTGAATGTCCATGCCCAGCGCCAACCGAGCCTTCGCAGCGAGCTTCTTGCTGATGTTGCCCAGCCCGACGATGCCGAGCACGTATCCTCGCGGGTTGGCCGAGATGTCAGCAATGAGTCGGTGCGTGTAAGAGAACCTGTCCGGGTCTCCAGATCGCGCTGCCAGCTGGGCGCGGGTGAAGTTGCGGAAGACCGACAGGATCATGTAGAGAGCCGTGTCCGAAACCGCCTCGTCCGAGGCGCCCGCCCCGTTGGCGTACCAGATCTTACGCTTGCCGAGGACGTCGGTGTCTGCCCAGTTGAACCCAGCGCCCGCAGATGCGAATATGCGCACTGAAGGCGGCAGCAAAGAGATCAACTCTTGGTCCCACTGGCCCATCTCGCCGCCAGTCTGGAAATGTGGGCGGAAGATGGCCGAAAAATCCCCATACCTTGCTGCTTATCAGCGCCAGCAACTGTACGTATGTGCTCAGTGGACTTACTTCCTCTCTTTCAAGGCTTTCTTGAACGACTCTCTGTCCAAGTCCTCATTCCTCACCACATTGAAGCGAGGCAGGAACTCCTTCTCGTAGTATTCGGTGCTGTACTTGACAGCGTTTCCAAGATGCAGAACGGTAGGCTTCGACATTTCTCGCCTAGTGACCAGATGCGCAAAGTGACGATGATTGAAGTGATGCTCCAGCCGCAGCGAACACCCCGCATTATGGTCGTTGATTCCGACACCAGCTGCGGGGCAAACGCCGATAGCTAGCCGAATGCTCCACTATTCCTTCACTTTTCCCCTCTATTGCACAATCATTCCGCCGATCTTGCTCCGCGTAGACCGTCTTTTCCGACGGCAAAGTGGGAGGAGCTCCGAAGTCTTTGGTTGCTGCCGCAGTGGTACCAGTAGCCCAGGTCGGTCTCAAACTGGGATCTGGAACTTTGCACCTTCTACATGAGCTCGTGGTCAGCGTGAATGAAACCCTTTTTTGACATTTCTCTTCCTATGGTTCATCCACTGCAGTCTCCTATGATTTTGTCGTTCTTGCGTCGCGAGAAATCGCCATGGCAGTCCCCCACAACCGACTGATTTAGACCGAGGCTGGCACATCTGTCGGATTGTCATCTGAATCAAAGAAAGAGATGGATTCTGTATGGCCCAACACACAGCCACCCGACCATACTTTATATTTGACCTGGCCTTGCCATCTCGTTCTTGGTTGGTTCCACAAGCTAATAGTACAAGTCCCGAAACCTCGATTCGATGCACGATGCACCATACCATGTTCGACGAGGCCCTCCCAACGGACTGGATTAACAGGATTCTTGCGTCTTCTAGCGTGCCTCCAGCACGAAAGTTGGCCGGAAAACGGCGCCAGAGCCTATGAAGATTATTCTACCGGCCCTTACTTGTTGACCGAAGGGACTCATCCACCATCGCCCGTGTCCGCATGCGGAAGTCTTCGTACCACGCGTCCCCACTAAGGAGGACTTGTCGATGCGCGGCGCCTCTTTGTGCCGAACTTCGTCAGCCCTACCAAACCGAGGCCACTCAAGGGATGGAAGACTAAGCCCGGAACGGACTTTTGATCTCTTTGTTGGCTGTCGAGCCCGTCGATCTCGAGATGAATTCTGGACGCAAGGGATGGTGTTATCAGGGAACAGGGTCGGAGCGGAGCTTGCCACGGACGCGCCAGTGCGTGTCACATTCTTAAAGAAACCTGCCGCCCAAACCACACAAGCACGCATAGTGCGGAACAACACTTGACCCTACCATGTATCCTCTTTTGCACTGGGCAAGAAGTACGCCTCCGCAGGCTCAGAAGGGTCAAAGCAATGAGGACCAAGTAACGGCAATCCCACCAAGCCGCGCCCACGAAGTCATCGCCACAACTGTTGGTGTCACTGCCGTATGTCTGGTCGTTGTTGGCGTACGGCTTTTTACCCGGATGCACTACATGCGAAGTTTCGCTTTGGATGACAGTGTGATCATAATAGCCACAGTACTTTCAAGAAATGCCTCCTTTGACTTGGACATTCAGCGCTGACGATTGACAAAGCTATGTGCAATTTCTCTGATGGGACTTCTCATCCACGCTACCGGTAAGCCTGAGTCCTGCATTATATCAGAACAGATCTGACCCGTAGCAGAGACCGGCCTGGGGATGCACATCTACGGCCTTACGATACTGGAGCTCTCGAGCATGTCGTTGGTTTGTATGCTGCATCCATTACATCGTGCCGGGCGCTAACGTGGTCCAGCACTTGTGGATCGCCTACATCTTCTTCAACTTCAGCGTCGGGATCACCAAGATATCCATCGTTCTCTCCTACCTACGCCTCTTTGCCTCATCGAAAGGGACGAGAACAGCGTGTCTCGTCTTTCTGTGCATCCTCATACTCAACACGGTGGTGTCGGTGACGTGCTGCATCCTGACTTGCCACCCAATCTCATTTTTCTGGCACCCCGAGCTGTTTACCACGCCCGAAGTGGTCAACGAGCACTGCGTCAACGTCAAAGCCATGTGGTTCTTCCAGGGATACACCTACATCTTCTTCGACCTCGTTCTCATTGTTCTTCCGATCCCGGTTGTCAAGTCTCTGAACATCTCTCGACGCGAAAGATGGGCCCTGGGCGGCATCTTTGCGCTTGGCGGATTGTAAGTGTGCCAGACCACTTTCTTCAAACCGGCAAGAGCTCACAACGGTCGATGCAGTGGATGCATCTGCTCCTTTCTCCGGATACACTCACTCACCAGAGCCATTGGCTCCCAGGATCCGGGATGGGACAATGTCGACTCGGCACGCTGGGCCGTCATCGAAGTGGCGGTCGGCATCATCTGCGCTTCGCTGCCGCAATGCAAGACGCTTCTCACCAGGCTTTTCCCACGCTTCCTCAGTCCGAATCGCCGCAGCAGGGACGTGACTTTCGCCGTCTCTGGGTTCGACAAAGGCCACGGGTGGAACTCGCTTCTGGAAAAGGGGATCCGGATGGACGCGGCCCAGAAGAACCAGATGAGTCGGAAGGGAGGGCTGGTTCAGTCCATGGTGGAAAGGGGCGCTCCGGACGACGAGGTCGACAGATTCTGGGGCGAGGCCACAGGGGCTTCTGCCATCCTGGTCACCACCACCATGACGCAGCGGAGGGAGTCGCACTGCCCCAGCGTGGAAAGCATAGAAGAGGTTTCGAGAAGGAACAGCATCACGCCCAGCGAGGTGTCTCTGCCTCCCTTCCTCACCGAGGACTGAGGGCGTGTACCGTTTCATCTTCCGGTCCCCCAAACGTAAATTTTAGTACATATATTGCAGTATGACTTGACGCCCGCCACGACCCAGCCACTCCACCTGTCCCTCCATACCCACGCTCAGAGCTTATAATGCGGCCTCGGCACGTTATCGTAATACGGCACAACAATCACGTTCGGATCATCCGTCATGCTCACCATGGCCTCAGTCCCCGGATGCGTCGGCTTCGCACTCACCCTCAAATCCAAACACCCCGGCAACCCACGGCCACGGCCACCATCCTTACCGCCACCCAGCAGCCTCTCCACCTTCGGCCGCACCTCGTCCAGCGTCTCCGCCCTCTCCCCCAGACACCCCAACCCCCTCGCCACGACCGCAAAGTCCAGCCGCGCGCTCAGCCCGCTCGCCGGCCGCGCCGCCGTCTTCCCGCCAAACACCAGATCCTGCCCGTTCCGACTCATCCCCCAACACGCATTGTTCACCACGACCGTCAGCACCCGCAGCCCGTGCCGCGCGAACGAGTCCAGCTCCATGAAATGGAACCCCGCCGCGCCATCCCCCGTCACCAGCACCACGAGCGGCGCCTCCTCTTCTTTCTCTCTCTCTCCCTCCATCCCAACCGCAACCCCACACCCCAACGCATACCCGAACCCGTTGCCCAGAAACCCCAGATACCCTGTCGATGACATCAGCGCGCGGGGCCGGCACTGTTCGGCGATCGCCCCCGCCCACAGCGCGGCCTCGCCGCCGTCGAGGACCACGACGGGCCGGGACTCGGCGGGCAGCGCGGCGAAGAGGGCGGATAGCGCGTGGTGCGGGTGCAGAGCATTGGTTTGTGGGACGGTTGACGGGGCGGCGGCGAAGGGGGAGGGCGCGGCGTGGAGGGAGCGGAGGGTGGGGAGCCAGGTGGGGTCGGGGGCGGGGGCGTCCTTGGTGGTGGAGTCGCTTTTCAGGGCGGCGGCCAGCGCGGACAGTGCGGCGGCGGCGTCGGACACGATGGCCACGGCGACGGGGGCGGTGCGGCCGAGCTCGGTGGCGTCGGTGTCGATGTGGATGAGCGGGCAGTTATCGTTGGGCACGATGGCGCCGGTGCGGCCGCCGAGGTACATGCCGGTGCGGGCGCCGGCGAGGACGACGCAGTCCGGGCCCGGGCGGCCGGTGTGGCGGAGGGCGGCGAGGGCGGAGGCGGGGCCGGCGAAGGTGGGGAGAGGGTGGAGCGGGGCGAGGTGGGCGAACTTGCCCGTGGTGAGGATGGGGGTCGAGGGGGCGGCCGAGGCGAAGGCGGAGAGGGCGGAGGCGGTCGAGGAGGGGCCGGCGGCGAAGGCGCCCGTGCCGAGGATGAGGGCGGGGCGTTTGGCGGAGCGGAGGATGGCGGCGGCGGAGGCGATGGCGGCGGGGTGCGGGCCCGGGAGGTGCGGGAGGGGGCTGCTGATGGAGCCCCAGGAGATGAGGGGGATGGTGATGGGGGTGAAGAGGACGTCGATGGGGACGTCGAGGAGGACGGGGCCTGTGTGTGTGTCAGTCTTCTTCCTTTTTTTCTTTGTCCGGTAGAAAGCGTGGAAGATGTATGTACCTGGTGCTCCTGACGCGGAGATGTGGACGGCGTGGGCGACGAGGCGGGGCAAGTCTTCGGCGCTCGTCACGCGGTGGGCGAACTTGGTCATGGTCCTGGCTACGACGACTTGGTCGATTTGGCCCTGCAACGAGTTGTTTTCCTGGTCCCGAAGCGGCACGGACGAAGTGATGCACAGGATGGGGCTTCTGTCCGCAAAAGCCGTGGCTAGGCCGGGGAGACCATTCGAAAATCTACAAACACTCAGTCGCCGCGTCGGATGCAGGTGTTGATGGGAGCTCACCCGCTGTTTGCAGTGACGAAACAGATGCCCGTCTTGCCCGTCATTTTGGAGTAGCTCTCGGCCGCCTGCACCGCCACCGTCTCGTGCCGCGTGTCGACGAGGCGGATGCCAATGCTTTCGCACCCGAGAAGGAAGGCATCGAGATGACCGCCGTGCAACCCGAACGCCACCTCAGTTCCAAGCTTCTTCAATGACTGAGCAAGGAGATCCCCGCCCGTCAACTCTCTGTTCTCCGGCATGGTCAACGGGAACGCCATGGTTCAAAACGGAGCGCGCAGCCTTTCAACGCGGTAACTGGACCGAAAACACTTCAGTGAAAAAGCTTTGTAGATATAGGACCAAGTAAAGCATCACCACGTAAGCAGCAGCCCGCCGTCCGCGGGGCAATCGGCTACCGGTAAACGCTTACATGCACGCAACCCCGCAGTCCCCTCCTCAGCCAAGCATGCCCCCCCACACACAAACAGCTCATCATTGCCGAGCCCAACCCACCGGATACGTACCTACCTACCGCGCTCATCTAACTAGTCCCCGCGCACGACCACCTCCCCCCTCCTCCGATCTCCCGCCCGCCCTTCCCCCCTCCCCCCTGCCACACGCCCATCAAGCTCCCCCCCCCCGGTCACAATTTCCTGACACTCGGCGGCACCGCCGCATCCGGCCCTGCAGAGGCAGAGGCAGAGGCACCCCCCTGCTGCTGCTGCGCCTCCGCCTCCGCACTCGCCCTCATCGCCCTCGCCTCCAACATCCTCACCAACACCTCGCCCAAATCCGGGCCCGGCACGCCGCACAGCGCCGCCGCCTCCCTGCACATGCCGTCGTCAATCTCCTTGTACTCGACCACCACGTCGTCATCATCGTCGTCCAGATCCCCAGCAGTACCGCTGCTGCCATCCCTTCGCGGCACCGCCTGCGAAAACACCAACGCCCCGTTTCGCGCGTGGGCGCCATCGCCACTCGCCATCAGATACAGGGCGGAGCGGGCGGGGTCGGCGGGCTGCATGCAGTAGGCGCCGGCGGCGCGGATGGCGGCGCCGGGGACGATGCCGGTGGCGGTCCATTGCGGGGCGATGGCGTTGATGCGGATGGGCAGTGAGGAAGCGGCGGGGGAGAGCCGGAGGGTGGGGGCGAGGGAGCGGAGGAGGCCGAGGACGCCGTGTTTGGCGGTGGCTGTGGGGGGTTGTGAGTGTGGGTTGTAGGTCTTTTTGTTGTTGGTTTTTTTGGGAGGAAGACTTACTGTAGTCGACGGTGGGGAAGCGCTGGAAGCCTAGGGGGGATTGAGTTAGTAAGGGAGGGAGAGAGAGAGAGAGAGAGAGAGAAGGCGACGCACTGGATGCGGATGCGGTGAGGACGATGCTTCCGCCGGCGGGTTGCTGCTTCTTCATGTAGTGTAGGGCTAGGGCGGTGGTGTTGAGCACGCTCTTGAGGTTGATGTCGATGACGGAATAGTCGGGCTCGACGGGCTTGCCGTTGCTGTCGACCTTGTCCTCCAGCAGGTTTGTGCGGGGGCCGACGCCTAGAGACAATGGTGAGCAGGAGGGTTAGTGGGTAGGTATGGGTTGACGTACCAGCGTTGGCAAATACGTGATCGATTCGGCCGTGCAACTCGAATGCCTTCTCGAATATTTCGGATAGCGCGGCCCACGATGTTACGTCGAGCGGAACATAGGTGCAGTTTGCGTGCTCGTTGACATGTGGCGGGGCAGGGTTGAGATCGCCTATGACGACTTTTGCTCCAGCTTCCAAAGCCAACGAGACGGTGGCAAGTCCAATGCCCGAGGAACCGCCTTGTTGTTTGATGTTTTAGCATGACTGGGTTCGTGCATATGGTGCCAGGGGCATGCTCACCCGTGATTATTATGACTTTGCCCCTCAGATTCTGGAAATCCTGGTCGCGAATCTTGATCTCGGCCATGTTGATTAAGCGTGTAACGGATGTCAAGAAGATGTAAACTCGATGCCGCCTGTGGGAAGCGCTCTCCTTATAAACACCCCTGAGATGCGATGACGACGGGCAGACTTCCCCGCATTGAAGATCCCTCGGCCACGGAAGGCGATCTCAACTCCAGCGCGGGGCGCGACCACATTGTTGTCATCCATATAGTCTGTGGATCTAACACGAAAACCCAAGGGAACCCAGGGATGCGACCCGCTAAAGACACAATCGTCCCTGCCATTCCACCCAACCGCGCGGGTCCCCCTTACGAACACCACCATCCGCATGGCGCATACTTCAACTCTAAGAACCGACGACTAAGACGACGACGATGGCGAGAGCGGGGGAGATGGTGGTGTGCTTCATTTCGGCATGAGCTTGCCACGGGTGGATTGAGAGATGGGAACGGACATGAATTTCCTCTGCTTGTTCGACTCTGCCTAGACTTCCTACGGCGGTTGGGATTTAAGCTTCAGAGTTACAAGCTGTCAAAAATAGAATCATCCTTTACCACGTCGTCTGCCAAGCCCGGATGCTCTCCGCCGGGCATTTTGGCAAAAGCTTCTTGGTCTCCGGAAAGACGCAGCTCCGAGAAGTTCGGTTGGCCGTACCCTGACGTTCTTAGATCAAGAGGACTTGGGTAGATGGATTTTTGCAGGGTGAGGGACCAAAGGGAGTGATGGCAGAGATGGTGGGAAAGTGCAAGAGTGTCTTGATGGACAAGTGGAGAGAGGTGAAGGAAGAAAGCGAGTGAAACAAGACGGGCGGGCCGCTGTTGCTCCGGCCCGCCCGGCCCAACGCCCCCGTAACACATGTACGTCACGCTGCAAACAACATGACCTTCTCCACACTCGCATGCTCCGGTGGATGCTGGCTGGGTCGACCGCGTCAGCCGAGAATCACACCTTCTTGTTTCTTTCGTATTCTCAGTTCTATTCCCGGCGGCTATAGACATGGGGTTCTGGCAGAAAGCGGCATGATCTGCAGGGCAGATGGTCCCTAAATACAGATCGACTCTGAGGCGAGGGCCGCGGCCCTGTAGCAAAGTTCCTGAAACTCGGACGGTCTCCGCTTTTCGGGATAGGAGAAACACCAAACCACCAATCCCCCTTCGTTTGGAACCCGCGCTCCGGCGGGCCACCGGGCTTGCAAAACACGGCTTGAAACAGGGTGCCGGACGGGTACGAGCAAGAGCGAGGCGGCGATGCGTGATGCGGGATGGGTGATGGGTGATGCGAGGCCGCCCGCCGTCTGGCTATAAATGGCCAGCGCCGCTGTCCGGCCAACTCAATCAAGCAGTTCATTTTTTACTACAACCATGAAGTCGACCATCTTTTCGGCATTGCTCATCGCCAGCGCGTCGGCGGCGGCGGTGAAGAAGACGGCGGGCAAGCGGCAGTCGTCGGGCACGACGCTGATCCCCAACACGTGCTTCGACGACTACTCGAGCCTGGAGGAGTACTTCGACTACCTGTACCCGTGGGGCAGCGACCACAACGGATCGGCGCGCATGGTGGGCAACAGCACCGACCACGACTACGTGGCCATCTCGCCGGCGGGCCAGCTCACCATCACGGCACAGCCGGTGACGGGCCAGCCGGCGACCAGCGGCGGCACCGCCATCAACTACCTGTCCGGGGCGGTGCACGCCAAGCAGAGCTTCGCGGTCGAGGCGGGCGGCGGGCTCGACTTCTCGGCCTCGTTCCTGGCGTCGACCGACGTGGGCACATGGCCGGCCTTCTGGCTGACGGCGACCGAGGGCTGGCCACCGGAGATCGACATTGCCGAGTGGAAGGGGTCGGGCGACATCTCGTTCAACACGTTCAACACCAGCTCCGAAGTCGAGGCCAAGGACGTCGAGTACCCCAGCCCCACCGAGTTCCACGACATCAAGGCCGAGCTGCGCGACGAGAACGGCAGCGACGTGTCCATCAACTTTTACATGGACGGCGAGCTCATCACCACCCAGGTCGGCGCCGGCTACACGGGCGCTGGCTTCTACCTGTAAGTTGTAGCCTGCCGTCTCTGGAGAAGAGAGCTGACGCGTGTGCCTCGACAGCATCATCAACCTGCAGATGGAGGGTTCTTCGGGAACGCCGGGCCCGACGACCAGTAAGTTGCCCAGCTGTAAGCGTCGAAGACTGCGGATGCTGACGAGATGCAGACACGACGTACGCGGTGAAGAACCTGGAAGTCATCAGCTACAACCCTTAGACGAAGGTGTGGGACGAGTGTATATATCTTGCCGCTTCTGGTATTTAGTTTATCATGACTCTTTTGGAACCGATGCTCTGCTCCGTGGGCTTACCCGACGATGCTGCCGCTGTGATGCCCGACGATCTTGTAACCGTAGTGATGTCATGTCGCGCGCTCTCAGCTGACTTCGTACCGACGGGAGTCCGGCTTCATCCTCGCCGGCAGCTGCACCATGACAGGAATGCAGCAATCACGCCAACATGATCCCGCCTCGTCGTCCTCGCCCCGGCCCCGCGGTTGGAAGCGTCGTATCGCAAAAGTCGGTCCCGCCCCATTGCTACACTAGTAGGCCACCGCTGACCCCGTCAAGGCCTGCGACTCCTGTCGCCAAAGGCGAACAAAGTGCAGCGGCGCGCGTCCCACCTGCTCCCAATGCGTACGGCTCGGAGCCAGCTGCCACTACTCGGACGCCGTCGCCAGACAGACGCGTCCTCGGCCGGAAAGGTAGATCGGAAGCCCTCCGTGAGACGTAGCTGCTGGACTGACGGCAACACCAGACCAAGCAGTACCCGACACCTTGAGGCACGCCTTCACGAGCTCGAAGCAACTCTCCACCGGCATCATCAGCCGAGCTCTGTGCCCGAAGCATCGCAGCAAGGGCCGCGCCAGAGCCCCGGAGATGGCACTGAACCGCCGCCACCGGCCTCCGACGGGAACGGAGGCCGCGGCACAATCGTTCTCGAAAACACAGGCGAGATGAGATACTTTGGTGTGCAATTTGCGACCAGGGACAAGACCGCCGCGCTGACTGGTCAAGAGGCCCCTCATCGAGCATATCCATCCTGTCTCCGGACGGCCTGCAATGGCTGGAATCCCGCACCGCCGACGCCTCTCTGCGCCACCGCCTCGAACAGCCGCTGAGGGGAGGCGCCAGCTGGGCCGGATGGACCCATCCGCTGCTTCAATCGCTGTGGCCTGCTGAAAACTCGACGCCTGTCCCCCCCTGTGACGAGGCTCTGGCCCTGGTCAATGACTACTTCGACAACTACAACACCCTTCTGCCCATCTTCCACCCTCCAACTTTCATGGCCCTGTTCGGCACCCACTATCAGCCTGCTTCTGCCGCACGTGCAAGCAACGACCCCGCCTGGTCAGCAGCCTTCAATGCAGTCCTGGCCCTCTCGCAGCGCTGGAGAGCCGAGCAGAATCCCGCCATCAAACATCTCGCCGACCGAGCCTGGGCTTATGCAAAGAACGCGCTCGAGGTCGTGCTGGCCTTGCTCATGCGCAGCACCAGTCTGCTTTCCGTCCAGGCCCTCCTGGCCCTGGCCTGCTTCTTCCGCGGCACCCCGAATCCCCAGCCCTTCTTCTTCCTCACCGCCGCTGCCCTTCGCCTCTCCCACTCTGCCGGTCTTCACCGAGCAGCCGACCATCTTCCGCTGACACCCGTAGACCGCGAGCAGAGGTTGCGCGTCTTCTGGATCGCCCTCATTCTGGACTCCAGCGCCTCTCTGCGCACCGGCCGGCCCTGCACCCACAGCATCAACGACATCGGTGTTCCCCTGCCCTCGCCGTCTCCCAAGGACAACCTTGGGATACTGGTGAACCGCCGCGGCACCGCCGTCCTGAGCTTTCTTCTGGCGCAAGCCAAGTTCGCCGTCATCGAAGGCAAGGTGTACGACCGCATCTTCACCGCCTCCGCTTCCAACAAGACCACCGACGCTCTCGATGCCGACGTGCGCGACCTGGGCAGGGAACTGGCCGAGTGGAGCCGCATGATTCCCGGAGGGGCCGACTGCAGCGGAGTGGTTGTCGACGACTGGGGCGACCAACACCTTCACGTTGCCAGTCTGCTCCTTGCATATCACAGCTGCGTCATCACCGTCCACAGCGCCACATGGCAGCGGCACTTTAGCACCCTGAGGAGCAGGCGATGCGCTCGCCCGAGCCTCGACGTCTCCTCGGGCTTCCCCGACGCCCACGTGTGCCTCCAGGCAGCGCGTGAAATCGTCCAGCTGCTCTCGCACGTCCCGCAGGCAAAGACGAGCTTTATTTGGTACGTACGTAGACACCCGTTCGTCGCAACGGTGCTGACCCGAAGCCAAAAGGGAGGTGGTGCACCGGCCCGTGCAAGCCATGATGCTCTTCTTCATCTGCATCCTCCAGCAGCCCGACGACGCCGAGGCCGAGGCCCACGTCCAAGCCATCGGCGCCGCCGTCGCCTTCATGTCCAAGGCGATGACCAACCAGGAGGACTGCTTCGTGCAGCCCATGCTGACGGTCGGCCACGAACTCATCCGCATCGCGCGTGCTGCCATTCAGAGAGGCAGGGAACGCGCGTCTGATGAAATCGGCGGCTCGAGGAGCAATAATGGCCAGCCTATCTCGTCATATAATAACCCCAGTCTGGCGGCGCCTGGAGGCGATGCTGGAGTCCCTTCGTTTACGCCCGACCGCGCAGGCAACCTTGGTCCAGGGCCGGGTCCGACTTCAGCTCCGGCAGAGCAGTCGGCCCCCGGCTCTGATTTTCACGAACAGGCCTGGAGCGCCGATTCGGGATTCAGTGGCATGGACCCATTGGCCGAGATAGCCATTCCGTTCTCGTGGAACTGGCAGGACCTGTCGACCGGTCTACTAGAAGAGTTCAACCTCCTGTTTTAGCGTGGTGCAATGAAGAAAGATGAAATTCCATCATTCGTGTTCTCGAGCTCTGCTTTTCCCATTTCCAACCTTTCCGTATCCCCATCTCACGATCGAGAAAAATAATAGTAAAACAGCATCTCGCCCCATATTTTCCCCTCTATATACAATTATACACACCCACCACTCCTGCTTCGACCTCCCCCTCCATATACATTCATACCCACCTACCACTCCGGTTTCGACCTCCCCCTCGACCCGGACGGCACCGCATACCCCAGCTCAGACTTCTCAAACTTGAACGCAGGCGCCAAGATGTTGACGTCCTCGTCGATGCCCCACTCCTTGCCGGACATGGACCAGAAGAAGTCAGGGTGGCGGAAGAGGTCGGGGCGGGCCTTTTTGATGGCGTCGTGGCTCTTGAACAGCAGCGTCTGCATCTCGTCGTAGTGGCGGACGCGGAACCCCTCGTTGCGGGCGAGTAGGGCGGCGCGCTGGGTGGGCCCGTACTGGCCGAGGCGGTAGTACCAGATGTTGTACTGGGTGAGGGAGACGTCGATGTCGGAGGTGGCGGCGGCCTTTGTGCGGGCGAGCAGGGCGTGCAGGATGGCGGCGGCGCCGACGAGGCCGGTTTGGTAGTCGGAGTTTGCTGGGTTTGTGGTTTGCTGTCAGCTCTCTCTTTCTCTCTGTCTCTCTTTCTCTCTCTCTCTCTCTGTCTTTCTCCCTCTCTCTTTCTCCCTTTCTCTCTCTCTCAGGGGTTGTCGGTTGACTTACGCAGCAGCGGGACGACGGGCTCGTCGAGGCCCAGGAACTCGCCCTGCAGCCAGGAGATGCCGACGAGGCAGTCGCTGATCTGCTGCCAGCCGGAGCGGTGGGCGAGCGGGCCCTTGAAGCCGTAGCAGTTCTCGCGCGCGTACACGAGGGCCGGGTTGAGCTCGCGCAGCCTCGCGGCGTCGAAGCCGAGGCGCTCGAGCACGCCCGGGCGGTAGCCGTCGACGAGCACGTCGGCGCCGGCGACCAGCCGCGCGAACTGCTCCCTGCCCGCGGCCGACTTGAGGTCCACGTTGGCGTCGCGCTTGCCGGTGCTGAGGTCCATCCACAGGATCGACAGGTCCGGCAGGTTCTCGTTGGTCACTTTGATGACGTCGGCGCCCAGCACGGCCAGCAGCTTGGAGATGACGGGCGCGGCGATGACGCGCGAGAAGTCGATGACGCGGATGCCGGCCAGCGGCTTGAAGCCGTGGTTCGACGGTGATGGCGCCTCAGGCCACGGGGTGGGCGCGGGCGCGGGCACGTCGCGGCGCGTCCACAGCGGCTCGGCGCCCATGACGCGGCCCTGGTCCGAGGCGAAGAACTCGTCCGGTCGCAGGCACGTCACGCCGGCCTGGCGGTAGTCGGGCCCGTTGGCCAGGGCCTCGAGCTCGGCGGCGTCGCGGCTCCCGACGGCGGCGGCGTAGACGGCGATGGCCTCGTCGCGCGTCACGTCCTGCTCGGCCACGCCGACCATGCGCATCGTGGCGGCCGCGTTCATGGAGCCGTGCAGGTGGTACCACCGCCCGTCGCGCGTGCGGTACACGTTGGTGGCTTCCTGGTGGATGGGCTTGGACGTGGCGTAGTGGTCGCCCTTGGCGAACTCGCGCTGCAGCTGCGGGTGCGCGAGGTACGACTGCGGCGACGGCTGCGACGCCGATTGCGTCGTGGGGAGGAGGACGGACTCGAGGAAGAGGGTGGCGAGGTCGCTGGGTGGGGGGAGTCAGTTTCTTGTTGTGTTTTTGCAATCAATGGTGTTCTTTCTGTGCTTGTTTGTTCGTTCGTGCCCGTATCCCCTTCTCCCTCCTCCTCCCCTTGTGGGTTTGCTCTGCTCCCATCTCTTTCCAGACACACGAGGGAATCCCTTTCACTTACGAGTTGACCTCGACGTCCTGGTAGTCGATGCCGTAGCGATCGGCGGCCACGGCGCTGGCCGCGGCCGCCACCAGGGCCGTCAGCGCCGTCGACGACTCGGTCATCTTGCACGGCGTCGGCACAAACGGCTTCGGGTCGTCGCCGACGATGCGGATCTTGCGCGCCGCCTCGGCAAACGACGGCGGCAGCCCCAGCGACGCGTCGTTCAGCAGCCGCTCGTGCAGGATGCGCGCCGCCTCGGCCTGCACCGAGTAGTTGTCGTCGTCGTCATTGTTGTTGTTGCTGTAGGCGTCGCCCATCTTGGATTGTTTCGTTGCTCTCTTATGTTCCGTTGTGGCAGGCTCGTGTTCGTTGATGCTCTTTGCTGAGGGACGAAGGAGATGATGATAAGAAGAGATCTGACGTGTGTTGAAGGAGCTGCGGATGCCCCATATGTATCGTTTTATACATCATCCCCCGCAATCCTAGTGCCAGTCATCTCTCACAGACGGCGTCGAATGACGACCCGCCTTTCGATTCGGTCCGCATCGGCCGAGACGTGGGCCTAGCCTGACGGCGCCCTTTTGCGTTTTCTCCTCCTGGTGGTCGTCCGGGATCTGGCGCAGATCACTTCCGCTTCCTGCGGCGTGGAGAACCTCGGCCGGAGTTTTGGATTGAAGCCGGGATGCGAAACTCCGACAGCGGAGTTTTGGCGCCATGTCAAAAGCCCCGGCCAATCAGAAGGGCGCAGCAGGTGTATGGTGCCTCGTGGGACGACGCTACGTACCCTGAATGCGTTACCCCTCATCGCCATATTCCCCTCACCGGCTCGTGGCTGCACCCGCGGCTGAGGAGATGAGCGCACGGCGTGCGGCCTGCCGAAGATACCAGCCAGGTAAATGCTGCCCGTCGACGTAGGTAACATGACTCGGCCCGGCTGCTTTCTTGGCGGCTTTTCGAGGGGTTTTTATATCGGCTCCATGTCTCCTCAGTCGTGGTGTCTGGTCTCCAGGGCATTTGATCATTTCGACAAAAGCCACCACGTCTACCAGAGCAGCGCCTCGTTGAATCCAGGACCATATTTCCAGCAAAACCCAGCCACTTCTTCAAACTCCTCCCCCACCAAAGAACCCTAGCCATGCCGACGTCCTCATGGCGTGAAGGCGAATTCGGCAAGCGGCCCGTCCGCATCGCCAACTGCTCGGGATACTGCGGTAAGAAGCCAGCCAGCCCGCCAGCCAGCCTGCCTCCAATTAGACTCCCCCTCAGACACGACGCCCATCCCATCCCATCCCATCCCATCCCACTCCCCCCCCTCATCCCGCAGCAACCCAACCCCTTCCTAACACCCACTCCCCCTCCTCAACAGGCGACCCCGCAACCGAAATGCACAAACAAGCCACGCTCGGCACGCACCACTCCCACGACCATGCCATCGACTTCATAACCGGCGACTACCTCGCCGAAGTCAACCTCGCCAAAAACGCCGACGCCCACGCCGCGGGCCAGCACCCGGGCTACGAGCCCTCGGCGCTCGAGGGCTTGCGCGCCGCGCTCGACGCCATCGCCGACCGCGGCATCAAGGTCGCGCTCAACGGGGGGGCGCTGAACCCGGGCGGGCTGGCGCGCGAGGTCGCGGCGATGGCGGCGCGGAAGAGGGGGGGGAGGTGCGCGGGGTTGAGGGTCGCGTTTGTGGATGGGGATGATTTGATGCGCGGGGGGGAGGTGGGCAAGGTGATGCCGGTTGCGTTGCCGCATCTGGATGGGGAGGAGGGGGGGGGAGTGGGAGGGGGGGAGCAGGGGGGGCTGGGAGCGGCTGCCGGCGCGAGGGTCGTCGCTGCCAATGCGTATCTGGGGGCTCGCGGCATCCTGGCGGCGTTCCGGAACGGTGCGGACATCGTCGTCGCGGGGCGCGTGTCCGACGCCAGTCCGGTGATTGCGGCGGCGTGGTACTGGTGGGGCTGGACGGACGCGCAGTACGACGAGCTGGCGGGGGCGCTCATCGCGGGCCACCTGATCGAGTGCTCGGCGTATGTGACGGGCGGGAACTTTGCGGGCTTCGCCGACGCGGCAAAGTATGGGGAGGGGTGGATGGAGAGGTTCCTCGAGCCGGGGTTTCCGATCGTCGAGGTGGCTGGGGATGGGGGCTGCGTGGTGACCAAGCATGAGGGGACGGGTGGCGTGGTGGATGCGGATACGGTGAGGTCGCAGCTGCTGTATGAGTTGCAGGGGAATGTGTATCTGCACAGTGATGTGAAGGCTGTGTTGGATGGGGTGGTGGTCGAGGAGGTGGGCAAGGACCGGTGGGTTTACTTCTACTTCCCTTTCACTCCCTCTTTATTCAAGCATGCTGATTCGTTCTCGCAGGGTCCGCGTGAGCGGGATCAAGGGGTTGCCTCCGCCCCCGACCACGAAGCTGGCCATATTCTACGAGGGAGGCTACGAGTGTCAGCTGCTGTTCAACGCGGCGGGCTATGGCTGGAGGGAGAAGTGTGACTTGTTCGAAAAGCAGGTCCGGAAGCAGATGGGCGACGAGACCATCCAAAAACTCGACTGCCTCGAATTCCAGCGCATCGGCGTCCCAGCAGAGAACCCGTGGGACCAAAACAGCAGCACCATGTACATCCGCATCGTCGCCCAGGCCAAAACCGAAGCCCCCCTCTTGGAAATCAGCAACGCAGTGGCCAACATCTCCCTCCGACACTTCCACGGTAAGACGACAAGACCAACCGAATGCAAAGCTCCTCCCATCTAACAAAAGCTCCCTAGGCTTCCACAACTCCCTCGACCTGCGCACCGCCACCCCCAGACCCTACCTAGCCTACTACCCAGCCATATGGCCGCAATCCGCCCTCACCGAAACCGCGCACTTTGTCTCCGCCTCCGCCTCGTCCTCGACTGACGAAATCACCACCACCATAACCTCCTCCCACCCCGCCGGCCACCCACCCGCCTACGAGCCGCTCCCCGCGCACCGCGACTCCTACGACACGGCCGATGCATCCCCGACGACATCTCCATCCGGCCAAGCGACGCGGCGCGTCCGCCTCGGCGACGTCGCGCTCGCCCGCTCCGGCGACAAGGGGGGCAACCTCAACGTGGGCATCTACGCGCGCGGTGGCGATGGCGACGGCGAAGGAGGAGGAGGAGACCAACAACAAGTGCTGGCGGGCAAGCGGTGGGACTGCCTGCGGCGGATGCTGTCGCGGGAGAAGATGTGGGAGCTGCTGGGGGGAGACGTCGCCGCCGCGGGTGGTGTGTACAAGGTGGAGCGGGTGGAGTTTCCCGGGATACGGGCGGTGCATTTCGTCGTGTATGGGCTGTTGGGGCGGGGGGTGAGCAGCGCGACGAGGCTGGATGCGTTTGGGAAGGGGTTTGCGGATTATTTGAGGGATAAGGTGGTGGAGGTGCCGGTGGAGCTGCTTGGCGAGGAGGGGGGGAGGGGAGAGGCGAGGTTGTAGTTTTTTTTTTCTTCTTTTCTTTTTTTCGCACGGGTGAGGAGGAGAGATTCAGTGGTGAGTTTTGGTTCGCTCGTAAATCAATGTAATATTTCCCAATCCCAATGTGCTAGGCTACGGAGATGCTATGTCGTTTTGGCCACCACCGACCCGCTCGTCGTGGTGTTTTTAGTATGTGTGAGTTGTACAGGAAACAAGAAAAAGTCTAGTCAATGTACTGGAGATGACCGCCCTGGTTGGTGATCTTCTCGGACAGGACGAAGCGGCGGCGGTGGGTGGAGCCGTCGACCTTGCGCAGATCGGCGACCATGACGTTGCCGGCGTCGACAATCTCCCAGCGCTCGGCGGTGCCGCTGAAGTTGCCCGGCTCGCCGCGGTGCACCCAGGCGAACTCGCCGTTGCGGTTGGTGATGATCTCGTCGAGGTCGATGCGCGACTCCTGGAAGCGGCCGCCGCCCGCGTCGCACTCGGCGATCAGGAAGCAGTGGTTGCCGTCGGACCACAGCCGCGGGCCGCGCGACGACAGGTGGTAGTTGCCGCCGTGCATCTTCTGGTGGTGGCCGGCGTGCGAGTCGCCGCCACCGCCGCCGTGCATGGGCTGCTGCTGCTGGGGCGGGGCGTGGTGCTGCTGCTCCTGCTCACGGCGGCGGCGGTCCTCTTCGTCGCGCCTGCGCTTGTCCTCGTCGTCGTGGCGGTGCTTTTCGTCCTGCTCACGGCGGCGGCGCTGCTCTTCCTCCTCCTCGCGGCGGCGCAGCTCTTCTTTCTCCTTCTTCTCCTTCTCCTCCTTCTCCTCGTGGCGGTGGTGGCCGTAGGCGAGGGCGGCGCCGCCCAGGGCAAGACCCAGGGCACCGGCAGCGCCGTAGGTGACCATCTTCTTGCGGCGGGCGCGCTCGGCGTCGCGGGTGGTCTCGGCGTCGCTGTCATTGTCCGACTCCTCGCTCTCGTCGTCCTCCTTGCCGTCCCAGTCGACCTGGTTGCGGTCCTGCCACTCGATGCGCTTGGCACGCCACGACTCGCCCTCGGCGACGACGACGTCGTAGCAGCGCAGGGTCTTGCAGTTGATCTCGTCGGCGTAGATGGCGTCGGCGCTGACGGTGTGGGCCGTGATGGAGCGGTGAGGCGGCTCGCGGTAGTTGTGGGGCAGCAAGGGCTCCTGGCGGCTGATCTGGGCGCGCTGGCATGTGATTTTGCGGGCGTAGACGACGCGGGCGTTGACGGTCGAGGCCGTGACGGCGCGGGCGTAGAGATCGCCGCGCACCGTGTAGCTCTGGCGGTGTACCGAGCTCTGGCCGTCGTCGGCCACGGCAGACGGGTGGTTGCCCATGGCGGGTGAGGTGAATTGGACTAGAGATGAATTGAGAGGTAGGTGTGTGTTGGGGTTGAAGTTGAGGTGTAAGACGATGGACGGCTGGAGCGGGGGAGGGGCAGCCGGGCGGACTTTATAACTGGCGCAGTGAGGCCAGTGAGGCCGGACGGGGGCCGGCACGGGTCGAGGCGGCAGCTGAATCGACGAATGCTCGAGTGGCACGTATACGGCAGCCGTGAGGCGCCTGTGCGAGGGCCGCTCCCAGCGTCTCCCATGGTTGTCGGCCAGCTCACCTGAAACTAAGTCGAGCCAGATGGGCCGCTAGCTGTGGCTGTGGCGGGGCTGCTGGCGCCATCAACCCGCCCGGATCCACATCACCCCTGCGCGCCCGGAATAGCGGCATCTGTGGCTGTGCCGCCACAAGCCCTCAAACCTAAATTCCTTGCCGCCCATTCCGTCCGACCGTCCGCTGCTCTTACGGGCGTCTTCAGTCTCTTCGTCGGCGTCACCGGAGCAGCATCAACGAGCTTTCGCTCCGTTGCGTCATCGCCATCGTGGCCAGCAGTCCGATGGTGATCACTCACTCCCTGGACGAGGCCAAGCTTTGCGGGGTAGCCAGACTTACAGGCTGCTTTGCTCAGACTTCACTGTCAGCGTCCACCATGTCCACTGCCCACAGCAGGAGATGCAGTCAACCACCTTCACAAGGACCACTCTCCTCGGCTCATCAAGCCTCGGCCTGGCATCCGTCCTGCTTCTGACAGGTCCCGAGACTGTCATGACTCCTTTGCCGCCTTCAACACCATTCCGGTAGGAGACTGGCCATGACCGTCGCATCTTCCGCGTCATGGCACAGACATATGACGAACAAAACAACAGCTGATTCAAGCCGAGGTAGAGAGCAGACGGCTCGTACGTTTCGACGTCGGTAGAGCTGTCCATGGTGTCATCCCATCATGGCTCGTGCGGCAGTCTTGATTGGCCGCCTGTAATTTTCTCCACTGAAACCGCCGCAAAGAGCAAAATAATGCCGCCATTACGGAATATGTATTGGTTGCGCTTAGTCACAGCCTGCGTCCAACACCAGTCAGCGTGCATCCTCAATTGCATGCCTTCGAAAAACTTCACCCTCGACGCAGACGGTCCCCGCTTGGCGCCATGTACTCCTGATGATCGCCTCTGGTAGATTCGGCTGCTGGCCGCTTCTCCGTCTGCCAGATATTTAACCTCGTGCCTACCAATACACTGATTTCCCCAATCAGCAATTCCCTCTCCATGGCACACATCCAGCAACACGAACTGGATGTTGCCGAAACCACGAGTAGGTTTTCCATGAGACACCAGAAAAAGTCTTCTGACAGAAAACCACAGACCATGACGGCCACAGACAGATCCTGGACTGGAGCGGACCCGATGACCCGGAGAACCCGTACAACTGGCCAAAGTCGAAGAAGACGGTCGTCACCGCCGTGGCCCTGTTCGCCACCTTCACCACCATGCTCAACGGCACCATCATGACGGTCGCCCACGACGCCATCAACCACCGCTTCGGCGTGAGCGACGCCGCCTTCCCCCACTCCTACTGGCCCGTCACCTCCTGGGCCGTCGGCGGCGCCCTCTGCTCCTTCGCCGTCCTGCCCCTGATGGAAGACTTCGGCCTCCGCCGCGTCTTCCTCGCCACCTACGCCGCGCTCATCGCGTCGCTCATCCCGCAGGCCTTGGCGCCCACCTTCGCCACCCTCGTCGCCACGCGCTTCCTCAGCGGCGGCGCAGTCGCCGTCCTCGCCAACTCGACGAGCAGCGTCATCGGCAACGTCTGGGACGGCGACGCCGCCCGCTCCGTGCCCATGAGCCTCTGGATCACCTTCTACCTCGCGGGCAGCAGCGCCGGCCCTGTCGTCGGCGCCGCCATCCTCGCCCGCCTGCCGTCCTGGCGCTGGCTCTTCTGGTGCCAGCTCGTCTGGTTCGCCGTCTCCTTCCCGCTGTACTTGCTGTTCCTGCCCGAGAGCCGCGGCGCCGTCCTGCTGGCCCGGCGCCGCGCGCGCGAGCTGCGCCGCGAGGGGGGCAGTACCGTCTACACCCGGCCGGAGCTCGAGCAGAAGAACGACAACACGCCCCTGGCCGAGCTCGTCGCCGTGAGCCTCAAGCGGCCGCTGCACATGCTCTTCACCGAGCCCGTCGTCATGGTCGTCGCCGCCGCCGCCGCCCTCATCATCGGCAACACCTACCTCTTCACGCAGTCGGTCGAGCAGGTCTTCGCCGGGCTCTACGGCTGGGGCCCCGTGCGCGCGGGCTACGTCCAGGCCGCCGTCGTCGCCGGCGAGCTGCTCGTGGGCTGGCCGCTGACGCTCGTGTCCGCGCGGTTGTATCTGGCGTCGGCGGCGCGCAACGCCGAAGTGCGTGGCGTCCCGATCCCCGAGGCCCGGCTGTATGTGAGCGTGCCGGCAGGGTTCGTGCTGATGGCCGGCGGCATGTTCGTGTATGGCTGGACGGCGTACGCGGCGCTGCCGTGGGTCGCGCCCGCGGTGGGGCTGGCCATGATCGGCGCGGGGAACAATGTCGTCATTACGGCTTTTGCGGACTATGCGGTGGATGCGTACGCGAGGTTTGCGGGCAGCGCCATGGCGGCCGTGGCGTTGGGGGAGAATTTGTGCGCTGGGTTCTTGCCGCTGGCGGCGCAGAGTCTGTATACTCGGTTGGGGTTCCATTGGGCGAGCACGCTGCTTGGCTGTCTTTCGTTGGTGTTGTCGTGCGCGCCGGTCGTGTTGATTGTTTGGGGGAGGGAGGTCAGGAGTCGCAGCCCTTTTATGAAGGAGGCGACGCTGGAGAAGAAACTGGAGGTTCAAGTTGATGGTACACCGTGAGTTGGGAAAAGAGGATGCATAGACTGGGCGTTTGATCGTTTATGTAAATAGTGGATAAGCGAGGCCAGAGATGGAAAACTGGCTGATGGGCTGTAGAGAGAAATATCATGAGAACTCCATATACAGCAAGCAAAGGCAATCTTCATCACCCAATCTTGTTCGTTGTTGACGCTAATGGCCACATTCCGAAACGTAAAAGTCAGCACAAGCAAGTCAAGCTCCCAAATGTGATTCTGTCGGATATTACTGTTACCCGGTAGAGCGTGTGTTGTTGTCGCTGAGGGAGCTGGCGGAATACGGGGGGCGAGAAACGGTCTAGACTCTTGCTTGTCGCTGGCTAGACCATGGCCACGCACCAACCCGTCAGCTAAACTCAAAACTGACTTCGCGGGCCGAGCCATTTCAACTCAGCCAGCCACCCAATCTGGTGGCGCTCCCTCCCAAATAGTCAGCTGGTGCTGCTTCTGTCGGCGTCTACAGACTCTTCGAGCCATTCCCCGGTCAGAAATCAGATATAAAACAGTCGCGTCCGACGGCCTATTCTGACCGGAAATACGAAATCATACCGTCCATCTGTACACTCACCAAAATGAACGACGCCCAATCCGTCGCGAAAAAGGAGGCCGAGGGCCTTCCCCAAGAGACTGCAACACTGGAAGAGACGCTCGACATCCTCAACACCCTCGAAGCCATGGCAAACAGCTACCTGGATACTTTCAACGCCAAGATACTGTAGTGCACCCTTCTCCATCTCGCAATCCTCGTCCTTACCCATCTGCAGGAACCCAGGGGGTGACGTGGTGGGAATACCCATCGACAAGGTCGTGGCGAGAACCAGATTCGTCCGCACTTATAGCTCTCATCCGGAGACGATTCCGGAAGAGCTCCAAAACTGCATCAAGTCCCTCGTTTCCGGACCGATGGAGAAGGATATCAAGAACATCGCCGAGAATGCGTGCCGACAGCTCTCGGGAACGTCGCCTGGCCAACGCGCCGTCGTTGAGCAGTCGTAAGTCACTTCCTGGCACATCGTAAATATTCTATAACAGAAACTGATATTTCACCCGTTGTAGTGCAATCTCCCTCGACGACATTCTGGGCCTCTGCCGGCTGGACGTAGGCTTCTTCTCTCACAACATCAAGTCGAGGTCCGTCCCCGGAACGTATGAGACGGTACTCGCGTGCTGCATCGTGGTCTCTTCAGTAGCCGTAGCCGACCTCGAAGAGAGCACACTCCGAGTCATCGTGCGGAACAGCTTCCACAGTTACTCGCCCGCGGTCAAGAAGCTTGTTTATGACGAGTTGTACTGGAAAATCATTCGCAAGCGCGATGAAGCGGGGTTGACCGAGGAAGAGCAAGGAGAGCTCCGGAACCACAAAGCCAATATGGATGACTACTGGAATGCTTCCAAGAAGTGATGGCCAAGACGACGGAAAGAGACGGACAGAAAATGACAGTCCGTCTCCGGGTTTCTTTGTTGTGGTTTTTAGTTTAAACCATATCGAAGAGAACATGAGAAACATGAAGGAAATGGAGGGCTGTGACATGCGTACGTCTTCTTCCTCCAGGGCATTCGCTTTTAGACGAAGCCGAAAATGGCAAAGGCTGCTTGCATGCATCGACATCAGAAGAGGTAAGGGAGAACTCTTTGCCTGTATGAATCCCAGCTGCATGATGTACCAGCCGCCCGGCACCTGACTAAATACCGGTGAATTTGGCCCTTGGGTCTGGGGTAATTAGATGATATCCGAAATGTGGGGAGAAAGTTGCGGGGGGGGAGGACCGATTTCATTGCTGCAGCAGTGACGATCCTCACAGTAGCCGTCATTTTCCTAGTAAATTCTTCTCCGGTACTCAATCTTTTTAAGCTTGAGCCTTATTTTGAGTGCTGACTAAAACTGTTCATCCATATATACGTAGACTATGTGATCCAGAACCACAGTTCCGAGACTGTGGTTTCTTTGAAAGGTCTGCTCTTGTATGTACATACCTTAATCCAGTTATATATAGCAGAGGAGGAGAGCCGTCTTAACCTCCAACACCCCATCAACCCCCGCATCCCCTCCTACACACCCACCAACCCACCCCCCTACAGCTACTTCCTCACCGCCACCAAAAACAGCCTCGGAAACCTCAACAACACGCTCCCATCCGCCAACGCCGGATACGCCTCCCTCAACGACTCCTCATAAACGCCCTCCAACCTCTCCCTCTCCGCCTCCCCCTCCAACCCCTCCAAATACGGCCTCAACCCGCTCTCCCTCAACCACTCCACCACCGCCCGATGCCCGCCCCCCAACCGATGCCAATAAACCGTCTGCCACACCTCGACCCTCTCGCACTTCCCCGTCGCATCCAACGCCTCCACCAAGCTCCTCGGATCCGGAAAAGGCTTCCTTCCCGCGTTCACGACGTGCGGGGCGTCGAAGCCGGCGCGCTTGGCGGCGACGGCCATGAGCGCGTGGCTGGGCTCGCGCACGTTGTCCGGGACCTGCATGGCGAAGACGCCGCCGGGGGAACGAAGCGCGCCGACCCAGCGCGTGATGGACGGGATGATTTCGGCGTCCGGGAGCCAGTGCAGCGCCGCGTTGGAGAAGATGAGGTCGGCGCCGCCGGACGTGCCGCCGCCCTCGTCTTTCCCTTCCTCGGACTCGGTCTCCTGCGCGCCGCCGGGTGGTGGTGGTGGTTGGTACGACCGCAGGTCCGCCTGCACGAAGTGCGCGTCCGGGAGGACGTTGCGGGCCTTGGCGAGCATGTTGGGGGAGGAGTCGACGCCGGTGATGCGGGCGCCGGTGCTGCTTTTACCGCTGCTACAGCCGTAGCGCGCTGCCAGCAGGGCGGTAGAGTTGGCCGGGCCGCAGCCGAGGTCGATGATGCGCGGCGAGGACGGCGACGGCAGGGGCGGGAGGGCGGAGAGGAGGTCGCGGGCGGGGCGGGTGCGCTCGTCGGCGAAGCGGAGGTAGTTGGCTGCGTTCCAGTCGATGCCGCCGGCGGCGGAGGCGGAGGCGGAGGGCGACGACATTGCTCTCGTTGGCTGTTGGAGTCTCGACGACGATCTGGTTGGCAGGATCTGGGACCGGCTGGTGGGACGAGTGATGGAGGGACAGAGCCGTTTTCGAACGAGTCGTGTCATTGGTCGAGGGGTTGGGTGAGTTGCGCTTGAAGATGCAGCTTGGGAACGTGGGAAAGCGGGAAAGTGGGATGGCGGGGTGGGAAAAAGCTTGTGTTCGGTGGTGGAGGCACAATGCGGGGATACCGCGGGGTTTAAGTGCCTACCTAAGCATGAGCTTGGTCCACAAGTCAATTGTTCGAGTCATCATCACCATGGTCAACCAGCAGCTGGTACATGCATGATATTTCATTCCACTAAAAACACGATATCGTAAATTCGAAAAAAGACACAATCTGAACTCCTTATCTCAACCGTTACAATGAATCACCGCTGTGAATCAATCAGTTGCAGAAAGGAGAAACTGTTCCCATCACCATTCGATGCCACCATGGCCCAAGAGCTTTTCCAGGTCCTTTTTAGCAGAATCAAATCAAAAAACAACGACTTTCTTTTTACCGCTCTTGATCATTTCCCGTCACATCAATGCACTCTTCTTAGTTCTTGCCCTTGACAAGCTCCAAGATGATGTCTCTGGCCTGCTCGACTCCTTCACGAGAGCCGACAATCTCAATGGCCTCGTTACCATCACCGCCGCGCGGAACCTGCACCTTGGTGCCAGTCCTCTTGCGGATGCTGTTGATTTGGCTGCCACCGGGGCCGACAACGAACCTGTAACTTCTCGGGTCGGGCAGGATCAGGTAGCCCGTGCATGATGGCTTGCTCTTCTCCTCTATGGCCTTCTCCAGCATAGCCTTCGCCTTGGCAACACTTTCCGCGTTGTTCGAGCGGAGGATCCACGGGATGTTGCCATCCTCGCTGTCATCAGAGCTAGACATGTTGTCCACAATCTCCCAAGCGTGCGCGTCCTGGCTGGCCGAGGGGTCGTCAGTGATCAAAGGAGCATTGCCACCGGCGTTGGCGCGGACGTTACTGGCCCCGGCAGTGGTTGGCTTGGGCGGGGGCTGCTGCCCGCCATGGTCGACCGTGACGCGGAGATCGTTGCGAAGACGGCGGAAGAACTGTCCATTGTCGGCAACCGCATGGTGAAGGCGCCTGGGGACCTGCACCGTCTCGCCCTCCTGCTCCTTGATCATGCCGGCAATGTGTTCCTTGGCCTTCTCGACATCCTGAGGCTGACCGACAATCTTGACCTGGCTGCGGGCAGCACCAGTGGCAGTCTGCTTGGGTACATCCACCGTAACCTTGAATTGCGATTCCAAGTTGCGACGCGTCTCGCCGCCACGACCGATGAGAATACGGTGCTTCTCGGGGGCGACCTCGAGGAACTCGGTGACCTGGCTCTCGCGCGTGCTCACGAGATTCTCGATCGAGGCGACAATCTTGTCGACGACAGCAGCGTTGCCCTCGACGCGAATCGTGTTCTCCTCCGACTCGGCACGAGGGAAGCGAACCATGCGGGCCAGCTCGCGGCGGTCATCGGGGCCACCAGCGTTGATGACAATGTCGCGGATGTTTGCACCTAGCCCATTCAATCAGTCGCGTTCAAATTTGCAATCATCAATGTGAAAACTTACCACCTGCACCAATCAAGGCCTTGTGGAACTTCTTGTCGACTTCGATTGTGCGGACCACGGTCTCGTCGAAAGCCTTGGCCTTTTGCTCGAGGAGCTTCTTGGCATCCTCGACCTGCTTCTTGGTGCCCTTGATCTTGATGTCCGCACGGCCCGAGGCATCGGCAACTTCACGAGCGTTGGGAACATCAATCTGTGCACCAGTAGTAGCGCGCAGAGCATCCATTTCACGGCCACCGGCACCGATGAGGGACGGGATCTGGCTCTGGGCGACCGAGACGGTAGCCGTGTGCGAGTTGTCAATGGTCCACTGGTACAGCTCGAGCAGCTCGTCACGGGCGGCATCAGCACCCCTCTTGGGGCCCCTGATGATGACCTCGTCGGCAGCCTGACGACGGTTGTGGTGCGAGGCCTCGGTACCAGCGTCCGCATCGTCGTTGGCGGCAGCAGAGCGGGGGAAGTTGATGCGAACGTTGTAGCGGTCCTGGAGACGGTTGACCTGGTTGCCCTTGCCACCGATGAGATCACGGTGGAACTGGGGCTTGATCTTCAAGACGAAAGTAGCCTCGTCTTCAAGCTTCTTGCCCAGGGCGATGATGTGGGCCTTGGCCGCGTGAGCCTTGGCCTGGGGACCCTTGATCTCAACCTTGCCATCCTGCACCTGAATGTCCACGTCGAACTCATCGCGAAGCTTCTTGATGTTCTCGCCCCGCTTGCCGATGAGGATGTTGGCGAACTTCTGAGGGTAGTCGAAGCTGATGGTGTAGCCACGCTCGAGCTCATCCTTCTTCTCCTGCTCAATGAACTCCAAGATCTTCTGGGCAAGCTCATCGACGTCCTTGTTGGGTCCACGGATGTACACGTTGTCCTTGTTGGCGCGAGAAGCTTGGGGCCTGGCGTTACCAAAGAGCACTTGCAGGGGAATCTGGTCCTGGGGAAGGCCCTGCTGCTCGCGATCAACGTAACGGCGGATCTTGTCGTGGAACCTGTACGAGCTGAATAAGTCAGTCAATTGACGTGCCTTCGGTTCACATGACTTACTTTTGCGGAGCCTCGACATCACGGCCAATGATCTGCTCGTCAGTGTTGATCTGGGAAAGGAGCTGCTTCTGAGCCTCCTGCAGGGCACGCTGGAAGGCCTGGACGTCCTGCGCCGAGGGCTGGCCACGGGGCAACTGGTACTCGGATGGCGAGCTGGGACCCTCGTACACGAGGACGAGCTGAGGCGACTCTGCGTCATCCTCGGGGAAAAGCAGGTGCACGCCCTGGTCCTTCCTCAGGCTCTGAGCAGCGCGCTGGCGCAGGTGCTGGTGGTAGAAGGGGTCGACATCCACGTTGCTGAACCTGCTCGGCGGATGGCTGCTGATCAGGTTCATGATGTCCATACGGGCCTTCATGCCGTTCTTGGCATCCCGCGAGTAGATCTCCCAGGCGGTGGAACCGTCCTGCGAGGTGGGAAGTACAATGCTGGCGTCGTGCATGCGCTCAAGCTCAGCAACAGCCTGGCGCTGCCTCAGGTAGCGGGTAAGAGCGCGAGCGTGGGCCTGCGAATTGGCGTGCTGCCTGGCAATATCGACGTTGGTGCTCTGCATCGAGGTCGCGAGGTCCATGACCTTGTTGATGCCGCTGTCAAGCTTATCAGCAGGTCCGACAATGGTGAGCATTTCGGTATCGTCATGGCTGGGGGGCAGGATGACGGCGCAGCCCGTCTCGGCAAGGAAGTCGTGCAGAGAACCACCGCGCTCGCCGATGATGAACTGATGCCTGCCACGCTCAATGGGCATCTGGTTGACGGCGAGCTGGCGGCGGAGTTCCTCGACCTGGCGCTCGATTTCAGAGCGAGCTTCCTGGGCAGCGGCGCGGTCACCGGAGATGGAGATGGGGAAAGCAGCCTGGGGAGCGAAAGGCACGGGCTGGCCGGCGGGGGTGGGCTGCGGGGGAGCCCTCTCGGCCCAGGTGAAGTAGTGCGGGATCTGGACGCGGACATCACGGCCGCCCTCGAATGAGTCGATGCGCGAATTGTGCGGACCGGCCAAGAAGGGGTAGTACTCGGCGGGAATATCCTTGAGGCGCAGGTTGACGGTAGAGGTGCGCTCGTCGACGATGCGCTCAATCTCCTGCTTGGCCAGAGCCGCAGCGACGGTATCACCCTCAATGACAACGTCAATGGTGGCGCTGTCGTCCTCCTCGAAGGTGCCAGTCTCCTCCTGCTTGGGAACCTGTATGCGGGCGCCGGTGCGCTTGCTGATACCCTGGATAGTGGCACCCTGGCGGCCAATGACGTGGGCACGGATTGAGGCGGGGATGGTGACATTCGTGGTTTGCTAGCACTTTGTCAGCAGAGCTTCGCTTCTTTGCAGGTGCGGCGGCTTACCTTGGAACCAAGCTCCTTGGCAACTTCCCTCAGAGCGGAGCGCACGGCGTCGACGGGACCAGTGCCCTGGAAGACGATGTTGCCCATGTTACCGGGCTTGATCTCGACCTTGGCCTTGGACCTCCTGTTGATGTCGCGGATGACGTTGGCCATGGGCTTCTTCTGCAGCTGGCGCGGGATCATCTGAGAGGGCGCGAGCGAGATGGACTCGACGTAACGGCCAGGCAAGTTCATGGTCTGCGGACCAGGACCGCGAACCGAAGGCGTAGAGGGAGTGGCAATGCCAGAGGCGGGGGTCGAGGCGCGCGAGGTACCGTTGCTGGCAGCAGCACCGTTGATGCCGTTGGCGCTGACCGAGGCGGGCTTGCGGCCCCAAGCAGAGGACACAGCAGCAGGAGCGTGGGCCTTGGGAGCGCCCAGGCCAGGGAACATCTCCTCAGAGGCAATGTTCAGCGGCGGGTTGGCGGGCGACTTCTTGGGAGTGTCGACATCCTGGGCCTTCTGCTTGCCAGCAGCCTTCTCGGACGGGGCTTGGGCGGGGGCAGGATGAGCGAGGTCGTCCTCGTCGGGGACGTCCTCAACGGTCGGGCGGTGCGACTCCTCCTGGGCCAGACGGGCCTCCAGCTTCTGGGCCGGGGTCTGGGCGTCTCCGTTGGTGGAAGCCTCAGCAGACATAGTGAACCAGATCCGATGCCGGGTGTACGACGACAGTGACTAGGGGCGGGGGAGAGGGACGACGAGCACGGCTTCCAGCAGGCGTGTGGGCTCGGCTACAAAGTGGCGGTCGGAGGTGGAGGCGCTGAGAAGACGTGTTAGCGAGGCAGGAGAAAAAGAGTGGGAGCGTGGCACGCACAATTTGGGATTTGGCTGGAAGGGGTGGGCGAGGGCAGAGGGTCGCGGTGGCGGAGGAGCGGGCGGAAGCAAGGCACGGGCGGGCAGGAGATTGGAGAGGGTAATGCGGGCTATGCGATTGCCATGCTCGGGCGGGGGGTGCAGTCGGGAGAGCGAGGGCGGGCACGAGGCTGCTGGCACGATGGTCGGTGAGGGAGAGCGGGCGAGGTGAGAGCGACTTGGCTGGAAAGTTCGAGCTCAGGTGGCTTCTTGCCCGCCATTGGCTCCGCCATCCCCAGATTCCGCCCCGGCCGCACCCACCGACCACGCCCGAGACAGCCCCAATGGCTGCGCCGCCGCTCCCACGCCCGCCTCGTGCCTGCAATTGACGCCGCGCACGCCTGGCATCTGCCCAATTTGCCGCGCCCTCGTGCTGTGCGACGCGCTGGGAATATCCGCACACGGGCCACAAGAGTCGCTGCGCCCTCGGTTGCTGCAGTCCGCCCGACCCGGCCCCGCCCGCCACCCTGCAACTCTCACCTCACCTCTCACCATCTGTCGAAGCCCTCTCGGAGATGCATTTGCCCCGCACGCCCCGGCAAAGCGAGAACCCCGCCCGAACGAGAACATGCGTGCTCTCATCAATCTAGTGGACGAGCCCCCTCATGCTGGACTCAATGGCTTCCTGTCGCTTCCCCAATTCGTTGCGTGCGGCGACCAACCGTCTGGCAAAGAGCTCCGTGACTGAGCATCTGTACCTACCGCGAGATCCCCAGGTTGAATCAATGGTTGAAGTAGGAGCTGGCCAAGACGTCGCAGCGCTTGGCTGCCTTGGAAGCGCAGCGGAAATCATTGAAAGACATGCGAGTTTTCCTGGCGAAATCCAGCACAAAGTACAACGGCCTTCTCGTTAACGCCCGATGTGGCCATTACAAGGACTACTTCTTTCATAACTCCGCTCGACCCTGTCTCGAAGGCTGTCGGCTTTGCAACTTCAGGTTATTGTTCGGCACACAGTCCCCAGTTTACAAATCTGATGCTGGCATGTGCTCAAAGTACAAGTTTGATGGTATCCCTTCCAAGGTTTTAGATGTCATTGGCGAGGAACATCGACGACGGTCTTGAATACATGCACTTAATCGAGTCATCTTCGGCGTGCGCGATAAGCTGCAGTTGTGCAGTGGCGAGAAAATCCGGTAGTATCAGTGCGACCCTCATGAGAGAGCTCTACTCGGAGCAGACTGCCAAGTGAAAAGTCATCACTCTCTCGAACATCTCCAGACCTTTTTGAACAAACTCATTCAGTATGTGCTGCCACCCAAATTTAAGTTGAATATCTCGCTGAGCTTGGCTTCGCAAAAGGACAATGCCATCGCAGAACTAGCTGAGCGCATCATCAAGAGCAATCTCAGCGCACCGGCGCCGTGCAACCGCTTCCATAGTAATAAGATTCAGAGACTTCGCGGCCAGAAGTTTATGGCTAGGGCCAAGGCCATCTCAGGGTGCTACAATGCACTCTGTCCAGAAGGTCGTCAATCTTGATGTCACCCTTGCAACACTTCACCAGCAACTCGTTGAGATGAACAGGGGATGGTTCATGGAGGAGGCTCTCGATAACTCGATGGTGTTGTACAGGTACAAGCTCAAGGGCTTCATCGCCCGCGTGCAGGCCGAGAATGTCATCGAATGCCACCTCATCACACCTCTGACTGACTCTCCCGTCTCATCCGTCGCTCTCATGAAGCTCTCAGAGGACGGGATTCGCTACTTTGCCGCCGAGTCTGAGCATGTTAGCATCGAGCGCGCCGGGCTGTCGGCGATCCAGAATAGCCTTGAAATGGGCGAGAAGTTATTCGAAATGCTTTGGTCTGATGGGCAGGCACGCATCCAGATTCACATTTCGCCAAGAACAATTGACGAATTGGCCGAGGTTTCAGCTCCTACGTAGGTCGGTGACTCCCACATCTAGATATACTCGTCCAGTTCCAGTTCACCGACCCTGAGTCCGGGCACTTATAGCATGAACGGAACTATCTTTCGTCAAGCAAGCAAAACGAAATACCACGCAGTAATCCACCGTGACCACACGGCTACCTACGCCGCACCACCCCTGCAACTGCCGTCCGCCCACGCCCATGCACCAATCGAAGGCGGTGAGTGTGGCGAACCGACCCCAGCCCACCACCTTCCCCTTTTCTCCCACCATCCGTTCCAGACCACCCCCTATCCCCCCACACCTCGTCCTGAAACGAGTCTTGCACCGCCACAAGAGCCGGAGCCCATATATTGACTCGCTAAGAGATACCCGAGCATACATACCCCTGTCCTAAATATAATCATCACCGTCCCCGTTTCAAACCCTGTCGATCCCACCCGGCAAATCACTATTGCATGCATGATGAACCCGGGCGATACAAATTAGCTGCTGCATGGGTCGGGTTCCCGCCGTGGTCATAGCTCCACCGCCATCATATTGTCACCACCTCCGAGACGAGACGCCGTCCCTATTTACGGCAGTCGTGTGGGTGGGTGGCTGAGAATGGCCATTGGGGGTGATGGTCGTCGTGTGTAGCTTAAGCCGTTTGCGGTCTTGACATAACCGATTGAGAAACAACGACGGCATTCCTGTGCACTGATCATTGCCGTTCAGAGAGAGCAAAGGATAAGGCGCTCCGAGAGCGATCCATATCCGTCTCGAATTGAGATAGTCGCCACAAACAAGTCCGATCACTCATCCAGAAACGCGTTTCATTCCCATTCGCGGCAGAGGATAAGCCCGCTGTTTACGTACGCATATCGAAACAGGGCATTAACCATGCTACTTACAATAATGAGATAGTTGGTCTGTACACGTGCGTGCGGCCCGCCATGATGAGGCCGCGAGCAGTCTAGGTACGTCTTCTCGCAAACGCTTGCAGGGAGGAAACGAGAAAATGGAAATCAAGACACAGCCGTAGTAAACGGTCTATGCAATGCCGCGGTAAAGGAATAGGACACGGAGAGGTGACGATGGTCAAACGCAAACGATGACGCTTGCAAAAGGGAAAAAAGACAACGAACAGAAACAAGAAAAGAAAAGTGCAGGCAATGGATAACACACTGAACGAACAAGACATAACCAGCGATCTAGATCCCGCCAGAACGCCGCGCCAAATGAGAGACGAGCAAGAAACGAAATGAGAACGGTCCGCTGGAAGACCAAGACATAATTCTAAGGAAGCATGTTGCCGCCTGATCCCATGCGCCGTTCTGATGCAAACACGTACAAATGCAATGGAATGATTCTAAGGAGTGACTGACCCGATTGACTGACCTGGATTCTGCTGGCTAGCATATACCTGTGGTCGATTCGTATGTATGTATGAGAAGCTGGTATGTACGATGTATGTATAATCGCCTGGCTCCTTGATGTATGGTGGTCCGGCTCTGGCGCTGGCTCCGTTGATTGCGTGGTTGGTCGGAATTCATCGATTACCCTTGCAGAACGTCCTCGAGGTTGTCCCAGAATCCAAGATCGTAAATGTTTTCAATGTCGGCCAAGCGCCACACGCGCTTCCAGCTACCCTCATCCACAAGTCCCGTCAATTGCTGCGGAACTTCGCGAGGGGGCTCGCCGTCGCCGGTCCGGACAAGCACCTGGCACGGGTTATTGGGCCAGCGCGTCGGGTTGGTGCTGGCATGGATTTTGTTATCGTCCGAACTGTAGCCGCTGTCCGAGCCGGTGCCCTTCTCCTGCGTGTTCTCGCGAGCGATGCGTCTGCCGACTTCGCCCGACGTGAAGCCGAATTCGGCGAAGCTGTTGGAGGTGGCGCGGGCACGAGAATGGGCATAGCGGCCACCGCGAGTGCTCGGGCGGCCGCGCTGGCTGGGAAGGTGCTCGCTGGCGTTCGAGGAGCCCCAGAGCTTGCCGGCGTAGATGTGGCCGTCGCGCATTTGGTCACGCAGGTCGGCCCACTTGCTCGCCTCGTTGGTCGTCATGCCGGCCCAAATCAGGTATGTGTGGTAGGCCAGCAAGCCGAGAGGAAGAGGCCAGGTAAGCGCGGCCAAGAGACCGACGCCCAAAATGCTCAGGCCGCCCACCTTTATGCTCTCGACCATGACGGTGTTCAGGTCCTCGCGGAAGCCCAAGAGGCGAAGTTTCCACGGCGCCCAGCCGCTAAGCAGCCCGGCGGGGAACGCATGGTCGTAGTGGGTGAAGCGGTCGTAGACTTGGGGGTACAGATATACGACCAGAGCCAGGTAAGCGCCGTACAGGAGGAGGAGCGTCGTGCTCAACAGCAGTGCGAGGAACCAGCGGTAGTTCTCGCGGCCGACGCAGTTGTTGACCCAGATGCAGTGGTGATCCATGCGAGCCACGCAGGTCTTGCAAATGGGGCAGTGCTTGCTGCGTGCCGGCTTAGGCAGGTGACATGTGCGGCAGGTCATGTTGGGGTGGTATAGAATGTGGTCGTACGGGTAGGCTTGCATCTGGGCGGCGTGGTTCGAGGCATTGATGACGGTGTTGGGGCGCGTGGTGGCGCACAGGTAGGTGAAGACATAGGGCGCGGGGAGCACGAGCGGGATGACCAGGCGGTGGTAGACGGGGAAGCAGGTGTAGGCGTTGAAGAGGAGGAGGCCAGAGGCGGCGGTGAGCAGGCCGAGGAAGAAGATCTGGAGGCGTCAGCATCAGCGGCGAGGGGCGGGGCGGTGGATACGCACCAGGACCAGGGGATGCTTTTCGTAGAGTAGGTAGTGCCAGGTGCGGGTAGTGTACTTGTAGATCCGGCCGCCGGTGACGAGGCCGTCCAGACGGCGCAACAGGGCGGGGAAGTGCACCCAGATCAAGCGGTGCAGGAATCCGATCGGGGTTTTGCTGCAGACGCGGGTCAGAGAGGCAGGGCAAGGCAGGGCGGGACGGGACGGTCGACGCACCGGAAGACGGGAAGACGGCCAAAGAAAACGGTGAAGACGAGGAAAGAGAGCGTGGCGACGGCGATGACGATATGCTGCAGCGGAGGAGGCTCCATGATGGCGGCATGGGCGGGGGAGCTGCGACACGCTGTACGGTTCAAAGCATGCGCATAACGTGGAGTCGTCCAGGATGGCAGGCTGAGAGTTGACGAGGCTCAGGAGAGGCTGCGCAGCGGAACGCGCGGCTCATTTTCTGGTCGGCTAGTCCGGGAGATGGGCGCGCCTAGGTGGTGGAGCAGAGAGCGCCTGCACCGCCGCAACCAGCGGGCCCGCAGGGAGGAGCACTAAGCTTGGTCGCCGCACGGGCGCGTGTCGCAGCCCTGCCGGCTCCAGCCTCTGTGCCTCGCCCTGTCGCCCTGTGGCCCTCCGTTTCGCGAGTCGCGGTCGCGTCGGTGCCAGTGCTTGGCCTCCGCGACGCGTCCCCCGCACACCACCACCGCCTTCGCCCCGACCCTGCCGCCCGGCGCCCCCCATGCTCGTCGTTTCCGACATCAGCGGCGAGCCGCCCGTCTACGGCGACCTGTTCGCCGGCAAGAAGTTCTGGATCGCCCAGCGCACCCCCGCCCGCGCCGACTTCGTCGCTCGCGTCAAGTACAACGGCGGCGAGGTCGTCCCGCTCGAGAAGCACGCCGACTACCTGATTGTCGACCACCTGCGCTCCGACCTGCCTGTCGGCGGCATCTCCTACCGCTTCATCGAGAAGTCAATCGAGTTCCAACAGATCCAGGACCCCGACGAACCGCAGTTCCGTTGCGGTCCGCCCCCAGATTTTGTTCGCGACGCGGGCTCCGCGCGACCTGCTCGCCGCGTGCGCGTCCCCTTCACCGCCGACGACGAGAACGAGCTCTACGCCTGGGTCAAGCGCTGCGAGGCTGAAGGACGTGGCGTCAATGGCAATGACATATACAAGGAGCTCGAGCGACGGGTGCGCCCATGCCGACACCTCCCGTTGACATGGCTGCACCACTGACACACGCAGAACAACCGCCACTCCTGGCAATCATGGCGCGATCGCTGGGTGAAGCGCAAGAGCGACAAGCCGCCCCGTACCGTCACCGTCAACGTCAACCCCCCACCGTCGCCGCCATCCGATGTCCAGCCTACGAAATCCTCCCGCCAGAGCCCCAAGAAGCCTAAAATAGAATCTGACAACGTCAACTCTACCAACCTTCCAATGGAGCTGGCGTCTGCACCACCCGCTCCCAAAACGACAGTCTTCACCCTTCAACATTTCGAACAGATTATCAGGGTTGTGGATGATGTCATGAACATTCCGTATGGACGTCTTTCAGAGGCCTGGGACGAATGGAGTAAGAAGGGAAATTCAGCACATTCGGGCGCGGATTGGGCGCGATACTTTGACACCTTTGTGAAGCCAATCCACGCAGACCTGATCAAGAATCCCGCCAGGGGTAAGGCTTACGATAAGGCTTGGGATCAGTGGTTCGAGCAGAATCGCGGCACTGCAACCGTCACCGATTGGATCGAGCATTACAGGAAAACCGTCCTTCCCAATTTTCCTCCGCCCATATCAGAGGACCCAGAAATCAAGGAAGAGCCCCGTGAAGACGACTCGAGAAATGAGCTCCAATCAGAAGAATTCAAGGTCAATCAACATGAACTAGATCAAACGGCTATGAACGTCACACCAGCAGAGCCAGGATCAATCATCAAGGGGACTGGGAAGAAATCATCAACCTCCTCGCCTGCAGCCCTTGGAGTGCCCTCTGCCATTGCCTTAGGGAAACGGCGACGGGAAGATGCTGATTCAGATCAAGAAGAGAACGGTGTGCGTAAACCGTCGCCGAAGCGGCATAACGCCAATGTCGAGGGTTCTTTTACTTCTGAGCAGGAGAGCGTTGAGTCGCCACCGAGCAATAACTCACTCTCAAGTCCCGCCCCCGCAGATATGCTAGTCTACATTTCCTCAAACCCAAGCTCATCCCCATCGCCTATAAACTCCCCTACTACAGAAGCACACCAGTCCGAATCTCACCCAGAGTTTACTGTCTATGAAGAAAGCCAACGCGACGATGGAAGTCAACCGTCAACGCTCCAAATTCGGAATGCGTTGGAGGACCTCAATGAAGCAGACATGTTCGACTTGCTGCAGTCCTTCAGAGCGCAGCCTGCCGCACCACAGGAACAGGATGACATGACTCTGTTGGATATTCTTACAATGCACACACTACATTATTTCAACCAGCCTGAGACTGAAAGCCAAGCTGTCTTGGCAGTCGGCGAAAAGCTTGAAGAGCTGGGTGTGTTGGAGAAGATTTTTGGTGAGGGCGAGAGCGAAGATGAAAGTGAAGTTGAGGAAGAGGAGTCGGATGAGGAAGGAGCACATAATGACTTGTGGTTAGAAGAAGAACAGGAGGAACAGGAGGAACAGGAGGAACAAGAGGAACAAGAGGAGCAGGATGTGGGAGAGGAGCAAGAGGAGCAGGGAGTACAGGACGATTTGTGGTTGGCAGTCGCCCAGGGAGATGCAGAAGCCGAGGAGGAACGGCAGCCTACCGTACCAGCCCCCTATCACAACGAATACATGGAAGGACCGCGACGCTCAGTCAGATACTTCCCTCAACAAACCAGCAAGCCCACGCCGAGCCCACAGAAACAGCACACGCGCCCCACAAGCTCCTCCGGCGGCACTGCCATGACCTCGTTCGAAGTTACCACCGAACCCACTTTCGACCTGGCCACCGAAGACCAAACTGATACGTATATCGCCTCGCGTCTCGCCCCTCCCTACAACTTCCCTGAAGAACACATTTTGATCGCCCTGCACGCCACGTGTGTCAACAGTACAGCTATGGCAGATGCGGTGCTCAGGTGGATGCGGGTCAACACGGCGGGCAAGTCGAAGAAAGGGAGAAGAAGCAGTGTGGGTCTAGCCATGCTGCCGGATGAGCCAGGAATTTGGACAGAGGAAGACGACCGGGCGCTGCTAGGTAACGACCCTCCGGAGAAACGGCGAATCGAGAGAAAGCATGGCAGGCTAAGGTGTAGGCGGAGGAAGGAGTTCCTGGATGCAATTCACCGAAGCTGAAATGAGATGTCCATGGTGACAATGTTTACCGTAGCATGCATAGGTGTTGATGGCGTTTAGGATATTCATCTTCCTAGAGGAGCATAGGCCATAGCTCTTCTTATTTGCGTCCTCTCGAAGATGCTAACGTCTAAACGACAATGAGCAGTGTGTAATGAGTTCACTGCACTTTATGCGACGTGAATTACTGCGTACTAAATTTAAGTGTCAGTCCTCCTGATAATTATTGCTATTCTAGTGGCCTTTATATTGCTATTTTACACTTCCTATTCCACCTTTCACCGAAGCTAGCTAGAAGGTATTATTCATAGTACCTACGGCATAACCTACTACCTTTTTTTTTTTGAAAAAGAAATATAATACGGGCTTCTTCAACCATGGCTTGAGTAAAGTAGGTATAAAGTTAAATCAAACCCTCACCCCCAAATTTAGAGTGTAACGCAATGCAAACCGTCACTCACCAGTAGGCAAAAAAATCCAAAGCAGGGGAATTATGCTACGCTTCGCGATACATGCTACTCATAGCACTATTAAAGCTCTCCAGTCATCATCCTATGCATCAATCTCGAGAGTCGCTACATCTAATAGCTCCTGCTACCAAATTCTGTAAAGGTCAAAGAAGGAAAGAAAAACGATAGTCTCAACCACCCCGTATGCCACGAGGGGGGCAAATAACGCATATCATCCCAACATTTCAAGCTCCACAGTATCGTACTCCTCCTCCTTGCTAAGAGACCCCACCGCCCGCCATCCCTTCCCTCCTTTCCCTCTCCCTCGACGGCTGCACCGCCCCCTCGGCGAGCGGAGCGTCCAACATCCAAGCCTCGCGCCACTGCCCCTGCCCCACCAGCTGCACGCGGACGGGGCCATCCCACTCCCCGCGCGGCGCCGTCAACCTCGGAAAACGCCGTGCCTGTCCAAGCAGCGCGCGTCGCATCCACGTGGGGGGCGCAGTCGAACAAGTAAAATGACTCCTACCAGCGGCGCCACTCGTCATCGGCGGTGTTAACGATGCGGAGGAGGCTAGGTGGGAAAGCGTAGCGGCTGCAGCGGTGGCTGGTATTTCGCGTGCTCTTCCTCTACAGTACCATCACCATCTCCATCTCCCATCTCCATCTCCCGTCTCCGCCGCCGCCGCCGCCGCGATACCCGCCTAGCAAACAACAAATCATCCCTCAGAACCCACTCGTCGACCCACAGCCCGCGCAGCCCCGGTCAGCAGCATCTCGAGATCCCTGAGCGCCGGCGCCGGCGCCTGTTCCACCTCCTCGACGGTGAGGATGCGGGCGAGGCGGTGGCAGAGTGTGCGGGTGCGCAGTAGTGGGGCCAGACGAGGATGGAGGAGGGGATGGGGGCAGGAGGGGTGGTGGAGCTTGTGCCAGTAGGGCGGCTCGACGAGGACGCGGGTGTATACTTGATCGCGGGGCTCACGGGGGAGACGGAGGAGGCGAGATGAGAGACGATGCTCTGGTGCTGGTGGTGTGTATTCAATGTCGCGGATTGCGAAGGCGTCTACAGCGTTGATCAAGTTGCAGAGACCGGAGTCTGTCCACTCCGGCGAGGCGGCGGGTTGAGAGAGAATGTGTTTAGTTGATAGAAAATCGAAGATTGGAGTACTGTTTAGTCAGTTGCTTTACTTGTCGGGAGCTACAGATGCTATAGACACAGTCAATGTTGAGTCAGAAGTGGCTGGCGTGACAGAGGATGCGGCTCAGCAATGTTTGTGGCTGTGCCTGGTGTCACGACACAGTGGGTACTCCTGGTAGCAGGCATTCATATGCAAAGTATCGCAGTGTATGTCGGAGCTGTGTGAAGGTGGGGAACAGACGGCGTCAAAGCAGAGGCGGAGGGGCAGCCAGATTGCGCTATCCCGTTCAAGCTAGCGCAACCGCGACGCGTCTTCCCGCGGATCCGCTCACTGCGCGTCTTACGGCTTTCGCTGCTCACCTTCTGCACCTACATCTGCAGTATCCTGCCCTCAGCCATGTCTGCCAGAGCCAGAGCACGACAATCCACCGCTGACCCTGGCGCCTCTGCCATCAAAGATCTGCCGCCCTACGAGCCGCCTGAGAACCCGCTCACCATCCAAAGCCAGCGTGCCTTGGCCAACATCCTGAGAGAACACCAGCACCAGAAGCTGGAGGCACACCTTCGTCAGGCCGCACAGGCTCTGAGCGATAATGCTAACGCCATCAATTACCGTCTATCCGACCGCAAAGCCCGGCACTTCAAGCGCACCCAGAAGCACGCCGACTCCTTGACTGAAGTGGATCAGCAACGCGCTCAGCACCTCGAGCAATTCGATGTTCGCGTCACTTCCATGACCAAGCGGATGGAAGAAACCGTGCGCAAAACCATCGATGGCCAGCACTTTGCCGGTGCCCTTGAGGAACAGCTTTCCCACGTCGAGAACCGGGCCGTCGCCAATGCCTCTGCATCCCAGCGCATGACCCAACCCCAGCGCCGAGACGACGACGACGACGACGACGACGACGACGACGACGACATGACCGACTTTAATCCCACCCTTCCCGGTCAGACACAGCAGCAAGTGCAGGCCATTGTGCCCAAGGACGTTTTCGAGCAGCGATACCAAGCCCAGAAAGACAAGTATCAGGCATTGTCACTGCGGATCCGCTACTCGGAGCACGCCGACTATGTCAGCTTCAAGAAGGCCGTTCACGACGGCACATACCCCAACGGCGAAGGTCCACCGCTGGCACACGCAGACGCGTGGTTCACGAGCGCGGGCGCCCCAGCCCCAGGCGTCACACAAGTCGGGGCCGGGGCCGACGATTCAGACGACGACATCGCCGTCGCGTACGAGCGCATCAGCACCAAGTGCCCTCTCACTCTCCAAGAGCTGCAGGATCCGGTCACCAGTACCAAGTGTCCGCATACGTTCGAGAGAGCAAGCATTGCAGAACTCCTCCGATCCAGCCATACGTACAGCGGAGGTAGTGGTCGGAGAGGTGCTAGGGACGGGATAAAGACGGTGCAATGTCCGCAGACTGGGTGTGACAAGGTAGGTACAGCGAATTCCATGGTTGCATGCAGCCGACTGACCTTCTTACCCAGATGCTTACCGCAGACGATTTACGACCCGATCCCTCCCTCATCCGCAAGATCCGGCGCATACAAAAGGCACGGCAAGAGATGGAAGATTCGGATGACGAGGATGCGGACAACTCTCGGGTGCTCATACCTTCTGACAATAGAGACGGCTACGACGATATTGATGTCGAGGTCGATGATGCAGCGAACCAGCGGGTGGTGCCAAAAATTGAGCGGTTCAGCGGAGTTTCACGAGATGGCGGTGTTGACTCTGGCATGGGATACGATGGCACAATGGAGAGCGAGATCGTGGACTTGGGGAGCGGGAGCGAGAGCGACGAAGAATGAAGACAGGGTGCATGGTCTGAGTCAATTGCAAGCGAAGACTGCGTGCTTCGCAATTCATCTGGTACGCAGCCCCAACAACAATGTGTCAGTCATCAGCGAGGTGTGGGAAAAGAAGGGGCCGCTTCGATGACTAGTGGCGGCTGCGTCCACTAGTCTATCCCCACAGCGAGGGTGATTCCACGGTTCACGAGGTCAAGCTAAAATGGTGGTGCGGAAGATTCTACAGCTTAGTGGATGTTTAAGGGGGCGTGCAGTTCAAAATGTGCGGCTTCACAACACGTGGCGGAAATAGCAGATGTTATATTATTCGAGATACCCAGATACCATGTTTCCACTCTCTCCGAATGAAGGTTCAGCCCTCAGCGCTGAAGTTCGCCCTCTTCTGCCAGCTTAACTTCGTCTTTGTCCTCTCCCTTCAAGGAGTACATCCAAACACGTTCGTCCTTGTTGATGTATGCCTTTGTGATTTCGTACGTTTGTGGCTGAGAGTCGGATGCGATGTGGACACGGTTGCCCACGACAAATTCTTGTGCGGGCTATAGCCATGCTTGTAAGTATGTTGGATATTCCTTGTTCTTCGTTGATTGTTGCGGGGAACGTACAAGTCTGGGGTTGGAGTGCCGCATAAGACGAGCGGTAGAATCATCACCGGGCTACATAAGGGCAAGCGAACGTCAGTAATTGCGTTTTGTCGCTAGTGAATAGGGGTTTGGGATAAGAAGAAAATTATAGGCCAGGATCCGCTCTCACATTTGCCATGTTGAGAGGTGTGGAATTATTCGAAGCGGGTTTTGATTTCTCTTCGGAAATCGAAGTGAAAGCAAGTCGAGCAACAAAACCGATGTTGCAGAGAAAACAAGCTCAAAAGCTAAGAAACTTGAGTCTCGGCGGACTCAATATATTCTTGCATATTCTCTTGTCACGTCATATCTGCATGGGTGAAGTGTTGCCGGCGAGTGGTGTGGCCCATGATAGACGCACCTGCCAATCTGGGCTTAGTTCATTGAACAACCCGCCCATTATCTTGATCTCGTGCTGTCAGAGCAAGCCTCATGACACTTGTCGATGGATCAGATAGCATCTTCTCGCCGAGGTGCGTCCCGATGAAACTCTGGCTGTACTCTACCAGGGCTGCGAGTGGAGCAGACAGGGACTGTCAGGCCCTGACACTTCAACAAAATTTCCGCTGTCAATCAGCACACGTCACAGCCATGGCAGGTTTGACATGGCAGTTGCAACCGTCTCTGCCACCTTTTTGGTTTGCACTATGCTCGCATATATCAACAACGCAGCTAGCATTGATACGGCGCGATGCCACACGCTGTACAGCCACTCGCCGTACATGATCCGTAGGTCTCGGGGTAGCAGCACGTCGCATGATCACTGAGCAGTCACCTGCACGTGTGTACTCTCGACTACACGCTTTGAATGATGTGCTTTGCCAGAAATTCGACACAGTGAACTGTTTCCTTGGAGAGGAGGCTGGAACAGGCACTACTCGCTGAATTCGTTCCGAAGCTGCTTTCACGGACCAACGTTACACTTGGCTGAAATCTAAGTAGGAGACAAGACGGCGCCGCATGCGCTATCAGGGACAACTCGAATTCCTCCACGTGGTTCAACATCCGGCGCGCCGCAAGACGAAAGGCCATTTTCACCTGATTATTATTTGCAAGAGTAAGCTCAGAATGCATTCTCAGCATACCGTATCGAACCTTTAGCTCGCATTCTTGCTGGCAGAGGAATTCAGAGCTCGATGTCGGAACTTCGGAAGTGCGGGGCCCCCTCACGCAACGCGGGCTTAAGTGAAGGCGGGGTTACGCATTTGTTTTAGGCTTTGTCAAGGGAATGGAGGCTCGCCCATCTCCCCACAAACGGCGCTTCCCACTGTTCATTGCGGCTCTAACGCTTCCCAGTTCGGTCGGTTTACAATCATGGTACACTGCTTTCGGGTTCCCTCTCAAACCATCGCTCAACAACGCCGGCGCTATGGCAGGGGCCAGCATCCATGGCTAGTCAGTTGTTGAAGGCCAGTAACCATGGCAGAATCCCGCTGGTCCTATAAATCCAACCTTGAGCCAGCCTCCAGACCAACATCAGCAGCAACCATCTCCTCTCATCTACAGCTTCCATCCCTTCAATCGCTTCGCATCTCTCGCTCTACCTTCGAGTCAAACCTTCCAATCCAATCCTTCAAGATGAAGTACTCCGCCGCCGCCGCTTTCGCCGCCCAGCTGGCCCTCGCCGCCGCTCTCCCGCAGGCCAACCCAACCTCCACCACCATCATCGACAGCTCTCCTACCTTCACCGGCACCGGCCCTCGTTCTCACACCGGCACCGGCTCCTTTTCCCACACCGGCACCGGCACTTTCACTCGCACCGGCAGCCGTAGCCGTAGCTTCACTGGCTCGACCACCTTATCGAACACTTTCTCCAACACCTTTACCGGCTCGCCTACAACCTTCACCAATACTTTCACCGGCCCGCCTACGTCCTTTACCAACACTTTCACGGGCTCGCCTACGACCTTTACCAATACTTTCACCGGCTCACCTACCTTCACCAACACTTTCACCGGCTCTCCTACGTCCTTCACTAACACTTTCACTGCCTCTCCCACCTTCAGCAGCTCTCCCAGCTTCAGCGGCACCAACACTTTCACCAACTCCTTCACGGGCTCCCCCACTGGTTCATTCACTGGGTCGCGGACGGGCTCCCGCTCCGGGTCCCGCTCTCCGTCAGCCTCGGCCAGCGGCAGCCCGTCATCGTTGAGCGGCTCCGTCGCTCCCTCCGGGACGGGGTCGGGCAGCCCTTCGGCATCTCCCACTGGCACTGGTTCCCGCACTCGCTCCGGGACGGGGTCAGGCAGCCCTTCAGCATCTCCTACCGGCACTGGTTCCCGCACTCGCTCGCCTTCGGGTAGCCCCTCGGTCTCGCCCAGCGGCACCGGCACCGGCAGCGCCTCGCCTCTCGCTCCGTCTGGCAGTGGCACCGTGTCTCCCGCGTCGAACTCTTCTTCCCGCCGCTCCCGCACTGCCGGCACCGCTTCTCCCGTCCCGGCCAGCAGCTCTCCTTCTTCCTCTCCCTCGGTCGCTCCCGCTTCCGGCTCGGCTTCCCCCTCCGTGTCTCCGGCCACGTACTCGGCCTCTTTCGTCGTCTCCCCCGTCAGCAGCTCTTCTTCTTCTTCTTCTTCTCGTTCGGTCGCTCCCGCCTCCGGCTCGGCTTCCCCCTCCGCGTCTCCGGCCACGTACTCTGCTTCTGTCGTCGTCTCCCCGGTCACCGGCGCTGCTTCTTCCACCGCCTCCCCCGCCGCCGTGACGTCCACCTCCCGCGTCCCTTGCCGTGCCTGCTCCTCAGTTTCTCCCGGCATCGTGAGCACCGGTAGTTCCACTGCCGTCTCCACCCCCACCCCGAGCGGCAATGGCCCCGCCTCTACTCCCATGCCGTTCACCGGCGGCGCTTTCGCCAACACCATTGACTTTGGCATGGTTGGTGCGGCTATTCTCGCCGTTGCCGGGTTCATGCTCTGAGGGGCGCTTTGAGTGTGTAGAGGAGATGGTCGTTCAGAAGAAAATGGCGAAGTAAGTACTAGCTAGATTGCTCAAAACCACATACTTGGACAGGAAGGGAAAGCAACGGTTCGCGAAAGATTGGATTATTCCCAGTGTGATCGGAAGGGTGTAAAAAGTTTCCATGTTTCTCGGTATTTATCTCGATCAATTCCATCATTTGAAGAAAAAGAGCATCAACGTGACCACAAATGCACAATCAAATGCGCGAAACCCGTCCCCATCCCCCCAAAAGAAACATCACAACCCCGCCCCCACCCTCAAGTCGGTGAACACTCAAACACCGCCGGTGTAGGTGGCCGAGTTCATGACATGGTATTGGAAATGGCTGGGGGATCATGTCGTCAGAAAACTGCCAAACAAGGTCGATGGTAATATTTTGGTGGAGCAAGAAGGATGAGGAGGTACCCGTGATCGAGCACTGTCTTGCCCAGGCTAGCCAAAAAAGGCAATATGCCAGCAGCAAAGCTTCCGCGCCTCATGACATTCTCGTTCCCGATCAAGGCAAGAATCTCGAGAGCAATATCAGAGCTTCAGCCTTCAAAGCTCGACTAAAGGCAACATGGGACTTATCTACCCGATTGCAAAGCCCAGCAGCCCGCAAAACAAAAAACCACTCGTTGGGTGCATGCGGCCGCACAGCAAGCAGCGGCAGATCAAACAACGCCAAGAACCGGTGCGCGGCCCGCCCGTGCCGGGGCACGAGAAACGGCTTTCCTCCGACAGAGGCACGCGATTGGTGGGAATGCTGGGACGGGGTGGGTACCGTTCTGCTCCGCTCATCCTCATTTATCTCGGACAGGGGAGCCGTGTTTTCTTGTAGGGCTGCCCGCTTGCTTCGGTCGACAGAGATCCGATTTCATCCCTCTATCTTCTTTCCCAGCTTTACAACTCACGGGCAAGATTCACTTAATCCTCACGAGCAAGACACAACATGGTGAACTGCAGGAATCATATAAGGAATCTTTCTGCTTTTTCACACAGACAGAGTCCACACGAATCCAGGCCTGTGGCGATTGTCTTCCAAAAACGTACGCATTTGACACATCGAGTTCTCAGCACCTCCGCGGACGGCCACCGGCGCCAAGCGGGAACCTACGATATCGCCTGGCTTTAATTCGGAACCAAAAAGGTATATAAAGCTCAATCCTATACTCTCAGTTTCCAATTTGGGCAAGAATAGGTGCAGTTTGCGGAAAAGCTTTTGCTGGGCGATGCGTTGTCAAGGATGTTGTTTTTGACAACGCAGCGCTGAGCATGTCGATCTCTCGCTTCGGAAGACGGGTGCTTGGGAATGCTTGGCATTGGAGTCGGATGGCTGCTTTGGGGAACTCCCAAACGGGATTGATTGGTGTTGAATGGTGAGTTGCAGTGAAGCTGGACGGGAGTACCGGAAGCAAGACATTTGCGGCTGACTAAGCACGCACACGCGTCAATTCTACACGATACGTACGAACTGGCACTGGCAGTGGGAGATATAGTGGCGAGGCTTGACTTTGACACAAGGCAGGAGATTGTCTCGGCCGCAAACGACGATCAGGTCGAGGGAGATCAGTGCGCGAATTGCGGTGAAAATCGGGAACGTGGTCTGACCAACGGCCCTTGCGGTGGGTCTCTCAGGGATAGCCATGGAGCTGGTATTTGAATGTCGCGGTGCGGATTCCCAAAGAGACGGGTTCGGGGCCGGGCTGAGCCATGATTTGGTGGAGTCCACCTTTCGACAGACGTCAATCACTCAACCCTCCGTTCAACACTTCCGACCCCGCTCCTTGGACTCCGTCAAATACCAATCCAGCCTACGCGGAGCATGGACATTAAGAAGGGAATTTCCCAGGATGAGTCGCGCTCCATGGTCACAAAGGAAGAGTCGGCGGCACGCAGCCCAGCCGGCATTCGCGCCAACGACTACAGCGGCTGCTCCCTCACAACCTGTTCGTGGAGAGACCGCCGCAAGACCCAACTGAGCTGTATGAGGCGCAAGAAGCTGTGGTGCTCGTCTTGCGAAGCATCCCACCCCAAGAGCTTCTTCTCCCACGCCGAACGACACCTGCCCGACCACCTGCGCCAATGCACCGGATCGACATCGCACATCCGACTCTGTTCGCACCGCCGGCTGAACCACTCGGAGATGCAACGAGCATGCGCCTCCGAAGACGAAAAGGGCCTCAGCCCTCACGCAGTCTCGGACGGCGGAAGCAGCCAGCTGCTCTGCACAGAGGGATGTGTGGGGTGGGAGCGGTATCCGATGGAGCGCACGCGGGGGTACCCGTACGCAGGCGGAGGAGGAGGAGAACGAGGAGGGGGAGGGGGAGGGGGCAAGAGGCGGGCGGCGTCGACGCAGCTGTTCCGGCGGCACGTCCGGCTGGACGTCGACGACCGCAGGCGGCTGGGGGTCGACGACCACGACCTGCTGGCGGCCGTGTTCGCGGCCGACGCGCAGCTGTGCCCGCACCTGCGCGTGGCCGACTGCCTGAACGACTTCCGCTTCGCGGGCGCCCCGACCGCGCACTTCCACCCCAAGGGGCAGGACGAGTGCTCCGCCGAGTGCAGCGACTTCTTCTGGTGCCCCCGGTCCTACGAGGGCTGCAACACATCGCTGTATCTGTACAGCCAGCGGGTTCATTATCCATATTATCATTGGCCGCTCAGCGGGGGCGGCGATGATGCTATCCATGAGTGTGATGAGGCCGCTGAACTTGGTGTAGAGAACGCCGGGAGCGAGAGTAGGACGGCCGGTTTCGATCAGATCCATTTGCTTTCCTTCCGCAATCTTGGCTCGATGGATGACCCGAATGATACGGCCTGGTTGATGCAGTTGGAGGATGGATGGAGAGCATGCGCGAAACGGAACAAAGCCAAGTTCTGGTTGAGAGTGCGCAGGAGAGCCCGTAGGCTATTGCGGTGCTAGTGAAGGTGAATCGTCGACGTGGAGCTCTCACTAAAGCGCAGCAAGAGGTATTTCAACATATATACTGAAACCAAATTCAAGAAATCAAGAATCTTCATCTTTCAGAAACACGTCAGGAAGCCACGCACTGGATTGCCATTAATGTAACATGCTATCTACCATCTCTTATCGCTATCGAGTAGTATAATGGGGCTTTCTTGCACTCCATTGATTTACGGACCACTTCTTGGCCGAGGGATTGGGCCATGAATCATGATCGCTGCTTTGACGGTTGGGGTCAAATACCTTCGGCCACACATGATACAAGCAAAAATTACACAAAGAACTGTCACAAGATTGAAGTGACTCTCTAGAAACCTTTTTCTCACGGCTTCCCGACCATGGCCGACCAATGAGGCTTTCCATGGTGTAAACACACACTGTTCAACGGGGAGCGTCTGCGATCCCAGTAATCTGGTGGGAGGGAATTCCATTATAGTGCATCTTCAAGAAGTCCTGAAAAAGCTAGCAGTTAATGCTGCCCAGACTTTGCGGATGTGTTCCCTGGTCTAGGGTGATCAAGCTCGTGGTGGACAAGTTTCTTACATCTCGACGCTCCCCCTTAGTCCACACCTCTACGTCCATTTACTTTTAAACAATTTCTCCCATTCCCTCTCATAGCCTCGAGCATCACGTGCATTTCCTTTACACACCATCCTTCACCAAGGAATCAAAACAGATCATCCTCGTCTTCACTGCCGCCAAATGCGCCTTATCTTCCAACATCATCCCTCCAATCTCGAAAGAACAGCCCGAGCAACACTCCCAAAACCATCAAGCCCTCGCGCAAACTCCCACAAGCCCGCCATCCAAGCCGCCAAAGACGCCAGCACCACACAAACCCACACACGCGTCCGCGCGCCCACAGTCTCCTCACCCCAGTCCTCCCACCACGCGCGCCCTGCAGGCTGCAGCCCTTTTTGACGTCAGTCCCGCGCAGTCCCGCTGCACCTGCACCTCTGCGTGCACGCCACAAACGTCAGATCCGACCGGGTATCCGCTGCACACGAAACTCACTCTCTGTATGCCGTACCCGTTATAGGAGAAGGCAGGCAGCATCTCAACACTTTCCATCTCCCTTGTTGTCCGCATTGTATTCGCGGATCGATCGCGCCAGTACATCTCGCGTCTCTTTCCCCACATTGACGCGCTCGTGCAGCTCAGCGTCCCAAATCCCCATTTCCAGCTTCTCCAGCATACCATAATGCATGGGTGTACGTACGTGCGTGCCGCGTGCGTATGTATGGATGTACGTATGTCTGTATACATGCCTGCAGCATGGGGGGAGGGTTTTGGCAGGGAACAAAAAGACGAGGGACGGGCGGACAGCGGCGAGAGGAACAAGGAAATCAAAGACAAGAAGAGCATGTACATATGTACATATACATATGCGAGCGAAGCGATCCGGGATGATGCGCAATGATCGCGTGCGTTGTGTGTGCAATTGGCTATATATCCCTACCCTGCCCTACCATACCCTACCATACACATATGCGACTGGGGCAAGGGGAAAAAACGAGGCGGGAGCTTCCGCGTATACATATGTATGTACATACATCACCCCGCGTTTCACCGAACCCCACCCCTGTTGATCTCGATGATGAACCGATGGTAGCACCAATCATCACGATCATCGTACAGGATGCATGTGTGTGGATTGGCTCGGCGTGCGTATGTATGTATGTACGTACGTACGTTCGTGGCCATGGGGCCGGGCCGGCTGGGGCTGGAGCTGGGGGAGTGCTTTCAGCTCGGCAATTATTATGCGCAGGCAACGATTCACGCCGGGGTTGTTGTACGTATGTAGAAGAGCCGCGTCTTGACGTATGTACGTGCGTGTCCGCTTTTTCTCTTCTCTTTTTACTTTTTCCCTTTGCTTTTTCGGGCGGGATGTCGGCGGTATGGCCCCGCGGTGGGATGGCGTCACGGTGCCTTTGGGATGAGCGTAAGGCTACAAGGATATGGGTTTTGCATGGGGGGAAGAAATTGGGTTGGCGGAAGGGATTGAATGAGACGTAAGCGGACGAGGTTGTAAGACAAATCACCGCGGCGTAGGTAGGTAGGTGAGAGAGTCTAGGCTCCCTCGTGCAGGCATCAGCCGGAGGAGACGGTGAAGAACGGGTCGACGGCGAAAAAATGTCAAGCCTACGCGATCGCAAGACAAGGCATAATCGACCGGTGAGGTAACAGAGGATAGCACAAAGTTTGTTTGTAATGTCAAAAGTGCCTCGGCACTGGAGGCAAAGAGACATCATCGCAGTGCGCGAACCGCCAAGGCAGGCCGCAGCAAACTATAACGAGTCCTATTCCACTCACCGACAAGCCGTTCAATATAGGGTGGACATTCCGAATGCGGCAATCGGCGCAGGAACACGGGCTTGGTAAGCTGAAAGGAGCCGGCCTTGCCAGTATAGAAAATCATCGTTAGAGACACGTGAGATGGTGGGGCCCTGCCCTGCCCTGCCCCAAAGGAGTGACCGGGGAAAAGAAGGAAGCCCAAAGATTCCGTGGGCGGAAATAATCAGGCACACACCCGCGGCTCTTCTTGTCCCACGACATCACCGCAACGGAAAGCAAAAAGAAGAGAAAAAACTCGCTTCCACCCGCCATCACCGCCCCAGCAGCAGACGCATGCGGCGACGGTAGTCCGAAATCACTCACCCATCATCTGTCGTCCACCATGGCCTTTGCATAACGCCATCCCATCCCGCATCGCATCCTCATCACCCCATGCCACGCTGGCTAGTCCATGGCCTCCGCCGGCAGTCAGCTACTGTGCATACAAAAAAAAAGGAAGGCTTGGCTCGAGATGGTTATCGTTAACGGTGGTACTTCTGTCCGTTTCTGCTTTGTTCGCCGCAAAATAGAGTGTCGATCACCCCAGATGCAGGTCAGAGTGTAACGACGGATAGAGTGCGTGGACGCGGCAACAGCCCCCCACGTCGCCCTGCAGTGCATGTTGTTCTGCCGTCGGCTGTCCGTCATGCAACGCAGCGCCGTGCAGCGCATTCGCCGTGCAGTGTGCAGTGCATAGAAAAGGAGAGAGTGAGAGTGAGAGAGAAGGGAAGGAGGTTCGGTTCCGGCCGTCGTCGTGGCCGCCGTCGCCTCGATCCGCAGGGCTCGCAAGGGGTTGCTGCTGCTGTGATGCTGCGGTGCGTCTGCGATCGGCGGGTATGCGAGGTTGAGTAATGAGGGCTGCACGTAGCCGTCGGCCGGGCAGAGGGAAATGTGTACTTTGCCGCCTGGACCGTAGCTACGTACCGTAAGAAGCAGCGGAATCGGGGATGAGAGAGGCGGCTAGACACAGGCCAGGCCCGCAGGATGCTCACGCGTTGCAGCTACCTACAGCCGGATGCCATCGATCGGGAGTTGTGCGACCATGGCGTTGGTCTGGCCGGCGATGCCGGTGCGGGAGGGTGGAGGCATTTCCGGCGCGAGGCGAACAAGTGGGGAGAGCAGAGGGAGCGTAGTGAGAAGAGCCCGGCCTTGCTCTTCGTGGTGTGGTGAGTTTTGGGTGATCGGCAGACGCTTCCGTTCTCGTCGACGGCCCCCCGGTATCTCGCCTCGTTATTTTCGTCGTCGTGGCCCTGGTACTTCGGTGCCACAGCGTCGGTACGTGGACGTAGAGATACGAGGTGCTTTGTTTTTATCGGCAGTGTCAAAAAAGCAGACAGGCACGCATGAACAAGCAGCCGTATTCGGCGGACCCTTTGACAGGCAGGGTCGCAGCCACCCGGGGTGCATCGTTATCGACAGGGCTGGCGATAGCGCTGGCGATAGCGCTGGCGATACATAGCGCTGGCCGTGGCGCGCTATCTACGCCCGCTGCGTGCGCGTGTGAGCCGACTAGCTGCTGCTGCTCGTCCGGAAGCAAGCAATGGGCCCGGCATCAGCCAGGCAGGGCTCTCTCGACAGCCAAGGCTGATGATTAAAAGGCAAGCAGCGTGGCAGCAGCTTGGGCGGCGGCGGCGATCGGCCCTGGCAGCGAGGGGGACCCTGGATAGCCAGATGCTCGGTTGGCTTGGCCGCTAGCCTGCCAATGTCGACCCGTACCGGGGACTACGCTGTTGCCGCCTTGTTGTTGACGTCGTTTGCCGAAACCGCCCTTTTCCGTTTTATTTTTGGCGCGCGCGCGCGCTGTTTACGGCATCAGACGGCCTGTCAATGCAAGACTGAGGGTGAATAGTTGGAGCACTCGTCTGAACGGGCATGTGGACATGGGTGCCTGACGCATCAGTGAACAAAAACATCCGGATCAGAGCTGCAGCTGCTGGGTAATAAGCGAGTTGCTCCCTTGCTTGCCGCAACGCGGTAGCCTCACTGCGGAGCGGGCGACGAAACGAAACGGCGCTGCCGGATGGCGTGAGGGCTCCTGCGTGGTGCTAGTGATGCGAACCGTGTTGGCATCCGACTTGATTGCTCGAGCCTTTTCGAGCCTTGGCTGCTGCGTTTCGGCCGAGCCGCCGATGCTGCCCGTGGAGAAAGCAGCTTGGAGCGCCCATTTTCCCGTGATGAGGTGCAGAAACTTGGCTGCGCGAGAGGGGGTGGTGGGGGCCGGGGCGAGTGAGGATGACTCGATGGTGGTGGCAGAGTGTGCAAGCTGAGACTGCAGGAAAAAAAGTTCGGAGGCGAGACGCAAGCCCCGACGCCTGCACGGCAGCCTGCAGCAACAACTCACCCGCACACTCACAACAAAATTTCACTTTTGTCTCAGTAGTGCTCCGTGCGAGCGCAGAGAAACCGGCTCCGAGCGCTGCTGCTGATGGCGCAAGGCAGACGGGAGCCCAGCTGCACGCCAGAAAGTCTATCTCCGCAGTCATCTGGGGCCGTGCATGCGAACCAGGCAGCCTGGCGGCACCACACGGCATTTGCGAGCAATCACTGTGCAAGTCGGCCTCGAGGGGGTCACGGCGGCGGCGGCGCAGGCCTGCTTACTGTGCGAACTGGCGCGGGGAAGGGGTGGCCATGCAGTCATGGGGGCAGCGCCCACTGCCGCTTTCGGCTCACGACGCACCACGAGGGTCACCAGTCATTCGAGAAATCGAGTGCTTTCCATGCCTTTCATTTGCTATCTGAACCCAAACCAGACCTGCAGCAAACCACGGCTGAGACCAGTCACACCCCCAATAATCCGCCTCTCCCGCCCGTCCCGGCCGACCAACCCCGGTCCGCGTCATTCCTGACCCCCCCTCGTATGCTCAACACCCCCAATTTGGTGGAGCTCCAAAACAAAGGAAATTTTCTGGCCAAGTGGTCGCTGCTTCGATGAAAACATGCGATGATGATGATGATGATGATGATGATGACGATGCTGCTGCTGCTGCGCACAGAGCCCATCTCCCAATTTCCCGGCGACGGTCGGGCGCGTTGTTGCTGCCCTGTCCCGGCCGGGCACCCTGGTTGCTGGTTGGGCCGCCGTTGCTCGTCGTCGGCTGAGCCCGCAACGCCGGCCGGCCATCGTGCCCCAAGCACAACGGCCCGCCAAAGGGGGCGGTGCCTGGCCCGCAAAAATCTCTTGGGGCTCATCAGTAGTGAAGAACCCGTTCGCTCCGCGCCGCAGCTCGTTCGGTGACGTAGTCGTGGGCATCATGGATCGGAATTAGAGTTGGGGAACAAAAAGACGTCTTGTTGTAGACATGTCCGCGAGTCGTTGGGCCGTTCATCGGTAGTAGCCCGAGTGGCGGTGCTCGCGCCTGTCCTGGTGCGACGGCTCGCGCACCTCGATGTTGTACTTTGCGTGGTTGCGGCGCTGCTCAGCCATGTCGGCTTCGTACAGCGAGCCACGCTTCGCGACGTTGATGACGGCCTGGCGCGGCGACGCCGGCCAGTCGTACTCGTCGCCATGGTGCGGCCGCGGGGGGAGGGGCGGCGTCTGCTCGACCTTGACGGGCTGCACGGGCTTCTGGTGGTGGTGCTTGGAGCGCAGCGGGAGGCGCGGGGCGATGTGGTAGGAGCGGTCCATGCTGACGAACTGCCTGCGGTGGCGGATGCCGCGCTCGATGGCGCGCAGCAGGCCGCGGGCCTCCTCGTAGGTGGGCTGGATCTCGACGCGGACCATCTGGCGCTCCTCCTCTTCGGTGCTGTATGCCTCGCCGTCCCTCTTCATGTAGAGGAACTGGGCGACCTGCTGGGCCAAGCGGTGGCCCTCGTCGCAGAGCTGGCGGCCGGCACGGTGGACGTCGTAGGGGTTGCGGCACTCAGCACAGGCGCGGGCGTGCATCTCGAAGTCGTAGAGGGCCCAGGACTCGGCGATGTTGGCGGGGCGCGAGATGCCAGTGACCTCGCCCTTGACGAAGCCGACGACGCGCTCCTTGCGCGGGCCGGCAGGCTTGGTGACGACGACAGGCATTGCGGACTGACGGTGGATCGAAGGCATGATGGTGGTGATGTGGGTGGACTTCAGGCTGGGCTTAAGTAGCGGAGCCAGGTTGACTCGCATGGGGAGTGACGGAAGAGTCGATGTAGGAAGGCCCGGCCCGTCGAATGGTGTGTCGGACCAGGAAGGATGGCAGTGGGTGTGGCTCGGGTCAGTCTGACTCGAGGAAATGAGGAAGGGCGTTTGGGCTGTTGTGACTGAGGATGTGATAGATCGGAAGCGTTGGGCGCGGTGCAAGAAATATATGTAGTAGGCGTAGGCTGTTTCTGTACATGGGTCTGGATGCCTGCCATGGCGTACGTAGAGATGGACCAGGATGGCCTGGGGGCACTACTGCACGGACGTGCAGCGCCCTGGTCCCCAGCCCTCGGCGCCGATCAGGCCTTGCGCGAGCCGGCCTGCTTGCTGCGCATGATGAAGCAGTGCGCCCCCCACAGCGCGCCACCAGCGCACGCGTTCTGCCAGGCAGCGCCCGGGCCAGCACGCCGGCGATTGGCCTGCCTGCCTGCCTGGTGAGCGCGGCGGCGACTGGCTGGCGCTGCGACGTGACGATGACTGCGACACCGCGCGAGCCCGGCACCGCACGCCGGAGGGAGACCGGAGGCAGACCGGAGGCAGCACGGAGGCGGCACGCGCCACGGGCAGCAGCTGGCCCGCACCGCCATCGACGCAGCCCGTTTGGGAACGTTTGCCTCACGTTTGGCTGTGTCGGCGGCGTGGCGCGGTGGTGTTTGGGGAGCGCAGCACGGCAGACGGTGTACGAGAAGCGCACCGGGTGAGCTCTAGGGCTGGGTGAGCCCGAAGCGGCATGGCCGGGGGTGCTAGCGCGTCGCGGGGACGCTGGGAGGGCGATGACTGGCTCGGAGGCGGTTTTTTCACAGCCAAGCTGACCGTCGGCCTGTGAGCGAGCGAGCTGTGGGCGAGCCGTGAGCGCTCAGCCTCTGCCCGTCACCCTCTGGCCGGCTAGAGCTGCTGCGGCCGAAGCGCGTCCAGGCCTCGCGGTGCATGTCGAGAGCTGCGAGACATCCCGCGGCGCGGCTGCTGTTGGGCTGCTGTTGGCGCGCGCGCGTGTCGACTGCGTCCAATCCCGCGGCGCGCTGGCAGGCACGGCAGCGCAGTCATTCGACAATGCAGCGGCGCTGTTGACCGGCTGCAATGGACAGCGTGTTTCTGTGTGCGCGCGCAGCGACGGCTGCACCCCAGGGCCGGTCCGCCCACTCCACAGGGCCGTTCTGGAATTCGAAATTCGAGCAGGCTGCACACCACAACCTGGGCTGCAGCGTGCATGCTGCATCATCAGCTTGACCGGTTGCCTCAGGGGTCTGCTCGATCGCTCCATCGCTCCATCGGCGCCGGCATGCCGAGCGTGGAATCCAGGGCCGCTGCGAGCCTGTGGATTTGCTCTGCTGCATTGGCTGTGCGACCCGCGGCCGTTGACTCGGCTCGCGCCATTCGCCGCGCCAAACTTAGCCCGCAATGCACGCGAAAACAAAGTCACGCAGAAGCTCAACCGAATCTCACGAGCGTGCGCCTGCCGTGCCCTGCGGTGCCCTGATCATCGATGAGGGCGCTCTGGCCGCTGCACTGCGGGAGCCGAGCGGACCCGTCTGCACGAGCTGCGGGAGCGTTCGAAGACGCCTGCCGGTCCACGTATGTTTCCGCCAGCGTCGGTACTTCTGAGAGGTCACTCTTCTGCTTAGTAGCCCGTCGACTCACCGGTGGCCTGCCGAAGCATCGGCGCCTGCAACTGCCATTCGCCTGCCCTCGACGAACCGGAAGGCCGACTGCGACGACTGCGACGACTGCGACGACTGCGACTCCCAGCATGCGTTCGGGCATCCCCGACGGCCGCGGCGAACACGTCTACGCACCGCCGCCGCCGCCGCCGCCTGCCGCCTTTCCCCAGCCCGCACGGGCCGCGCACAGCCATGGCTCGCTCTGCGCCTGACTGCTGCGCCATCCCTCGGCGCGAGCCTTTGCGGCTCAACTGACGTCAAGCCCGTCATCTAAGCCCTACCCTCCGTGCTCCCGCCCTGGCGCGCCGCCGCCGTTTCGCTTCCACGCGTTGTCCGGCGCTCCTCCCGTCCGCAACACCACCCGAACCCATCGTCACCAGGGCTCCACCCGCCCCGGTCACGCTCCTCCGCGTTGCCCAGACACGGTGTCTTCTGACAAGCACTCTCGCCCACGCACGCCTTGCAGCGCGTCCCCACCGTGCTGCTCGATCCGGCCGTCCAGCCTCCCGTTTCGACCTAGCGACGTCACCCTTGGCCAGGCGGCTCGCCCCATCTGGAAGCGTCATTCCAACACTCACCCCATCTCGCAGCGGCATCCGGAAGCGACAATTCCATCCGTCCCGGCTCCAGTTCTAATTTTCGGGGGTTGTCCGACTCCACTTGGGCTTCGTTCTGGAACGCCCGGGGCGGCGTGGCTCCAATCAATCCGATAAGGTTGCTTCTCCACACTTCTCCACATTGTTCGCGACCGGCTCTCTGCCTGGCCCGCGGCCCGTCGCATCATCGATGAGCGATCGAGCCAGTGTGAAAATCTCCCGCGTTGAAACAAGCTCCTGCAAAACACTGACGCTACCGTCGTCGCGGGTTGCCTCAGGCTGAGAAAGAACGTGGGCAGCACGCCGTGCAACCCCCAGCCCTGAGCCCGTCCGTGTTCCCGCTTCATCCCGCCGTCACAGCATCGCCTGAAGACGGCACCGTGTAACGCGCCCTGGCGAGCGAGCCCGGTTTCAGAGCGCCCGGCTTTCGTGCGACTTTGGGTTTTGTCAGCGCCGCCGTGTTTGCCCAGCTCTGTGTCTCGGCAGCCCGACGTGTCCCGCGAGCGGCGTGTCACCTTCGGCAACACCATGGGGAGGGGTTGCAAACGCCCACGACCGGTCAATAAGGCTCCGGTAGGCGCCGGTCAGGACTTTGCGGAGGCTGAGAAATCCATTTGCCGCAGGAGCAGAGGAGGATTCTCTGCGTGCATGATGAGGGGTAGTTGGGCGCCAGATGCAGAAGCACATGTTTGATGAAGTGGCAGCCCAACCACCCCGCCATGCCCGAGACGACAATATCACAGTGCCTCGGGCCTCGCAATGTTTCACCCAGACGAAAATTGTTCTCCTGTCCGCTCGCTTATTCCACAGCAGGCAGCAACTTGCTTGCGCGGGCGGAGCAGGGCGTGCCGAATGCGACTGTCAAGCCTTGCCTCCTGGCACCTTCAAACTGCAACACTGACATGGCGACAGGAACCAAGGAACCCACGTGTAACAACAGACTTCGAGACCGTTGCTACCCCGCGTCCGAAACAGCCGACTATGGCTGTCGTCAGGGGAAGCTTCGATGATTCCTTCCATGGCAGAAGCGGCGCGCTAAACGCCATAGCCCCATTGGTGAAGGCATGCTACTGGGCACAAGGCTGAAGCAACCCACATGGGTCTGGACAACCCACATGGGCAGGCTGCAAGGTACGGGACGGTCCGTAAAGGCTGTGTCGTCCCCTGTGGTCGACTCATAGGCTCGCAGCCCTCGAAGATGACGCGCCTCTTGGTTGGTTGGTTGGTTGACTGGCACGGTTTCCGGTTGTTCGCGCACACAATCTTGCAGCGTCTGGGGCCGAGACTCGACAAGCGAGGCCACCCTCGCAGGCAACGCAGCACAGATGTCACCGCCTTCCTGAACGGAATTGCCATCGGTCTCGTGACGTGCGCCTGGAACACTGACAATCAACCCCCAATTCGTCATGCTGAGACTGAGCGTTTGCTGGCCGTGGTTGGACGCTAACAGCCCTTCGACGACTGGCCGGCCAACACAGTCCCGTGCTACATTTTCCTATTGTTACCCTAGGTTTCCGTACGGTTGGGATTCTCCATGGTCGCTGACATCATGCTTTGCCCATCTCGCGGATTCAAGCCTGGGAGAGTTGGACGACAACAAAGGTTTGGTTGGGGATCTTCGCGTTGCTGTAACCACGTGCCATCGTGCCACTCACACCGTGGCCCCAGGCTTGTGTCGATAAGCGCCCACGTCGACCACAGCCAAAACCGTCAGGGCCTGATGTCATTCGTCGATTCGTGCCACCAATCCCAGCGCTGCAACGACTTTGGCCAGCGAATCGGAAGCTTTGGCCAACGTTCGAGAACGCGGGTTTCGAAATTTTCGAGCAGGCCAGCGCAGCCTCTCGTCATAGAGGTCACGTTGTTTTCCTTTTCGTCGCTCACTTCTTTTTTCGTGGGTTTTCAGGGTCTCATGCCATCCCCAACGTCCCGCTTGCTAGTTCGGAGACCCCACGACAGATCAGTTCCCACCAGTCGCTGCGCCTCACGGAACCGTCCTGCTGTTGACATCATTACCAGCCACGTCGCTGCTCTTCAGCTCGAAATTTCTGCTCTTCGACAAAGTCGCGGTGTGCACGCGAGTCAGCGGTATCCACACCAGAAGCTTATCTGGTTCCCGAGACTCTGTCGAGCGCGAAGAGCACAGAAGACGTCATGCCCATGTTTTGTTTTTCTCCATGCGTGCGTCATGGCACGGTTTTATTCTGGCGGCTGGCTGGATGGTGGTGGTTGAGGGAGCTGAGCTGGTGATCATACGTATTGATGGACGTCTGCCTGCGTCAGAGCTTCCGCACAGCCTGCTTGGCCGTCACCGACTCTGAGAGGGCACGACACGGGATTTTCCTGAAGGTATGGAGGCCGCTTTCCTTGCTGTTGCGATGTGATCATGAGCGAGTAGAGGAGGAGGTGTTTGGCCCCCCTCCGTATGCTTCTGTGGACTTCCTCGTTTCCTACAATCGTGTTGATGCCAGTTCTTGACCTACCTGTGTTTTTGCAATCAAACAATTCGATAACAGTTGTACTGTTTACTTAAGAAATGCACCTCGAATGTTGGTGATGTCGTATTTAACCTTCGCTAGCGCTCAGGGTCTTTCGTGGCTATCGCTCAGCGTCCGAGCTTGAGATGTCTCCACACGCCTTGTAGGTTCGAGCTCACAGAGATGATCTTCGTCAGTGCTGCTTCGCTTATCGGATGGAGCGATGCTCGTTCTTATATTCCAAAGAGTTTGTTGATGATGGGCGTAGAATTTATGTGGTGCCCGCCGCCGAAGCAAGCTGCAAAAGATATTTGAGCCCACCAAGATATTGTACCGTGAGTACGTGGGCGGTCGAAGCAAATTTATGTTTGGACGTAGATGTGGGCTTCGTCAATGTATATGTGCAAACAGATGTAGGGCTCAAATTCAAAACCCGCACGAAAGAGGGTCTTCGATCTCTGGTTGGATCTGCCGTCGTTGCTGTTTCCCGCAGCTTTCGGCTGGGAGACGAGGGGGGTTATCGCTGTCCGGACGCATCTCTCCCACCGCGCTCGTTTAGTTTGCAATTTCTGAGCAGATAGTCCAGTCTGTAGTGACTTGGACACTGTTTTCTGGTGGGGATGTGGGTGTGGAAGTCCGCAGTACTCGGCTCTGCCTTGCCGGCAAATCGTGCAGAAGAAGGGAATGATTCCTGGTCACACGACGGTATGGGAAACTCATATTCACGCCTGAAAGTCTATCTGGACTGTCCGGTTAAGGGAACCGAAATCTTCTGAGTTCCTTTGTGCCGCAAGGCTGGCTGCTTGTAGAGGGATGCAGGCTTGGCGTCTCAAACACCAAGCGAGACGCATGATTCTTGCTGATATGCAGGTAAGCAAGGCTACGGTTCTGGCAAGTAACAACAGGCAGCAATCTCTGCAAACTGGGTGAGTTATTCCGTCTCGATTCCTCCACGGCTAAACCGTTGTCCCCTCCAAAATCCCATCACACTTCAAGACTATGGCAAACTTTGATATAAAACATCGCGACGCCATTAGCCGTGTCCACTTAGTCACAGAGCACATGTCGATGCCGAAGAAGCACCCAAGGCCGTATGGGGAAGTAGTTTTCTTCTCCGTAACGGCCTGATCTATTACATGGATCTAGAAGACGACCGCCACAGGCTCTGCATTCCGCAAGCCGTGGAACAAGAAATATTCGCAATGGTACATGACAAACAGCATCACGCATACATCTGGCGAGCGTATAATCACATCCGCCAGTCCATCCTGATCCATGGGATGAACGGGAATCTGCGAAAGTACCTGCAACATTGTCCTCGTGAGCTGTTGAAAACCGTAGTCGCCAACGTACATGTAGCCGTTTGAAGTTTCGAAAGCGGTGGAACTGTCATCTCTCTGAAGGAGAGCGGGGCAACCCATTGGTTCAATGCGGTCGTACGGCGCGCCCTTCTGGGCGAAGCTTGCGGGCCAGAACTGGTAAAGCTGGCGTGAGGACAGGCAGCCAGTTTCGAGCGCGCATTTCTTGAGGCAATAGGCTAATTCGTTTGAGAGCACTACGTTCACGAAAGAGTATAAGAGAAGTTAAAACACGCTCTGGTTACTGGCGTGTGAAGAAGAGAAAGAAAGACTCCGGCGGCAAGTGCTCACTCATCCACATCGAAATTGATCAATTTTCTGCAGAAAAGGTTGCAGGATGAAAGAAGTAGTGTTTTAGCAGTCCATGCACACAAGCTCCTCTACTAGATAGACAGTAAGTATAATTTCAAGAAACAACCTTTGCACCTTGTGATACTGCGGAGATACCTCAAATCTATCGAAATCCACCACTTTCCCAGATGCAAACAACCGTTCTCCACCACAAAAGCTGGCTATGGTTATGGATACCTCGTTGTCCATGTACATACAGTCCTTTCAACAACATTTCGACTTCGAAGTTGCTCGACTGACTTACTGCACATCCAATCTTAATCAAACCACAAAGCTTGCTAGAGAAGATCCAAAAAAAAAAAAAAAAGACGGCCGCCTTCCGCTGGAAAGTCACTTGGCCAATGGCCATCGCCACGACTGTCGGAACAGCATTGTTGAAGCGGCACAGAGCACAAAGGTATCACCAAGTGGCATCCAGCCGCAGCATTGCATTCTTTCCGGCGGTAAATCTAGGGAAACTCGATGTCCCCACGCCTTTTCTTTGCGGCTTTTGACTTCTCCCGTCCCATCGGAGACAAGTCCGCAGATCGTACCCCGGAAGATAAGGCATGCAGCATATACCGCCACCCGGAAAGGCAGTTCATGGCCATACTGTTGTGCACTTTCAAGCACGACGTCTATTCCTTCGGCGTGGTTTTGTACGAGTTGGGACTTTGGGAAGACGCTGGACAGAAGTTTGCAAAAGAACCGCCCCAGCACCGGGAAAGGGGCGAGGGATGTATGTACATTCAAAGCTTCCTGGGAAGGGAAATGTGTCCAAGTTTGAAGTTCTACGCCGGAAACGCATGCAGAGATGCTGTCTTGAAGTGTCTTTCCGGAGAAGGCATGGACGGGTACGAGACAGCACTGGATATACTTGGAGAGCAGGCGTTGAAAAAATTGCACAACTGAAGAGGTTTGTTAGATTTCAAGGCAGCCAGGTTCCCTGGATCGCTCATTGGTATGGAACCAATGTGCACCGATTCCACGATCGTTACCCTGCAGTCAGCTATCCGAGCTAAGCCTAATCGAGCACAAAGGACACAATCCACTGTGGCCTTATGAACAAGGCAGGCCGCACCAGGCACAATGATCGGATACTTACAGTGTAAACACCACTCATGTCATGGTAATGCAGAGTGAGAGCATAGTCTACAGTAGTCAACCTCAGTCTGCCCGAGTAATAAGAGACCGGCTCACAAAGTCCAATTTCGATAGACTTACGGCCGACAAGTAAACGAACGACGCGATACTACCGTTGCATACAGTCTCCAAGCGTCGTGTGTAAATTTCAAGCAACTCAGGCGGCGTTGACCAAGATACCGAGCTGCACGCAGCTCACGCGGCATACTCAATCTTCACCACCCAGCAGTACTCCCCCTTGCCTTCCATCTCCGCGGGCCACGCAAAGCTCACGCCACCATCAACCGTCTTCTTCCACTCCACTTCCAGCCCCTCCTCGCCCAACACCGTGACCCTATCGCCCGGCAGCACCGGCAGCGGCGCCTCGACGACGACATCCGCACCAGCCGCCGGCTCCTCCAAAAACAGCACAAAAAACGCGCCCTCGTTCTGCGTGAACCGCACGCTGCTGCCGACCTCGGGCATCACGAACCAATACGTCGTGTTGAACAGCGCCTCGGCATGCGCCTTGATCCACACGCCCGCCTCTCTCAGATTCGCCGCCTCGACCTCGACGATCGACCCGTCCGCCGTGGGACCGACGTCCAGCAACAAGTTCCCGTTCTTGGCCACCATGTCGACCAGCGTCTTGACGAGGGCGGACGCGTTCATGTAGGCGGCGTCGGGGGTGGCGCGGTTGTAGCCGTAGCTGTACGGATCCATGCCCTGGTTGCTCTCCCACTTGCGCGGCGACACGCTGCTGAAGGTCGTGTACTCGGGCGTGTCGAAGTCGGCGCCCTGGGCGAGGCCGCAGCGCGAGTTCATGGCCACGTCGCGGCGGGCGTTGAACCAGCGCGCGGCGAAGCCGGCCGTGCCGTTGGCGGCGCCCGTGTCGCACCACATGATGTCCGTGTCGTAGTCGTAGGCGAGGATCTCTTGCTGCGGGACCATGACGTCGGCTATGAAGTCGTCGACGGGTATGTGCCCCGTGTAGGGTTCCGTGGCGCCCGTGTATTGGTTTGTGGCCGGGATGCCGGGCCAGGAGGTGGAGGTGTTGCCTTCATTCTGCGCGAAGCCGTAGGGTCTATTTGTTGTTGGTTTCTTTTGCGTTAGTTCAAGGCGCTCTTTCGGATGGAGGTGGGAAGGCTTGTGCTCGTACGTACCCGAAGTCGGGGTTGTACCATTCGGGCAAGGAGAAGTAGGTGCCGCGGCGCAGGTGTGGCTGGTATTTTTTGGCTGCGTCGAATAGCTCCCTCAGGAGATCCCGCTTGGGGCCGTAGTTGAGGGAGTTCCTGTTTGAGGTTCCCTTGGTGTCGAAGCCTGCGAAGCCATCGTGATGCTTAGTGGTGAAAACGAAATACTGAGCGCCTGCATCTGCGAACAGATCAACCCAAGCCTTGGGATCGTAGTTCGCGGCGGTGAAGTTGACAAAGAAGTCGTCATAGTTGACGTCGGGGCCGAAGGTGCGCAGGTGATAATCGTACGTGTCGGCCTTGTCGGCGGCCAGATGGTGCGAGTACCACCAGTACCATTCTGCATACACCTCGTAAGGGGTCGAGTTGCCCCAGCCCGGGACGGCGTAAGGCCCCCAGTGGATAAAAATGCCAAATTTGGCGTTATTGAACCACTCAGGGGCTTCATGCAAGGTCAGACTGTCAAGAGACTCGGTGTAGTCCTTGAATCCAAATTCGGTGCCGGGGAAAGTGAAGCTTGTCGTTTCATTCTTGGTGGAAAGCTTGACTACTGCAGTGCCGTTTGTGGACCCCACGACTCCAACGTTGACTTTCTTTTGGTCACCAACTCGAAGACGTTTGACCTGGGCCGGCTTGACCGTTTCAAGACCAGGAGCTTCAATGGACACCTCAACACCGTCGCCATGTATCCACGTCGGGCCAGAGTTGCCAATAGTCACCTCGACGAGCTGTACAAGGGCATCGTCTTCGGCCTGCTTCTGGGTGGGGCGGAGGTGGTGAACCTGAACCCCCGGGGCACTTCGGAGCGACAAAGCAAAGACATGCATGCGGCCAGTGGTGGTATTGGCAGTAGAAGGCAAAGAGATGGAGGTCAGCTGCTTGGTAGGATCCAAAGCACCGGTCCACTCGTAGACGTGGGTGGTGTTGAAGTTGGTATCATTGGAAAGGAAGCGGTAGGGCAAGATGATTTGCCCCTTGTACATGGTCAGGAAAGCCCACCACGGCTCTGCGCGGATCTCAGAGACAGAGGTGGTGTTGTCGGCATAGGTGAAGGTGATGTTGTCAGACACGATGGTGTCTCTCCTGTCGCTGGCGACCAACAACTGAGCACTCAGGTAACTCGCTAGGGGAACAGAGAGGGTCTGTCCGAGGCAAAGCACATTGTCGCTTGAATTCGAGGGCTGGGCAGCTGGGAACAGGTACTCGACTCCCGTAGCGCTCGAAGTGAAGGAGCCAGAGTAGGCCAGCGAGGAAGCCGGGTATGACTGCAGTGAGCCGTCGAAGTCGGCATCTCCCGGGAAGTTGCCGAAGGCCCTGTTGTTGAGGTATTGGGTGAGGGGAAGGGTCACAACCTGGCGGATGTCAGTTTGCTCAGTGCAGCAGAGCGCTTTGGTCCTCACATGGCTGGTGTTCGCGCTGCGGGCGTGGAGTGGTGAGTGAGCAGAGGCGCAGCCAACGGCAGCCAGCAGAAGGCCAGCGGCAGCAGATGTCGGGAGCATCATGGCTCATGCAGTACGGGAAGCGCAACAATGGAGCGGGCAGAGGGCGTGAAAGTAGCATTGGCATATCTACGCCGCCTCCCACTTTACCTAGCTTTGGCGATTGTAACCCTCACCTACCACGGCCATATCTCTGGGCGGGGAAGCTAGTGACGACACATTACTCCGCACTTGGCTTTAGCCGGGTGGCGGGATGGGCTGGGTCGCCATGGTCGCGCGCACACATGCTGGAAAGACGATGGTGTTGCACGTTTGGTGAGACTGGCCGGCATCGTGGCGACCAGCGAGCAGCGGGCAGCAGCGGCTCCCAGGGCGAGGAGTCTGGTGGCGTGGGCGTTGTGCCTGAGGCTAGCCGCTCTCGGGGTTTGGCAGGCACCGACAGCTCAGGCGATAAGGCGCGTCATTCGAGGAGCAGGGGCTCCACCGGCACGGCCTGGATGCAACATTGCGTGGTCGATCGGGCCAGGCCGACGCGTTTCTGGCAGAGTCGAAGGCCCGATGCAGACGGGGAGGCGTGTGCGAGGGCGGAATGGTGGAGGGCCTCGCCGGGGGCGGAGGGGGCTGCAATTCCGAGCGAGTCGTCCGACCCGAGTCACGTGCCTGTCGCCTGTGCCTGCCGTCTGCGCCTGCCGCCTGCGCTCCAGGGCTGTGACGCGGCATCGGGTGGCGCGCTTCTCGTCCGCCGCCCGTTTCACCGCGATGCAGCAGCATCAACACCACTGTGCCGGGCGCGGCAGTTGTCCAGGCCGCTGTCTGCTGCTCTGCCGTGTCTGGTCGGGCACTGGCCCAGACTCCGCTCCGCCCTGCGCACTTCTCTCGCTTGCACCTCCCGCCCCTCCGATCACTAACGCTTTCAGCTGCATCTGCCAGCCATGCCAGGGCCTTGAAACAAGCTGCGAGTTCCGCCCCTGACGCTCCTTATGTCGCTTCGCGCCCACCCCTCGCTGACGGCCTGACGGTGGGATCATGGCACTGATGGCAGCAACAGCTCCCTCCGCCCTCGTCGCCGTCTCGACCTCCGCCCGCAGCCCCAGCGGTGGGTCCGATCTGTGTATATTGATGTCTGACCCTCGATAGATGAAGGCCGCGCGCCCATGGCTGCGTCTAACCGTCCGCCGTGGGACTGGGTCGATCCTTGCCCCGGACCAGCTTCTGTCTGTGCCACCGCAATGCTTCCCGAAACGGCTGCGATCCGCCATGACGACGTTTCGTCCTGATGAACGCCAAGCTCGTCCAAACACCCGTTTAACGGCGGCAAGCCGTGCCAAGACGCGTGCTGATGCTTCACTTCCCTGCACCCTCCATGAACTCGAAGCGCCAAGCCGTCAACCGCAAATCTCCCGGCGTTTCTGCATCCTTTGCCGCCTCTATTCTGGTTCTTCCACCTACCGAAGCGCTCGAGGCCCGGTCCATCGAGCTCTTGGCAGTCCGTCCGCTACGCAATACTGAATCTGTTCTGTTTGATCTCCGCGAGAGCGTTTCGATATTGTTCGTGTTTGCCAAAATGCTTGTCAGTGGCTGGGCACCTGATGCTCTTTAAAGACCCAACACCTCGCTTGTCACCACTTTTGCTCGGCAGGTTCACCTCATCACTTCTCTACTCCATTCGTTACTTGCTGTGCAAGACAACTTCCAGACGGACTTTCCATATTCAATCCTTGAACGCCAATCCAACTTTGCCAACGCCCTTTTCCACACCCAACCAATCAAAATGCAGTACAGCATCCGCTCCATCGCTCTTGGCCTCGCCGCCATGGCCGTCTCCACCGACGCCTTCATGGTCCCCCGTGACCCTCGCCAGGCCTGGGGCTTCCCCAACGCCGCCCAGAACGCTCGCCTTGCCGCTGCCGCCGCCACCCCTGCCACCACTCCCGGCTCTGCTACCACCCCCGCCACCACTCCTGCCGCCACTGCTGCCGCCTCTGGCTTCCCTGCCTCTTCTGGCACCAGCCAGCTCAGCGAGCCCATGACCGTCACCGGCAACTTCGACGGTGGCATGAAGGCCTTCGGCCGTGGTGTCAGCTGCACTGGCCAGGAAGAGGGTGGCGACAGCGACGCTGTCTTCATGCTCGAGGAGGGTGCTACCCTGTCCAACGTCATCATCGCCGCCGACCAGATCGAGGGTGTCCACTGCTTCGGCGGCTGCACTCTCAAGAACGTCTGGTGGACCGTAAGTTTTCCCGCCTGTGTGTGCTTTTCTGCCCAGCCCCCGCTGACCATTGCAACCAGGCTGTCTGCGAGGATGCTTTCACCATCAAGGAGCAGGGTGCTTCTGACACCACCCACATCATTGGCGGTGGTGCCCGCGGCGCTGAGGACAAGGTCCTCCAGCACAACGGCGGTGGTACCCTTGCCGTTTCCGGCTTCCTTGTCGAGGACTTCGGCAAGTTCTACCGCAGCTGTGGCAACTGCGACGACATGCCCGAGCGTCACATCACCGTCGACAGCGTCACCGCCAGCTCTGGCTCCATCCTCGTCGGCATCAACTCCAACATGGGCGACAGTAAGTCTCATTTCACCCCACTGTACCTGCACCAAGCAGCTAACAGCTTCAAGCTGCCACCATCTCCAACACCTGCGCCACCGGCGTCGATACCGTCTGCCAGGAATACACCGGTGTCACCGACGGCTCCGAGCCCGAGGAGGCCGGCAGTGGCCCCAGTGACGCTTGCAAGTACGCCGCGGCTGACGCCCAGGCCTGCTAAGCGCTCTTTATTCACGTTTCAAAAGCCTTTGGGCGCACCCACACGGTGGATTAACGTAGGGATTTGGCAAAAAGTCTCGGACTGGAAAATTTCACACTTCTTTATGTAGATATTGGACCCGGAGTCCGCAATCTATAGATAATCATCACATACATTTCGGTTGTGTTCCATCTTGTCGGTGTTCTTGTATGCTTCTGCCTGGCTGCGGGCGGGTGACTAAGTTTGGCAGATTGCTGAGAGAAATAGCCGTTGCCGAGGGCGGCGCACCAAAGGAAAACGCTCAACGCCCAATAATGCCAACGTCAGATGGACTCGCTGAATAGCGGAATAATCTTCGGTCGTCATTCCACTAATAGTCTAGTACACACCCCAGCCATGGATCGCTCGCTTCTTCGGATGGTTTCCGGATGCAACCGAGCTTTTCCGTATCTGGGTTCCCGCGTCGCCCTCAAAACACCGACGCACCATGACTGCAACTTGAGGATTTCTCAGTGGGCTGCAAAGGTGCATACTGATATTTCTGCGGAACTGTCGACGTGTTTCGGGCCATGCCCATACACGAAACATGTCGTAGCCTCGGTACGATTGACAAGATTCGATCGACAAGGCGACAAAATGCATGAGTGCTTTTTTGACCGCCAGTTTCCAGGCGACGTGGGGTAGGGTAAGGAGCGACCTGTCGACCATATAGCTGCTTGGTCATCGTTTTCCGGTCAAGTCTCGATATGGAGATGTCGATGCTCCGCACTTCCAGAAGTTTTCACATGTTCCATCATCTGACATCGGCCGAAGGGTTCAGCCACAAGCCGCAACGAGTCTTCTCCGCTCCCGCATACCCGCGGGGATTTTTCCCAGACGTCAGAAGTTGCCGAGTATGCGCTCAGGCTTGACCGTGTTCAGAGTCGATCCCCCGAAAGACATCATCCCTCTTGCCGCCGGTTGACCAGTTGGCCTCGGGCAGTTGCAAATGTACCTAGGGCAAAGCCCAGCGGCAACGGCTAGGTACGTCCTGCTCCCTTGGCATGGACTACTGACGACTCCAGATCGCAAGCATTACCAAAAGATGGTCCAATATATCGACGTACTTATCTCTCTTCCCTGTGATAACCCCACTAAAACATCACCTGATGCAGCAGTGTCCGTGTTAGCCGCACGCCCACTTGATCAGCAGCGCCGCGTCCATGGCACATGGCAGAAAAGCACGACAGTGCAGCATCTGCAAGGAACCCCTTGCCGCCCGTGCTCGATTTGCCGACTGCACAGATCCGGCTGCGACGACTCTGAAATCACCACTGTATCTTCAACCACGATTTGTGCAGTCGGTGTTCTTCCAAGTTCCAGAGAAGTGCATGAGAGATGAGGAACGGTCTCCGCCAGCGCTTCAGGACACAAGATAGGCTCGTAGCGGCTGCGGCGCAGCCAAGCATTGTCCCTGACTTTGCACGCTCTGACGACGTCCTTTGCCGGAGCTGCTCCGAATCTTCAGAGAGGTGGAGCTGGCTGACGGGGCCAGTGCCGGAAGTGTGTCTGAGGAGCTCCGGATGTGCTGTCGGTTGGAGTTGTTGTCCTGAGTAAGATCTGCAACCGAATCTCATTGTCTCTTTTTAGTCGTCTGGCATCTGAGCACATGCTTGTGCGCATACGCTCCACCCTTGGCTGGTGTCGGGGAAGATGATTCAGCCAGAGTGGGATTCGGTCCAGACCGGGGGTTGCGTCATATCAGGACACAGATCTGTGTGTACATGCACCAAGTTCTCTGGACTGGACCCGATTAGGAAAGCAACGGTTCTGATCATACTCTAATCAAGAAAGCTTTATTATGCGGGCTCGATTGTCCCACCGGCAGTTGGTTCTCACCGCTACTTGGGCGCGCTCAGTGAGGTGGGCATGTCTCACTGATTGGTGGCTACCTATATGGCGTGCCAAAGCGTACGTATATGCAGCAGGCCCGAAGGGGAGGCGGGCAGGGGAGCGGGATGGGCGAAGAGGCTCGTTTGCGTGTCGGTCGAGCGATAGGTAAGCGCGGTTTCAGGGCGAATTGCGCACGCCAGCAGGCGCGGGATCGACCCGTCTCGACGATGGCAGCGACGGCAGGCGGGATGGAGCGCGTCTGGCGCGGCAGGGACCGCCCCTTTCGGGCTGGGATGGGCGGGTGAGTGGGCGAATGGGCGCGGCTGCCGGGGCTGGCGCGGTCGAAACGGCGGCCGTTCATGGCCGTTCAACCGCCTGAGATCCAACGTCAATCCGCTGCGCCACAGCCCCGACTCGAAAAACATGCCACATTCCCGTCGCAGTGGCTAACATCTCCACCTTCGCGAAGGAGCGAACTCCGCCGGGCCGATATCGCCAGCCGGCCGGCCAGCCACCTGGCGAGTCAGGATTGGACGGCCGGCCGGTCGTCTTCACTGTGCCTCTCTCGCACGCCGCGACGCTCAACCTCGTCGAGAGCGTGGCCGTCTCATTGGCACACGACTGGCCCGCCAATCGCCCGCCAATCGCCCGCGGCTATGCATCGGCGAATTTCCCACGCGATGCGCCATGGGCGGCCACAGTGCGTGAGTGCGTGAGTGCCAACCGCCGGTACGTGGGCATGCGCGCGCCGCCGACGGGCCCGCCCCGCGCCCTCCCTCCCTCCCCCACCCCAACCCATCCCATTTGTTCGTTTGCCTCCCTCGGTGCCTCGCCCGCCAGCCAAGCGACAGGACAGTCTCGCACGCTCCACGCCCGGCCGCCGTTCGCTCTCCAGCAAGACCAACCGTGACCCTGAAACGAAGCCGACGGAACAGCTCCAATTCCCGACCCGACGGAACCTTTTCATCCTTTTTTCTGTCGACAGGTCACGGGTAGAAAAGAGAGGGGATCGCGTCTTCTTTTTTTGCTTTTCGAACTTCACCTTGAGAGGGCTCTTCTTCCGGCCGCCCCCCTCCAGTTTTCTGTTTTCCACCCCTTTGCCTATCCCCAGACCTTATGCACGCAAGCGGGGCCCGCGCCTGCATACAATCTACAGCCCGCCGCGCTACACGAGCCGAACTCCCGCTGCCGCTTGCTGCCGCTGCCGAAGCTTGTTGCTGCTGTCCGTCGACCGAAACCACCTGAACAGCCTCACTTGCCAAAGAGAGAAGAAGAAGAAGAGGAAGAAGAAGAGGAGGAGGAATCAAGCGTTGCCGTGTGCCATACATCACCAGCCATGGACTCGTACGTCAACCAAAATACCTTGCAGTGTTTTTTTCTTTTCCTTTTGCTTCACCACTATCCCCGGCCCTACCTCCGTCCTGAACCCACAACGATACGCATCCATATTATTGCCCTGAATCATCACCCCTGTATTTTCTTCTCATCACTCCCCACATCTTTCCCCCCCTTCCCCCGCACAAGCCTAATAAACGACGCCCGCGCCCCACCAGCCTCGTCTCTTCCCAGCTACAACCAACCATGTCCACCACAAGCTGACCGCCAACCCTTCGGATGTCTTCCATCCGGAGGCACGCGCCCACCCCCCGCCAGTCCCGAAATGCGCATCCTCTCCTTCATCGAAGACGGCGGGACACCATCCGCACACGAGCTCTCGGCGCTCTTTGACGCCCTGGCGCCCATCACCCCACAGGACCTGGAAGGGGATTGGTCCGGCGGTGATTTCCACGACAGCGACACCAACTCCAAGGAGGAGCCGCCGCCCGTGCATCCGTGCCACGCCATGCTGGAGAACTACCGCTGGGCCGGCATGGTGGTGAGGGGGGCCGAGGACGTGTTGCCCGTCATGAGCTGGACCGACGATGGCCAGAGGGTGCACAGCACCTATTGGGGTGGGGGGCAGGTATGTTGTTCTCCTTTTCACTGTCCGTTATGGCCATGATGATGTTGCTGTTGTGGCTGCTTCGGTCGTGCTGCCTCTCTCTTGTACGCCATCTACGCGAGTGGCAGTCCCTACTTCCTTTCTTTTCTTCTTTTTTGCGTCTTTCTTCTCCTGGTGTTTCACCTTCACAGTGATTCCGATTCCTACTGTACCGTGCCGTCATCACCGTAGTGACCAGAGCACACTTCTACAGCTCCGCGAACTCAAGCACCGTGGTGTCGTCTCGGCCAGCCTCATTTTCGATTGCTACCCCATCATCGATCATTTCCGCCGCGTCTCGGACAACACGCTCATGGCCCTGCTCGACGCCAAGGACAAGCACTTGAAGGATGCGGGGCCGTATTTCTTCTGGATCAGGAAGTAGGGAAGGAAAACGGCACGGTGAGCGGGCGGAGGAGGGAAAAGGAGAGCTGTCCTTGGAAGAACAGTTGCAGAGGCCAGTCGGACGCGAGGAAAGAGGGGAAGAAGAGAATGTTTGAAAGGGGTCAAGAGAGCGTCATAATGAGGAGGAGGCGGCGGGGAAGGCTGTTCAGAGTGACGGAGACACCATTCGCTTTTCAACTTCGGACAATGCCATGTCTGTTGCGGACGCAAGTGGAGAAGCCGCCGACATGAATGCAGCGCGTTGTCATCATTTTCCTGGCGCTATAGAGTAATGGATTTGTAAGTTCCCTTGGGTCCAATCAGCTTATCGGTTCCTACTTCTGTTTGCATTTCGAATTCATCGTTAATCCAACCAGATTTTGAACTTCTTTTCTTCGTCACATCCTGTGAGGTCGTCCGAGTCTACTCCGATATAGGTTGACTCCATTATTGCCCGAGTCATTTCGAAACGCAAGGCCCCCAAACGGTAAAAATGGTTGTCTTCCTCCGCTGGCTGCAGTATGATGCCAACACCTTGGCAGGGAGCGTCGAACTCGTCGACGGCACCTTGACTGCCGTCCTCGGCCTCATCCGCGTCCTCGGGTTCGATCACTGACCCGTCGTGCTCGATCTTGTGACCCTCCTCTTCGTTCTCTTCAGTCTCGTCACTTCCGTCATACTCGCCGTCCTCGTCGTCTTCGTCGTACTCGCCTTCCCAGTCACTCTCATTTTTCTCCACGGTGGCAGCGAGGATCATGAAGTAGACGACGGCGCCGTGAGGGATGACGAAATCCGGAAAGACCTCGACCCGACACCGATCCTCGGCCGCTCCGGGAATATCGAGCCGATAATCCTCCCTCAACGCGTCATACACGCACCTCGCGCGGCCGACATGTCCATACAACGCAATCGAGTTCGACGCCAACCGCGGATGCTGGTCCATCAAATTCTCTCCTTCCTCCCCACTCCCCACCACGGACGGCGCGCCGCCTTCCTCCTCCTTTTCCTCCTCCCCAACCGTCCCCAGCCTCGACGGCTGCACGCCAGTCACCTTCTTCTTCTTCTTCTCCTCCTTCTCCCGCCCCTCCTTCCCCCTCGCCGCCGCCACCTCGCGCATCCGCTCATCCCACGCCCCAAACTGCTCCCCCCACGTCCCAAACGCTTCGCCCTCTCCCTCCTCCTCGTCCGCCAGCCCGCGGAACCCGTCGGCCAGCTCGAACGCGACGGGGCTCGCCCCGTCGTGCGCCACCACCGTGTACGACCGCCGCCCGGGCAGCCGGTCCGCGACCTCGACGGCGCTGGCCGCCGCGTCGACGACGGCCATCCACGACCACGACGGGAAGTCGGCCGCCGGCGCCGCTTCGCCGTGGTGCGATGTCGGCGTCGGCGTCGGCGTCGGCGTCGTCGTCACAGCAGCAGCACCATTACCACCATTACCACCAGCACCACCACCAGCACCACCAGCGGCAGCGGTAGCGGCGCCGCATCGTGAAGACGATGACAACATCTCCGGCGTCGGCTTCGGCGTCTCGACCAGCCGCCACGCCAGCTGCTCCTCGAGCCCGCGGCGCCACAGCCCCGCGGCGTAGGCCTCGCGCAGCATGCCGGCGCCGCCGTCGCGCAGCGGCTTGGCGACGCCCCACACGGCGACGGCGCGGTCCGACGCGCGGGTGAGGGCGCAGCGCGTGTAGCTGGCCACGGCGGAGGCCCAGAAGCGCTCGAGGGAGAGGGAGGAGCCGGAGTTCATTGGCGCCGCCGCGAGGGAAGAAGGTTGTTGGGAGTGGGATGATTGGTGGGAGGATGTTGGGCCTGTTTGTTGTTGGAGCAGGAGCGCGCGCCAGTGGCGGTCGGAGACGGCGGGGGCGTCGAGGGGAGGGGGGAGGCCGTGGGGGAAGGTCTCGCAGGCGGAGAGGGTGGCGCAGTCCCAGAAGAGTTGGTGGCGGGTGAAGTGGAGGAGGCGCGGGGAGAGGAGGCGTTCTGTGGGGGTGGTCAGTTGGGTGAGTGGGTGAGTTGTGAGTTGGGTGGATTGGTCAGAGAGAGAGAGAGAGAGAGAGAGAGAGAGAGAGAGAGAGAGAGCACCACATACCTTGAAACACCCACGCCCGCTTATACAACGGCGTCCCCAGCAACTCCCTCTGCCACATATCCCCGCTCACGACCCGCCACGTCCCCCCCTTCCGGCCGCCAAACACCGACGCCGCCCCCTCCCCCTCCACCCTATACGTCCCCGGCACCACCACCGCCTCCCGTCCCCCCTCCTCCTCCCCCACCCCCCCACCGCGAAACAGCCCTCCCCCCGCATCCCCCGCATCCACCGCCGCGATGTTGCACCACGACCCGCGATACACATCATGCATGCACGGCGCCTCGCGGCGCCAATCGGCGTCCTCGAGCGCGCGCTCGCCCGCATCCGCCGGCGCCGCCTCCACCCCTTCCACCCAGTGCTGCACGATGCACAGCGAGTCGATCCACAGGTACCGCGCGCCCAGCCGCCGGCACGTCTCGATGGCGTGGGCGAAGTTGGTGTTGTGCAGGTCTGCGAGGGGGATGCCGTCGCGGAGGAAGCGGGCGATGTTGTGGCCGCGGAGGCGGAGGAAGGTCGGGGTGGGGCCCCAGCAGTGGGAGAGGGTGCAGTAGGGGGGTGGGGGTGGGGGTGGTGGTGCAGACGGGTGGGTGGAGCAGGAGGGGGTGGAGGAGGTGGTGGAAGAGGTGGAAGAAGCGAAGGCCGGGTGGGATGCGGTTTCGATGAGGCCGATGCGGGAGGGGTAGGCGGGGTGTTGGACGTCGAGGAGGCGGGTCGGGACGAAGTGGCGAGAGGAGCTGCTGCTGCTGCTGCTGCCCGAGGCCGACGCGCGTCTGGCGCAGCGCGGGTGCGTCGTCAGGCAGGTGTGCATCCAGCGGGCGACTTGCGCCCAGGATTGCGGCGAGTTGGTGCTCGGCCCGAGGGTGGCGGGAGAGGCGAGGGCTGTGAGGTCTGGATTTTGGTGGGCGGGGGGAAAAGAGGTGTGAGTATGGATGGTACTGTGCCCTTTTCTTCTCCTTCTTCTTCTTTTTTCTTTCTCTCCCCTCCCGGGTTTTCGGGGTCATGGCTCACCGTTGTCTGGGAACATGTAAAACTCCCTCTCCGGTGGGAATTCTTCGCGGACGTGGTCGTCTCGTGTTGCGAATTTGATGGGCCGGCATGGTCGGAAGGTGATGACGACCGGGTCTTGGGTTTCCCGGATGGATGCTGGCCTGGTGATGCTCCACCGATAGAGCGGCTCGTCGAAAGGCTCGGCCGCTGAGCTCACGTCGGCATGAAGAGCCCGGCAAAAGGTGCACGGCTCTTGTGCAAGAGCGCTCGTCTCAAGGTCTCGGAAGGTCTTGTGATGGTAGGCCCATCTTTGCGTCGACTCGAGGACGGACTCTCTACAGTACTTGCAGAACATCTCGCGGGCTACGGGGGCCAAGCTAATGGTGCTAGAAACGCTTCTTGGACGGTTCCTCCGCCATCAATTTAAAAACGTAAGTTAGGTGGAGTAGTCACGCGGAGACTGGCGGCACACGGACCTTTAAAGGCTGACTATATAAGACTCAGCCGCATTGGGGGCCGAAACGGTGGGGGCCGAAGACAGAATTAGGTATGCCCTTCAACACGCAACAGTCACGTCGGGCGCTCAGAAAATACTGGTCCCTTGCCTGGCAAGCTTCATCTTGCCGTGCCCAAGCTGCACGCGTGGAGCCACACGCCCTTTCGGCGGCGCTCTTTTCCCCTCGTCCCTGGCCCCCATCTGCGCCATCGTCTTCGACCTCGGAGGCATCGCATACCTCAAGTCCCCGCGGGTCCAGACAAGCAGCTCGTTGTAGTTTTCCGTGACGTACAAGAAAAACGACTCGTGGTAGGGCAACACGAGCTGGTCTTCCGAGTTGTCCACCGTCAAGAAGCCGGCCGTTGCCTTGAGGACCTCCTGCACCGAGTATGGCTGCGAGCCTCGAGCGCCGTCTCGCGGGACGACCCTATGCAGTTCGCGCTCCAGGTCTCTGAACGGCCTGCCGTTGTAGTGGTTGGCCGCGGCCGAGATGGCCGTCAGCCCCAGCCGGCTCTGTGGCTGGGCTTGACCCGCAATCCGCTTGATGGCGGCATCGAACATGGCGACGCGGTTCCCGGGCAGGCGGTCGCCGACCGTGAGCACCGCGTCGACCGAGTGGGCGGTGCGGATGGCGTCGAGGCGCAGTTTGATGAAGCTGATGTTGTTGAAGGCGTCGTTGGCGATGGAGTTGACCAGGCTCTGGATCACCTTGGGTCCGCCGCGGTTGACGAGCGTGCGCCCGAGCGCGGAGCGAGGTGGCTTGTTCTCGTTGCTTGTGTCCAGGCCGAGGTCGCCGTGCTCGGCTTCGAGGCTCCATGAAGCGAACTCTGCGGCAAGCTCGCCGGTGATGGAGAGGTCGACCTCGAGGTGCGAGTACGGTTCATAGAGCTCGGCCGCTCCTGCTCCGCTGTGTTCATGTCCAAGTCAGTCGGCAATCGAGTTTGATGCAAGGGGCTGTCTGGCTTACCAAATCCCGCAGCCTTCACCCCGCAACCTGCATGCTTCGCAGATGATATAATCTTCCTCGGCGCCACGCAACAAACACTGCTTGCACTTCCAGTAAACGGTGATGCCGTAGCTGGGGCATTGCTCGCCCTCGGAGTTTACGGCATCGCACCAGACCGACAGCTGGGATCGCTGGAAAGCGATGCGTGAAGTGACGAAGATTTTCAGGCCATGGCGTCGAAGTCTCGCGAACTCATCCTCGAAGAACAGCTCGATGGCATCGCCGCATCGGTCAAAGTCGTCGACGATCAGAAAAGCGTGGCTGAGGCTCAGCAAACGAGCGTACAAGGCTTTCCGCAGGAGCTTGATGCGACGAGAGAAGCGGTCCCCGCGCCCGCACGCCGCCACGTATGCGCCGTAGATGCCATCCGACACTCGAGAGGTCTCGCCCGAATTCCTCCGGAACTGGCGGCAGAGACTCGACAGTACGCTCTCCACAAATGCGGCTGCGTCTTCACCGTCGTTGTAGACGTCAGCCACGACGAAAACTGAAGCAACTCCGACATCAGGCACACGCGCGAACCGGTCCCTGATGTTGTTGAAGGCCAGTGCCGCTAGCGTAGTCTGGAGACGGAATTAGCAAAGGATCCTGCCGTCGACGGAGCATTGCGAACTGCACAGTCCCTACCTTACCCGACCCGGGCCCGCCCACACACCGCAGGTGCCATGTTCGATCCTTCTTGACCCAGCAGTCGAATTCCTCGGTGTCGAAATACCAGCTGAGCGCTGGTTCGTAGAGGTCGACGGGCAGGGCGGCCGACTCACTGAATGCGGCGTGCATCTTCGGAGAATGCATATGCGCTGCCGTCGTGCCGTTGCTGGGACGGGATTTGAAGTGCAAATCAATGACCGTGCTCGTGACATGGGCTATAAATAGATCAGGTGCGCCATGGGGTGTCTCTAGGCCCCCCCACATACCCGTTATAGGCAAGTGTTGGTTTTGTTTTTTGCTGCTTCCCCTGCGTCACAGCAATTTCCACACTGCGAGGCCGCAATCCACATCCACATGACTGAACAAAGCGCAAAACGCACGAGCATCGGAGCCTTTCGATGGATCAAGCCTTTGTATCGACGGCCTTGGCGTAAGCAGAGCAGGGGAGAGCTCGGTCCTACCGGCTGGTATCAACCGAGCTTGGGGGCCGTTCCGCCCGCGTCTCCGCCCCCAAGTTCCCGCTTTCGCCCCAGTCATGCAGAGTTGGTGGACGCGCAGTCTGGACTTGAATAGGCTGCAAAGGCCGGTGTGGCGCTGCACACTCGATGCTGTGGGCATGGTGCATCGCCTCCCGCTCTTCTGATAGGCCCGTCTCCAATTAAAGACCATACCGCCTCGCCCCAACACCATGGCTGGTGCCTTGGGTGGTGCAACTGCACAACTCTTAGCTCTCAAGCCACAGGCTGGGGCGCGCTCCAGGGCGCACTTACCGCAAGCCTCAGTGTAAAAGGTTGCTTGCCCCCGACGCATAGCTAGCCTCATCAACTCGCTCATCTCGGACAGGACAGCCATGAAGTCTCTTGCATCCGCCGTGGCCTTGCCGTGCCTCTTCCTCGGTGCTTTGGCGAAACCGACTCCCCGTCCGGCCCCAGCGGAGGTCATTCCCACCAACGATGACGCATCAGACGCGCAGTGGGACATCTGCGGCAGGATCGTCACTGCGGCAAATGGTAAGTGCAGGAGGGTGCAAAGACACAGGCAGCTCAGCTGACGCCACTGCAGAGGGCCAATATGTTTTCTACGCCCGAGACGCCATCCGGTGTTTGACCAGCGTGCCCTTCAACGCGGCCGTGGCCAGTCGGTTCATCGAGTACTACAACACCACGATCCAGTTCCACAGCACATTAGCATACCTGAAGGACCCTCCGGAAGGCTACCAGCAGCCGGCCATAGACGTCGTGGCCGGTCTGCAGCAGATCCAACAGAACATCGACAGCGGCAAGTACAAAAACCAGTATGCCTTCGAAGCCGAGATGCAGGCGCTCGTGTACTCGATGCACGACATGCACGTCGATCTCAACTCTGGAGTCCTCGCCGCCTTCTCGTTTGCAAGCCCTTACTACATCACCGCTGCGTCGGTCGACGGCAAGGCCGACCCGCAGATCTATCTCTGGGGTAAGTTCTCCGCCTGACAAGATGCGGCTCACGCTAACAACTGGCCAGATGACGTTTGGGAGCGCCAACCGGGGGGCACCGAGCCTGGTGCAATCGCCACAATCAACGGACGGGACGTGATCGAAGTGTTGACCGAGTTCGCCGCACTCAACTCGCAAGGAACGCTGGAGCCCAACGCGGACTGGAACCAGCTCTTCTCCAACCCCGCCCAGGACATCCAGGGTACGTTGAACGTCTTCAGCGGCGGTGCAACATTCTATCCTGGCGACGAGCTCGAGTTCGTGTTCAAGAACGGCAGCAACATCACGACGAACTGGCTTGCCATATACAACAGCGTGGATGACACGGGCCCGCTGACTACGGGTGGCGATTTCTACAACTACTTCGTCCTCGGACAATACCCCCAGGCCTACTACGACGAGCTCGAGGCGGCACAGAATGCCACTTCGGCCAACGACACCACCTCGGATTCCAACACGGACGACTCGTCTTCGGACGACACCAGCTCTGATGACACGTCCTCATCCGACTCGCCCGAAAACACGTCCTGGAACTTCGAGAGCTACGGGGCCTATCCCGACAACCCGGACATTGTGCAGCCGGACCTGTCGATCGCGGGCGGCGGCGTTGTCACGGGCTACTTCTTCAACGAGTCGTCGACGGCGGTGCTCAGCATCCCCACGTTCGACCAGTACGGCGACAACATCGGCAACTTCGACACGACCGTGGGCGACTTCGTGGCCAACGCCACGGCCCGCAACCTCACGCGGTGCGTCATCGACCTGCAGCAGAACTCGGGCGGGCTCACGCTGCTGGCCTTCATCACCTTCGCGTGGTTCTTCCCGCAGACGACGCCGTTCCACGGCAGCCGGCGGCGGTCGTTCGGGCTGGCCAACTCGCTCGGCCAGTTCACCACCGACTTCTGGAGCTCGCTGCAGCCGGGCACGACCGACTACGACGACTGGTACGACAGCCTGGCGTCGGACGAGTGGGTGGTGACGGACCGGCTCAACGCCGACACGGGCGAGAACTTCACCTCCTGGGCCGACTTCTACGGCCCGCGCGCCTACCACGGCGACGACTTCTCGCTGACGGAGCAGTACAACCTGTCCAGCCCCGTCTTCGCCGACACGGCCTTCAACGGCTGGTACCTCGACCCGGAGCAGTGGGGCGAAGCCCCCTGGCGGCCCGACCAGATCGTGCTCCTCACCGACGGCACCTGCTCCTCGACCTGCGCCCTCTTCGTCGAGCTCATGACCAGCCAGATCGGCGTGCGCACCATCGCCGTCGGCGGCCGCCCCGGCCAAGGGCCCATGCAAGCCGCCGCCGGCAGCCGCGGCGCCCTGCTCTACACGGCCAGCGACATCGACGTCGACATCGACTGGGTCAACGGCCGCATGGACCTCAACGACAACCCGTCCAACGAGTCCGCCTACGCGAACCTGCGCCCCCTGCGCGAGCGCGACTCGGGCATGTGGGTGTCGTACGCCGGCGTCAACCTGCGCGACCAGATCCGCGAGGCCGACACCACGCCGCTGCAGTTCAAGTACGAAGCCGCCCACTGCCGCCTCTACTACACGCTCGACAACGTGTGGAACCTCACGCGTCTCTGGCACGACGCCACCGCCGCCACCTTTGACGATTCCACCGCCCTCTGCGTCGCCAACTCGACCGGCTACGCCTCCACCAGCTCCGTCTCCACCGCCGCCCCGCCCCCCACCCTCAACCTCACCGTCCCCACCATCAACGACGCCTTCCTCTCCAACACGGCCACCTACGTCCTCGAGCAAGGCTTAAACTCGTCCTCCGACGCCGGCAACCACGACCTCGTCGCCGGCACCGCCCGCGTCTCGTCCTCGTCCATGCAGCTCTGCACCTCGGCCGGCAAGTGCCCGACCGGCCTCACCGGCACGTGCCAGGACGTCAAGATCCAGTGCCCCGGCGCGACCGAAGCCGTCGTCCGCAGCGTGTGCATGACGCGGTGCTCGAGCGTCAACGGCGACGCCGACTGCAGCGCGCAGGGGACGGGGTGCACGGGGCTGGATTCGGGCAGGAAGGAGGACCAGGTGAGCTCGACGAGCGCGAGTGGCGGGAGCGGAGGGGGCAGTTTGGCGAAGCAGTTCAATCGGAATGTCGGGAGGGGGTATTGCAAGCCGAAGATCACGCCGGTGAAGGGGGCGGGCGTCGTCAAGGCGTTGGCGTGTCCGAAGTGAGTGGGCGTTCTTTCCTCTTGTTTTTTTTTTCGATTTCGACTTTCGCCATGTAGATATTTTATGAATGGGATGAATTTGTATGTCATGTAACGCTGTGTGTTGATGGGCATTCGTCCGAGCTGCGTGGTTTCTCTCGTCGCTTCCTGGCTGACTGTGGACTGGCCGGCGTTGACTCGTGAAGCTTCTTCGAATATTCCCACACCTCGTCTGAAAACGACTGTCAGTAAACCCTGAGCGTGCTGTGATATGCCAGGTTGCTTGGGCTTTGATGGAGATCCGATGGCGAAGATTCCGACCCTGTGTTCGGGCGAGCACAGAAGGGTCTCTGGAAGAGTCCGGAGCAGCGTTCGCCATTCTTGCAACCAACGCGTCGTGACGTAAAGCAAAGTTTGGCAGCGTGGGAAATTCGATCGCACTAGAACCCTATGCACGTAGAGTCCTGTCGGATTCGACTCAACAGCTGTGGTGCTGGCCAAACTCGCACTTTTCGGTAGAGAAATATGTCATTCGACACTAGGTAAGCCCGCCAAACTTGAAGATAACAACGTCCTCGAACTCAGACTCGTCTCAAGGGATCCCAGCGATACCGAAAGGAACAGAGAGATCCCTGAGGATTACAGAGAAATAGTTTCAAGATATTTAGAGGTAGCGTCTGCCCCATGCGTTTTCGTTACTCTCCGTTAATTTGAAGAAGGGGCCAAGATACCACGTGGAAAACAAAGCCTGGCTATCTTCAGAGGGCGCAAACGCATTGGACGGACCGTATCTCATCCAGACTGTGATACACCAAACGAGGAAGTATACGTTGTGCGACGAGAATTACTATAACAGCGCAGAACGACGCTGAGATTGAGAAGGCGAGACTGTCACTAGCCGAGGGACAGGAATCTGCTTTCATCGTCTACCGCAACGGTGATGAACGGTCAAGGAATTTGAATTCTGAGCCGATAGCGCGGGTTGTAATTGAAGCAGTCCCCAACTTGGAATTTTTTAGCATCAAGAGAAAGAAAAAGAAATCCCCCGTGATTAAAACCCAGCTGCCCGTTCGCCAGCACTCTCCACACACCCGCATATCGCCGCACCCCGTCGCATCGCATGTCGCCGCATCCCATCGCACCGCACCGCGCCGCCGTTAACCAGGCCGAGACCGCATCGAAAAGGAAGGAAAGGGGCGGTAGCATTATTATTGTCGCATGGACCGTCCCGTCCGTGAGTAGTGTGAGGGCCGGCAGAAAGTTGAAGCGAAAGACGGATCCCCCCCCCAAGGGTACCGACGTACCGTGCCGACATGGATACGAAGTTTGGGGCCGGAGCCGGGTCCCATGGGATCATACCTAGAAGAGCGACAGGGGCAGCAGCGAGGGGGGAGGGGGGGGCGAGGGGAAGCACAAAAGTCCTTGCCGCTTGCCCCCGCCGGTATTTCACATTATTTTCGCACTACTACTACTACTACTACTACTACTACTGCTACTCCCTTGGAATCAAATTCACTCTTGTATCATCCCAGGCAAGCAAGCAAGCAAGCGAATGGCTTTCTTTACCCGCACGACCAACGGGTGTAAATGACAGTTTTCGTGACGTGTGCCATTTTCCCTTTTTTTTTTTTAGTGGATGACGCAGCTGTGACAGCAAGCAAATGCCTGAGCCTACAGAATCCACAAACGTCTCAAAAAAAAAAAAAGGAATGCCACCATCATCAGCATGATGTCAAGCGGAAGGAATGTGAGCACGAGCACGAGAACGTATCAGAAAAAAAAAAGGGAAGTAGCATTAATCTGTAGGAATCGGTTTACTTATGTGCAAGGCCAACAAGAGAACCCAGAAGCCCAAGGCACAAATCAACTTAATACCGACCGGGCTCATTCGCAGTTCTTAACCAACCAACCAGTCTGAATAGCTTTCTCTCGATGAAGATGTACTTTCTTTCCCCACCCGCTGCTGCTAAGGATGGTAAAGAAAAACTAAAAAAACGCGCTCAATGATTCATTCGCAAAGGGGGGGTAGTCGATCATACTGCCTTGTACACGAGGTCAAGCAACACAAAAAACGATAAACAAAGGGAGGAGGCAGCTAGAAATAAGCAGCAGCCCGGAGGTGTGTCGCCATCTCTCAGTCATCAGCATCCCTGCTTCCACTCCGCGACCATTCTCCCCTCGCCCGCCCGAGGTCAGGTCAACTCGGGCCGTTTCGACAACAGTCCATGGTGCAGTCCAACACTCAACAACACTCCGGAGACATACCTTCGCCTGTTCTTCTTGTCCGGACCGGGCCAACACCGAAAGCCGAGACAAGCACAGCACAAGCGGGCGGCGGCTCGGAGTTGGCACAAGCTCACGCCAACGCTATTACCGCGGGGCCGGCAACGCCACACGGCCCATGCCCGTCGCCGCGCCGCCTTCCCGTACCGCTTACTTGGTGACGAACCCGAGGTAGTCGGCCACGATCAGCGTTACCATTCTGTAGGATTTTCCGTCAGCCCGCCAAGTCCCATTTACCGGAATGCCGAAAAAGGAAGTCCGCACACAAGAGCGGAAGACGGTCAAGAAGGGGAGGGGAAAAAAGGAGTTAAAGACTTACGCATGGGGCGCAATGCGCACGTAGTAGGTACCGAAGCCACGGTAGAACCTCAGCAGGCCCTCGTCGCGGGCGACCTTCTTGAAGCAGTCGGCCATGCCGCGGTAGGGAAGCGTGCCGTCGGGGGCCCGCGTCTGCTTCTGCAGGCGCGTCTTGACAAAGTCGAAGGGCAAGCTGAAGAAGGAGGCGAAGAAGCCGGCGATGGCCGAGGCCGTCAGCGTCTGTGTGCGAGACGAGAGGCTGGTGTCCTTGAGCTGGTTCTTGGCCTCGGAGAAGAAGGCGAGCTGGCCGAAGTTGAGTGCCATTGCGCGGGCCACGGTGGGGAAGCAGCCGGCCCACAGCGCCGTGACACCCTCGTTCTTGGAGATGCGCGCGAGGGCGTCAATGACGGATCTGTAGTGTGCTCGCTCCGCTGGCGGCTTGAGGCCGTCGCTCTGCATGCGGATGAGGGCCAGGTCGGCAGGGTTGCCGACCACGGCTGCCAAACCACCGGCAGTCAGACCGGCGCCTGCGCGCTCTGCGAAGCTGACCTTGTTGCCACTGCTTTCCGCTCTTGCGCTCAGCGTCTTCATGAAGGTGTCGAAGAAACCGAGACGCGCGGTCGTGTATACAGCTTGGCGGAGGAGGCCCGCCGAGAGGCCGGTGTAGAGGTCGAGCACCTTGCCTGCCGCTATCACGTCCCTTGTGACGGACAGGGGGGTAGGCTTCGGCCCAGTCTTCACGCCCTCGCCGGCCAGCTGCAGGCGGACCTTGATCATATCGACGGGCTGAATGACCGTGGTGGCGGTCATGCCGGCAAGGCCTCCATTGATGAAGGGTAGAGCTGCGCGCATGGCGGGGGTGTGCAGGAAGTCAGTGGTAGCTTTGGAGGGGTTCTCGGCGGCAGTCTTCATGGCGGCGGAGCCTTCGGAGGCGGCTTCTTTCGCGCTGTTCATGGCGGCTGAGGTTTGGCGCTTTGCGGCTTCGAGCAAAGATGAGCTGGACGACATGGTGGACGAAAGTGTTCTGGAAGAACGGCGGGTAGAAATAGGTGGCAAGCAAGCGAGGTGGTCGGAAGTTTTATGGTTACCGACGACTCGGACGGGAGGAGTAAGCTGGCTCTGCTAGACGATCAGCACGGCAGCTGAAGTAGGTACAGACTGGTCTGAGCAGTAGCGCGGGTTGAGCTTGGGTAAGCAGGCATGTGGACGCAGGGACAGTGTTGGGATTTAAAGAGCTTCGGCCGCGTCAGATAGCGCCGCGGGCAGCTTGGGCTCGGGCTAATCAGGCAGTGCAATGGCGACAGAGAAGTGCAAGACGAGGGCAGTTCCGAATACACCCGTCAAGTGTACAGAGGGTGCATGGCGGCGGATCGGGTCTGGAGAGAGCGTACCAGTGCGGGCTTGCGGCGCCAAGGCTGGGTCAGAAGGCTGTCAAGCGTGCCGGACGTGTTGAGGACGGGTGTGACAGGACTCTGGCAGACTGGGACGACAGGCGCAGAGTCCAGAGGTACTTGAGCGGTCCTTTGAGGAGGGAGCGAGAGGGGCAAGACAGGACGGGCGGAAGCGGGCAGGTTGTGCAGGTTGTGCAGCCCCCTCCTTCTCCGCTGGCCAGCAGCGCTGCTCGCTCCCAAGAATGCGGGGAAGCAGCAGCGCTGAGACGACGTTAGGCAGGAAGCTTGATTGAGCTCGGCAGCAGGCCAATGATGAGAGGGAGGCGTGGCTGGGGCAGCGCGCAGGCGGCACGCTCATCCTCGGTCTGGACAGGCATTGCTCCTGAAATTCCCGCGTCTTTGTTGTCGGCTGGTCGGAGAGGCACGCTCCTGGCGCTTTGTGCGTGGGTGGGTGGACGAGTGAGGGAGGAGGCAGCTGCGGTACGTCATGCCAGAGTGCCAGAGCGCCAGAGCGCCAGAGCTCCCCGCCGTTGCATAAGCCCGGTGCGCCCGCTTCTGATTGGCCGGCGCCGCCCTGTGCGCATCCCGCCGCAGCTTCACGCTCAGCTTCACACGTGAAGCGCATCACCAGAGCATCGCCCAGCACTGCGCCCAGCACTGCGCCGAGCGAGCTGGAGCGCGCCTGAGACGACGGCACTCGACAGAATGCATTGAGCCCGCGCTGCTGCTCTTGGCCGCGACCGACTGCTGGGGGCGCCACGTGCCCGCGCCGAGGCGGCATATCGGGATGTGGAAGGGGCGTCTGGGCTCCTCTCCTCTCGCCAGCGGCTGGAACGCGCGGGCCTCGAATCTGCACTCGCGCCTCGCTCGCGCCTCGCTCCCGCCCGCAACAAGCTCGGTTGACTGCGCCCCGGCAGCACCGCACGGTATTCCATTGTTGCGCGACTTACACAAAGCACGTTGCAGTCCGTCTCCACGGGACGTCAAGCTTATCGGCCTCATGCAAGGGCGGCTCGTGGACCCGTCCACCTCAACAAACCTGAGGTCGCCTCACAGCCGCACCCCCATCGGGCCTGCCTCTATCAAACCCTACAAATATGGGCCTCAGTCTCAACGCCATTGCTCTGCCGCTGTTGAGCCTCGACAACCGCCGTCAGCCGGCTCTCCGACCGCCCCCCGTGACTAGCCGCGCCCATTCATCTCCGACCCCGCCCAGCTACACAGCAGCATCCTATCCTCACCGTCGCCCAGCTGAAGCCGGATACTTAACCCCCCACCATCCGCCCCGTTCCGCTTCCCGACCACCACCTCATCTCCAGCCGCCATGCTTCGGAAATCCACCACCGAATCAGCCTCGATCCCCCGTTCCCCGACGGGTACGACGCTGACGCTAGCCTCTTCCGCCGACTTCTCTTCCAAGTAGACGTGCATGTCGACGCCTCTCAATTGAAGGTGAGCCGGCCGTCCGGGAGAAACTCTTCGCCGCTCATGTCTCAGTCTGTGGCTCTTTGTACTAGACGACGGGCTGAGTAGCCTCTCGACATGCCGCTTATCTTCCGTGGCTGGCTCCACAGATATTTGGACGGCCAAGTCAAGCTCGGCCGTGTCCGCCTCAGCAGCCATCTCAGGAGATTGCCGTCGTGTTTCACTTGCCAACTCACTTGCCGTACCTCGGCAGTCGCCATTCGTCTTTGCAGTTGCCGCTTCTTCCGTAGCTGTTCGCCCAAGATTGGACGGTGTAGGTGTGCCACCCAATGCCGTGTCGTGCCGTGTAGCCGGCTGCCCTGTAGAGGCACTGGGCCAGTATTGCATTGGCCTGATGGTAGACGCGGAGGAGCCTGTTGATGGAGTGGAGCCCTTCAACCATGTTAATCCCTTCTCTTCTGGGCTTGATCGACCGCCGCTGGAACTTACGGTTGAGATGCTCAGCTTCTCTGCCAACTCGAGAATGGATGCAGTATCACTCGACATCGAAGGCGATATCACTGCGATGCTCTTCAAATTGATCGAGCTCTGCATCGGATATGTTCTTCGCTGACGCTGTTTTCTCGCCGCTTCTTCGTAGACCTCGCCGTCTACGGCCACAATCGACCTCCTTATCCTCTCCAGACTCTCGATGCTGTAGTCTTTCCTCTCGGGGACAGTCCATATGTTTTTGACCTGCCGATGAGCTTTCGAGACCGAAAACCAACCGTGTGCTCTGATGAAAGCATCGCACAGGAAACACGCTTCTCTCGAAGCTCCTATTACTCGCGCACATGTCCTTTTCCCAGAGCCCTCGTAGTAGGCAATCAACTGGATCTCGGCATGAACGTATCTTTTTGATGTTCGAGAGTACTCATCGGAAGCAGATGGAGCATACCTGTAGTTCTCGATCGCCTCAAGCCGTGGGTCGTCGAACAAATGACGGTATTCGCGCGTAAGGCGTATTCTGACCAGGTCCCGGCATATTCTCCAATAGTTGGCAAGCTTGTCTATGGCCCGAACCGTACTGTTATCAATCCTGTCACTGAGGACTCCTAGTCTCTTGAGTCGGTGCTGTATGCCGATTTTCTCGTCCGAAATCAGCCACGCTTTCTTCACTATCCTCTTGAGCTCTTCCATCGGTTCCGAATCTTGACCATTTTCCAATTGATCAACAAGCCTATCGAACTCGGCCAGATCACCCTGCAGAGCCATCAGCTCTTGCGGATTATTGCGCGTCTGCGCAGCCTGCTGCCCAACAAAGTTCCTGAAATCAAGACTCAACAACCGATCGCTCTGACCTTTGACACGTTTTTGTTGATGTCTTGATCTGAGTCTCGAGTATATTCTGTTTTGGTTCAAGCGAACGACGATTGACAGGATATTCTCTTCGCTTCGCTCACGGTGCGAGACTGGTGCTGCTCAGCAAAGAATAATCATGGACGAGCACCTGTCACTTACGTTTTCTACCACACCCCTTGAGAATCTGGAGGACCTCCTTGATGGAATTTTGGACGCAATCCTCAACACCCTCATTCGCAGCGAGTCGGACCGTGATGCCGGGAGAATCGAGCGAACACTCAATCGTCGCAGCCGTTATGTCGTTGACTCCGACATCGTATGCAGATATGTAGGCGAAGTCATCCGCCAGCTTGCGCTCGAGATCGAGAGGCAAGGCTGCGATTGCATCTTTTTCGTGCGAAAAGTCCCTACCCGTGTAATCGCGGGGCTCCAGAACCACATGCTTGTCGTCAAGGTCGTCAATGTTCCTCTCGAAATCTCGCCGCATCACGCTCGTCCAGATGGAACCAAGCGGCGACTGGGCTAGTGGATCCATGCGTGCACGCATTCTTGGGCTTCGAGGTTCGAGTTTCGAGTTCTCGTGCCCCGCACCAGGCGACATGTAAGCGCATATATATCGCTTGTTTAACCGCATTTGTCGGCGTGCGTCCTGCCTGCATCTTCTCTCCAATCAGGTAGTCTGGCTCCAGAATGGCTTTGCGGACATTCATAACATTCAGAGGCAAGCTACGCTCGCTGGTCGAGCCGTCTTGACACGAAAGCTTATCTCAATTGCGCAGTAAGTCCCACTCACAACATCAAGCAATTACAATACCCTGATCCTACCTTCTGGCTCTACTGTAAGCCGTGGTGGACTCGTCGACAGTCCTTGCAGTGGTTACCTCTTTTCAGTTACGTTTTCCAGTTCCCACGTAGAAGCCGACTACAGCGTATCGAAGTGCCGGACAGCCGGATCGAATCCGGCGGAGCCCAACACTGGCCGTTTCAATTTTCCTTTCTTCCATGTAGTCTTCGACAGGCCCACTGACTTGAAGTGCACCAATCCTTGATCTCGGACCATCCCGAGGCCAAGGAAGTTGGAGCGACCTGGAGCTCACGAGTCACACCTCTCTCGGCATGGTGTGGTCCAGCACATCTCCGTTCGCTAGACGCCTTATTGCAAGGGTACCGGCTCTCCATCGGTACAAGCATCCAGCCCAGCCACTCGCAGAGCCTTGCGCGTATGTATTGGCTACATCTTCCCTCCGGCCAACCGGCCAACCGGCTAAACACTCCCCACGCTCGTGTGCACGTCCAATCCCAGAGCTACGGTTAAGGTTGAGGCTTAATGACTAAAGGATGTACGTCAGTGGGGTGATGGAGAAGGTGGTGAGGAAGAAGGGTCGGAGAGGGGGCTGTGATTGGTCGGATGTGTTGCACCTGTGTAACCACATCGCATCCGGTTACCGTGTTAGTGCTTATGTTTCGCCGAATGCGCACGTTAGTTCAGCCTCATGGGTGCTATATATGGGCGCTATTTTTCTTTCGAGCTTGCGCCCTACTACCCTTTCTTTCAGCACCGCGACGTCCGATTTGAGTTACGATGCTACAGAGAACGGCTTCTTTCCACGATGAAAAAACGGAAGAGGAAAACGCGCAGATCTGGAATGCCCCCGTACTCCAAAAACGCTCCACCGCAGATGACATCTCATTTGACGACCAGCATCCTCTGCTTGACGTTGAATACTTTGACCATGATGTCGACACGGTAGGCTATATTTCCGAAACTTTTAGTCATTCCGCTCATTTTTCGTAGTGTCTGATTTCATCGACCGACCGGTTCCATTCTCCGTTTCTTTGCGAGTGGGTTGATATAGCCAGTATCGGGTCTGGCCTTGAGGCTACTCGCCTAGGACCGCCAAAATCAGTCATGGAAGATACCGGAGACATGAAACCCTGGTTGGATGGCATATATACTCCCGGCTTCAACAGTGGCTCGACTGCGTGAGTCGAAGGAAACCTGTAACTAGTGGGTGGATACTAATCTTTGCAGCCGGAAAGCATCACTGTTCGATAACTCTGTCATCAAGATAACAGATCTATGCAGAGCGAAGTCAAGTCCGAAGGACGGTTCAAGTGTTGAATTGGCGCCAACACTTTCGACCAGCCGAGAAAACCCAACAAGCACTTTGCGTGATCACTCTGCTTTTCTCCCTACAAACCCTGGGTCACTGAAGCTGGATCCCGAGTAAGTGCAGTCTCCATGTGTGACATCTCCAACAATGTTGACTGATATGGCAAAGGCCGAGACCGTCAAAACAGCTGTTCGTCTCCGACAAGAGTCTATCACAAGCTAAAGAGGCCGATGATGCTGATAACGAGGTGAAAGGGCACGTTTTTGACAAGCTGGTGCAGAGGGCCTACCATCTTCTTGGCTACAGTCCCTCTGATGTATCAGAAACCATCTCAGTATCCAGCAGCAGCAGCCCGAAAGAGTGTGCTGAAGAAAGCAGCGATCGATCCATTGCAAGCCACGGTCATGGCACGAGAGCAGAAGAACTTTACAGCCGTCCCGTGGATGCCGGCTCCTCCTCTCAAGGCAAGTCAAACGCGAAACGCACAGAGACTGGCGCTCGAACTTCCGATAGCACTGTGGGCTCGCCGCTTTCCAACTCGGCTGAAACAAGGAAAAGAGATAGCCCCGGTGACGAACCAAATGGCGACGATGGGAGGAATGGTAACAAGCGGAGAAGAGGCCCGAAGTCCTGCAACGGCAGCCGACGCGGGCCCAGGTTCGCTTGCCCATTCTACAAAAGGTGTCCGGAAATCTACCGGAGAAATTCGTCGTGTCTTTGGCCTAGTTTCGATACGATATCCCGGTTGAAGTATGTAGTCGGACTAAGGTAACTGCACTGGTCATAGCACTGACGAGGTTATAGGGAACACCTCTACCGCGTCCACATGGGCAGTGCTGAGGGGGACAGCATCTGCCCCAGATGCCGCCAAACGTTTGAGAGCGCATTGGATCTCGTAAGGCACTTGGCGAGAGCCGACCGGTGCGTTGAGGCTGTGGTACCGCGGCAGGAATACGGCCTGGGGCAAGATCAGGTTGATCGATTGAGGAGCAGAGATCGTGGCGTTGACCCCGAGGACAAGTGGAGACACATATACCGGATTTGCCACCGTCTCCCCGACGATGCCGAAACGCCTTCGCCTTGTAAGTTCTTCGAAGCGCGTCTTTCTCACTGTGCTGATGTCATTGGTAGACTGCGATCAGGAATCTCTGGCAGACCAGGCAGTCGAGGATATGACTGGTATCAACGCCAGCATCTACCTGGATTGATCCAAGAACAGCTGGAACGAGAACCGGACATCAGGGATTTTGTGGAACGGTTCGGAGAGCGTCTCCCAGCTATCATCCGTGACTGTCAAAACAACCTTCACCGAAGGTTCATCGGTCCTCGAAGAAGTGTGGATGCTACGGACAACGTTCAGTCCACAATACGCCAGCAAAACAGCGACGTGAAGGGATTGGCATCACATCAGCACCCTGCAACCCTGCCCGTGGCTTTCGAAGCAGCACCCAATACCGACGACGGTATGACTTCAAGCAAGGTCCGGCAAGTTCACGCACTCTCGGTCCAGGGGAGTGATCGCGACAGCGATTCTGCATACGGTTCTAGTGTCTTCGGTCCTCTTCAATCAGAGCTCCCGTATGAGCAAGGCCATTCCAATTCGAAACCAACGTCATCACACGACATGTCTCACCCCGAAAGCTTTGCTCGTCAACAACAGCCTTCGCAATCCTGTCACGATCTGCCAGAAATTAGCGTCGATGATTCTGTGCAAGAGTCGAATGTACAAATCAGGCGTCAGGCCAGCGCGGCTGACCATGTGGGCAGTCTTCAGCTGTCGGACTACAGCCAGTCTCCTTTCAGCCTCGGTCAAAGCTTCCTGCCGCAAAACGGTAATCCGGAAAGCAATACTGGCGGAGTAACTTGGCAGGATGACCTCGACTGGAGTTTATTCGAGGATAGCGCTCCTGGTACGAAACCTTCATTCGATTATCCAATGCTCTGCGAGGCAGAAGTCACTGATAGTCTAGATCCAGATTTCGACTTCGAGGGAGATGCCAACTAAACGGCTTGTGTCCTGGCTTCGACTGTTGTCAGGCTGGTGAATCCGCACATTATTTGTTCATTGTTTGTGGTTCGAAGGTAGATTAGCGTTCCAAAAGCAAAGGCAAGACCTACGATTCTGCCCAAACTTTGATAGATTTTGACCTGCGTGCTGTGCTATCTCATGCATTCTGTGTCACAGGAGAGCCCTTACGTTCCATGATGAGGTGGTGGTAGCCACCCACTACCTCTGTTTCTCTCGGCCAGATCACTGACAACTCAGGTAGCCTCTCTGAAGGTGGAATGCTTCATAGCGCCTACCCCAACGTTTGCAGCTTGTTATGTGAGGTAGGCTTGCTGAGGTCACTCAAAGCAGTCATTCCATGGCAGTCTGACATGCAGCATGGTTGGCAATCACGGAGGGTGGTGAATAATTAGAAATGAACGGCTTAGTAGCAAACTGGTCTTCAACGTGGTGATATGCAAGGGCAAGGCTGTGAATCACGCTCAGGGATGGCGGAAATGTGTTCGGAGATCGAGACATCAAAGCCCAAGTCAGCACACGCGCCAAAAAGCTCAGGACGGTCACGATAATCTTGATCCGTTGCTTTGTTATATTGCTTTGATGTATTGTTCATCACCGTTGTGTTATGGATACATTGTTCTTTCAGACCGCCTTGTCTTGACCTGGATGGTCAGTATGGCGTCTTGAACAATCAATGGCATACAGCGAGTACATCGGTCCTACATCAATCCAAATACCCCACCATCAGGTTGCGTTAATGCCACACATTACTGTATCTTCGTCCAGTCGCATCGTAATGACACTAACAGTCCTGTCGCAATGTCATCATCCAGCATCTCAGAAGGAACTGAGGGTCATTAGACCAGATCGCATCACTACCAAGGGTTTGCTGGTCCACTGTGGCTGACGCGAAACAGTTCCACTGCCACCAAGCTGGACGATGGCCAGCACATGTGCAGTATCGACCGCTTGAAGGGCGGTTGCATGCACGCAGTCACAAGGGGGGCTTCAGTATTGGCTACACGTATTTCGGATGACCCGGGCGGCAGTGTCTCGATGCATGATGTGATGCGCGGTGCGGTGGCAATGTCAGGCCATGTATTCCGGGCTCACCGGTGCCGATCGCAACAATGCACTGGGCTAATCCGGTTGGAGCATCTCCGCCACTGCGCTACGCGAAATGGTAATTACTGCGCCCCCACCAGCAAAACAAGATACGAATATGAGGATCAGCGAGTATCGAGAGCGAGGAATCTGTAGCAAGTCGGCTTCGGTGGCTGAATTGGAGGCGCAATTGGGTCTGAGGTCATCTCGAGAATGCGAAACGAGGTTGACCAGCAAAGAGCTGATGGGAGATGGCTCCCGTATATCTTCATGTCAGCTTACATCCTTCCAACTCGACATACGTTACTTTGCACGTGTTTATATGCCGATGCCATGTTGTCTAGTCATGTCAGTTGTTAACAATCCCTATAAGGGCTGTGCCACTGTAGCCGACGCCCGATGGTCTACCTCGCGTGTTCGGTGATCGTTCGAAGCTACAAGTTGAAAGTCGTCAAGCTGACAACATCTTAAGTGACAAACGATCTCTACTTCGGTAGTTGTTATGGTGTATATCTGTACTGTATGCGCGTCAAGTCATTGGTAGCTGCGTAATATGCTTTATTGTTGGCGTGCGACTCTGGTATGGAGGTTACTGGCTGCGACATTGTTGATTTCAAAGTGCTGGTGAGGCCGAGTCAGAGCAGAGATTCGGGCGGCTGGATGAATGGCTTCTCGCTGTCTAACACACTTCGTCTGTGGAATTAGAGGCATATTGTGCATTTCTGTGCCAACGGAAATGCCGAGGGTGCTAACCAGGTCAATGTGTTTAGCCAAGTGAAGAAGACAGTTGCTACTATCGGCTGCCGCTCGCCGAGGAGCACACTTTCGCGGATGCCCTTCCAAAGTGCGACTCTCGGCCGACGCCATCAACCGAATCTTGACTTTTCTTTCTTCACTTCGCGCTGTTTGTGAGCCCGTAAAGTCCACACTCGGCCGGCGCACCGCGGCCATTACAACTCCAAGCGTTCGAAGATACATTTCATCTCTATTACAATAGGTTTAGGAAGAAGAAAGACGCTAGCACCATGCACCGCCCTGCCCCTCGGCGCGACCTTGTCAGTCGCCTCAGCTTCCATTAATACTCCCAAGAGTCTCCAACTCGTTACCATACGCGCCGGTCGTTCCTACGCGATATCTCCTGCAAGACGGCGGACAACAGCGCTGCGAAGTGGGTACACTTGTGGCAACACTTGAAGATTGCTCCTTTGGGAGGTTCGGTTTTTGTTTCCTTTGTGGGTTGGGATTAATATACATGGGGTTCTGCTAATTCGAATTTGATTGCGTTATCGGCGGGTAGCTCATAACGCTGGGCGGAACGAGGCGGATTGCGTAGACACTCGGCGAGACGAGCTCGAAAGGGGGTTTGGATCATGACCTCGCGGCACTTGACAGGCATTTGGATCGTAGCAAGCATCTCCATTACGCTCGTCTGGCTGGATTGATGTTGCGGTGCGGTGCGAGTGGGCCACAGACCAAGAATAGGGTGGGCTCATGTTTCAGAGGCAGATCATAGTGGCTGAAACCGCGGAAGTGCGAAAAGGCAGCAGCCGGTGCCATAGTGGTTCCAGAGGCTTGCCGAATCCCACAGACTATTGGATTCTACTCCATAGCGGATTGCCACGCGTGAAGCGGCGATCGGTGGAGGCCGCGCGGACTTGTCGAGAAGTCATGGACGACGGGGTTTGAAGTGTTTACACAGGAAACGAAGTGAAGGCGAAAACGGCAGAGACTTGTAGAAGTGTTCACCGGGGTGCATGTGCAAAGCGCAGACGGGAGGAGGGCGGGACTGAGTGGCACTGGCGAGGCAGTGAAAGGACGAGGCAGTGTCCGTCCGGTGCAAGCCACATTCTCGAGGGAGCGCTACTTTTGCGCCATTGCTGGCTCCTCGCATCCTATCATGCCTCTAGATAGCGGGCTGGCGGCTCCGCGAGGGCGGCACACGGCTAGCGGCACGGAAGGCCGAAGCACTGGCGAGGTTCCAGGCGGGAGGCGGGTGCAAAAGCAAACTGGTGGCCGGCGCAAGCGCCTCCTGGAGTGCGTCAGCCGGCAACGTCACGCCGACACTGCCGCCTCCCTGCGCACCTGGCGCCTACAGTGCGATCAGCGGCGGGCTTGCGGGATTCAGTGATGTGCTGCTCGTGGGCGGCGCATACGAGGTAGGGATGGATGATCGGCGGGTGAAGATGCGCAGGGACTGAGGAGGCGGCGCCAGGCCTATCAATAAGGCGATTTTGGGCCCGAAGGGGCAATAGACGACCGCTTTTTCGCAAAAGTCGGTGGCGTCCGCCCCACGGGGACTCAATCGGGCGTGATTGAGCGCGGCCGGGCGAGGGCTCCAGACGGGCCAATTCCTGTGCGCGGCGGCCGGCACGGGTGGCGGAGCGTCGTATCGTGTCGCGCAACATTCCGTGCTGGGCTGGGCTGGGCGGAGGGCAGGCGTGCTGGCGCTGAGGGCGCGGCGGCGGACGCGGCGGAGCGGACGCAGCAGGGTGCAGCGGGTGCTGAGATTGCGACGTCACGGCGCGGTTCATGCCTTCGCCTCAGCGTCCGTGATCCCACCCGCAGACAGCCAGACAGCCAGCCGGGCAGCCAGGCCAGCAGCTGCCCCGAAGCCCCTTTACACAGTACGCCTTAGTCAGCCCGGCCGCCGCCCTGAATGGGCCAAGCTTCACCAGCGCCTTCCATCAACCACCACCCTCGCAACCCCAGCCGCCGCACCGCAGCCTCGCGCGCGCAAACAATTGTCGCCGCATCGCAGCACCGCCGCCTGCCATCCCCGAGCGTCGCGCGCTGCTGCCTGCCGCCCGCCGCCGCCTGGTCGTGCCGCCCGCGAGACGCGTCGCGTTGTGTTTTCGGCTTGGCATTCTGGCCCAGTGAAGAGTGAACACAGCCCGCCACCTGACACACGCAACCTCACCTCATGCCCACTCCATCGCTCGTGCCTTCGAGCCATGGTTTCCCATCAGAACACGCTTCATAGCTACTTCGCCGCCCTCCACTCTCCCCTCTCCCCCACACTCCCGCTTCCGCATCACCCGCATTCCACTCTCCACGACAACATGTCGACCACGCCCGCCCTGGACCCCGACCAGAAGCCTCGCGCCAGCTCCGTCTTCTCCGTCAGCACCCAGGGCGGCGACGAGAAGAGCCGCAAGGCCCGCAAGGGCTCGCGCGCAAAGCACAGCTGGGAGTACATCGTCGTCGACCCAGCCGAGGACGAGGCCCCGCCGCCGACCGCGACCAGGCTGGAGAAGGAGCTGTACAGCTCCTTCACCAACAATTTCCTGGCCGGCCAGGGCCGTCGCACAAGACAGGCCGCCATGAATGCGAGCCAGCACTTTCACGACCACTCCGGCAGCGAGCTCTCTCTCTCCGACCACTCTCACCCGGCCTCTGAAAGCGCCTTCTCCACCACCACCTCCAACACCCAGGCCTCGCCTGCCAGCTCACCCGCCCCGCCCTCAGCCCTGAATGCCTCCCGCAAGCGAAAGGATTCCGCCGCTCCCACGTCAGATTCGGCGAGAAAAAGGCCCAAACTCGCAACTCCTGCTCCTCCCGTTACTTCCGACCCAGCCTCCAACGGCGCGACTGCGGCCCAAACCCAAACCGCCATAGAGCCCGCTGCTGCTCCAGCCCCGGCACCACCATCATCGCCCTCGTCTCACCCGGCACCAGCCGTCCAGTCCGCGCACCCCGTCCATCAGGACGACACTTCTGCCTCGACGACATCACGTGCCCCGGACCCCCCGGCCAAGGATTCGGCCAAGCCCAAGTCCACCGTCTTCGACGACGCGACCAACAAGACCAAGGTCAGCAAGAAGACCGACTCCAAGCCCTCGCCCGCACCGGATCCATCCGAGAACCGCAAGCGCAAGTCGCCGCCGCCGCCGCCGCCGCCCGAGAAGATGGCACCCAAGGTGAAGAAGGCGAAGACGGGCACTGCCACGCCCGACCAAGCGGCGAAGTCGGCAAAAGCCGCCGCGGCACAGAAGCGCGACTCACTGCTCCAAGCAGACGGCCACGCCCAACCGCCCGCCCCGTGGACGGGCACTGCCACCCAACACCGCCCGTCGCACGCCAACCACCAGTCCGCTCACAGCAAAGCCGCCGCCGCCGCCAAGCAGCTGCAGCTGCAGGCGCAGCGCTTTGCGTACCCGCCCACGCGCGCGCAGCTGGCGGACCAGCTGGAAGAGATTACGCACCGCGGCATCGCCGGCGGCCCCGCCAACTTCTCGTCGGTGCGCGAGTACCGCGCCGCGTGCGCGGCCGAGGCGGCGTGGCAGGAACGCGACCAGGAAGTCGTGGAACGGATGCTGGACAATCCGCGCGTCATCGAGGTGCTGAAGAGGCTGCGGGAACTCAACGACGAGATCGAGGCCGAGAGGAAGGGATCCAAGGGCGCGGCCAAGGGCCATGGCAAGGGCGGCCGCAAGAGGAAGGTGTCGGACGGCTTGATGGATGGGGACTAAGCTTGGAATGGGGGAGGGAAGAATCTTGGAGGAGGAGAATGCAGAAGATTGGAGCGGGCCCTCGGCCATTTGCGAGCGCGAAGTTGACGACGACGACCTGTTTTGATTTTCTGTCACGACAACGAGATGGCCCTTGGATTGGAGCACGCGCGGGTCGGTCGTCGACCTTTTTTTTCTTTCCTCTTTCCCCCCACCAAGGGAAAGACGCCGACTTTTTCTTCACCGAACTTGTCTAAGTACCTAGCGACGGAGCTTTTGGAGACATGAAAGATTCAGGGAAAACGGAGCCAGGCTGGAGAAGCTTTGGAGGATTGGTACCAGAGACGTCGGGCTCCTCCTCCCGTCAGACTGCCTCCAAGACAGACTTTACTTTCCTTTTGTTCAGATTGTCAGTCTGCAGTCTCTTCCCTTTTGTTCCCTTTTTTCTCTTCTCTACATTCGACAAAAACAGAGATATCCACCACTGGCGAATAAACCAAAGACTACAAAATGGCGCTGCGGAATCCCCTTGCTCGTTTCTTGGCCTCTTTATCTCACTTTCGTTTGTCACGGCCGGCTGGCTTCCGCTTGGAGACTTTTTCATTGGTGCTTACGGGCGACGGTATTCACAGAAAGAAGACTGGTCAAACAGGGATGCCTCAAGGCTAAACAAATTTTTGGGGGGGTTTGATTCATGGTTCAGCTTTGACTCGTTTCCTTTTGAGTATCTTGATTTTTTTGTTTTGGCGAGCGAAACGGGCAGCAGATGTACGGTAGCCGTAGATTTTCTGGAGAAGAATAGGCTCTATTTTCCCTAGCTGAAGAAATGAGGCTGTGGATTTGCTGGCAGCGCGAGGTATCGCGTCAAGCAAAGGTGGCTGCCTGCTGGCTTCGGAGAGTGGTGATACAGGCTGCGAGGCACCGGCGCAGCCTTGCTGCACGATTCTTTGTCTGCTGCCCACCTCGCTTGGCTTGAGAAGGAGCGCATGCAGATGGGGAGAGACGGAGAGGGGAGGGCCTTGTCCGTGCGGCTCTTCAAGATGATCATCGTCATCAAAAACTGGGCACCGGGTATGCGCGCCACGCCAGCATGTGCAGATCGCACCTCGGCAGCTGTCAATCAGCGGCACCCATCAACTATTGCGCAACTTTTGTCAAGGACTTGAATTCTGGAACCATCCGTGAGGTGTGCGGAGCCGGAGACTGGATGGCGCTTCGTAATGATATGCTATTTTTCTCGCGCTGATCTCATCTCAGCCTCAGCTCATCCCACGCATCCAGAACCACTACCACAAGGGGTTGTTGCTGCTCACCGCGCCTCTAGTTGGAGAAGAACATCTTTCACCGCGCGGATGCCATTCCATTCGCCTTTTTGCCCTCGGAGACGATCTGTTTCGGCAAGGCTGGCATGTGTAATCGCGTGGCACAAAGCCTCACGGGCCCAGCTCCCCGATGCCAGCTGTTCTCAACTCCATGCCCAATCCGAGCAGTGCGTGCGACGCTGCACCAAGGCAGACGAGGAGCTCATCACTCAAGGATGATGCCACGTCTGCAGCCCCGACCCCGACCGGGAATAACAATAACGGGACCCGCAAACGTTGACAGTCATCATCATCCATGTGTGCAAATCGGAACAAACAATCCAACGGCGGGACGACCCCCCCTTCCCCAAATAATAGAAGACGAGAGACACTGTTCACGTTCTCATTCGTCCAACCACCCTATTCGCTGCCGGACCGTTACCCAAGCGACGGGACGGGATCACGGGTTTAGCTCAGCGCGCGTGACGAGAGAATCAGAGCAGCGGTTGGAGAATTTAGCTGGACCGCGCGAGCAGCTCGAGACGAGCATGGCAATATTGACAAGCGCTTTCCCTGCTGCTGCTGCTGCTGATGCTGCCGCCGCGCGGGTTTTTTTCATTAGTCGTCACGTCTAAAAGCGCCCCACGTCAGAAGGAATAAGGTGGACGTGGGACGTGGACGTGGACGTGGACGTGGGACGTGGACGTGGACTGCTTGCTGGGGGCGCGGCGGATGACGTCGGTTGGATCGTCGAGCGCGTGCCGCTGACGACTTTATTCCCCACACAACAGGCAGTCAGTCGGTTTTCTTTTCTGTCTGGCACCACTGACTGCCACGGCCTGGCGCGGCGCGGCGGTGCCACCATCATCCGCCGCTTCCTTCCTTCCTTCCTTCCTTTTTTTTTTCTTCTTCTCTTTTTTTTTTTGAGTTGCTGCTGTTTATCTTGAGTTTGGCGTTATCTCTCTCCTCATTACAGTATACGAATAGGGGCAAGGCGAATACGAACGTATGGCGCCCGCCGGACACGCTCGCTGACTCTCTGATTAACGCACATCCTTGCCGGGCCGTCCCGGGTGTGTCTAGGATGGGGACCCTGTTCTTTGTTCCCTTCGCTCGCGGAGACGCAGCATGCGGCATCTACCGTTTTCTCGCTATTTTCTTCCTATTCCTCCTCTTCTTCTTCTCGGAGGCGCCGTCGCCCAGCGCCAGCTGCGAGATCAGTCGACAGCGCGGCTGGTGAGATATGATTGGGCAGCAGATACAGGGTGGTGCACCAGTAACACAGAACCTCACAAACAATCATGTGACAAAAGACGCGTGCTCTCGCTGCCTACTGGTCAGCAGGGTTCCCGTAATAATAACATACAAACTTTGGCTACGCTACTCGACGCAGGGCGAGAGAGAGCTAGGTGGGGGGTTACGGGGTTACCCTTCCCCCCTGTCTCTGGCTGTAGCGCGCGCGACAAGTGTATGAATCGGTTGGACGACAGCCGATGCCTCAGAGATGACCCTTTTTTTCGGACGGGGGTGTTTCACCTACCTACCTAGCCAGCCCACCGGCCGGGGAGATGACGCACACGAACTTTTGCCTGCCTGTGTGGGGTAGCGCCTTTTTCTGCGCAACAACCTCGAAGGAGGACAGGACCGCTTTCCTCCCCCTCCCTCCCTCCCTCCCTCCCTCCCTCCGTCCCGCCCGCCCACGCACGCCTACACCTTGCTGTTTTTGCGCTTTTTCCTCCGCCTTTTCCCCCCGGTTCTTCCGTGGCCATATGCCGGACGACGTACCTTGCTTTGCGCTGGTCGTTTTGTCGATTAAAGAGAAATAATAAAAAAACAAGGCTTGGTACTGATCGGTCCGGCGCAGATGGGATAGATGAAGGGACAGCTAGCTGGTTAACCCCAACACCATGTGGCGCTGTCTGTGCGGTGTTGCGAATCGCACTGCTTTCATGGTCATGTCGCATGCTTTTTGCTTTTTTCCTCCCCTAACGGCGGCAGTGCATGCAGGTGTGCGTGACGAATTGTACATCGTTTCCGTTTTACTCTCGTTTGCGGCTGTGCTGGGGCTTGGGGGGGAGGGGAGGGGTTCACTCTCGCATATGCAGTGGCACCGTTACGTCTTGTCCACATGCACACACAAGTTACTGATTTGTCATAGGAGGGGGGTGGGGGGCATGTGGTAAATGATTTGGCGTTTCATCCTCGTCCCTGAGTGGGGAGACTGGAAATTATATTTTTCTTCTGTACTCTGTCGTATTGGAATCTGAGAACAATTTGGGCGACGACGAAGGTTGTTATTACGGATCGCAGTTGATGTTGGCATGTCAGGTGATCCGTCGGATCCGGTTTCGTTGAGTTGGCGGAACTGGGTTCCTGTTTTTTTTCTTTTCCTTTCTTTTCTTTTGGACTCTGGAGCTAGCTCCGAGGCCGCTGAGGGAGGGAGGTTTGCAAAAGTGATGTTACATAGAGCACCGAGCGACCATTAAGCTTGAGGAGCGCATTCATTGATATTACTCATTGAACAATTTTCTCGACCAGACCCAGACTCGAACAAAACAGACAGAACATAAAGGACATTCCGTGTGATAGATAAGGCACCTCCGCGGTGCTTCAACATGTTGATCTCTAAGCAGCCCTTTATATGTGTACTCCAGGAACGAGCTATGCGCAGAACTCAAGCCACAATCCCGCCATGGTCTTCCAGCCCATTTTGTCGAAAAACAACTCTTGGGTCTCATCTTTGGAATCCTCGTCATTATCATCTACGGCCTCGCTCCCCTCGTCAGTAACCTTCATACCGCAATCGTCTTCATTCTCGCCGTCGATCACATATTCTCCCTTATCGCCGCGCCAGTTGCCACTTTCTTCAATTGCACGTCTTGTGGCAGAACTAGCGCTGAGTCGACGAGAGAGAGAAGTATGGTAGTGCGGGAGAAACGACCAGAGGAGGACGGGTTTCGGAAAGGAAGAGAGAGAAAATTACTGACATACATGCACCTGAGCGTGCTGTCGTGTAGCACCTTGTGCTATCCGAGATCCCGAACTGGGTCCTCCAAGTTGGCTTTGGAAGTCAATGCCCTGGACACGGTGGTTTGTTTGTGTGATAAAGTCCGAAAGTTGAGCTCGATAGTGCACTCGCTGGTACCTTCCTGACTGCATGACTGCCTCATGCGAGTGTTTGAAGTGCAGGATGAGCTGATTTTTGTAGATGAAGATAAAATGTGATTGGATATTACATAGATATTCAGTCTTGGTCCCTTGGAAAACGTCAAATCTAAGGATACATAATACACTGGGTGGCATCAGCCTCGAAGAACCGCAAAGCTGAGTGTAAGTGTTATGAAAGTACTGTATTGGGAGGTTGGCCGTTTACCATTGCACCGAATGGCCGCGCTGCATGCATGGCCATTGAGTTACGAAGAAGTGGTTACAGATGAAGTTGTTTTCATATATCCTGAGAGCTTTTCTGGCACATATATGTGTGATAGCAAGCACATCAGTCCAATGTGCCGGTATGTTCAGAAACTCAGGAATAAAGGCCATAATGACCAAATACTCATATTCAGGTCTATCTTACTATATACTCCGTTTCGAACACTTATGCCCTTGTTTCGTCGCTCACCGTAAATAAAGCAAATGCACAAATATGGCTGCTTGTTGAGTTGGATAGCACTGAGGCTTGACTCAAGGTTCACAAAGTCCATCCACACCCGGACGCGAACCTCCCACGACACACCTTCAAGTACACTTGGCTTACTGCTGAATGTCCTACATAGCGGATGTTGCACACAAGCTGAACCAAGTTCTTTGTGCTCTACTATGAGCGCATACATGTCCGGCCTTTCGTCAGCATATTTGCCGTTTCCGCTTCTCAGAAAGCACTGACGTAGCTGCAGGCCCGCCAGACTCTGATCTCCATGTATCCACCAACCAGACTGCACCTCTTAGTATACCAACACGTTTTGGGCACCATGAGCCCTTTGAGCTCTGGTTCAAATCCGTCGAGATCTGGAAATCCGAGCAGGAACTGCCCAGCATGCTGCACCCAATCTTAGAGGGCGGCTGTGGCCGAGGCAAGGAGGTTGGAGTAAATAGAGAAGAGCCACTAGTGACACAAAAAAGTGATCAGCGGAGCATCGGGCAATGTTTCATGAGTAAAGTGTCAAGTGTTAAGAATCATTCACCTTTTGCCTGATAGATTTGTCTGATTATCACGCAGCATCACGCGTATGACGCGTCTGCTCGCCCGCTCCATTGCCATGACCTAGGAAAATGTACCCGTTAAAAAGTGTCAACTGTAGATTACCTTGGTGAGCGAGATTTCTTCTGAAGCACACAGCAGATAAAGGAAGCATCAAATGGGGAAGGGTGAGAGAATGTAGCGATACAAGAAAATAGCATAAGCATCATTCAGCAAACAAGTTTAGACTAGAAGAAAACGTGAGATGAGCCGTAAATTTAATACGCAGTCAACATCTAGCATAAATTAGTAGTAACTTAGCCACACTCACTTTCGATTGACATGGCACTGTCCTTCTCACCCACCAACCCGGTGCCAGGCACAGCGATCCCCAACAAACACACAGCCAAGCTCACGCCCTCACGCCTGGCCATTCAGCACCCCACTCCCTCCGAAAAACTCGACAACACTCGTCAATCAAAAGTAAGGCAGTCGAGCCCAAGGCAGGTCGTCGGCGCACGAACCGCCGACGCTCCGGCACGGACCATCCCCCGACGTTTTCCCGCCCGACCGACCGACCATCGTCTCAATCGCAGTCGTCGTTCGCCGCAAACCTCCGCGCGCCAGCCAAACCCACACCTCTCTACCTCTCCCACCCGCCCGGGACAATCGCCCCCACGACCACCACCACCACCCGGCCACAATGGCAAAGAAACGTACGTCACCATCCCCCGCGCCTGCCCCCGCGCTCCCTCCCTCCCTCTCCCCAACACACTCCGCAACGGCATTGGCCAGCCACCCGCCTCCGCCTACGCCATCGCAATGGCACACCACACGAAACGGAATCACCCAGAGGAGGGAAGGGAAAGAGTAGCAGCAACAAAAAAAAAAAAAGAACCCCGCATACACAAACGCCGACGCCCCGCCCGCCGTCCACTCGCTTACCTTCCGGCGTCTTTGTGTGAACAGAAAAGTCGCGCACCATCGCCGTCCGGCTCATCTCCATGGCCATGACGGGCTACTTCAAGACGTTTGTGCGCGCGCGCACCCACCGGCCGCTGAGCATGCTCAAGTACGACCCAGTCGGTACGTTTCTCCCACGTCCCACGTTCCCACGTCCCACGTCCCACGTCCGTCGACGCGCGGGGCTGTGTGCTTGCTTGTGATTTTGGTGGTTCTTTTCTTTCTTCTTGTGTTTTTTTTTTCGGATGGATGGATGGATGGATGAATTGAGGGATTGAGGGATGGGTGTGGGTGTGGGGGAAGGGAAGGGAAGGGAAGGGAGGGAAAAGGAAGGGAAGGAAAAAGAAGTGAGGGAGGGAGATTGAGGGATTGGGGAGCTGGTTCGGACACCGGGGAACAGAGCGCTTTGAGGGGAGGGGAGGGAAAAGAAGAGACTGGATGGGATATGAAAGGCAGGGAAGCGGGGGATGGTGACGGACGAACGGACGAGAGGACGGCAGCCAGACGGGACGCCCCATTGATACGGGATGGATGCTGACAACATTGGGTGCTGTTTAGTGCGGAAGAAGGTTCTGTTCCTCGAGCAGAAGCGCGGAAAATGAGCGAGCGAGCTTCGGAGAGGAGTCCGCCTGACGAGGCGCCGAGCTTCGTCACCCCCAATTGCACAATAATATCATCCTTCGGAGGTCATAGAGCACCCGTGTTGGGCATGGACATTATGGACGCGATGTGAGATGGTCCCGGCATCTCCCCCACTGCTGTAGACGTGAGCGAATTGGAAAACTGGAGAAAACATGGTATCACGGCGTTGGTGGACAGTTTAAGAGCAATCATCCATTTGCTTGAGCGGTACCTGTACCATGTTTTCGCGAAAGGATGCTGACTATATAGAAAGCTACTCGGAACAAAAGTCAAAAGAGCAAAGCAATCTGACCATATCACCCCTCCCACACACTTCCACATATCAGTTTGCCGCATGGAGCCATAATGCGAAACATTTCAAACAATCTGCAAAAGCACGCAAAGCAACCCTGGTGATTCCCACATCATTCGTTGTTGAGCGAAAAATATTGCCGGTGCATGTCAAAGAGCCATGTTCGAGTAAGTCGGACTGTGGAGAAAGCGAAGCGGCCCATTGGTCAAGTCACTCAATAAGAGCTCTTGATCTCTTGGTCAAACCGACCACCGATTTCGTCTGCCTTTCGTTTCCGCGCGTTCCTCGGAGGGGAGTTGCGGATGCCGCCCCAAGAAGAGCCTTCTGAAGTCTTCATGCGAGACATGGACGGAACACGCGTGGACCGCTGAGATGGAGGTTGCGGGGGCCTGGATGTTGCCGTCTGGGTTTGGGATTCGGCCTTCGCTGAAACTTGGCTGGACTCTTCAGGGAAACGAACGCGGAGGTCCTGAGACTGAGTTTCTGACACCTGCGAACGAGGGCCCGCTCGGGAGATTGCTCTTGTCATGATCGGACTCGATCTGTACTTACTTGAAGTACCTTTGATTCGCTTGCTGGAATATTCATCGCTCTCTCCTGAGGTCAAGCGCTTGACGGCACCGGACGGACTGCTGTCGACGCTCTGTTCGGCGTTCGTCGATTGAGTCGTGTGGTGGTGACTGTACGTGGCATTGTTCCTTGATTTGGCCTGGTCCATAAACAAAGGGCTGCTACCTTGGTCAGATTCCATCCTCGTGATTCCCCGAGGAGCATGGAAAGGCGTTCGTGGCAAGCTCGCGTCCACGGCTACAGAATCTGATCGGTAAGACTCCTGGCGTAGCTGATAGGCTGAATTCATTCGTCTACTCGTGTTCGCTTGAGACACTGGGCGGTCTTCCTCGAAGAATGGATTCTCCATCGATGCCGTCGTCCGCCTTACTGTACCATCTGCCCCACGGAATCGTGGTGTCGGCGTGGATTCCACAGCATCATCCGGCTGAAGGTGGAGCCCGGCCAATCCCTCTGGTATGTCCATGTCCGAAGATAGAAGGCTACTCAAGCTACTGGTGGACTTGTTCTGGTCATCCACGTGCTCCTTGGCAATTTCTGAAAACAGCTTCGGCTTGCTCAGAAGATCTGAGAGAGTCTCAGGGTCCTCCACCGTGGCCTCGCCCTGTGTCGGCAGAAGGGTGACTCCATGCTCTGTCAATCTCTCGTGTTTTCCAAGCTCTTGTGATACCCAGAAGTCTTCACCGAAGGTGCTTCCATCAGATGAGCGATGATAGACTTGTTTTCGAGAGTCTTCGAGTCCTGGTTGAGTATCGCGTTGAGAAGCCGATGAGTTGTGGGGTATTTGAGATTGTTCTGGCTGTGTTTTGTCAACAGCATGGGATACAGACTTGTTGGAACGATCCAACTTTCGTCGCGGCTTTCTGGTTGATCCTGAATTCGCTGCTGGCATCATAACCTCCAGGACAGGAGATTCTGGAAGCTTTGAAGAGATGGAGGGCGGATGCCTGAACTTGTCCTCAATCGGATGTATTAGCTGCTGGTTCGCCCCACAAAATTGCCCAGGCTCATCGTTCTCTCGCTCATGAAGATAGTATCTGAGCTGTGCTTCGTACTCTTCGCGTTGGATCTGATGGCTGGCCTCAATCTCTTGCATCTGGGTATTTGCTTCTTGCAACTGACCCCTCATTCCATTAGCCTCAACGGCCCACTGCTCCTCTCGCTGGCGTAGCATCTCTTCTGAATAAATCTTTTGTTGTGCAGCTTCTTGCTCGGATTCTTTTAAAGAGACTTGAGTCTCTTCGAGTTGCCGATAAAGTCCAGCAAGCTCATTGTTAGAAAGTCGAAGTTGCTCCTGTACCGTATCGTTGTTTGGCTGTATTTGCTGGTACTTGAGATCAATCTCCTGTTTTTGAGTTTGAAGGTTGTCTAGCTGTTGTTGAATTTCCTCCAGCTTCTCATCGTATTCTGTCTGCATCAGCTTTTGGATCCTTGTATTATCTGCTCTTGCGACCTCCAATTGATTTTTGAGGTCATCTTTGGTAGGATTCTCTACAGAGTCCGACTCGTTCAAGCTCTGGATCTCCGAGTCCTTCCGGTGAATCTGCTCTTTGAGTGCTGCAATCTGGGCGGATTGAGATTCCAGAGTCTCGCCTGCTTGGCGAACCTTCATCCGCTCTGCGTATAGCGCATTTGCATGTTTCGTGTTTGTATCTTGTATGACATCTCTTGAATGCTTTGCATAGTAGACACGGGCTCTCTCGCTTGCGCTCTCAATTGGTGTCGACTGACTAAATGTCAGCCAAATCCGTCAAAGGATTGTACTCAATTCAACTCACATCTGTACGGCCTTTGCCACTGTCTGTTGGTGGGTTGGACATTGTGTCTTTCGCGTTTATCAGCTGTTCCTGAAAAAACCAGTCAGTTTCTGGATTGCCACCTATTGCAAAAGGACCACTGTCCGAAGATGGACACCACTGACCTTCAGCTGCATGACTTCTTGGCGGAGTTCCTGTTCGACGACCGAAAGGGCACGGCACTTCTGCTCTTCTTCATGGATCCTAGCCAGAGCATCGCGCAACTCTTGATCAGCCGTCGCCTTGCTGATCTCAAGCTGTTGTAGCCGAGCAGAGTCAACCGTGAGGCTGGATCTGACGCAAGATAGCTCAGTCTGCATTTCGACAAGGCTTCTTTGTGCAGCTTCTTGAGCGCCTGTCGCTGCATCCAACTTCGTTTGTAGCTGGGATTCGTTGTGTTGGAGAGCGTTACAGCGTTCCTCAAGAGCTGCCTTCTTACTCTTGGTCTCAACCAAATCTTCTTGCCAACATTCGAGTGACTTGAATTCTTCCTGTAAGCGGCTCAAAAGGCGGTTTTCGATGACTTTTTCATCTTGTCGAGAAGACTGGGTGGACTGCATGAGATTGTCGAACTTGGTTTGAAACCTGGAATCATGTCAATTTTAAATGGCAATTGCCACAATTCACAGACTTACGAATTGTCCATAGATTGAAGAGCAGCTTGTAAGCTGCTAAAGTCAGCCCGCTCATCAGAAAGCAAAGAGGTGATGTTCTTGATTCTTCCCATAATCTCATCAGCTGAACGCTTTGTAGCTTGTTGCTCGAGGAGCTCCTTGACTGAATGAGCCAAGTCTCCAAGGGGCTTGTCCAGGGAGTCACCCAAGCTGTTGATCGCTTCTTCAATGTCATTGTACTTGATGAACATGTCCTCATTGTTTTTTAGGAGCTGGGCGACACGGTTCTTCTGCTCTGCCAGGTCATTGCATTTCTGACTGACTTCCGTGTCGAGTCTTTCAATCGACTCTTTGGCGTTTTCAAGATCTTTCTGCGTCTCGGCGAGCTTGAGGATTGTAGTTGAGTGTTCCTGCGACACTTTTCGTTTTTCATCATCATAGGAAGCAACCAAAGATTTTCTGTCAGCTTCGAGCAGCTCAACCTTCTTTTCCGCCTTGGCCAAGACTTTAGCATCATTTTTCTTATCTCTTTGCAGCTCTTTGACTTTGTGGGAAGTATTGGTCAGAGATGTTTCCAGCTCTTGGATTCTCGCATTCAACTCCTCATTGATGCTCCGGAGTTGGTGCATCCTCGTTGATGCAGTCATTTTGGCCATTGTAACAGCTTTCAACGCCGCTTCGTGCTCTTGTTCCGCAGAGCGTAGCCTGTTGACCTCTAATTCGCAGCTTTCGCGCTTCGCCACTTCTTTTGCGGTCAATTCTTCCTGCTCTTTCTCAAACAGCTTCTGCCAGATGCTGAGAACATGGCTGGAATGGATATCGAATCCCGACCCCGGAGTGTTTCTCGGCTCGCCTGAATGACTGGTACCTTTTGTGGCTCTGATATTGCCACGTGCACGTTTCGCGCCTGCTCCGGTCTTGGTAACCTGGGTAGGACCTGCCTGAGTACTGATATTGTGCAGCTGTCCATCTTTACTGGAGTCAGACCTCAGGTTCTTTGGGTCTCTACGATGTGGTACGTTCCTTGAGGACTGTTCCTTGATGCCGGATAACTCTTGGTGCTGGCATGGTTCATGAAAGCTTTGCTTAGTAACAGCGTCAGCTTGGCGCGGGAGGTGGGCATCCACCGTGTGTTCGCTCTGTTCAAGACCATGTTTCCGAGTATTATCGGGCATCATCGCACGGTAGTCCTGCTGAATAAGAGTCTGCACTCTGTGATGACGCGGTCGAGAGCGTACCTGCGAGCTGGCTGTTCCGCTCGTAGTTGAGCGACCATGGTTATTCTCAATCTCTGCCCATGTTGCGGATCCCAAGGAGCTTGTCAAGTACCTTTGCTCGTGGGACGCGCCCTCCGCGCTATTGCCAGCAGTTGTCGGAAGTGGAGGAGCGATAGGCAGAGGGTCGAAAGCGGACGAGAAGTCACTCGGACCAACCTTCTCCGCACTGCCGGCAACGACAAGAGGTGGCTTGCCATGCTCCGTGCGTTGCTCTTCGGTGGATTTTCCAACAAGATATCTGGAGTACGGGGTCCGCTGTGTGGGGATATGGGAGGCCGCTTGACGTGGGCTTGGATTTTCTTTAGTGTTGTCATGATCGGCTTGGGTAACATGAAAAGATGGGTCGGTGGTATGGTCCTCTTGCGAGGGTAATGCATTCCTGTGATGAAGGTTAGTTGGCCATCGTTCACGGTGAGACTTTTTCGGCGCAGAGAGAGGGGGTTCGCGGCATATGGTTGAGCGGAACGAATACGTACAAATCAGCTCTGTGAGATTCTTGAGAAGAGTGTAAGGGCTCCTCAGAAGTCGTATCATTGCGTTGTTCCACCCCAGCGTCTTCGCGGGCCAGTTGGCCCTGTGCATCCATGTTGGCTTTCGCGTCATCGATAAGCGGTGCTCCTATTTCTATGCGTCAGCCACACTAGTAACAAAATGAGAGCTTTGCTCGAAGCAACCATAGGTTGACTTACCGGGCTGGCCTTGATTTGCTACAGTGTGGGGCTTCGGGGCTCTCTTCCTCGTCATGTCCATCCGGACTTCTTTGGCCTTGCCGTATTTAAAGCCCTCGAACAGCGGGTCGCCAGACGAGCGAGGCCTTTTGATTACTCTGCTTGGAGCGTCATCGGCCCTTATCGGAACGGTACGAGAATTCCTATGTACCTCACCCAGAGCGGAAGGCTGAGACGATGGCGGGCTGTGCGTGGGCTGTGAGGCCGTTTGGGTGAGGTGGGCATGCTGCTCGCTGACAACTGCGGCCGCAAGTGCAAAATCGCGCGTAAGAGTGCCAGTGTTCAGCTCGGATTGAGGCGAACCTCCCAAGCTCTCGGTGTGATGATCCCCACCAGCCTCCGGTGAAGGCATGGTGGGTGAACCTAAAGATCAATTGGCTCGAGATGCCTGAGATATCACACAAGCGTGCAGACACGGCTCCAGAGATTTTGTGAGAGATACGTGACGTTCAGGGATGCGTGAGCGTGTAAAGTGAGTGGGGACGAGGAGATGAGTTGAGGAGGCGGCAAAGGTCGTTCGCGGCCGGAAGACTTCCGTCGGTGCCTGAACGGGAGAGGAAGTCGCGGGCGGGCGTTTCTGCCGCTGCGCGCCAACATCTACTAGGTCACAACCAACCCACAAGGCGACGGAAGAAACACCATTGAGTCAATGAATGCATTGTGGTAACGCAAGAAGTACCGACAATGGTGGGAGTCTTGAGCGCGCATGTGCTGCGATGAGCACACTGAAGAGCTTCGCGCTGATGTTACCAGCCCATTCAACGTAGTCATATGTCCCAGGCAGCAAAATGCCCTGTAAAGATACAGATGGCTGTGGTGTATGCGGCTTGAAACAGACTGTGGCTGCGACGAAGAGTGAAGACTGCGATTGTTGTCTATTGGGGCGCGTTGGTTCTTAAGAGTGACTAATAGTGAATTAAATAGCGCTCGTTGGTGGACTTTTAAGATTTGGGCATCTGGTTGTAGCACAGATTTGTCTGGGCACTTTGATATCTTTGCGGTCGAAAGTTAAGAAAGATGAGAGTGAGGCACAGCAGTCATGGCCTTGCCACTTATGATATTACATTTCATGTGGTCAGCTGCCTTTGACCAATTAGAACTTCTTCGGTCGTTTTGCACCAGATCGGTGGACGTCTACGGGAGCTCAGCATCACCAAGATATCCGATGCAAAGTCGATACCAGTCCCTTCACGCCGTCAGGATCCTGCCGAACCAAGCGCCAATGGCCCCTACTTCTTCATGCCAGTCCTGTGCGCGGAACGGACCGCTCCATAGCCCCGCGCCCGGTCTTAGTCTAAGGCCAACCCTTCGCTCGCCCTCGTCTTCGCTCCCCGTGTTCCTGTTCACACTTCGCTTGACCCGCTCCACGAGTTCTTTTCCCTGATCCAACAGTATCGACTCTTCCCCAACGCTGACACTGAGCACCGGCAGTCTCAGTCCGCTCCCTGTCGGCGGATAGATGCGGCGCGACCTGCGTCTTTCCTCTATCACAGGCTCGATGCTGTCCATGATATTGAATTCGCTGGGAGTCTCGGAGGCCCAATCATCTTCAGTCCTGATGGGCACCGAATAGCCGAGTCCTGGGGTTCGGAAGAAGTGGACGGGAGATGCGAAGCGGTCAAAATAGGCGTCATGGTTGGGGAAAAGCATGTTGCGGGCGTGCGCCATTGCCGAAACAGGGAGAGCGGGGCTGTGAGCATAAGCGTCCCAGGACGAAAGCTGAGCGACAGGGGTCTTGGTGAGCTTATTTTTGACGCGTGCGCGGCCCCCGCCCTCTGTGGAAATGGCAGGATCATCAAAAGCGAGTGAGACATTTTCTGCGTCGGCGTCTTGGTGCAGCTCCCGCAGGTCCGAGGGGAAGATCCAGTCGGCGACGGGGTTGTTCACAGCAGCGGCCACGATGCGATCGGAAGCCATCTGGCACTCGGTCAGGGCGAGCATGGTGGCCAGGCTGCCGCCGATGAGCTCGCCGCAGACGCCGATGCGGGCGAGGTGCGGCCTGGTGGGGGTGCGGTGCTGGGGCTGCGAGGCAAGGTGCTCCAGCACCCAGTCGTATGCGGTGAGCACATCGTGGACGGGGGTGGGGTACTGATGCTCGGGGCTCAGCCGATAGTTGACGGCGACCACGGTGGCGCTGGAAGCTTGCTGGAGCCGGTGGAGAATCGGGTCCTGGTCGAGTGGCGCGTCGGGTGATAGCGGCCCTGGGGGCAGGAACAGCAGAATTGGCGAGGGCTGTTGGCGTTGCAAGATGCTGGGTGGGCATAGCCATGTCAGCATCAGCAAAGGAGCGGCTGTGCGCGCAGGCGGCGTTACCTCAGGTGCACGTCTCCGTTGGATCTGCAAGCGACCTGCACGTCGTGCCTGGCTGTGGAGTAGCCATGACGCCCGCAGCGCGGCAGCACAGAAGGCAGCACGCAAGAAGGCAGCACGCAAGAAGGCAGCGCCGTGCCCGCTCCGCCGAGGCTGCGGTGCGGACGGCGCGGGCGACAAGCAGCCCAGACGCAGCGGCGGCGCGCCGAGGGCGGCAGAGGTGAGCGGAGCATGAGTCCAGCGTCAGCGATAGGGTATGGTTTGGTCCAGGCACCCAAAGGGGCATGCCCGTCAATCAAGGCAAATTGCTGCGCCTGGCCCAGGCCGCAGCCCGTGCGCGCCACCCACTCGTGCCCCCAACGCGACCTGCAGCAGCGAGAAGGGAACACCCCGTCCGGGCTACCAACAAGACGCCTGCCCGCCCGCGTCCACTCCTGTCCACCGCTCGTCGCCCGGTGCTGCTCCCTCGAGCTCCGTCCGCACTCCGCCTGCGTCTTCGCCCTCGGCCTGCACTCCGCCGCGCGTCGATGCTCCGTGGCTCCCATCCGCCGCTTAAAATTAATCCGAGGCCCGTGTCAGCCAGGTCCACTCCGCCTTTTCACTGCCCCAGCCCTGCGCGAGCCCGCGAGCACCAATCCGGCGCGACTGTCACTCCTTTGACCGCCCCCTCGCCCCAAGCCGCGCAGCTTTCTTTTCTGCTCGCTGCTCCTGAATTGCTCCAGGGTCTGATCGCCGTCGTCTTGTCTGCGATTCGCGACGCTTCAAAGCACAGCCTCGCTGCCACGCTGCCCTACCTAATCGATACCCTCCATCCGTCCTTCCCCGCGTCACAAGCCCACTGCGCCGCACACGCACCTCGGTCGCTGAGACGCCAGCCTTATACCGCACACGCCCGCACGGCCTGCCCTCCCTCTCCATACCACACCTCAGGAACACCGCGACCATGGCTGAGGGTAGTCGGTTACGGGGCTTTTGCACCCTTCTGCGGAACCTTCTCCTCGCCGCCCTGCTGTACACTTGCATCCTCAGTATAATCAACCTCGCCAAGAACCCCTCCTCGCGCCCGACTGGCAAGCTCGGCATCCCGGCCTTCCTCGGAAAGTCGGGCCCTGTCGACTTCATCAAGCCGACCAAGTCTGGCGTCCAGGTCAAGTTTGCCGGCTCGCCCTCCAGCATCACCATCAACCCGCACGCCAACGTCTTCAATCGCCCCGACAGCGCCGTCGCCCCCAAGGATGACTTCCTTGGGCCCAGACCCCACGTGGATACCGAGGCCGACCTGAAGCTGCTGGTGGAAGAGTGCAGGGGATCATACCTGGGAATTGAGAAGATGCGGAATGTTTTCGACTGCTTGCAGTTCTTCGCCAACGAGGAGCACCGCTACTACCAGCTTCCCGCAGACGGGAAACGCGCGAGTCAGCAGAACCCCCAGAAGGCTGAGTACAACGACGCGGATGGATACGGGAACACTTTGAGCAGCTACACGCCCATTTCTAACGCTACCAAACCATCCAAGGATTCCATTGGAACATGTCCTGGCCCCATTGTGCCCTACCACACTTATTGGACTGGACCCGCCACCTGGAGAGTCGAGGTTTTCATCAAGAGCTACTTGTACACCCAGAACCTGGCCTGCTCGCGCCTCTACATCTGGCTGGACTCGGACAGGAACCCGAATGCCGTTGACGATATGCTCCAGCGCGATCCTCTCTTCGCTCGTTTTCTCCCCCTTGTGGAGCGCGGCGATATCAAGGTTGTTGGCTGGAAATTCCCTTCCCGCATCCCGCTCCCGAGCAACGTCGACCACACCGATGGCATCGGATACTCACGCGGCAAGCCGAATGCGAAGGGCGAGGTCACTATCGCGGAGGGTGTGATTGAGGATAGGACCGGGCAGCAGTGGCTGGCTTTGACCGCAAAGCAGATGACTTTCCTGCCTGTTGCCGTATCCGACGCCGTCCGCTTCGTCATCCTGCACATTTACGGTGGCGCGTATTTCGACATGGACGTTCTCATGCTCAGAGACATGCGCCCCCTGTTTCTGCCGCAGAACCATTCCTTCGCCGAGCGCTGGGCAGCCCACCCGCACCCCGGTGACTACAACACGGCTATCATGTCCCTCACGGCAAACTCGTCGCTTTCGTCTTACCTGCTTCGCGGTGGTGTGCGTATGGGAGTCAATTTCCACCCCCGCGTCATTGGACGCATGGCGTGGAAGGATGGACGTGACCAAGAATTCCTCATGCTCGAGACGGCCGCTTTCGACCCTATCTGGACAGAGTTCAACTGGGACCGCGAGGGAAGGTGCACTGTGCCGTGCTTCACCGACTACAGCCAGGCTTTCAAGGGTAAAGCTGGCGTAGTCAAAGATGAATGGCAAAGTTACGATGGATCGCAGCTTGGGCTCGTTGATCTGTCTCAACAAAAGCCCAGGACCAGGGTTGAAACTCAGAGCGTTGTTGAGGGCCGTACCCCGGGCGCGGATGATGTCAGAGAGGAAACGGAGGTTCCGAGCTCATCCGCCGCTCAGCAAAAACCCGGTTCCACTTCTTCTGATTCTTTCTCCACTACCAGTGCTGAGGAGAAGCAGCTGAGGGAGAAAGGTGTGGTTGCTGAATACATATTCGAGGAGGACAAATTCCCGCCGAACAACCGCACGCTGGAGAACTTTTTCAAGGGCGCTTGGACGTACCATATCCACAACCAGGTTAGTGATATCTACAACGAGATGGGACTAGCGCACAGTACTAATATGATAATATAGTGGCTTAAGCACCCCGAGCCGTCTTCCTGGATCAACATCATGGAGATCGCGCACGACGGCTTCTTTGCCGGTATGCGCACGAACCCCTACGGGGAATCCTGGGATGGACCGGACCTCATGCCTTACAACTACTGGCCAGAGTTTGTGTGATCGGCAGAAGCCGCATATTATTTACTGTTCGGCCCCTCAAAACAAAAAAAAGATACAAACGACAACATACGACCTGTACAAAGACACCACGAACAGACACCTCCATATGAGTCAATTCCGCAACGTTATCATTCTTCGGTGGCATTGTCCGTAACGCCATCAGCATTGTTCTTCAAAGTCCAGCGGATAAGCTACCAGTCGGCGCGATAGAGGAGTTTTACTTGGATCGGAAATTCGCACACATGACCGCTTCTCACTTTCCAGCTTCCACGGCCCCGCCAGCGCCGCTCGAAATCCAACCAATCTCTCCATTGTTACAACACATTCCAACATCAACGCGACGTAGAGAGAAACGGATCCGGTGGGTGGTCGATACAAAAACTCGTCATGAGTGTTATTTTGTCCCTTTTCTATTGTTCTTGGCCTTATTAGGCGGCGTTCATGTCATCCCCAACCGGGATGAGATATCAGGCGGGTGTTTTGAAAATCTAATTCCTTTTTACAACTTCAATACTTGCGCGTCTCTGTCTTTTTCTTCTTGAATATCGACAAAGTTGGCTCGTGTGCGTTTGCAAATTCTGACATTGTTCTATCAACCCTTCTTCTAGCGAGTTGCTGCCGTTCTACGCGCTTCTGCTACTCATTTAACAAACTTTTTTATCGATCCGGCTCTTTTTGCCCTTTCTTCACTCTTCTCTTCTTTGCCGGACTTCGATACCCCCACCTTTTTTTTTTCCCCTTCCAACTAGAACGCGCTACCTCCCGCTTATGGCGAAGTAGCGTTCCGTTTTTCCTCCTCCCCCTTCTCTTCTTCCGCCGCCCTCTTGATGACAACATCGAAGAACACGTAGAGAATCGCAACCTTGTTGGGGTTCTTCCTTTCCCCCGGAAACTTGGTTCCAGACGGCGCTGTAAAAAAGACTTTTATATCCACCTTGTTTCATCTTCTTCGACATCTCTCGCTATCTTCCGCAACTTACTTTTTGAGCATTCTTGTACAGCCGCTGGTCTGTTCATCACATTTGTCTATCATGTTTTAGTGCTCTTCTTTTCTACTCGTTTTTTTTTTTGAAGCTTTTTAAGTTAGCAGAAGCAACGGCAGCAGAATAAGACGAGTGCTTGAAATCTTTTGGTCGTTGGATTTTTCTTAGATTGTTTTTTGGAAAGGGAAATAGATGATACGATAAGAGAAACGAAGCACCTTACCATATGCATATGCGCGTGCTACTCAGGACGTCACCTAATTCGTGCTTTGCGTGAGGGAGGTAGAGACGAATATGTCTATTAGTCCAGAGGGCGTGCGACGCAGCGGGCGAGCCATCCGCCAAGTCAGACTGCCATTTTATTTTATTTTTCCGGGAGACCGTCTCCAGGTGATAAAACTACATTACATGATGCGATTTTACCACTGCCTCTTTTAAAAGAAAAAACGATCGTCTTCAAGAACATGTGAGCGCACGCGCGACGAGGGGAATCATTCCCAGCTGTCCTTCAAAAGGTGAACAATCATACTACATGCTATTACTTTCTCAGTGTTTGTGGTGATAGAGAACACGGCTGACGGTGATGTTAATATTGGTGATGGGGTGGGGTACTCGGGGTAGTGATTCTCATACAAGCCCAGTGTGAGAGGGAAATTCTTGTGAGATGATGCCGGAAGTGCAAGGGGGCGAACTGGAAAACAAAATTCCCGCCATAACTACCACTCATCCTGATCCTGCCTCCTATCCGCTAACTCCTATTGATTCTTCGACAACTTTCTCCTTTCTTCATGCCCGTTCAGGTTGTCTCCATTATAGCTCGATCAGCGCCTCTTCCTTCGGAGCCTGCGGTTGATGTTGAGGCGCACTCGGGAAAGAATCTGCAGCGTAGCCACCCGCGGTCTGCTGTGGTGGATATGCGTACTGCTGCGGCGGCGGCTGTTGCCAATAAGGTACTTGCTGAGGGGGAGCAGCCTGCTGCTGCGGCGGTTGCTGCCAGTATGGTTGCTGTGGGGCCTGCTGTTGCGCCTGCGGGGGCGGTGCCTGGGACTCCTGTGGCGGCTGTTGAGGAGGTTGCTGGTGGTAGAGTTGTGGCGAGGAGGGCTGCGGAGGCTGATGTTGTTGTTGCGGAGGAGCAGTTGGAGGCGCACTTGGCTGTTCGCTGTTGTAATAGTAGGCAGCACTGGGCTCGTCGGGAATCGATGGCTGAGACGGAGCATACTGGCCAGCCGGAGGGGCAGATGGCTGTTGTAGATTCGAAGATCGGCGCTGGAGCTGTGGAGAAGCCGAGCCCTCGGAAGCCGGAGCTTGCGGGTATGGGACGTTAGGTTGTTGTTGTTGTTGTTGTTGTGGGGGTTGTTGTGCACCGTAATACTGCTGCTGTTGGAATTGCGGATCTTGATGTTGAGGGAAACCCTGCGGTGGCATCGAGGTCCGATTCGGCACGTATGGTTGCTGCTGTGGTTGCGCGTACTGGTTGTATGTAGGTTGTGGGGGAGCGTAGGGGTCGTTGTTTCCGCTGTAGAAGCTTTCTGCGCCGGAAGGACCATCCGCCGCGCCGGACGAAATGCTGGGGTAAAGATTCGAAGATGGACGTGGCATGCTTGGCTGGAAACCATAACTAGCGTGGGTATAGGTATTCGACAGACGCTCTTCAAGCATACGATCGTAATAACGAACAACGGTTGAAAGCTTTGCATGAAGATCAAGAAGTGTGTCATGCTTGCTCATGGTCTCGCCATATGTCCTGGCAAGCTTTGGGCGTAGCTTTCCAATGCTCTCGTACAACTCCTGGATTTGTGGTTCCCGGAGAATGGTTCCGGGCGGCTGGTGCTGAAGTCGTTCCACCAAGGTAGCAAAAAGACTGATGTTCTCGGCTTCGGAGGGACTAAGCTCGTAGTCATTCCGCGGTGGTATCGCAACCGCGCTGCCGTTTGAAGACGATGTCTGTTGCTTGAGTTGGGCCGCATGCTTCTTCTTTTGTTCCTCCATGTCAGCAATAGACGCCGCAATGGCAGCCTTGAGGTCCGCATCCTCTTCCTCCTCATTCTGAGCACCATCCGGCGGCTTCGACTGGACTTGTGGCTGAGGAACATAGCCCGATGCGGTGTTTGCCTTGACTTCCTCCAGACTCATTTCCAGCGCTCTCTTGAGATCCGCATCGAAACTGTCCTCCACCCGTGCGCTCCTCGGCTCGAGAGAGCCTTGGTATAGCGTCCTGGCTGGCTTCGAAGCATCGAACCCTTTCGGCACAGGAGTTCCCCGATTCTTATCGGTAAGCTTAATATAGCATCCATCGTCCACGCGCACTGGCTGCATTATTCCAAGATGGGGGAGAGCGAGGTTCTTGCTGGAGCACGAGCCGCAGAAGACGCCTCCACAGTTGCGACAGTGGTGCTTTCGATTGGTAAAGGTGAAGGCGGTCCGGCATCGCAGGCAAACGTCGGAATCAGTCCACTCGGGGGGCTAGCAAAGAGACCATTAGCGAAAGGTCTGGATGTATGAGGGGAAAAAAGGTCTTACCGCGCTGCTGTCAAACATGCTGCTAAGAACCTCCTGGCGCGGCGGGAAATGGAAGCCTTCGCGCTGCAGCGACCTGTAGATCTCAGGAATGTAGACGAGCTGGGGACGGCCTTCGGCGGCGATAGCCCAGGTTTGTATCAGCTCCAGTATCTTCTCCTTGACGTCCTGGTTGACTTCTGCGGGGCCGTATGCCTTGAGCAGCGAAACGAGGTTGTCCATGAACTCGCGCGACGCGATTTCAATGATGAAGTGGTCACCGCCGTTCTTGACGCACGTGTCGGTAAGCTGCAGGGCAGACAGTCAGCAATCGGATCATCACAGTGGGGCGCTCAGGCGGAAGGATTCCATACGTTGAGGGCGGCCAGCTGCACGTTCGGATTCTTGTTGCCTATCCGCTTCTTGATGGACCGCATGGCCTCCTTCGGCTGGACCGTCTTGGACCGAATTATGTCGGAGATCTCGAGGTTGAGCGCGATGTCTTCTCTGCGGGCCAGTCAGCAGGCGGCGTCGGGCAACAGCAAAGCAGTCGTACAAGCTAGAAGAGGTGGCACGCTCGACCTGCTCGTCGAGAGCGGAGTTGGAGGACGCGAACCAGCCCGCCATGACGCCAGTGGGAGCTGCGGGGCGGCGGCAGAGGCAAGGAATGCGTTGAGGGTCGCGGGGAGCCCAGGCGGCGGGCAGTCGAGGGGTGTACGGCGTTGGGGGCTCTGAGGCGCGATGTTGACGAGCTTGAGGTTGGAGAGCGGCAACGTAGGTACTCTACTCACGGTAGGCGGCTGCACCGCCGCCGCCCGACCAGCCGGCGTCATCGCGGCGGCGGCCACGGGCCAGCCCCAGCTCTAGCTGAAGCCCGACCGCCTGCTCCCCGCGCACTCACACCCAGCGGCGCTGACACCCAAGGCTCCAGTAATTCGTGCCTTGCGCCACCCAGAAAGCCGCAGGTCGTCGCCTTTAAGCGGACGGCTGCACGCGCGTCCAAGCGCTGGTGCCGCCGCGTGCACATGGACTTGGGCCTGCGCCTCGTCACCGCTGTGGCGCCGACATCGTCATCTGGAAGCTCAACCACAACCACAGTCCGAAGCCCTCCTCCACGCCTGACACCTAAAACACCGTGAGGCACCCACACTGTCCTCAACGCCTGCCGCCGCACTGCCTTTCCGCATCCGTCCGCTCTGCCGCTCTTTCGCGCGCTCTTGCTGCCGCGCGCTCGCCTGATCGCTGCACTCCCGCCCGAGCTCACCGCGGAATCGTCGTGGCCTGTATTCGTATCCTCGGCGCTTGGAACCGCGCAGATCGCCGCAACGAACACAACACAGCCCTGCGACCCGAACGGGCCTCTCTTCCCGCCGTCCTGATCATGTCAAGCTGTGCTGTGTTATAAACAGCAAAGTTTCGCCCCCCGCCTGCCCATGCGCTGCGTCTCAACCCCACCATGAACGGTTACAGGCCAACCTCCAGCGGCCTGGGTTCCCACGGTCGGCCGGACAATGGCTATCACAATGGCGCTACCAGTCCTACACCGCGGGCCATGCCGCATATCAATGATCTCAAAGCGCGCGCCGAGGAAAGGCTCCGGACCGCCCCTCTGGCCGTAAGTCCGCCGCCCCGCGCTCCGAGCAAGACTGACCGTCGCCGCAGATTGATCGCATGCTCGAAATGGCCGAGCAGTCCAGCAAGCAGATAGACTCTTTTCTTGACTTCCGTCGCCCAGATTTCGCCTATCTCGAGTACATCGTCGCCTCCGAACTCGTCTTCAACCGCATTCCCAATTCTCGCGATGCCCCGATCGTGAAGGAAGATAGAGGCACAAGATATCAGAGACACAAGACCCTTGTTAAGGTACGTTATTGCTTCGGAGTGGCTACACTTCCGTATGGTAAGACTCGAGATAACCTGACCCAGAGCAGTACCTGTCGGACAGAGCAGACCGCTTGGCGAACATCAAGGAGATCATAATAAACGACAACAAACGGAGCGGAGTTCAGATTAGCAGTCAGGCCAATGGCTCCCCCGAAGCGCATGCACGCCATGCCAGCGTCCCTGCCATATCGAGCACCGCCGACCCGAACCCAATCCCGAACCCACGATTCTCCATGCGCGACGAACTTTTCCTTGATACCGGCACAAGCACTTCTGGTCACTCTCCCCGGGGGTCTATTGACAACGGCTCAGAAGGTCTCTCAGGCCGGTCCACGCCCCTCAGTTCTGTTGAGTCCCCGCGGCCTCGTCCGCCAGCGAACCCGAAACCACAGAACATGCATGCACGCGCACTCCAACACAATGGATCTCCCGCCGGCCTGAACAGTCAAGGCGATGCTTTGAGTGAACGCTTTGCCCGTCTGCGGGCGTCAGGGAACAGTCCAACTACTAGCCGGCCTGGTTCGATACAAATGCCTTCGCCGTTAGATTTCAACGGCATGATTCCTGGGGTAACTTCAAAGCCACTGGGCCCACGCGCTATGCCAAGTATCCCCTCGATGCCCGAACGCCCACCGAAACTACCGCTCGATACCCGGTTTGCGGCCTCCATGCCAAAAGAGCCATGCGCCGCGTACAGTCCGGCGCGCAACATGCAGACTCCGGCGAATGTTGACCCGCCACGAACAACTGCTAGGAGCTTAGTCCGCACGAACTCCATTCCCACGTCGAGCTTGTCTGCCCAGGCACCGAACGGAGATTCTGAATCCTACTTTCCAAGGCCTTCGAGTCAGCAGGGCGTGATGAGAAGAAAATCACTCCACGCGCCACGGGAATGGCAGATCAGTGCTGAAAAACTTTTTGATTACTTGAAACCTTATAACGTGTTGGTCATTGACGTTCGGAATAGAGAAGACTACGACGACGGCCATGTTTACGTTAATTCCATAATGTGTATCGAGCCCACCGCGCTGCGACCCAACATGTCTGCCGACCAGCTTCAAGAGGCCCTTGTCCTCTCGCCAGATATCGAGCAGGAAATGTTTGATCGCCGGAACGAATTCGACTTGGTCGTCTATTACGATCAATCAACGCCCGCTGCGGATTTCCTCACAAAGTCCTCCCGAACGCAGCAGGAGTCCGTTCTGAAGTATCTCTACGACGCGCTTTACGAGTTTAATGCAGACAAACCCCTTCAAAGACCACCAATTTTCTTGATGGGCGGTCTCGATGCATGGGCCGATCTGCTTGGTCACGGTGCATTGAAAACCTCGAATACCGCGGCCATCGTCACCGAACAACAAGACAACAAGGTTGGACGGCCGATACGCCGGGTGCCGGTCGCCAGCAACGGATCTCGCTTGTACCTGCAGAAGAAGAGGATGCGCGACTACAACCCGTTGGATCCAGAAGAGGAGCGGAAGTGGCTGGAGAAAGCCAGGGGTGAGAGGCCACCGACTGTACCGCCCCAAGAAGCTGGCGAAGATGGAACTGTGGACGAGGAAATACCCTATTACCACAACACGGAGGAATTCATGCGGCGATTCCCAGATGCTTCTGCGATCGGTCCTCAGTCAATGACTGCGGTTGACCAGAGACGTCCATCACAAACAGCTCTATCACAAGCACCTCCATTGCCACCACCTTCGCGACCAACTTCGCGGCCACCTTCGCGAGCAGCCCCGGCAGCCCCGGCAGCGCCCAGCTACCCCGGAGCATCCATGCCATCGATACCTTCAAGGCCACCTCCTGCAGCGCCTCGGGTCAACTACAGCGGTGCACATGACAGAGCTCATCCCCAGAACCATGTTGCTACGGCACGATCATCCCAGCTTCCGGCGTATTTCCCGCCTAGTCAGCTGCCGCAGAACACTCGCCTGCCGAGAACTGGTCTGATCAACTTCGGGGTTACCTGCTACATGAACGCGACCATCCAGTGCTTGAATGCGACTCTTCCGTTGACGAGAATCTACAAGGATGGCACCTTTGTCAAGTACATCCAAAAACAGAACTGGAGGGGCTCAGGAGGCATCATGTCGGAAAACTACGCCACTTTGATTCAGAACTTGTGGGTTGAGGGAGGCGGGCCGTGCCGGCCCAAGACATTACGGGTGAGTTAACTTTTGCCATGTATGCTAGGATGTTACCTTGTTCCAAGACTTACGGGATTTCCAGGAACTTTGCGCTCGTATGAACCAGGAGTGGGGCTTTGATCGTCAGCAAGATGCCAAAGAATTCTTCGACTTCCTGGTCGACATTCTCCATGAAGACATGAACGTCAACTGGTCACATCCACCAGCACAAACACTGACCGAAAAGGAGGAAGCGCGACGAGAGAGTCTGCCAAAGTCGTATGTGGCAGGCATTGAATGGCAGCGCTGGTCCATGCGCGAGCGGTCGATTATCAGCGAGCTTTTCGGTGGCCAACACATGTCGCGCCTCCGGTGCACAACGTGTGGGTTTACGTCGACCACGTACGAAACCTTCTACAGCATCAGCGTGGAGATACCGCGGGATCGTCCGGCCGACATTCGCGACTGCCTCCGGTCGTACTGCTCGGAAGAACGGCTCGCGGGCGACGAAGTCTGGCGCTGCCCTCGCTGCAAGAAGGAGCGCGAAGCCACCAAAAAGATCACCATCACGCGCGCTCCACACTACCTCGTGATCCACTTCAAACGGTTCTCGGCCTCGCACACGGAGCGGGCCCGCAAGGTGCGCACGCCCATCGAGTTCCCGCTCAACAACCTGGACCTCGGACCCTTCATGCTGCCGCCCATCACGCCGGCAGAGGAGACGCACCTGCTCACGCAGCGGCCGAACGACGGCGCGGAGCACCTGAGGTCCATCAAGTCGGACGAGCGCATGACGGCGCCGTACAACTACAACGCGTACGCGGTGATGCGGCACCTGGGCGCGACGCTGACGAGCGGGCACTACATCGCGCTGCTGAAGGACGCGGCGAGGGGCTGTTGGTGGCAGTTCAACGACCACCGCGTCACGGAGTTCCAGCCGGAATCGCTGAGGCGCGATGAGAGGCTGCAGAACGAGCAGGCGTACATTGTGTTTTATGAGCGGGAGAGGCTGTTTGGGCGATGAGTTTGCGGGGTTTTATCTCACGGCGATGGGGGGATGGGAGCTGGGGGAGGGAGATCCTTTTACCTTTCTCGAAGCTTTCATGGAGCTTTTTTTTTTCTTTTCTTTCTTTGCTCCTCCACCCCTTTTGGCTTCGATGGCGTTGTATGATACCTCTTTGTGGTGTTGGTCCTCGTCGGTTGCTCTCTATCTCTCAGTGTACTACCCACCTTCTGTTGGTGGATGCATCCAATGAAAGCGTGGTGGCGAGTGGTTGGTTGGTCGGCAGTTGGCGACTTTTTTTCTTGTAGCATTTCTGGACCAGCCTCCTTTCTTTCACATTCTCCCCCCGCTACTATCATTCGCATTGGCATTGGGTTGGGACTGGATGGGATATTTGGGGACGCGGAAAAAGAGAGAAGGCAAAAAAAGCATATATGACGACAACGGATTGATTTGATTATGATTGCGACGGGTAATGTGAGTTGTTGCGACTTCTGTACGGTATTTGTGATTGTTGGCGGGCGTTCTTGATTTACGGGGAGCTTGGGGAAAGAAATACCTAGGGAAGAGAGGAGAGGAAACGGCAGCCGGCCGGTACATACAAACCACTTGCCGATGGCGGAGTTAGCTCGGAAGTATCAAGGACGTATCAAAAAGGTCGCTGTTCGTAAGGGGAGTATCTGCCGTACTCGTTGTGTTTGGCCATTTTTCTTGCGCCATTCAGCAGGCACATGAAACGAGGTCGGAAGCGCAGCGGAAGTCCTTCTGACACACGAGCTGCACCCTCTGCTCGAGTGCCCAAGCCAGACGAAACGAGCAGTCGTAAGTAGCCAGCTGGCGGGGGAGGTGAGGTGATGATCGGTTCTCCTACGGAAGAGCGGAGTGGAGCAGGCAAGCGACCAATAACGCATGGCCGGATGACAGGGTCTGGGGCAACGATAAGGCAGCGGGGAAACGCGGAAGATCACGAGTTCGGGGCAAGAACAGGTGTTGGTGTGAGTTAGCCGCGGGGATCGCGCTCCACACAATATCCACTCCATTTGCCCGCAGCCGAGAAGCTCAGCCCAAGCTCCTCCCCGGGTGACGTCACGCTAATAATTAAATACCACTTGCTCCCACACGCCCCCTCCACTGCAACAACTTCCAACTCTCTCCCTCAACAACTCTGCGCCCCTACACATCAAACCCCATCTTGAGACCTCAATCCTCGCACACCACCAACACCACCCACCGAAACAAACAAGAAACCGCCGCCAGCAAACCACCAACCCCCCATCAGCGCCGCCGCGCCTACCGAAACACAACCACCAACCAACCAACCAACCAACCACTCCACAACCCACCATGTCCACCTCCCCCATCCTCCGCCTCTCCACAACCGCCACCCCGCGCGCCCTCCGCGTCTCCACCTCCCGCCTCTCCGTCGTCATCAGCAACAGCGTGCCGCAACCCTCGACCACGACGACAACCCCCCAACGACGCTCCTTCTCCGCATCCGCGGCACAGCAGCAGGGCGGCCTCAAGGAAGACGCGCCGCAGGGCGACGAGCAGGCGCAGGTGCGGAGGCAGCGCGAAGGGAAAGGCAAGGGGAAGGGCGAGTGGCAGGAGGGGTTGGCGTCGAACAGCGAGGTGAACGTGCGGGCGGATAGGGAGGCGGGGGCGGTGCGGGATCATGGGGAGCATATGAGGGAGTTGCAGGGGGTGGGGAAGGAGAAGGGGGAGAAGGAGAATCGGGAGGTGTGATGGAGAGGGTTGCGGATTTTTTCTTTTCTGCTCTTTTTTTTTTTGGGAGGGGAGCGGTGGCGCAAAAGCGGGGTGAGGTTTTGATGTTGGCTTGTTTTTGTTCTCTCTTTTTTTTTGTGGTGTCGACTGTGGGGGGTATATAGAAGTAGAAGACTTAAGATGAGATATGAGATGACAAATGGGGGGATATCTACTTGTAAGAGAGAGAGCAAAAAAAAAATAAAGCAAAAAGAGAACCGAATATACCACAATGCACCCAAGTCCTGCTTCGTATGACATGGCTTCGTAAGAATGAAAAGGCACCCTCCTCTTTCTCCCCTCGTCCTCTGATTCCTCACCACTCACCCCTTCCTCACCAACATGCAGCCAGAACCGCCGCTCCCCGCTCAGCCCTTATACCCAAACACCTTATCCTTCCAACTCCTCGCCACCGGCGTCTCCACCGAAAACGCGCTCATCGTCGGCTTCCCGCCCCTCCCCGCACCACCACCGGTCTGCTTCCTCCCACCGTCCGACGACACCCCCTTCTCCAGATCCCGGTTGCGGTCGGCCTTCAGCCTGGCAGCGGCGTTGTTGGTCGACCGCGGCGGCGACTGCATGCGCACGGCGGTGCGCCTGTTTTCGCGGGCAGCGCCGCCACCACCAGTGCCGCCGTTCTTGGATGTGTTGACGGCGGTGGTGCTGCGGCCGGTCAGGCGGCGCGAGACGCGCTTGAGCGACTTGCGGACCTCCCATTGGCGGCGCTTGGCGAGGAAGAAGAGGACGGTGGAGACGACTGTGTCTGTCAGCAGAGGAAAAGAGAGAGAGAAAGAGAGAGAGAGAGAGAAAAGGTCAAGACTCACTTCCACCGACAGCGACGACGACGACGACGACGATGATGGCAATCATGCCGCCCTTTGACAGCTTGAACGAGCCGGAATCCGGGCCCTCGGCGCCGGCGGCGCTGTCGATGCCGCTGGATGAATCATCGCTGCTGGATGAGGACGATTGGTCTGTGGAGGTGTCGTCGGCGGCGGCGGCGAGGAGGGCGAAGAGCGCGAGGAGCGCGGTGAGGAGGAGGCGGCGCGTCATGGCAGGTGGTAGGTAGTTATTTTTTCTCTTTTTCCAGTCTTCCTCTTTCTACACCTCTTTTTGGCCTCCCTTGTTGATGGATGGAAGCGGCTCTTGCTCAGCACAGAGCGTCCCGAAGCGATGGAAACGAGCGGGGCAGGTAGGAGCGCTTTTGCTGGAGAGGACTGACAGGGCTGGACCGGCAGGTGGATCGAGGCGCGCGCGTGTGGTGGTGGGAATTAAGAATCGGGCAACCCAGCCTTTCCCAGCGGAGAAGGCCAGCGCAAGAAAAGCGGCACAGCTCACACCTTTGTAGTCCCCCCAGAGTACTTCCCACTCGACGCAGCGCACATGGCGCTCGGAGCGAGACCGGGGCGGTGCAGGTGCAGGGAAGAGCAGGGAAGAGAGCCAGCGCGGGCGGCTATCACAGCTGGCGGTCTTGGCACCGGCGCAGATGCAGGAACGCTGGGCGGCTGCGCGGGGTGTTGGCGGCGAGCGATTGGTCGTGGTGTGGGCGGCTAGAGTGAGAGATGCGCGGGCGTCGATTGTGCGGCGACGGGCTTCTGCGCCCTGATTGGCCAGCCGCCGTGTGATGCTTATTTTTCCGCCTGTGCGTGCGCCGACGAGTGACACGCCCGAACACTCTCCCCTCCCCGGCCGCCTGCGACACCACCCACGCCCAGTCGCCGCCCTGCCAATGCTTGGTGAAGCCCCGTTGCTTATAAGTGCGCTGCGCTGCTGCTGCTGCTGCTGCTGCTGCTGCTGCTGCTGCGTGCCCCGGACCAGCCACTCGGCGTGTGCTTGCTGCACATCCTGCATCCTGCCGCGGTTGCCATTTCACATCACCCCTCCCGTGTCTGGGCATATCGAAATCGGCCCTCTACCCTGTACGAGGTGCCCTTGCCTATCGATTATTGCTCCGCCCCGTTCTTCGACCCGCCGAGGTGCGCTACTTGGAGTCAGCAGGCCGACAAACTTATTGGCAAAGAACCGATAGGTGGACTCACTTTCTCAAAAAGGCATATCCAAGGGAACCGATCTGCAGAAATTCTCCTTCGCTTGGAAAAGACGCTGTGATTGCCGAGGCGTGGCTCATACGCACCGCCTTCGAGCACTTGCAAATCGATGCATTCATCCATGCCACTTAGACTTCTAATTTGAGATACACGTCGCTAACACCCCTGACAGCATACAAGTGTTTCTCAACATAACACCAGTTCTTTAGATACTTGCATAGGAGCCATCATCGATTCAGAATAGAAGAGGGTACCGCTCTCGAATAAATGTTTAAACCATCGAACCGTGGTGCCCGATTCGAGCAACAAATTCGTAGCGTGTCGGAAGCTCAATGAGTACAGCATCACAGAACAATGCAACACCGACACTCTGACTCTGTCTTGTCGGTCTTCTTCACCTTCTTCTTAGTCTTCTCTTCTTTCTTCGCAAAATTCTGGCCGTGTCCCCCGCCGTAGTCGCCGAGAGAGTACACAGACGACCCTGATGAACGGCGCCCTCCCCAAGATTCGTACACCACCCCTGATGAATGACTTCTCACATGGCGCCTAGGCGGGAGTTCGCCGAAAGAAGGAGGGAGGTGCCGGGGTCCAGTGTATACAGGTGGAGGTGGAGGGCCCGGAAAGAGAGACAGGGGTCCCAAATCCGTACGAGGCGGGCCGGGCCAGGGTCCGCCCCAAGATCCGGGGGGGAATCCACGTTCGCCGGGAGGGAGGTTTTGGGAGATCTCTCGGGGTCCGTAGCCATCGTAGGGTGAAGGTGGCCGGATTATTTCCATTGAGTTGGAGTGGTTTCTTGGTGCTTTGTTCTCGGTGGTTTCCTAGGCGATGAAACTAGTTTTTTTGAGGAGTGTGGTGGGCGGTAAGATTATGCTACCCGATATGGAACTTTATATAGCAGGGCTTTTGGTAAATCACTTTATGCGCAAAAGTCTCCGTGTTTTCTTCTGACACATGTCTCTTTATCATCCACTTCGTTGTGCTGCGGCACGGGAAGGGAGCCACAGAACAAGTCAAAAGAAATGTGAGTGGCAGCAAACGCTTCATAAAGCTTTCCGTTGCGGAAACCTGCTGGTGACTGAAGCAAGGACGATCTGAGACTACGTGGCCAGGGACTTTGAGGTGCTGTCTTCGATGGGCAAACGACCAGCTTTCCACCTCCGCCTTTTGCAGCTCATGATGCTGCCATCACATGCTCCTGCCAAACGGATATTCGAAGGTGGGGGTTGGGGTAACGCGACCCCGCAGAGCTCCCCAGAACCCCGCGCGTCATCGGCAAGTTCCAATCAGTAGGTACTGAGGAAAAGGTTCAAAAAGCTAACTTCATCTGTATTCCCGATAATCACAGCAATTCATCACCACGAACCGAAGATCATCTACTTCATCTTACATCAAAACACCACGCCCACCATGAGCACCGACCCAAAGCTCGACGCCCTGCACAAGCAGCTCTTCGACGAGGGCTTGAAGATGCGCCGCAGCGTCGTGGGCGACACATACGTCGACCGAGCCCTCGCCAACGGGTCGACCGAGTTTTCGAAGCCCGGCCAAGAGCTCACGACCGAGTGGTGCTGGGGCTACGCGTGGACGCGGCCGGGGCTGGAGAAGAAGCAGCGGAGCCTGCTCAACATCGGCATGCTCATGGCCCTCAACCGCGCCCCCGAGCTGGCCGTGCACATCCGCGGCGCGAGGAACAACGGCCTCACCGAGCTGGAGATCCGCGAGGCCATTCTGCACTGCACCACCTACTGCGGCGTGCCCGCCGGCGTGGATGCGATGAAGACGGCCGAGAGGGTGCTGGACGAGATGGCTGAGAGGGGCGAGATGGCACGGGAGCTAGGGAACAAGGTTGCGTGAACAGACGGGCCGATCTGCGTTGTTGGGCGTAGGAATCGACAACAGTCGAAGATTGTACATACGTGTGCATAAATATCGGTATGGCTGTTACCGAGGCGGGGAAACAATACCCCTCAGCCAGCCTCGTCTATCTATCTACTTATCTGTGCTTCCCCGCATCTCCGCATTCCCCTCCAACAAATTTTGGCCTCAGCGGTTTCGCAGCCTCGATTATGCCCCCGCCGGGCCTGCTTGAAGGAACGGCTGGCCACGACGAAGCCCGGCCGACGCCCTCAAAGAAGCCCAAGCGCTTCCAATGCACCCGGTGCCAGAGGCCTTTTGCCCGGCTGGAACACTTGCAGCGCCACGAGAGAACCCGTAAGCATGGCCCGATCCCAACATCCCTCGAGTCGTCTCTTACCGATCCCCCTAGACACGCAGGAGAAGCCGTTTCTCTGTGAAAAGTGTGATTCCCGTTTCACGAGGAGGTAGAGCGCCAATTGAATCCCTGACATCTCATCGCTGACTTGTCTCGCGCAGTGACCTCCTCATTCGCCACGAGCGGCTTTCACATGACAAAAACGGCTTCAAACGGAAGTATGCCAAAGACAAGGCTGATTCCTCCGACGACTTCAAGCAGCCTCCACGCGTGAGGATTACCTCGATCAGAGATGGTGATAGTCAAGAAACAACAAGTGACGGCCGTTCCAATTCACCAACCGTGACGCCATTCGCTGTAGGCATGCTTGCACGCGCGACAATCCCAATGGACACGAGCTTCCACTCTCCATTGGCAGCCTTGTCGTTTGCCGCTGAACAAAGCGCATTCCGAGATGCCCTCGCTGCCTCCTCGACTCAGGCCTCCAGGGTTACGCCTGGCATGAACTCTGAGCCCGTGGTGCAAGCCAATTCATTGCCAACGTCTGCGGCAGCACCGTTGGCAGACCAAGATATTCCAGCAGCTTTGGACGATGAGCCACTAGAATCATACCGTTTCTCGTCCACCGTTACTGCCGAACAGCCAGTACCCTTGTTTTCTCCCGAGCCAGTCTTGAATCCAACCGAATATGAAACACCACATGCGCATCCGGTCTTCAGCCAAAGCCGCAGCCTTGACGAGTCAACCTCCCCGAGACCACTCTCAAACATCTCGAACATGGACAGACAAGATATCCTGAGCAGGATGGCAGAATTCGTTTCCGTAGTCCCTTCTGGTTTCCGACTGCCCTCACGACTTGCACTGTCTCGATACATTGGCGCATACATCGCCAGCTTTCACCCACACTTGCCCTTTCTTCACATCCCCACAATGACGGTAGAGAATACCTGCGTGGAGCTTCTCTTGGCCCTCGCCGCTGTTGGAGCTCAACACTGCTTCGAAGAAGAGAAAGGGATTGAACTGTTTCACACGGCTCGAGCCATCGCAGCCCAGCGCATCACCCGGAGGGATGTCGGCCTCGCCAACCCCGACAAAGACTCGCTCTGGGCCATGTCGGAATCGACACGAAGCAGTTCGACAGACGGAGCAGACCTCATGCAAACCGCCCAGGCTCTCCTGGTGCTGATGGCAACGGCAACCTGGGCCAGACGCAAGGAAATCCTTCGCGAAGCTCTCGCAATCCAAAGCATCCTAGCAACACTTGTCCGTGACGACGGCCTCCACAGCTCGCCGTATCCCCCAGACATAACGTGGGAGGAGTGGGCCCAGCAGGAGTCGCGCTTGCGGACCAAGTTCATCGTCTTCTGCTTCTTCAACCTACACTGCATCGTGTACAACATCCCGCCACTGATCCTCAACTTGGAGCTCAAGATGCAACTCCCATCCAGCGCCGCCGAGTTCGAGGCCACGTCAGCCGCCTCGTGGGACGCCGTCCGCAAACGCACCGCCGCCACCGCCTCGACTCCTCCAACAACCGACTCCTTCCAATCCGCGCTCCGCCGCCTCTTCTCGCCCAGCAACCGCGACATCTCCACCTCCACCCCCTCCTCCCCCCTCAGCAACCACATCCTCATCCACGCCCTCCACCAACACATCTTCTTCGCCCGCCAAACCGCGCCCCCCTCCTCTCCCTCCTCCCTCCCCACCACCACCACCACCACCCCCACCGAGTCCGACGCCCTCCCCCCCTCCACCGCCTCCACCCTCACCCACGCCCTCCGCACCTGGCAACGCCACGCCTCCCCCTCCTCCAATGCCCCATCCCCCTCCATTTCTTCCCCCCCATCCCCCCCAACCATCCCCTTCGCCAACACCGCCCTCCTCCGCCTCGCCCACACCCGCCTCCACACCGACACCAGCCCCGCCGCCCGCGCCGCCCTCGCCTCGCGCGACCCGCGCGCCGTCGCCCGCGCGCTGCGGGAATGGCGTGGACCACCGTTATCCTCTTCCTCCTCTTCCTCCTCCTCCTCATCGCTATCATCATTATCGAAAATGACGGCGGGGTCAATGTCGACGGTGCCGCCGGTGGTGCGGCACAGCGTGCGGGCGTTGGGGGCGGTGGTGGAGGCGGCGGGGCTGCCGGTGGCGGCGACGGTGGGGAGGGCGCCGGTGGCGGCGTGGGGGGTGGAGTATTGGGTTGTCGAGATGGAGTGTGCGGTTTTGTTGGGGAAGTGGTTGGAGGGGGTGGCGGGGGAGGCGGATCAGGGGGCGGGGGTACCTGGGGGTGGTGGTGGTGGGGGAAAGGAGGAGGGGGTGGCGCAGCAGGAGCGGCGGCGGGTTGTTGGGGTTGTGAGGGGCTTGTTGGAGGAGACGGAGTTTGCGGTGGAGGGGGGTGGTGAGGAGGAGGGGGAGGAGGGGGAGGGGGGGATCGGCGCGGAGGTGGCGAGGCGGTTGGGGGCGGGGGTGTTGAGGGTTTGGGCGGGGGTTTTTGGGGCGGCGCAGACGTGGCCGGTGGTGGGGGTTATGGGGTGTTCGTTGGGTATTTATGCGGACATGATGGAGTTGGGGCAGGTAGACTAGGTAGAGGGCAACTAGAGGAAGAGGAAATATTGCGATTGTGTCTAGCAGACCTGAAAAAAGAATAATGCAAGCACGTCAAAGAAGCTTTGAAGATGAGTGCCAATGTGACCAAGATCGTGGAAGTGATCGAACTGACGACTACGCTGGGCATCTACGGTTGCGTGCCACTGCTTGTTGAGGTCAAAAAGGAGGAGTGAGTCTACTGAGTACAGCGGGCGCCACATTTGACGAACACCCCATGAGCATCGTAGGAGAAAGGGGGTTTTGGAAGCTCTGCATGGGTGTACCTTTTTGAAGCTGCAGGGTTTGACGGGTAATGGCCGCCCTGCAAGAGGCTTGTCAAACTCATGATCATGTAATTGACAACGCTATGAGAAAACAGTATATAAGCTCGGAGTATTGTCCTCAGTCACAAGGTTTCTGTGCACACTCAACCTCGGCATGCTTTCCACTGCTGACTTGAAAAGATCATGTTTGAGCCTCAATTGATCACATTGTCACACAGTGACATAAGCAGAACAAGAAACTCTTCCCGAAAACACATAGTCTGCTCAAAGCATGCTCTGTCACTCCGCTTCGCAGTCTACCTACCCCTCACCCGCCTCCAAGCAGAAACAACTATAAATACCAGCCCTTCCCCCCTTCCACCACCCGCCACAAACCCACATCCACCGATGCGCCCACCGCACAACCCACACAAAAATCCCACACCATGCCCGACAACGACCCCGACAGCCCCACCCTCTCCCCCGGCTCCATCCCCCCCTCCCCCCTGCCCCGGCACCATCCCACCTACTACCCACCCGACGCTTGGGCAACCCACCCCTTCCCAGCATGGCCACATCCCGGCGACCACCCCCCATGGACGTATTTCCCGCCACCACCGCCGCCACCGGCTTGGCCTTACTTCAGAGACGCCGCCCCTCTGCTGGATCACGATGTCGGAAACTACCGAGGACCTTGGTTGATCGATGAGTGGGGCCGCCCCGTTTGGCCGCCGAACGCCGTCCCTGGCGCTGGCGCTGGCGCTGGCGCTGGCTGGCAGTGGGGGTGGCCGGCGGTGCCGGTTGGTGCTCCCCGGTGGGGGGGAGTGCCGGGGAATGGTCCGCGGTGGGGGGGAGCGCCGGTTAATGGTCAGCAGTGGGGAGCGCCGGTTGGTGGCGGAGGTCACGGTGGCGGAGGTCACGGTGACCGTGGCGGTGGGGCTGGTGGTGGTGAAGACAACCGCCCGGTCCTGCCGGACCGTGAAGGCCGCTTCCCGACTGCGGCGTATGGCGGGGGTAGGGAGCAGGCTCGGGATCAGTAGGGTAGGGAGTTTTCTGGGTGTTTGCGCTAAGTACCTGCTTTGGCGGGCGGGATGTTGCCTCTAGTATGAGGCCTGCATGGCTCTTCGTATGTACATGGCCTACGTGGCAGTGGTCGGCTTAGCGGAAGAGTTCTATAGCCGCTGCATGGATTTGATTTTGGGAACTTTGTATTCGCAATTGCGTGCTGTTCAGTTCATGTGGAGATCGTTGTCCAGCACTGTCAGTACGTGGTTTGCCATGGAAGTGTTGGTAGAGGTATGTTCGCAACTGCGTCTTCCTGTCATTGTTTTCCGGTCCATGGAGATCTTCCATGCAGCACATGCCCCTCTACTAGTAGTTTCAAGCCTCTTCGAAACTACTAGTCTCTGTCAGCAAGTATCCTGGATGCTGAGGTGCACTGCTGAAGCTCTCGGAATGCCGTACAGGTTCTCCGCAGTGATCACGACCTTAACTCGAGAAATCGATGGACAGTCAGCCAGTCCAATGCTAAGATCCCCCTTCGTTAGTAGGCGCAACCCCAGGATCCTGTGTTGCGTAACCTCTCTTGCCCGTGTCATATGGCCTCAGGACAATGTGAGACAGCAATCAGCAGACTTTCGGAAGTGGACATCTTATTGATATGGTTTCCACCCCGTGGCTAGCTCCTTGCATGCTATACTAAAGAGAAGCGCTGACAAGTCCTTTTCAGCGCCGACCCCGACCAGAACAATAAATTAGAGACTGTAATTGAACATAGTTATGCAGCAATTATGCTTGAAGAGAGGAGGCATGGAGCTTCACTAAGGCTAGCATAAGACTGACCGGAAGAATTTCTTCGTACTTCGAGGTCTATCGACCTGGCTTTCGGGTGCATTGCATCCTCGATCGACACGAAAGCAGATGTTTCACACCGAGATCCTTTACCTGCCCCTCACCTGAGCATTTTCGATCCCCCGTCATGGACCCGGTCTTTGGATGGGCATCCGGGAAAGGGGCGGCGGCCCATCACTGCGGGTATGCAGCATGTGAACGAAACCTACAAAGGTTCCATTTTGTAGGGATTTCTGATGGCAGACTGTGGGCGGATGATCGGAGGTAAAAAGGTGATCAGTGGACTGACAATCTGATGAAGGGCGAAGCCGATGGTGGGGCACATGGTGGGGTTCCCTCTTCCAGTACAAGAATCCTCCCAGCCATCATACGTGACCAGGAATCCCGGTACCGAACCCGGGATAAAATGAAGGGATGACCATTTTTAAACTTCGTATCCGCTCAATGTCACTCTTCCAATGTAACATGGGCATTTTGAAGAAATACCCAGGAGCAATACGGCGCTCACCTCCCTGCCAGAATCCCAAACGACAGACGTCATGACAGATTCTTTCAGCACTCTTAAGTAGGCAGCTTACAAAATTGAGGCTTACTCCATGGTCGTACAAACAAGGGGACATGAAGCGGATAGGAATGCGCTACCGTGAACAGGAGCACCGCCCTTTGTGCTACCATGACAGAATGCCACGAATGCTTCAAGAAGCCGAGACACCCTCGTGAAGCCGCGCTTCCAAAGCGACACGTCAGCACCGTCGGTTAGCTTACAATGCGCGTCTTCAACATCGTTGCCGTGGCCTTGGCTCTCAACTGCCCTACCATTCATGCCAGAAGCCATTTTTGGCAAGCCGAGAAACGCCAGCTCCCAAGTCAGCCTTCGGGAATAGAGACGTTGATTTCACCATCAGGTGCAAAGGTCACGTACAAGCAGCCCGGAAAGCATGGTATTTGTGAGACAAAAGACAATGTGGAGGATTATGCCGGCTACGTCAGCTTGGATAACAAGACAAACATGTTCTTCTGGTGCACATCAGCACGTCCTTCAGTGAAGGCTTTGGTCTGACACCTGCTTAGGTATTTCTCCGCTCGCGATGACCCGAAAAACAAGCCGATGACACTGTAAGTGCCTGTTTTGGCTTGCGCTATCTTTTCGCCGCTGACGTCAATCAAAGCTGGCTCAACGGGGGGCCGGGTAGCGATTCGCTCATTGGCCTGTTTCTCGAGAATGGACCATGCAATGTCACAGAGGATCTCAAAACGCAGTGGAATCCTTATTCGTGGAACGAGGTCTCCAACGTACTTTACCTCTCTCAGCCTGTTGGAGTAGGCTTTTCGTACGAAAGCACCGTGGATGGTAGCTACGACAACTCTACAGGCACCGTGAGCTCTGCCTCCAACCATGACCCTGAAGGGCGTTGGGCACTGGTTGATCCCGACCGCACAAACACCACCGAAGTGGCGGCAAGTGGCGCTTGGCATATCATTCAAGCTCTTTTGGCCGTATCCACAGAGTCGAAAGACACCAGGCTCTCGAACAGGACGTTCAACCTGTGGACTCAGCAATACGGCGGTCACTGTCTGTAAGCCCGTAGCCCCGCAAAGGGCGCCCGCACTAACACAGACATTCTGCCAGATGGTCCAACATTCTACCGGTACTTCAACGACCAGAACGAAGCCATTCAAAACGGCAGCCTCACTGGCTACCCCATGACCATGGACACGCTCGGCATCATCAGCGGGCTCATCGACGAGCGGGTCCAAACTCAGTACTACCCCGAATTCGCCGTCAACAACACGTACGGCATCAAAGCGGTCAACGACACCATCTACGAGTTCATGAAGCAAGCCTTCGAGACCCCCGGCGGCTGCCGCGGCCAGCTCGACGAATGTGCCGCAGGCCTGGCCGCCGACCCAACCAACCAAGACACCTACCGCTTCTGCTCCACAGCCGCAACCTCCTGCTACAACTTCGTCGAAGAGCCCTACTACGACTACAGCGGGCGCGCCCCGCAGGACATCCGCTCGCTGGCCAGCGACTTCCACCTCCCAGGTCCGTCGTCGTCTCCCATCCCAAACCCCCCAACACACTTTCCAACCAGCTAACCCCCCATCCCGCATGCACCAGACTACTGGGTCCAGTTCCTCAGCCTCGCCAGCACGCAGTCCGCGCTGGGGGTCGCGGTGAACTACACGTACGAGAACCTCAACGTGACGCTCGGGTTCGACCGCACGGGCGACGCCGCGTACCCGTACTTCAAGCACGACCTCGAAGACGTGCTGGCCAAGGGCGTGCGGGTGGTGCTGCAGCACGGCGACGCCGACTACGTCGCCAACTGGCTGGGCGGCGAGGCCGTGTCGCTGGCCCTCGACCACGCGCACGCGGCGCGCTTCGCGGCCGCCGGGTACGCGCCGTTCGTGGTGGATGGCGCCGAGTATGGGGCGGTGAGGGAGTATGGGAATCTGAGCTTCGTGCGCGTGTATGACGCGGGCCATCTGACGCCGAGGGATCAGCCGAGGGCGGCGTTGGAGCTGTTTCGGAGGGCGGTGAATGGGTTGGATATTGCGAGCGGGGAGGTCGTCGTGTCGGACCGGTTTAATGGGACGGATGGGCCGGCGAGGGCGACGCATACCGAGGCTTATGGGGCGGGGGAGACGGGTGGGCAGTAGGGTTGGGGGGCTTTTGTGTAGAGGCTTGGAGGGTGCGATTTGGAGCTTGCATACTCTCGGCATCTTTTGTGGGTTGGGTTTCACGCAGAGCTGGTCCGTCCATATGAGTTTGAACCTCAGACGCTCGATCAATTACTCGGCGCTCAATTACGCAGTGAAGGGAGAAGCATGGGGTTTCGGTCATAGAAGACACACGTCTTGATAAGCTTAAGATCTTCCGAACACATCGCATGCACCAAAGAGCAAGATAAGTAGTTTCTGAACTGGCGTTGAGAAGCTTATACCCCATGTCTGATCGGGACCGCCGGAGACAATGCCGATCGCTATCACGCATCTCTCAAACCGAGACGTTTGCAACAACTTAACCGTCCTCAGCCGCACCAAAGGGATGCCCGGCCCACCACTCCTCCCTACATATCCCCACCCCACCCCACCATCATCACTTCCTTACTTCTCGCCCCCCTCCATTCCGTCCCCCCTCCCCGTTTCGAAACCACCATGCCCCGCTTCGCCCCATTAACATGTCTCCTACTCGCCAACGTCGCGTCCGCCGGGTATGCTGTCGGCGTCCCAAAGCAAGACGTCATCGCCGCGCCGCAGCGCTCCATCAACGGCATACCCTATAGCACGCGCGCTTACTGGATGCGGCGGGCCAACGCCGCCCTCGCGGAGCTGGGGTCGCCGTGTCCGTTCGCGGCGTTCGGGACCGTGATTGTGAACCACACGGCGACGGATGGGCTGGGCGAGCTGGTGTGCATCGGGGCGAATGCGAACAGTAGGACGGGGAATCCGACGCTCCACGGGTACGATCCGGCTGATTGATGCGGTTTCTGTTTCTCACCTCTGGCAGGGAGACGGCGGCCATCACGAATTGCACGGCCGTGCTGACGGATCCCGAGGGCGCGTACAAGATGAATGCGAGTGAGGCGCTCGACGCCTTTTCGCGGCTGAGTCTGTACACGAATGCCGAGAGCTGCTCCATGTGCGCGTCTGCCATCCGGTGGGCGGGGTTCAAGGAGTACATCTACGGCACCGCCATCGACACGCTGCTGGCGCAGGGGTGGGGCCAGATCCGGATCACCTCGCTCGAAGTGTTCCGGCAGTCCATCGACCTGCCCACGCAAACGAGGCTGATCGGAGAGGTGCTGACCAACGAGACCGATCCGTATTTCTCTTGGCAGTACAATCCCGAGTATCCGTGTCCGGCCGGCTGTTCGAGATTGGGAGATTCATGTACCGCAGATGAAAAGTAGTCAATACTCGTCGTTCGAACATGTAGTCTTTGAAAAACAATGGCCTGCCCAAGATGAAGAATCACACTCAACCCGAACCCTCATTCTCACCCGGTCTTCACCTCAAACTTCAGCAAATCCCCCGCGATAATCTCATCCTTCTTCGCGAGCAGCTCGTCCGGGTCCCAGGTCGCGCTGACCAGCCTGCCGTTCAACCACCGGAACCTGCCCGGCTCCCTCGTCAGCCAAACGAGGAAATGCCCGCACAGCTCCGGATCGTCCACGAGATCTGTCAAAAGTAACAGTCAGCCCGCCGCTCCACCTCAAAACCCCCCACTAAGAAAACCGAGAACACGCAGAGTCAGGAAAAAAGAAGGGGAAAAAAAAAAGGAAAACTCACACTTCCTAAACGCCTCAGGCGCCGTCTCCAGCGCCGTGTCCGTCTCCACCGCCCCAGGATGCACCGCCATCGCCAACAACCCCCGGCCCTCCTCGTCCCCGTCCCCGGCCTCGCCGCCAAACTGCTCCGCCAAATGCTCGACAATCCGCGCCTGCGCCATCTTACTGACGCAGTACTTGCTGTTCGCAATGACGCCCCTCCTGATACACCCCGCGACGCTCCCCACCACCAAAAACGCCTTCCTCCCGCCACCACTTCCTCCTCCCGCACGATCTGCAAGCAACAGCGGCACAAAGTAATGCGCAGCGTAATACGTCCCGAGCGCATTCACCGCAAACGCACGCTCCCACTCCCCGTCCAACGCATCCCCATCCGTGACAGCCAGCTCCACCGGCCCCGAGTACCCAGGATTGAACACCACAACGTCGAGCCGGCGCCGCTGCCGCTGCCCGGAATCCCCACCAGACCCCGATCCGAGGACTTCGTCCCGCACCCACGCCGCAACAGCGGCGACGCTCTGCGCCGACGCGACGTCGCAGGCGCGCTCGAGGACGGTGATGGCGCCGCCGTGCGGGGTGGCCGCGGCGGCAGCAGCGCGGGCGGCGGCGGCGACGGAGGAGAGGGCGGGGGAGAGGGTGCGCGCGGCGAGGATGAGGGTGGTGGAGGGGGTGGCGGCGCGGGCGTAGGAGAGGGCGATGCCGGCGCCGATGCCGCGGGAGGCGCCGAGGATGAGGATGGTGGAGAGAGGGGGGCTGTTGGGGGCTGGGGAGAGGGCGGCGAGGAGGGTGGGGCCGGGCGTGGTGTGGGTTGTTGGGGTGAAGGCGTCGACGGCGGTGACGCGGGGGTCGGACGGCATGGTTTCTTTTTTTTCTTTTTACTTTTTTTTTCCCCTTAGGGGTTCGTTGATGGTTGATGTTGGTGGTAGTGGTTCTTTTTTTTTCTTTTGAAGTCCTGGTTTGGGTCGTTGTGGTCTTTTTGGTCGTGTTTGATAGGCCGAAGATGACTAGATGTGAGGAGAGGAGTGCGTGGTTGTGCTGAGACTGTGATGGTGCATGCACGTATCAATATGACTACCACAGAATGCGCGGGCCCTTCTTAAGTAGTACTGGAGTTTCATCTGCTGTAGCTGTGGTTTGGTTGCAAGACGTCGGCGGGGTGAGCGCCATACAAGGGTCACCTGCCTATTCAAGTTTAGCGCTGGAATGGCATCAGGATGAGCCATATCATGGACTGCATGTCATCGGCCTGCAGCAACTCTGCTCCTAACGAAACTTTGGTCCGCACATGGCCAATGGGTCTCAGTCTTCTACATGTATCAATCTATCGGCCTCCCTCTCTGCCCAGCCTGTGCGTCTGTCCTGTGCATAGACCAGCTGATCTCGATTGCAATCAACTTCTTATCAAGTCAGATGTCGTCTAGCGAAAATGACGGGAGCATCACGCCAAAGCTGGTCACAGATGTTGGAACAATCATCAGACAAAGGTGGAAGGCGGAGTGATGGCGACGCTAAGCCCAAAGAGAGAAGCCGGTATCGGCTTGCCGCTCAGGGTCCAGCACGCGAGTAGGCCGCAGGCCGTAAGGCTGACGGCACGAGTCAGTCGACAGCAAACATTGATCTTCGTCATGATGCCGGCTGTGGCGCCCTGCTGTCCCTGCGCCCCTGCGGCTCTTCCTAGTCTCCGCGAAAGCCGATGCTGCCATGTCTCCCACCATGGCGAGCTGCCGTCTGCATCTGCTGGCGGCGCGGCATGGTCGGCATCTGGCATCTGGCGCTGAATAATCACCCCGTCGGACCGAGCGGCGCCGGGCAGTGCGCCAACGCTTTCGGGCTTTGTCGAGCACGCCATCGACACCTATCCGTTTCTGGTATTCTCACCTTCAACCGCCCGACTTTTCCACCAGCCATGGCGCCCCATCAGCTGCTGACCGGGCCCGCACCCTCATCCCGGCCCATTGATTGCTCAGCGATACCGGGCCTCGATTCTACTTTTTCTCCCCGCCACGTCCGTCTCCACTCGCCCTCCAGCGGCATTCCTCTCTTTCTTGACGCGCAGCACCACTCACCACTCCAGCAGCAGGCAGAGTGCGCGTCGTTTGTCTTCGTTTCTTTGTCTCTTGAGATACCACCAAAAAGTTTCTGATTTCGCCGCCCCGCTGCCGAGCCATGCGTCTCCAGCTGCCCGAGTCCGCCGGCCCGCAGGCTGAGCAGACCCAGCAAACCGCCCTCAAGCGCTTTGCCCAGAAGTCCTCGAACCTGCCCTTTGGCCAGCACGTCCCGCTGGCCTCCATCTCCGGCCCTACCTACCTGACCGCCCAGACCCTCGTCCAGCAGGTCGCCTACGCCCTCTCCGACAAGATCTTCGCCTACTCGCCCGAGACATACGACTTGGACGTTGCTCTGAGGGAATGGCATGAGAAGGGCGAGCACAATGCCTTCGGCTACAAGACTGGCTTCTCCGCTCTCGAGACCAGGTCCGGCGCCGGCAACGTTGCTCTGGGCTACATCTTTTCCAAGGACTTTGACCTGTCCAAGAGGCACGTCCCCCAGGCAATCGTTGCCTCGTCCTCCACCCTGCGCCAGCTGAGGCCTGCCCTGGACCAGCTCTCGCTGCTCTACTCTGTCGCCAACCCTCTGGTTGCCCATGTCGCCGCCGTCGACTACGCCGCCGGCTCCTCGGCCGGCCTGGTCACCGACTACTCCACCAGCTTCACTCTTGCCGAGGAGCTTGGTCTTGGTCTGGTGTCCAGCGCCTCCGCCTACGAGATCCAGCACATGTCTCTGTTCGCTACCCTCCTCGCCAGCATCGTGCCTGCCATCCACACCTATGACGGAATCACCGTCGGCCGTGAGACCACCCGCGTCGTCGATGTCATGGACAAGTCTGGCCTGATCAACAACTACAATGCCATTCTGAAGGCTACCTCCAGCGTCGAGGGCAAGCACTCCGACAACGAGGGCAGGACCGTTCGTCTTCTCAAGGCCTTCAACGACGAGTTCGGTTTCGACTACAAGCTGTTCGAGTACCACGGTCACGACGCGCCTGAGACCGTCATCGTTGCTTTCGGCACCGTCGAGGCTTCTCTGGGTGCTCAGGTCGCCCAGTCGCTTGCTTCCAACGGCGTCAAGGTTGGCTTGATCAACGTCCGTGTCTACCGTCCGTTCGTCGAGGAGGTCTTCCTCGAGGCCCTTCCCAAGTCTGTCCAGACCATTGCCGTTCTCGGCCAGGTCCACGATGGTGCTGCCGTCTCCGACGAGAGCGTCCACTCTGCCCTCTACAGCGACGTCCTTGCCGCTGTCAGCTTCTCTTCTTCCACCGCTGCCTCTGTCGTCGATGTCAAGTACGCTCGCGAGGAGGTCTGGACTCCCGCCAAGGTCGGCAACCTGTTTGCCAAGTTCAGCTCCGAGGCTGCCCAGGCCAACCTCTCCATCGCCGATGCTTCTGCCCAGCAGTACACTTTCTGGAACATTGATGAGTCCGTTGCTATCGGTGCTCCCATTGTGCTCGGCCAGCTGTACTCCAAGGATTCTGCCTCGAACGTGACCGTTCGCACTGGTCACGACAACCTGGTCCAGGGCGGTGTCATCCGCACCGACATCCGCAAGTCCAGCAAGTCCCTCGAGGCCGCCTACTCGGTCGATGCTGCCGACGTTGCTTTCGTTGGCGACGAAAAGCTTCTGAACGAGTTTGACATTCTGAACAGCCTCAAGTCCGGCGGCACCCTCATTGCCAAGCTGCCGGGTGCCAAGGACGAGGAGCTCGAGAAGCACATCCCAGTTGGCGCTCGCAAGGGTATCGTCGGCAAGAAGGTCAACCTCTATGTTCTTGACCCTACCGCTTCCGAGAATGTCTCCGAGGACGCCACTCTCGAGTCTTACCTGGTCCAGCTGGCTTTCCTTAAGGTTGCCGAGGCCGGCAGGTTCGACACTCTGTCCCAGAAGCTCTCTACCCTGAGCGGCGGCTCCCTCGACAGCATCGTCAAGGATGTTGAGAAGACGCTTCGCCAGGTCCAGATTCCCGAGTCCTGGGCCACCATCGAGCCCGAGGTTGAGAGCATCTCTCTGCCCACCGACATCAAGGTCAACAGCTTCACCTCCTTCCAGAAGATCGACCCCGAGCCCCCGACTCTTCTCAAGAACTGGGTCGAGGCCGCCAAGGGTCTTGCATTCAAGGAGGCGTACGGTACCAAGTCCGCTCTTCGTCCCGACCTCGGCGTCAAGACTGCCGTTGTCCACATCAAGGAGCGCCGCCGTCTCACTCCCGAGAACTACGACCGTAACATCTTCCACATCGAGTTCGACCTGGGCGACTCGGGCGTCAAGTACGACATCGGCGAGGCTCTCGGCATCCACGCCGAGAACGACCCCAAGATGGTTGAGGACTTCATCAAGTGGTACGGCCTCAACCCGGACGAGATCGTCGAGGTACCGACGCGCGAGGATCCCAACGTGCTCGAGAACCGCACCGTCTACCAGGCGCTGCTGCAGAACATCGACATCTTCGGACGGCCGCCGAAGCGCTTCTACGAGGCGCTCGCCGAGTTCGCGTCAGACGAGAAGGAAAAGACCGCTCTCCTCGCTCTCGTCACGCCCGACGGCGCGACCGAGTTCAAGCGGCGCGCCGAGGTGGACACGGTCACCTTCGCCGACATCCTGCTCGAGTTCCCGTCAGCGCACCCGTCGTTCAACGACGTTGTCCGCATCGTCAGCCCGATGAAGCGCCGCGAGTACTCGATCGCGTCGTCGCAGAAGGTCACGCCCAACGCCGTCTCCCTCCTCATCGTCACCGTCGGCTGGGTCGACGCGCGCGGCCGCGACCGCTTCGGCCAGGCGACGCGCTACCTCAACTCGCTCTCGGTCGGGTCGCCCGTCACGGTGTCGGTCAAGCCGTCGGTCATGAAGCTGCCGGCCAAGTCGACGGCGCCCATCATCATGGCCGGCCTGGGCACGGGCCTCGCGCCCTTCCGCGCCTTCGTCCAGGAGCGCGCGCGCCAAAAGATGGCGGGCGAGGAGATCGGCGCGGTGATGCTGTACATGGGCGCCCGGCACCAGCGCGAGGAGTACCTGTACGGCGAGGAGTGGGAGGCGTACCAGGACGCCGGCGTCATCACCCTGCTCGGCCGCGCCTTCTCGCGCGACCAGCCCGAGAAGATTTACATCCAGGACCGCATGCGCCAGTCGCTGCTCGACATCCGCAAGGCGTACCTCGCCGAGGGCGGCAGCTTCTACCTCTGCGGCCCGACGTGGCCGGTGCCGGACGTCACGGCGGTGCTGCAGGAGGCCATCGAGGAGGAGGCCAGGGCGTCGGGCGCGACGAAGAAGGTGGACTCGAGGAGGGTGATTGAGGAGTTCAAGGAGGAGGGCAGGTATGTGTTGGAGGTTTACTAGAGAGAGAGAGAGAGAGTGTGTGTGTGTGTGTGTGTGTGTGTGGGAGGGGGGTAGATGAGTTTCGATAATTATTCCCCTGTTGTGGCATGACATGACACATGCGATGCGATGCAACGTATTATAGAGTCTTGGTCATGAAAAATGATTTTTTCAGTTGATAGAATGTTTGATATGATCTTATGGCTTGTTGTTCTCTACGCTTGTTAAGTGATCCGTGTAACATGGATGGTAGTATACTCACTACAGGTATGACATGACAGCTACGAAGATATAGTTCTGCTGAAGTCAAAATATGTGTAGGAGTGTGCGGGTATGACGGAGTTTGCGATACTTACCGCTGGGGTGCAATCGAAGGACGGAAAACAAAGAACAGAACATAACTCGAAGCCGTAATGGAGTTCAATATGCGAGATAAAGACTGCAAAGAGAGGGGGGGGGGAGAAACAGAAACTCGTATCCTGCTTGAGGTATAAACTATGGAGAGAGCAACAAGCCAAACCCCCAAATAAAAAGAACCCCAGCAGAGAGCAAAACTCGCCATCCCGCCAAATATCTAAACTCGCAGGGAAGAAAATGAAAGACAAGAAGAACAAAAACAAGTCAGCAAAAGAACCTAAGAGAAAAGAAAATTTAGACCTAAAGAAACCACGGGCAACCCTCACCCACGACAGCCCCGACCAGCCTCCCCCTCCGACACTGACGCCAAGCAGCGAACCCAGTCCAACCATCACACTCACACACACACACAGGCTTACCCATTTCTGAAATACCCTCCAACGCCAACGCCTCCCGTCGAAGAGGTCGTGTACGAGGCAGCACTCGTCGTTGAGCCGTCGTTTTGGGAAGACGAGCCCGATGTCTGGCCGACCGCCGTCGATGATGGCGAGTTGTTGACGAGTGTCGTGCTGGCGTTGCTAGATGATGAGGACGATGACGATGACGATGGTGGTGATGGCGATGATGACGATGATGATGACGATGATGATGACGATGATGACGAGGAGGAGAAGGAGGAGGAGGAGGAGGAGGAGGAGGAGGAGGAGGAGGTTGTGGTGGTGGCGGGGGGGTTTTGGTTGTTGGTTCCTTGATTAATGTGGTGGCGGGTGAAGACCCAGCGGCCGTTGAAGTACTCGCGCTGCATGGGGCCTTTATTGTCCCTGTTCAAGCAGTTGAAGAGGGTCATGGTAGGTGGTAGTGTGTGTGTGTATGCTAGTGACGGACTGTGTCGAGCAGCGTTAAGCAGTGTTGGACGTTGGTCAAACTTGAGTACTGGATATGCTTGAGTTCTTTATTTTCTACTTTTCTATACATTTGACCCTTTAATCGTGTTGTCTTTGAAAAGTGTCCAAAAGGCATCATGTTGCACCATGAGAAACCCGTCTGCTGTGCTTCTTCTACTTGCGGCGGACAAAGACTTTCACACTCACATCGAAGACACAAAAGCTCGCAAAATGTTGTATTAAAGTAGAGAAAGGAAACAGTAAATCACAGGAGAAAAGTCAAACTACCAACAGGGAAGAAGGCAAGGAAGAACAAGAACAGAAGAACAAAAGAGGACAGATCAAGCTTTGTCGACCCCAATTGAACATACAGCACAACCAAGGCATCACCATCAAACCCATCCACCCCCACCTAAGTCATCACAGACACCGACTGATCAGCAACGCCCTCCCCTTCGCTCCGCTGTCCAATCACAACACCCTCTCCTCTCCCTTCCCCTTCTTGAAGGGATTGTTGCTGGCCAAGGGCACCGGCACTGGCGGATCCACCCTCCCCTCACCCTGCTTGTCACATTCCAAGTCCGAGTAATCGGGAAGGTCGCTGCTGCGGGATGTGTGTTCGCTCAGCGTTGATGCCGACGTCGATGGGCTCGAGCTGTTGGTTGGCGACGACGACTTGGGCTTCTTCTTCTTGTTGTTGTGGCGGCGGACAAAGGCTTTCTGGCCGTTCCTCGTCTCGACTGTGACGCCGTTCCTCGGCTCGATCTTGACATTTTTTTTCGTGCCGAAGAGGACGGAGAGCATGGTGGGGGATATGTGTGTGTGTGTTAGTGGCGGTCGGGGGTGATCAGTGTAGAAATGGTGGTTCAACAGTGATGGTTCAACAGTGGTGGCTTGGTATGTTTTCCTGCTTGAGTATTGAAACTATTTGAGGGGGTTTTCTAATTTTGTGTCCATTTAATCCTTTGATCGTGTTGTCTTTTGAAAAGGTTCAAAAGGCATCATGTTGCACCGAGAAACCCGGCTGCTGCGCTTCTTCTACTTGCGGCGGACAAAGGCTTTGCGGCCATTGATGTTCTCAATCCCTGTAGAACTGGTCTTAGCCTTCATGCTGTGATTCGTATCAGCTGGAGCGTTGCGACGGACAAAGGCCATGCGGCCGTTGACGTACTCCACCTCCGTGGGGCCGGTCTTCGCCGACTTCTTGTACTTGCTACTGGAGAGCCCCATGACGATGTAGGTAGGTGCGCTGTTGGATCTTAGTCACCTCAGTATGGGGTGGCTGATGTGTTGTCGAGTTGTTGATCGAGTATTAGTCTGCTGCCGCTCACTTAAATATCAAATGTGTTCTGCGGATCATTCAAACAGATCCTTTGTTCACGCTACTTTCCAAAAGACCTTGACAATGGGATTCATTTGTAACAACACACAGTACAGGCTCTTCAAGCATACCACCCGAGCAGAAAAATCCTTGAAGCCAAGAGCGGCCAGGCCGCTCCACGTACCTCTCTTCTCCGATTGCGCCTCGATCAACGCGATTGCCGACCACATCTCCTTTTCAAGGACACCGAACCGAACCCTCCAAAGGCCTTACTCCCCAATGACCTTCCTACACACCGGACAACCAATCTTGTTATCATTGTTCGTGTCCCAAAACGTCTCCAAGCACTCCCGACAAGCTATCTGCCTGCAACACGGCAACCGCACAATCGCCGTATTCTCGCTGAGCGGGCACGGAGTCGCATAGAACGGAACCTCTTCCATGCAGATGATGCACGAATCGCGCTCCTCTTCTTTTTCTTCTTCTTCCTCCTCCTCCTCCTCCTCCTCCTCCTCCTCAGGCTCATCCTTTAATCCGACTTGCACCCACTGGCGCTGCCGCCACGCCTCCTCACCGCCCGTAGCGACGCCTCCGCCGCCCAGATCGCCAAACAGAAAATCCAGATACGACTCGACCTCATCGTCGGTATCGAGGCACGCGGCCTCGCCCAGCGCGTCCTGCATCGACTCCAGGGCGTCCGCGTAATGCCGCGCGTGCAGGGAGGATGCTTCATGGGCCAGGCGTTGCGCCAGCTCTTGGGCGTTGTGGGTCTGGAGGTGCATGTTGGTCGCCAGGGCTTCGACGACACGTTTCTTGGTGGAGGTTGTTGTTTCGTGCTGCTGGTTAGTTGATTGCGCCGCGGACTGGGCCGCGGATGGCGACAGGTTGTGTTGTTGCTGCTGCTGCTGTGCTTGGCAGAGGTCGGCGTACTGGGTAATCAGGTGGGAGGCTTCGGCGCAGGCGCTGGCGGCGTCGTTGAGGAATTGGGCGAGGTCTGTGTAGTGGATGTGCCAGGCGGTGAATTGGTCTGCGGATGGCACCTTCGAGGCGTTGTTGGGGGCCATAGCGGGAGGGGGCTGGATATTTTAGGTCTTGTGGTGTTGTGCCAGTTGCTCGGCGGTATCGCGTGTTGCGGTTTTCGGAATATTTCGAGGCTTGAAAGCTGTAGCGGTCGTGTATCGAGTTGAGTGATCTGGATGAAGACGTGGGGGTTGCAAAGGAAGGAAAAGGAAAAGCGAGAATTTGATACTTTTAGAGAATAACTACTGGACTTAATAGTTTTGCATGTTCTGTTGTATTTGAATTGATGAATCACATGTCGCTTAGAACAAGATCGGTGAGGTGGCCGACAATCATATGTGCGTTTGGTCACGGCAAACTGTCAATCGAAGACCGTGATTCATTGTATCCAATCAAACACAGAAGAGGACCTATGTACAAATGTCCGGTTGCCCCATTCCTCCTTGAGATTTGTGGTGTTACCTAAACATCTTTTGACTGAGCCGTACTCTCTCCCTCAGCACGAGTCGATCCGCCCACCCTCACCACGCCCTCCGCCTCTAGCTCGCATAGTGCCAGCGCCACTATGTGATCGCGAGGATCTCGATTTCCTTGGCGTTCATTTCCTTCCGCATGTGCTTCTTCCGTATGTGCTTGCTCGCGTCCGGGCCTGGCCGACTTCGCCATGGGAGCCTCCTCAATCTCATCCATCATACCCGGCATTCTTGAGGAGCCTCCATGCTGAGCTGGACCTGAAGTACCTTCAGAGGCTGCGGCCTTGGGTGCCGAATGTGGAACCGGTACTCTTGCCCCTGTTGAGCGTTTCCGGTGCATCAAGCGGCTGTCTTGCTGGCCCACAGCTCGAATTGCTTCCCCAGGCTCAGAGGGACGCTCGGACTTTCTGCAGCCTTTGAACGTAAGTATACGCATGCAAGCGGGGCGGGGGCAGCCGCTAGGGGAATTGTCGCCAGTTTCTACCATGGTGTTGCAATTGTCGTTGCAATTTATGGTGATGAGGAGGATGTGCATATAAGAGAGCGTATGTGTTCAAGGATACAGGGTTTTATAAGTATTGGAAGACTGAGATAGTTTGATTGAGCTTTTTTTTTCACAATGAACCTTCCCCGCCAAACATCGTCAAAGGTTCGCATGTGCAACACCATTCAACATGCCACCCTTTCATATGTTGCATACGTAAGTGATAAATACGATCGTCACTGTGTCTTATCTGCTCAGCACTTGATACCTTCTCAAAGCTTTCGCGTTGTCGGTAGAAGTCTGCGGTCGCCTCGCACCTTTGTCGTGATTGCCAGGAAGAACATGATGTCCGGAGACCTGAGTGGGCCATTATTTGTGTTGATTACATTATCCCGATGTCCTGATCCATCGCCATTGTGTTCCGCACCTCCGATTCACATCTACCTTACAATTTGCGTCACCTGTATCGTTCTTCCTTCAATATCCTGCACACGTTCGGCCACCTTGGACACTGCGCTATTCCCTCGGCTCTGGAACCGCGGCGTCACCCGCACTGCTATGTCTGCGGAACACGTGTGTGGCTGCCTTCCAAATAGAATCTCTCCGCGTGCTGGGTGACGATGACGTCGACCAGACACTGCTCCGACGGCGCCCATGTGTGGGCTCTATTTGCAGGGGACAGAGTCATCAGCAAGGCGGTTCCCAACAAGCAAACGGACATGTCTTTGATGGGAATCATACCGTCGTCTTTGTTTTGCACAAGCACCGTCTCGGCCGTACGGACGTCTGAACGGCGGCCTGCGTCCCAAGAGTTGCGTGAGTAAGAAAAGCCAAGGACTGGCAAAACGACAAGATGGGAGAAAGGCAAGGAGCATACGCAGATTTCCCGCACCGCCGCGACCGTAAGATGTGTACCGCTCGATCTCGACGACCATTGTCTGTCACACGACGATATGTCGTCTCAACGAGGAAGTGAACGGAGTCCTTTCTCAGTGATGAAGAACGTGTTTTCCCCGCAGAAGCGCCGGAGGCAAAGAGTAGTAAAGTCAAGCTTTCTCTCTCTGCCCCAAGGCGAGCGTCACCCCACATGATAAAGCCGCCTCCCCATCTCCCCACACACTACGGGCCATCCCTACATCTTTCCTCATCCGGCCCCGCCAGCCCGCATTCCAGCCAATCACCGCCCCCACAACTATCTATCCACCACGCGGCACAACCGGCAGCATATGACGACATAGGGCTGGGGACGCGGGACGACGGACTGAAGGTCTTGTCGCACTGTGGTCCCCCTGCCAAGTCAGCGCGTGCATCCCGACCACACAAGCTTTCCATCGATCGCCTCCACCCCCGCGCCTCGATCATCGACCCACTCAGAATCGCCATGCTTATCTGGACCTAGAAGGCGCAGGGAAACGCGCTACCGTAGACTTCCACCCTCCAATGACGAACGTCTTGCCCC